AGTTACACTTAAAGATATTAAAGATAGCCTTAGCTAATATTACGCCCTATAACTTATATATAATAATAATATATGCAATAATATAAGGGAACTATATATATATGCAAAGCATAATGTTCCTTATAAATTCGCGCTATACTAAGAAGATAGGCACTATATTGCAAGGAATCTCCGGCTGGTTAAGAAAGCAAGGCTGCCTTATATAGCTACTTATCTTAATAAAGATAATAAATAGTAAAGCTTATATTTCCATAAGTAATAAAACTTGCTGCAAATATAGCATTGCATATAGTTAATAACGCGGGATAGCATAAAAAAGGAGCTATTACTACCCATTTTATACTTTAAAGGGTTGTTTTTTTATAACGGCATTTAGCAGCCCGGCTTAGGGTTTTACATATAAATATATATACCCTAAAACTTAGCAAACTCCTGCTTTTAAACCTTATTAATAAAGCTATTTATAGGCACTTTTAAGGCGCCATTAACTTAAAAAACCTTATATATATAAATGCTCCCGCAGCTTTACTACTTAAAACTATATTAATAAGCTATAATATTAAGCTTAAAAATAAGGTACTTTTAAAAGAATATCTTAAAATAATAATAAAAGTAATAGGCTATAATATAAGGGTTTTTTTAAAGGTTCTTATATAAGATCCTTATCTTGCTAACATTATTAGCTGCCTTTTACTTTTTATAATTAAGCATTACACGCTATAATAACTCTTAATGCAAGTTAGCTGCTAAAAACGTAAAGAAGATATAGAGGCACTTTATAGCATAATATATAAATTATAAATCATTTTGCTATTAATTTTAAAAGGGTTAAGTCCCCTTATAAATATATAAAAAACTTTTAATACTTATACTTTTTATTAAATAACATAAATTTTCTTAACCTAATTACCATTATAAAGAGTTTAATATATATTAATAATAAGAATAAATTATTATAAACTTATAAGTTACTTATTAAATATCTTTAAGAATACCATAGCTTTAATACTTAATAAGTATTAAATTTTTTAAAATGCTTTATTTAGTAATTTAAAAAAGGGCAAATACTTTAATTGCTATTAAATATAGCAAGCATTTAGCTAAGAAGATATTAAAAGATATTATAGCTATAAAGTAATTAAATATAAGTTTATAAATAAAATAAAAGTAAGCATAATTTTAACTATATTAACTTAATTAAGGTTAGCAAACTCTTTATTATGTTTTAATAAAGAGTTTATATAGCCTTATATTTATAACTTAAAATACATTACCCCTACCCTTAGTATTTATTATTCCTTCCTTAGCTATAATAATAATAATAATAGTATTAATAATAGCAATAGCAATAATAAGAGTTAATTTTTAATTAAATTTTAAATAATATATATTTCTTTAGTTATTTAATTAATAATTTATTTAATAACTTCTTTTTAAATTAATAGTAAAAGTAATGGTGTTAATGATAAAGAAATGGATAGCGGCTTAGGTATGTTTTACCCTTATGGTTATATTAATATATATTAAATAGGCATTTAATAGATAAGGAATTGCTAATTAGCTTAAAGATGCATATAATATTAATCTTATTCTCTTAATTAAGCATTTTTAATAGTTTTTCTTAATATTTATATAGAACTATATTAAGATAAATATTTTTATAATAGCTATGCATTACTTAATAATAAAGCTAAATAATTAGCTTATTAAGAAGTTATTAGATTTACTAATAATTAATAAGCTTATTAATAGCAATTATTACTATGTAAATAATGCAGCCTTTGCATTAAACCTTGCCTTTAATATATTTCTTATTAATAAAAACTTAATTATAGTTCTTTATTAAGTTATTAGTATATTTAGCCTTGCTTATAATAAGTATTATTAATAATATAACTTATAACAAGGTTATATAAGGGCTCTTAATATTAATCTTATATCTTTAATCTTAGGAAGTGCTTATTTAAATTGTATATATAATAGTTAGGCTAAAAACTATTAAATTACATTATAGCTAGCTATTAATATGCCGGCATTTTAATTTATTTAGCTTGCTTAGCCTTTTATTTATAAGCATTAAGTATATAATACTAAAAGAAATAAAAAGGAGGAGAAGAAGAAGGATTATAATATAGGCTTTAATGCTATATTTAATAAGGATTTACGCTTATCATACCTTTCTTTAAGTCTAGTTTAAGTATTTATTTTAATTAATAGTTAAAAGCTATTTGCTAATTTAAATATAAAGGCTATAAATATTAATAAAGTTAAAGGCATTTTGGCATTTTAAAGCTAAGAATAGTTAGAAAATTTCTCTTTAAGTTTTAAAAAGATAGCATAGCTTAATAAATTAGCTATTAAGCTAATTTATTACTATATAAAAGAAAAGATTGCTTATAAAAGGAGTAAGCTTTATTAATAAATATAAAATAAAAAGGGTAAACTATTTTATCTTAACGCTATATAAAGCATATAGGATGGAACTTAAGGGGCTGCATTGCTATATAAATAAATAAATAATATTTATAATTTATATTTAATTTCTTGCTTTCTTTATATTTACTTTTTATAATTAGGGATATTAATCGATTTATTTAAGTAATATATAATGCCCTCTTAAGTAGGAGTTAATTATTGCAATATTTAACTTGCTAAGTATATAAAGACTGCTTAGGGCTATTATAGGGAGTTAATAATGAGAATTTATATCTAGCTATATAAGGATTAGCAAACTCCTTATTTAATTTAGGTAAAAAGTTTGCTAAGCCTTATATCTTTGCAATATACTTACTTTACCACTATATATAAAGATTAATCTTGGAAATAATGCTTTACTTATAATTTAGTAAATTTTAAAGCTAAATAGCTATTAATTAATTTAAATTTTATATTATTAAAATCTTTAGCTTTTAAGGATTTAAGAGCAAAAATTATATTATATTTAGTATTTTTTTAAATAAAGTTATAAGGGGGCTAAGTTAATATCTCTTCTTTAAAGATAAGTTATAGTTTCCATAATAGCTGCTATTAAATAGGGAATCTTCCTATATAAATAAATTACTTCTTTTAATATAAATATATTAAGATTGTTATTTAATAAAAGAGCTAATAAATATCTTAAACTTTTTACCTAATTTCATGCTATTTAAATAAGGAGTTTAAAATATCTATTAGCTATGCTATTAAAACCTTATTAAAAGCAAATATTAAAAGTTATTAGCATTAAAAGTTATAAAAAAAAAAGAAAGAAATTAACTTAATAATAAATAAAAGATACTATCTTAATTTTTAAACTTTATCTTAGCTCTTTATATATTATGCTATAACTTTTTATGCTTAAATAATATAAATAAGCTTTTAATGCAAAGTTAATATTAATCCTTTACTTACCTAGTTTTTCATTATACCTTTTCTTTAACTTTTTATAATATTATTAACTTAAAGGAAAGGAAGGAAAGAAATTATCTTTTAATAAGTTACTTATATAATTAATTAACTGCTATTTAAGGAAGTAATCCTTCCAGCTACTTAAGCAGCCTCTTACCTATTAATATAAAACCCTTTCTTTCTCTCTTCTGCTTCTTTTTCTTCTTCTTTCCTTCTTTATTATGCAATATATATATTTAAGTCTTCTTTTTATATTGCATAATCCTTTTAATATTAAAATCTATAAATAATAATTAATCTTTATTATATAATAACTATTCTTATCCTCTTAATTATAATACTGCTTAATTAGGTTATATAGCGCATTATTAATAGCTAGCTTTATATAGTTTTTCTTATAGCAATGAATATTAATTATACTTAGCTAAATAAACTCGCTATTAATATTTATTTTAAAACCCTTCTTACTATATTTTTTATAATTATGCATTAATTAACTTTTAAGATAAGAAGATAATTACCCTTTAGCTTTAATTATATAATATCCTTATTTATATATATCTAAATAAGGATATTAAACTCCTTGCTATTAAAATTATTTATCTTTTAAATCTCTTTTATATATTTATTATTACCTTATGCAAACTCTTTATCTATTTATACGTTAATAAATATATTAACTTTATAATTATTAAATTTTGGAATTATATAATTATCCCTAGATTTAAGGATAATGCTTATATAAAGTGTATTTAGCATTTAAATAATTATTACTATAAGCATAATACTGCTGCCTAAGCATTATTATTTAATAATAAAAGCAATGCCTAAATAAGGGATAAGGGACGCCATTAATACCTTAAATAATCCTAAGTAATTAGGGGTAAGCTTATTATAAGCTTTATAATTTAATATTTATTAAATAGTAATTTTAAAAGGTTAAAATTATATATAATAAGAAATATTTAGGTAAAGTTATTGCATAATAAGTTCTTATTTTATTAATTAATAATTTAACTCCTTTTTTATTAATTTTTTCTTGCTTAAAACTATTTATTATATTATTACTTTTCTATTTATAAGCCTAAAACTTTTTCTTAAAAAAATAAGCCATTAATATAAAGCATTATATTTAAATACCTTAGCCTTAAAGTATTATTTATATTATATTCCTATTTATATTTAACTTAAGTTATACCTTCCTTATAAGATTAACTCTTTCCATAATTTTAAATAATAAGCTAAGTTTTCTTATATGCTTAAATTTACTTTACGCCTTATTATATATATAGGCTTTTAATATTTCCCTTTGCCAATTTTTATATACCTTATAAGGCGCAAAGCTGCCTAAAGCAAGAAGTTACTCCTTTTTTAATATTATATTATAATATTAATAATATTGCTTTTTAAGTATATATAGTATATATAAAAGTTAAATTAATTAACCAATTTATATATAAATTAATTAACTTAGGAATAATAAATATTTTATAAATTCTTTTTATTTATAATAAGTTTTGCTTATTATTATTATAAAGCAAGGCTAAATAATACCTTTTCTTTACCCTTTATTAAATTACTTATTTTAATATTCCATTCTTAAGGGAAAATTGCTAGCTAACTATAACCTATTAGCATTATAAGAAAATATTCCTTATTAACTTTATTATGCTTATCTTTATGCTTATTTCTAACTTTATTATATAAAAGTGCTGCTTACTAGCTTTATTAAGGCTATATTTATGCTAAGCAAAAGGCTAAAAAGAAGTTTAAAAATTTAATTTATATAGGAAATATATTTATAATCTTTGCAATTTTAACTTTATTATAAGAAAATACTTTTTATTAGCTTTGCTATAGTTATTCTTATGCTTATTTTTAACTTTGCTATAAGAAAGTATTGCTTTTTAAGATTGCTAAGATTATATTTATGCCAAGAAAAAAGCTAAAAATAAGTTTAAAAATTTAATTTATATAGGAAATATACTTATAGCCCTTGCAATATTAAATTTAACTATTTAGCTTTTTACATTTTAATCTAATAAAAAAGTAAAGAACTTTATAAATCGCTTTAAGCATTACTTATATTTGCAGCCCTTATAATATAAAGTTTAAGTAGCTCTTTATTATAAAGGAAAAGATATTATAGCGTTAATAAAAGGACTTTAGCCTTAAGAAAATTCTTAAAGAAGAAAGATCCCTTTTTAAGGTAAAATAAGGCAGCTTAAGCTAAAAAAAGAAGCTTATTAAGCTTAAAAGGGAATTAAATTATAATAAAATCTCTTTAATTTATTTAATTAAGGGGCTATTTAATTTTTAAAATCTTAGTTTTATTATTATAATACCTTTGCTAGCTAAATTATATAATTATAATTTTCATTATTATATAATAACTTCTTAGGTTTATAAAGGGGTATTATATAACCTTATCATTATTATTAATTAGCTTTTAGCTTTTTATTATACTTATAGCATTTAATTAATTAAATTGCAGGGTTTTAAGAATCATAGCAATATAGCTATCGCTGCACTTTAAGGCAGTGCTCGCAGCGGTTAACCAATTAGCTTGCAACTTTTCTAACCCATAGTGCGCCGACCGAGTTCCCATTCACAGACTATTCTAGACGAATAGCACAAACATCTGAACGTTTTCGGAAAAGAATTGATGGCACAGGTCGAGCCTGAAGACAAGAGTCATCAGTCCTGTCTCCATGGCCTCTTAGCAGTCAAACGGCTTCATCACCATTGCTTGGCTGGCTACCATCCAGTTGCGTGAAGGTGAACGGCGGATAATTTCATCACTCGACCGCCGAGACTGGTCAATTATCAGATTGAAGAATTCGAAAGGAAACTCAGCGGAGTTGACAGTCGTCAAGCTCTTTCGGCATTCGATTCTTCATGAATACAGAAGGGCTGACAAGGGTGGGAAATTTGATTTGAATGTAATGCTTCACAGCAGTCGTATTTGATGCAGTGGCACACCCGTCGGAGAGAGATTTCAGACGAGTGCTTCCTTATGATAAAATACAGCAGTAGGTCAGCTGCCAGCTGGTACCACGAGCTCCAGCCGCACTTATTACCATCTTGTGCGAGAAGCCTAGGACTTTCTGGAGAGGCTAATCTGAGCTCAGGCAGCGATAGGTATCGATGGCTTGACTTTCCCCTACCGGCCAGGGAGGCCCCCGTGCCGCTCAATTTATTTCGGGCTCCGTGAAGAAGACAGTTCCTTTTCTTTGCAATGCGACAAAATAAGCTTCTTTCGAGTCCTGTCAAGCAAAAGGGTAGAGATTGTCAGTCGCTGCGTACTAGCGGTCAAATGCGTCTCTGGTGTTCGAGGAGAAGACGAGCGAGAGGATGCAGGCCGGGGGAGGAAGGTGGGAGGCAGGAATAGGGGGTTTAGGAATTTGGCTCAGGGTCAAGCCAGCAATACATACACTCCTCGACGACTCGGGTTTCTCCCGGTGTACCTTGGCGAACATCCCTTCGAGCAGCATCTGGAGCTTCTTGTCCTCGGCCCCCGCGTAGAATTTGCAGACGAAGTGGCCCCCTGCCTTGAGCGTGTCCGAGGCGAACGCCAAGGCTGCGTAGCAGAGATCCTGTTTGGTGGTTTCACGTCAGCTATTTGTGAGCTGGGAGACTACGGCGGACTGGAATGTCTTTGGGGGTGAAGATGGGGCCTTTCTCTTACCATGCTACCGGCGTGGTCCTTGAAGTTTATTCCGCTCGTGTTCATCAACCTGTGAGGGTTGCTTAGCGTCCTGCTCGAGAAGCCGCTCGTCTGGGGCCAGGGTTCTGACATGTCGCTGATTACCACCTGCGTCCCATGTGTTAGCAAGACGTCGTCTTATGAAGAGAAAGGCCGCTGTGGCAGCAAGAGTCTCGAGTGGTCTTGAGACCCCAAACGCAACTCACATCCACCATCCGCTGTGCCTCTTCCTCCGCTTCAGAAGCCGCCTCGATGTCCTGGGTCGCCTGCTTCTCCTGGTCGATGTAACTAGGCTGGTCCGTCACGACGCTCCCGTCGGCCCTCTCGCCCTCGGCGTCTACTGTATCTGGGGCTGAAGAGGCGGCGTCGATTTGCTGCCGCTCCTTCCTGTCCCTCTCTTTCCGTCTGACCTGCTCGACGAGGACATCCTTGACCAGAGCCCTCACCCGCGGGCTGAGGAAGTCACCCTGGATGCTGGTCACGCCCCTCGGCGGCTGCGCCGGGATGAGGTCGATGCCCACGACCACACCGTTCGGGGCGGTGGCGTCCTTGGCGACCTGCGACCAGGACCCCGGCGCGTAGCCCAGGTCCACGACGGTCTGGTTCCGGTGGAAGAGGCCGTATCTATCATTCATCTGCGGGCAGGTTAGTCACCCACAACTACTTAATTCTAGGGTGTCCGTGTATTGTGGGCAGGTCAGGATGATGGTAGGTCAGTGGTCAGACAGACCTCGATCAGCTTCCAGGCCGCCCTGCTCTTCAGGCCCTGCACCTTGGCCTGACGAGCATAGCGGTCTCTGCTTTGGCGAGACTTCCACTGAGAGCTTGACGAAGCGCTCCGCCGTGTCTCCAGCGGCCTCAGCCGGCAGGCCAGGCACGCGTGGGGATTCGATAGCCCGGGCTTGCTCGCGGGTGCCGTTATCGCCAGTGTGAGCTGGCTCAGGACCCGTGAGATGAGCCGCTCACTGAGGGCTACTTGGCGGCATGGCGGCCCGCCCAAAACTGTCGCCATGGATCAGAGAATGATTTGTGAGAGGCGATATGGCCTCGGTGTCAATTGAGCAAGATTTGTGTGAGTCTCAGCACCACAGGGACGGCAGGTGTGGTTGGATCAAGTTGGTATCACAGCGGACGAAATTCTCGGGTGGGAGCTCGCGCCAATCGAGGATCCCTGCCAACATTAACAAGATCATCGCAGACCCGCCGGGCGCCTGCAATGCTTTCATACAACCGCATTACTGCAACAAGACCACAACTCGGGCTCCTTGCTTAGCGTGGAATACCGAAATATTTTATAAGGCTTACTTGAAGGGCAGGCGTGGTGGTGACTCGACCGTGTTCATCAGCATGAGAAGCAGACAAGTCAATTCCAATGTTGAACTTCAGATCAGGTTGACTTCTTTTTCATTTAGTCAAATAAGACATGGTTAAACAGGAATTCAATCAAAGCCACTACGCCTCAGACCCCAGACCTTCCTGGCCGTTACCCATATGCTCCCATTCCAGAACGCCAGTCCCTCGGCGTGTAGGAATACCAATATGACTCCAGCATAATGCAACAAAGGAGAGTCCGTATAGTGGTGACCGTCACAGAACAATCTAGCCCCCCTCGTCCAGACTATGGCGGACGATCCAAGAACATTCTCATGCCAAGAAGCTGGCATTCACACCTCTTCGATCTCGTTTCAGCGGTGAGAACGCCTTCCCGCCGAACGCATTCTTGGCAAGGGCAGAGACGGGACCTTTCTGTACCGAAGCCTTCAGGCCAACGGGTTTCCTCTTGCCACCTCCCGCAGCTGCGGCTGTCTTTGGGGCCGCCATGGCCTCTGCCTCACCAGCATCCTCGTCCTTGTCAAACAGCGTGCCCTTGTTGGTAGTACCAAGCAGCTTGCGCTTCTTTTTCTTGGGCTCCGGGTTTTCTGAGCTGACGTTTCCTGTGTCGACAGTGCTGGTGGCTGTTGAGTTGGATGCCGGTTTTTCCTTCGACTCGCCAGGCTTCTTCGTGCCGAGGATTGTCCCAGTTGGGTTGTTCTCGCTCTTCGCTGATCCTTCAGGCTCCTCGGCCACCTTCTCTAATGAAGCCGATTTGCTTCGCGGCGAAGTACGGGTGTTCGCGGCTGACGGCACGTTCGTGTTTGGAGATGACTCTTTCAAAGCTTGCGCCTTTGGTCTGCCGCGTGCCTTCTTCTGAGCTGTGTCCGTTGCCTTAGGCTTCGTGGCCTTGAGAGCCTTGGCCACTGACTTCGCTGGTTTCTCGGCAGTCGCAAGAGGAATGTCCTCAGTCGCCTCCGCTTCTGGCTCGATAATTGGTGCTCCTGGATCTCCCTTACCGATGAGAATGGATGGCTCTTCATCCTCCTCCTCGATGGTCTCTGCCAAGTTGATGGTGTTTGACTTCTCCAGGAAAGGCGTGATGGAGAATGTAGACTTTTCGCCGACTGTCGTGAATTCAACGCCTCTCTTCTTAAGAGGGCGCTTGTTCCTTCCCTCGACGTGTCCGGGTGTGTCCATCATCATCTCATCGACACTGATGTCGTTGGCGCCACGCTTCTTTCCAGCCTTGGCTTTGCTGAGCGGTCTCTTGGTCTCGTTGTCTTTGAGTGGTACAGTGGTTGTGGTGGTCCGCGCAGGTGCAGTCTGGGCCTGTGTAAGCTCGGCCCGGACTTCTTTGAGCTCGGCGCGGGTCTCCTTCAACTTGTTCTTGAATTCTTCCACACGTTGCGTGAGCATTTCGACCTGATCGTTGGCCGTGGCAGTCTCCTTCTCGCTGGCCCTGCGAGCCCGTTCGGCCTCACGCGTTTCGGAGAGGAGCTTCTCCTCGAGTTCCTGTACCTTTTGTTGCAGCTCTGATTGGGACTCTTTCTCATCGCTGTCCTGCGAGCGTTTTGCCTTCTGAGCAGCACGCTTTTCATCGGCCAGCTTCTTCTCGAGATCCGCAACTTGCTGCCGCAGCTCAGCTTCCGCATCACTTTGCGCCTTCTGGTGGGTCTTCCTTGCAGTCTCTGAGGCCTTTTGCTCGGCCGCAAGCCTCTTCTCCAGGTCAGCAACCTGCTTTCGCAATTCCTCTTCTGCGCCGGTCTGTTCCTTCTCCTGGGCTTTCTTGGCCTTCTGCGAGGCTTTCTTCTCGGCAGCAAGTTTCTTTTCAAGGTCTGCGACACGTTGTTGAAGTTCTTCGCTGACTTGGTTTTCCTCACTCCCTTGGCGCTGGATCGCCTTTTCCGCTGCGCGCCTCTCGTTGGCAAGCTCGGTCTCGAGAGAATTCAGTTGCCGTTCGAGAGCAAGCTTCTCAGCTAGGACGTCTTTCTGGTGGGAGACTTGCGAGCGCAGGTGATCGATCTCGGGTTTCAGCACAGCAAGTTCTCGAGAGAGGGCCAGCTTCTCTGTGAGGGTCTTGGTGGAATCGTCTGACATGTTGTTTAATGACTGTAGCTCGGCCTATAGCTTGTCAGAAAACAATTCCCATGAGAAATCACAGCGTTGGGCCTGGTGGCAGTACCTTGAGATCTGAGTACTGTCGCGCTTGCAAGCGCAGCTGATCAGCTTGGTCCTGGCACGTCTGGTTCATGCGACCAAGTTGGGCGCATATATCCTCATACTGCTGTGACAAATTGCTGATCCGGTCGTCCTTCTCTGCCAATTGATCGCGGAGGACAGCGACCTCATCCCGGAGGACAATGACGCGTAGCTTGAGGCGTCGGGCCTCCTCGTCCTTGACTATAAGGTCCGTCTGATGCATTGCGCCACGGTATTTAACATCCAGCATATGAATGGCTTCTGTTCTCTACAGCAGAAGGCCCAGTCAGTATGGCAGCCGTGATGATTCCCATATGCGCTGGCCTGGGGTGGCTGACCTGATATTGGTCCATGTTTACATGGTCCGCTGAGGTGCTGTTTTGTTGACAAGTCGCGGGTCAGAGGCTCGGTAAGTTGGATGCAACGAGTGAATGGAGATGAAGAGGAGCTGAAGTAAGAGTTGGGGTGCACCTGTGGTGAGTATTCGGATTCAATCAGTCAATGTAAAGTCCAACCTGAGGCAAGCAAGCGCGGATGATGGATAGGAATTGTGGTCAGTCCGGGAGGGATGATGAAATGGGGGGGGAGGGTGGCATCCGGGCCCTGACACTTGCTGTGTTTTCCTAGTGCGTTGTCCCAGAAACACCCCTCAATCAGGCCTAGCGTCTGAGCCCCAAAGCCACAGTGGATCCGGGCAAGTGGGATTGCAGACCACGCTAGTGACAACGGCGGTGCAGGCCAGGCTGGCTTGGCAAGTGAATGGGAGCTCCCAAAGCTCCAGATGTCCTTCAACTTCAGGACAGGTCGCTTGGATTGGAAGTGCGTAATCAACCACCACAGGCCATCACCAGCCACGACTTGACCGAACTTGTTGCCAACCACGAGGATCTTTTGCAGATACTGGTGGCATTAGAGATTGGTGCAAATCAGTGCGCTCTTTTTTCCCTCCTTTCTCTTCAATTGACTCTGGTCTTTCACAATGCGCTGGTCCTCAATTCTTCTTCCCTTCTCCCTCCTGGGCGCAGGTGTGCTGGCCGCAAAGTCCGACCCGGCCGCCACGTTCAAAGACTTCCACCAGAAGTCGCTCTCGAGCACACCTATCAAGCTTGGAGATGCCTCCTACAAGAAGGTCACTGGGCTGCCCCGTGACTACACGGTTGCTGTCCTCTTGACAGCCCTGGACAGTCGTTATGCTTGCCAGATGTGCCGGGACTTCGACCCTGAGTGGAAGCTGTTGAGCAAGTCTTGGGCCAAGGGTGATAAGGCTGGTGACTCCAAGACACTGTTCACTGTTCTGGACTTCAATGATGGTCGGGAGACCTTCATGTCTGTATGTGCATAATATGGACTCCTCTCGTTTCCCCGTCGGCTCTGGACTTGGTCTAACTATTTCTCCACTACCAGCTCGGACTGCAAACCGCCCCCGTCCTCCTGCTCTTCCAACCCTCGACTGGAGAGTTCGCTGTTGCCAACACCGATCCCGTGCGATTTGACTTCACCTCTGGGTGAGTACCCTCCCTGCAAGATATATACATCCCCACGCTTACAAAAACCCATCAGCGCCCCAACCGCGGAATCAGTCAGGAACTGGGTCAGCCGCTACCTGCCAGGACGCCCCGTCCCTGAGGTCAACAGGCCCACAAACTGGTTCGCCATAATCCTTGCCCTCACAACGGTGGCCGGCATAGGCACGACGCTCGTGACGCTCTGGCCGTACGTCGGGCCCATCATCCAGCACCGCCGGCTGTGGCAGTTCATCTCGCTCATGACCATCCTGGGTTGCACATGCGGCACGATGTTCAACATAATTCGGAACGTCCCCTACGCAGGCCACGATGGCAAGGGCCATATCTCCTTCTTCGCCGGCGGCTTCCAGAGCCAGTTCCAGCTCGAGTCACAGATTATCGGTGCTCTTTGTACGTTCACGCTTCCAAGGGCATTCTCATGGGGTTTCCCTTTTGCTAACATCCCCTGTTTCCAGACGGAGCTCTCGCCTTCTGCGCCATTGGTCTCGCTGACAAGGCGCCCCGCCTTGGTGGTGTCAAGACCCAGCAGACCATGGTTATCCTCTATGCCGGCGTCATGCTCGTCCTCTACAGCTTCCTCCTCAGCATCTTCCGTGTCAAGAACGGCGGCTATCCCTTCGCGCTGCCTCCCTTCTTATAAATCACTAAGATGGATTCGTATGGTGGAGAGAGGCAATCCACACGGTACCAGAGAGCGAAGTCATACTCGTCACGGCGTGATCGGATATCAAAAGTCTTGTGGGATTTACGCTTGAGGAGGTTGCGAGTCCGAGATATCTGGATGGGGCGGGCACGGCCCCGTCCATTAGAGTCTGAATGCTCTTCTTTACACGCCATCTGAGAAATAGAAGGAAAATAAACAGATCGTTAAAAAGTGCAGTCGATACGGTTGAATCAACAATCGATATGCCCATAGCGATCGACCTTCCTAGGGCCGGTGGGATGGTGGTTGGCTTGCTTTTGCACCTTCGCAAGAGCATATGAATGTAGATCAGTCTCTGAACACATTTTGAGAGCCGCACTGCCTCGCCCCAACTGCTTGAGCATAAATGTGATGGCGATGCGAAGCTGCCCTGGCGTTGGAGGAACATAATTGCCAATTATTGTTGATTAAACTAGATGAACCGTAGCCTGGGGTGAGCTGATCAATAGAACTGTATTGCGGCTACCGAAGAGAAAGAAGGGACAGATCAGACGGCTTGCCACCGCTACGAATACTCGTCGGAGTAGTTTGACTGCAAGGTCGAGCGAGTGCCACTATTCACCGTGCCCATGACCTCAGCATAGGACGTTGACGATTTTCTTGTAGAAGGCAGGAACGCAATTGGATCGAGGAGTGCAAAAGGACGATAATTCTGGGATCACAGGTCATGAGCGAGATACATCTACAGTCTGGACTGGCATATTGGTCCCTGGATTCTGCGAGACGTACTAGGCCTTCGGCATCGCTTGGGCTCGAGGGTATATACACAACTCGTCGACGTTCACTCGGCCTCTCCAAGCCGTCCGCATCACATCTCACGCCTGGCACCGGCCCCTGGCGCAGAGTGGTAGAAATTGGCCCAAAGTCGGCTCTCAATTCAGTCATCATAGCTTTTTGGTAATACCATTCCACGCCGAGCCAGACACAACGCCCTCGTGAAACCATGAAAGCGGCGAAACACCGCGAAGCCGTAGCAGTAACCATCCCAGGCATGCCATCCAAGCAAGGACCGCATCCCATGACCATATCCCGGAGAGAAGAGTGCAAGACAAATTCTTTACACCTTGAAACCGCGCGAGCGTCTGCGACCACGGGCACGCTCGAACTTGCGGCCCTTGGAGAGAACGTGGGGCTTCTGTAGGGAGTTGTTAGCTCTGTCCAGCCTTGCCCCCAGTCGAGTTGTGCTCTGGTTAGTCGTACCTTGTTCTTGTGGGGACCGAAGCCGAAGTGCTTGACGGCCTCACGGTTGTTCTTGGGGCCACGCAGGAGCAGGGTGTTGGCACCGGTGGGCTTCTCAAGAGCGAGCTGGTCGAGGGTCAGGGCGCTGCCGCCGGCGGCCAGGATGCGCGCGCGGGCGGTGGCGGTGAACCGCAGAGCAGCGATCTGGACCTTGGGGACCTCGAGCAGGCGGTTGTCGTCGGTGACGGTGCCGACAACAACGACCGTCTTCTTGTCGTTGCCGTTCTTCAGGTTGGCCTTGACGCGGGACAGGGAGACGGGAGGGCGGTTGATGCGGGAGGTAAAGAGGCGGCGCAGGACAACCTTGTTGAAGGCAGAGTCGGTACGACCTGTTGTTCGCGGGTGGTTAGCAAACGGGCCGCATGCATGGTCTGCGATGGGCAGTTGGCGGCGGTGGGACTCACGAGCCAGGAAGCGGTACAGCTTCACGAGCAGCTTGAGGTACGCATTGTCGCTCTTGGGCGCCTTGCGGTGGCTGTTGCGCACGTGGTGGCGGTCGAGATCGATACCTACAAAGAGACAAAATTTCCTCGTCAGCCTTTGGCTCAAGTATGCTCAGAGAGGTATACGGCAGCACTCGCAGAGGAGGTCTGTTACGACCTCCGCCCGCTCAATCCAAACTCCTCACTTGGAGGAGAGCTGGCAGCGCCCTCATATTCGCAGAGACCGTTTCCGATCGTCCACTTGCATACAAAGGCTTGATAACAAGTTTAGCCTCACGTACCCATCTTGACTGTTGACTCGAGATGTTGATGATCCGAAGAGCCGATGGGGATGTTTCCTGCTGGGTTGGTCAAACAGAAGGGAAGGTGAGTGGGCGGAAAAAGTTCGCCTTGAGAAATTGGAAGATGCTGCTGCGTGGATGTGGGTCGCTGCTGATTGGTTGAATGGACTGTTCACCGATGCAGCTGGCAGTGGCCGGCAGATGCGGGTCCGCCAGCTGGCGGCAGCTCTGACCCTCTCAACCCCTGCCCACCGGGCTCCAAGGCTAGAAACTGCTCATCTCAAGCTGGGTCTCTTTTGACTGCTGGACAAATCATCCGGGCGTTGGTCTGTATATTCACTATTCCCGGAACGGCTTCATACTCCAACTTTCACTACTTCTGGGACCTAGCAAGCTGAAGACTTTCACAGTCTTGTGCCTGTCAACCCACAAACCAGTACAAAGGTACTACCGCATGCATCCGGATTGATACACACAAGATGAAGTACTAGTAGGAACAAGGCTGAAGCAAGATCCTGTCTGGATGCAAGATTGTATTTCCGGTGGACGAGCTTAATCTCCAGAAACTATCTGAAGCAGGAGTCTATGTACAACAAGTTACAAACCCATGATCATTGCAGGAAGCACAACTTTTGTGATGCCGTATTACTCCTGGCCTGTTCCTGCTTCCACCCTGCCAAATAGAGCCCTCAAAGGGAGAGCATGTGATGAATACCTCGTGTTGGTACACTTACAGTTGGAAATGCGTGGTGTGCTGCTCTCTAGAGTCTAAAATCCCATGGGCCCTCTCATCTTCCGGATCAACACAAGAAGTGCTATGTCCGCCTAGCCCACAACCTTTCCCGGTATCGACATCTTGTACCTCCTGCAGCATGTTCTATCAGTCGTAAAAAAGTGCCATCAGTCTACCTTCATCTGATGGGTTTTGTCTTCCATTGTCAGTTCCCTGAGTGCCTTCGAAGAGATGCTGCAGCGCACTCGGCTCAGTGGCGCATTGATTGAAACTGTCCTCTTCTTGCTTTCCATCTATTGTCAAGCAATGGATTGTAATCCCTGTGCGGCTTCACTGCCGGTGTTGTGAAGCTTCGATAGAGACCTGCCGTCGTGAATCTTCCTCTGTCGTCCGCTCATAGGACGCGCTCTTGGGGGGCCAGGGTCACGAGGAAGTCGCGCGTCATCTCGAAGCTGAGCCAGCTCGATGCCATGCTGGGAGCGACCTTCAACAGGTTGGGTACTATGCCCTTGTAGAGTCCCTTGACTCCCTCCTGGGCAATGATCTTGGTCATGGCATCACCGATAGACTTGTACTTGTAGCCCAGGCCGTCCATGGTGTTGATTTGAAATCGGCGGCGCAAGACATCGCTGGGTCCAGAGTCAGCCCAGAATGGTCCAAGAAGGTCATTGCTACTGCACTTACAAAGGGTACGTGCAAGTCTGGGCCACAGCACCAGACACTGCACCGGCAAGCAGCTTGCGCCATGCGCTCGGGTTCTTGTCGCCCTCGGGCGTCAGGTACTTTCGCACGTGCTCGTACACCATGAAGTTCAGGCCGACATATGGTGCGACGCCTGCAACAGTCGGAACGATGCCTCTGTAGAGCGCCAGGAGTCCACCCTCATTCTTGTACATGCCCACCAAAGTTGCCCACATGCCTGGCAGTGCTTTAGGCTTTTCACCCAGGGCGGCGAAGCTCGCAGACTGGATAGACAGCCTGGTTCGCACAATGTCGAGGGGATAGGTGAAGGTGACCGAGGTTACACCTGCCAGTCCACCACAGGTGAGGCGCATGAAGGGCGACAGGTCGGCGCCGGGGTAGGCCTCAAAGACGCTGCGCTTGTAGAAGTTGTAGCTGCCGAACTGGACTGCCGAATAGGGCACGATGCGAATACAGTTGGTACCATTACCGCGCATGAACCCACGCCATCCTTCCTCTTGCCACATCTTTCTAAGGGCCTTGCTCACAGACAGCTTGTACTCTTCACGACCAGCCGACTGGATCTGGAACAAGATCTTGAGTCGCTCCAACGGGGAGACAACAGTACGGGATACGGCGCCTGCAACACCGCCGGCGCAGAACGCGGCCACTACGGGCTGACTGATGAAGAGGCGCAGGTGGTCGGTCGGCCCTGGGAGAAGAGGCGGGTCGCCATTGCTGGGACTGGTGGGGATGTCGGTCGGAGACTTGATGGTGGGATTAGCTTGCTAAATCTTCAGGTCGGTCTCGCAAACACAAAACAAGACGCGTCGCTGGGGCAGGACATACAGCAGCCATCATGAAGAGGGTATGTAAAGAAGAGGCTTGATGCGATTGTAAAAGGAGGTGACGCGCGAGGAGTGGCGGTTGGCGGAGGAGGCAACGTCAACTAGAGATATTGTCGGGGATACTGGCTGGGTCGGCTCTGAAAGCATCCCAATGAATTGTGCGCGACGATCTGGGAAGTTTGAAGTGATTGACACGGTCGCGAGAAGACCACAGCGAAAGTGAGGGTATTAGGGGTGATCTCCTAGAGGGGAAGCTTGAGGATACTCGACATGGTCGACTGGTCAGGAGGTGTTTTGCAGCTGCAGACACATTGGGGATTTCTTTTGTGCCAATCGATAAGCTGGTTCACCGTTTAGTCGAGTCGAGTCGTAATCCCAGCTTGTCGTAGGTTTGTCGAAGTTAAGCTTGTGGCTCTAGGTCGCGTGGCTAGAAGGTCGATGGGTGGATAGTCCAAACCTGGAGGTCGGAAAAAAAGCCTGACGTCAAAGGGATGGGCGATGGGCAATACAGAGCACTACCTTGGGGTCCCCCCACAGCCGGCTGGCAAACTGGGGCAGAGACAGACAGATGGCCCCTTTTAGCTTGAGGAGGCCGTGGTGTAGCTGCAGGTGCCTGTGCAGGTGGACATGTCAGATCAGATTCTAATCGATCTGCAGTGACACGGAGGACAGAGATAGTTCCACACGGTGTTTATTGTCGCAACAGAAACATAGAGGGCCGGGGAGCAATAACACCCAGGCTCTGCTCAACCCGGATGCTCCAGGTACACAGTAGGTAAATACCTACTGGGATGCCGGTGAAAGCAGCCATCCATGCATGGATCGAGGCGGCTCCGGCAATCAGTGTTGCAATCCTGGCCTCGGCTCTGACCTCCTGGGCCTATCGATTAGCGTGTTGGGTAGCCGATAACCCCTGTGGGATGAGATGACATTTTGCATTGTCGCAGAACAGCCTCAGCTCATCCTCTCTGCCTCTGAATGGGCCATTGTGGCCCACATGGCCCAGTCCATGTTTATTCACCTGGCAGATGATCAAGCCCAGAGGTCTATGTATTCACGGCCAAAGGCACAAATCCAGGACCGCCTGCCCAAATCTGAGATCATATGATTGCCAGTCTTGGTTTTCTCCCCTCGTTGGCTCTTGGCATTGCTCATCCCAGCCCCCATCAGCTTCACCAAACAAGGCAGCCTTGCACCGTGGTATGTGCAAGTGAGATCTGCACTTTCAGCTCCCCGGAATTTGAGACAGCACTTGTTAGTCTTACCCCGGTGCCGGGTCCCGGCTTCCAACTGGATAGAATACCAGATCTGCCCAACCGGGAGAGCTTCAGACCGAGCAACCCAATAAGCTGAGTAAGCCCTCATCATGCTAACATCGGGCGGTAGAGAACAACCAGGCGTAGAAATCCAGGCTCCTGTGTACAAGATGACTCGATCAGCTACGATGTGGTCAGTTTAAGCCACATTGGCTCCCACAAGTTGCTTTTCCGGTTCGTGCTCTTGTACCTCATCGAGATAAACAGTACACTAGGGCCATCAACAAATGAGACATCCGTGTGGTCTTACTGGGCCGCCAGCCTTTAGATGGCTGCTGCTTCCACATTTGTGCAGCCAGCATTCAAGTTGTGGACTACGTGCAGCCCGTTCAACTTGACCTGGATACCTGGATGTAGCGCGGCAAAGTTGACAGACAGTCAATCACAGCAGGGTAATCGTCCAGAATGACACCAAGTGCTTCCTGTACCTTCAAAGTCTTTTAAGGCAAGATGGACCGCTGCCCCAGGTGACACCCGTCTGATAGAAGCCTTCTCTCCACGACTTGTAAGCCTTGCATACCATTCCATAGTATAGCTCGTCAGCATAGCCTGTCCGGATTACCCTTGACATATCCTCGCCGCTGCCATTCTTGACAGGAGATAGCCACAATAATAACCGTTTCGTATCCAGGTAACTTGAGCTTCCGTGCTGCTGACAGGCCAAAAAAGCCAGCCCCCAATAATCAGCATGCACTTGCCCTTATTAGACTCCGTAGTTCAGCACACAAGTCTAAATCCATGAGAAGTACAGGTTAAGACCAGTTTAGTACTGGCAGAACACCGTCGTGCATAGTTAGAAGATGAGTGAAAGACTCCGGCCGCAGTGAGTCTGCTGCGGTCTGAACGGCATAGAGCGCCGTCTCAGAGTGCAACACCACAGTATAGTCTGACAAAGACTCAGGAGGACATAGAATTCTGTACTAAGCTCAAATCCTCGGCAACGAAAAAGCTGGCGTGGTAGTGTCGATGAGGACTGTGACATGTTCTATCCAAGTTTGGATAGGAACAAGACAAAGCTGGTGAATAGCAGTTGCGATATCCGAAATGAGGCCAAGGTTCCCATTTAACTGGCGGTTGAAATTGTGATTGTTGGATAGGTTGGAAATTCAGACAGGTCAAATTGTAGCCCAGCTTCCGCATGGAAACAATAGTCTTCTTTCTCTTGGTTACTCACAGTACAAGGTTCAAGTCCAGCCACGCATCAGTCGTCCTACCGTAGTCATCAGCTCCAAGAAAGAAGCCCTCTTGGCCTTGGGTTCCACCCATGGCTTCCAGAAATGCTGGCGACGCCTCCCTGGGATCCACCCCCGGAACAGTCGTCTCTCCTTGAAAGGGTGGAATCGATTGCAAAGTCGATGCGGGTTGACCTGGAGCCTGTAAGGGCGCCTGCTTATGTGCAGTTTTGTGACCAACGATGCCCTTGGACCCGATCAGGTCGAACTCTGTTTCGGCCTCCTGTGCCAACATCTCTGTGTTTGACAACTTTGGCAGTAGAGATTCTCCGAAAACTGATCAAAGGTTCTCAGACGAGCCATAGGATCCAGCCTCCACGTAGGCTATCGACTCTGTCCTGTCCTCACAAAAGTTTCATACGCCTGTCCAAGAAGTCAAAACAGCCCTCTTCAACCGTGCGTTCGACAAGGCCGTTGGCCGTTGGCAGTGAAGACTTTCTCGAAGCGTATGCTTCGGGCTGGAGACCCAGCGTCAGTCGAGTCACTGCTCTGCTTTCTAACAACAATGTCTTATATTATATAATCTTGTCTGGTACTAATGCTTTGTATATCATGCCCAACAATGCACCTTCCCCTGATGCAAACATTCGACCACAACCCATTATCGACGCTCGTACCCATTTGTATTCCTCTATGCCCAAACCAGCCTCTTGAGGTTATATCCCAGTGTCTCAAAAATACCCACGTTCCTCTTCGCCTCCGCCAGGCTCACAATGTCTCCTTCTTCGATGATGCTCTCCCTCTTCGCCTCGGCAGTGCCAGAGACGGGGTGGTTCAGGAACGCCAGCCGCTCGATCTCGTGGGCAACGGCCGCAACAAGCTGACTCTCCGTCATGCGAGAGGCGTCGGCTTTGCCACCGCGGTCAGCGAGCGACGAGTTGGTGTATGGCGCCTTCAGGGCGATTTTCTTAGTCTCTGCTGGGGCGGCACCGGTCTTCCGGCCCAGTAGGCCTGTGAGCCTGGACTGGACTGCGGAGGAGCCAGGGACATTTTTGGCGTTTTGGGCTTGGGTATCATCCGAAGCAGAGTCTGATCCATTGTCCTTGATGCTGGAAAGAGAGCGTGTGTTGACACGCCGATAGTCGTTTGAGCCTGGCTTGTACACTACGACCAAGCCGACGTTCTTTGACTCATCGGTCTGGGTTGCAGACACCGTGGATGTGACGTATGTTCCTGTCTTGATAGATTGAACATGTGACATATCGACCCGCTCAAAAGATGAAACTTTATCAAGGTTCCAGTCGAAGCGGCACAGGTAAATCGCCGTGTCGGTGAGGAGGAGCACAACTTCCTGAAACGGCGTGCCCATCATGCTGTTTGTGACTGCGGGACTGAGAAATGTCCAGCCCCCGATGAACTCCTCTTTGGCGTCCTCAACGACACGCTTCTGGCAGAGCTCGATGGCCTGGTCTCGCATTTTCTGGATGGAGACCGCCGGGTCTTTTGTCATCATGTTGTCCTCAAACTCGTCAAAAACAAGAGATGTGACATTCCCGAGTAGGAAATCGATAGTGGCCTGCAAGAAAAAGTCGTTGACCATGCTGCATCTGTCAGTATGTCGTTGACTTGAGGCATTTTCTTCGGGCCCTCCCCCCTAGGGATGCGAAACTTACCCATTGAAAAACCGTGTCAGCCCCAACCCAGCATCAGCCAGGGCACCACGGTAGTTCCTCTTTTTCGTGCGCGTGTAGTCGCCCTTCATCGCCGCGGTCGATGCGTATTGTTTTGAGATGGCATCCCCGTTGTCTGCCCACAATGTGTTGAACCAGGTATTCACCTGGTCTAGCTGTGCCGTCATGTCATAACCTTGCTCCTTGATTTGGGCGTCAAGCATATATTTGGCGAATGAACTCTGGCAAACATTTGTTCGGTCCAGACAGTCCATACAATTCGTCCTTATCACGCCCTTCTGTTGTTCTTTGATCTCACCGCCTTCTTCCACTGTGCTTCCAAGAGCTTCGAGTTGGTCTTGGAGTGTATCGATGAGCTTCTCCACGTTCTCAAATCTCATGCCTCTGCATGCATCATGGAAGTCAAACCACTCAAACGGTACTGCATCCTCCTTGGCTTTGCCCTCGTTATATCGCTCCATTCCTTGCTGATACTTTTGTCCAATCGGAGCTTCGACGCCATGCTTCTCCACGAGATTGGCGATTTGAAGAGACCCGTACTGCTGACGAAGTCGATCGAAATGTTTCTTCAAGGCCTGGAAGTTGGTATCATCTGAGTGCTGGAAGACCGGGCTGGGCTTCAGCGAGTAGGGGCTTTGCGTGAAGAATACCGGTATGCTACCTCTGACTTGTAGGAAGGAGTATATCTTTGAATTTGGGTCGATGATAGCTGGTGAAAGAATCTGCTCAGTCTCGACTGAGTTGGCGCACCATCCTTCCTCATCGATTCCACGCCGAAGGTAACGTAAGCCAGCTCTTTTCACTGACCGCCTGGATATCACAGTGATATCGAACTGCCTCTCCGATGACCTTGGGTTGACCGCGGTCTTCCCCCCGGGAGGTGTCGTATGAGCTGCTTCGGAATCTGATCCCGTTGTTGACCAGTTGCTAGCGAAGTCGTTCATCTCAACAGAGCCTTTGTATTCGTCCAGCTGCTCCGGTTGGTTGTCCACAGTAAACGTCCTCTGGCCCACGAAACCCTTCATCAGTGGTAATGCAAGGGAGTCAATTCCTGCATCGATGAAAGGCTGTATCACATTCTGGTTCCAGAAAAACATCGGATCGGTTTTTCGGTGGAGCGGAGTGTCGCCCTGGGGAGTTGCCTCGCGTTGCCTAGATAGACTCCGAGTGATATCGTACTCGTAGGAGAAGAAGTAGCTCTGGGAAGATCCGAATAGAATCTGAGTGGTGCGCAGTAGCTTGGGGAGCAGAGCCGGTGGAGCCAGCTTCTCTTCTTTCGCATCCTCTACAGGAATGCCGGCCGCCTCAGGTGATGCGGTATCCTCCTTGGTGGCCGCAGGAGTCTTGGAGTCTCCTGGTACGTTGCCATCCGCAGCCTTGTCCACGGCGTTATTGACGTTCTCCTCGGACTGGCTGAGACCCATGCTCCGCTTCTGCTCCAGCGTCCACCCGCTGCTACTGAACCAGCGTTGCGCAAAACGGCCGTAGCTGCCACGCCGGTTCATGACATCCTTGGCAACACTGGTAGCAGAGGGCTTGGACCCATCTGCTGCATCGGGCTGTTCGTCGTCGGTAGGTACCTCGTCGCTCTTAATCGAAGCCGTGTCTGTATCGGTGTCGTCTCCAGCCTCGGTGTCGGTATCATCTCCGGCCGACTCTCCGGCCTCTTTGCTTTGTGGCTGTACGGCGGTCTTCGCAACCGCTTCGCTGGCATCGTTGTAGGAAGAGCACGGGGTGAGGGCGACCTCGGTAATGACGTAGACTGGATGGCCGCGGATCACAGCGACCTGTTTGCGGCGGGTGATCGAGACGAGATAGCTGAAGCGGGAGACTGTGATGAGACCTGTTTGTAGGATATTGATATTAGCATCCGCTTTAGAAAAGGGGCAAGAAGAGCAACGGCTTGCGGGATGCGATTCAAGCTTTGCTGCGCAGACTCACCGACGACTCCGAATGCCTCGAACGAGGAGTTGGGCTTGGAGAGGTCCGGAAGCCCGTCCCGGGAGACGAATGATATGGCAGCATCCCCATAACGCAGCCTGACAGGAGGCGAGGGTTTGTGCTCTTTCTTGGTCGCAAGAGGTTGGATGAGGAGGCCATCCACTGCAGCAGCAATGATGACCTTGCGCGCGAGGGATGGCATCTTTCGACGTCGTCGCAAAGAAGTTTCAGGGACGCAAAAGACGGGTGAGATGGAGTCCACTGATGTTCCTGGGCGGGCTTGGCGGGATCATAGCTATAAACGGAGGAGCATCGTCATGGTGTATAATTGGGGTGCGGGAGGGCCATGGTCACAGGTCAAAGACCGGTCTCAGACTCGGCCGATTCGATGATGTCGAGGTCGCGTTGGCGGGGCACTTGCTGTGTACGCCACGCGGGACAAGCAGCTGGAGCATCACTCAACCACAATTCGCTGCACACATGCAGCTGTAGCATGACGTATGTCTGAGATTAGCATCTCGCAATCTCGAGCTAAACTCTTTGGATGATCTAGACCAGGTACCGTTAATGGATTTTTGGGGTCGTTAAAACTATATGTACTATGCGCTGCACACGGTCCGTATAAAAGTTTAACGGTGCTGCTGCTTTTGTTAGAATTCGGAACTTTTGAGTCCCTCTCTGTTCTAAGTGTACAATTTAAAGTACCTCTTGCATTGCATATACGGATCGCTATAGCAACTCAGCTCTCAACCAAAAAGCGTTTTTACTTGGATAGCTGGGTCCCGCAGGTTCGACTCCCAAGTCTCAGAAGACAGTCACTCCGCCAGAACAAGTGTCACAGAGCCAGCGAATTCATTTGATGGCATGGTGTCCAAACTCAATTATCGTGGAAATCTCAGTGCCTTTCTAGAACCAAATGCTTGATCACATCTCTGCTACCATTGCAAATGTTGTCGAAAAGAGACATTTCCGATCCAACTGGAGTTGTATTTGGCCTCTTGCTGGTGCGCACTTCTCGTATCGCCATCCTGCACGAGGGTCCGTGTTGTAGCCCATATGTTCCTTAGATAGCCAGTCTCTCGACCTTGTCCTTCAGCGCGCGGATCTGGCCCATGAGGTCGGAAGACTCGTTCGAGGTGATGGCGGCTGATATGACGGCCCTGGAGACACCGCATGCGCGGCCCAGAGCGACCTTGCTGGGGACGTAGACGTAGGGGGTGTTCTGCGTGAACAAGACTTAGTTTCTGGCGGCGGCAAGACGTCAACAGTGAGAGGAGAGAAAAGTACCTTGTCCTCAGCCAGGAGAGGGATATGCAGGAGGATAGCGAGAGGAGTGGTGTCCTAAGCGAGCAGTATTAGCCTCTTGTCTTGACTGGCAGAGCTCATCTTCAAGTTGGGACTTACAGCGGCGAGGACAACAATCTCAGCCGTTCCACGGTTCAGAGCCTTGGTCGCCTCGTTGGCTCCCTTCTTGAGCTGTCTGTAGTGAGCGCTCGACTGCAGCAGATCCAGGATTTCCTGTATTTCCGTTAGCTTCTGCCGAGTAGGCAAATGGGTCTGGGATGCGGGTCGTACCTGGGTCAAGGCGGCGTCGGCGATGGGCCAGGCGGCGGACTCGTTCTGGTTGGACATTTTGGGGGGGTTTCGAGTTTTGGCAGGGTTCCTTTCCGTAGATCGCCCTGTGGTGGTGAGAAGAGGTGACGGTGGTGTGGTGATTGCTTTGGTACCTGGTGCTCGCCTGGCCAAAGAAAAAAAAAAGGTTTAAGCTCCGGGCCACGGCTCCAGAGAAAAGGTGGGCCGGCCGATAAGCTAGCTGATAGGACAACTTATTGATGCGGTGGCGGCGCGAGTTGCTTAGGTAAGTTGCCTGGCCCGTGCTCGCCTGCCCGCGTCTCTGGCTGCGGAGCGAGCTGCTTACCTGCAGTGGTCAACTGGTCTCTGGGCTGAGGTCTGCTGTGCTGTGCTGGATCCGCCTGCTGCACAGAGAGCAAAACCTTCGCCCAATCAAAGGGAGCCCTGGAACCACCTTGCCAACCTCTCAACGCAAGTCGAACCCGTCACCATCGTCTGCTCGTTCAACTACCCAAAGCTTCACATTCCAACGCTACCGCCTCCACTTCGACGACCTTGAGCTGCCATCGCCACAACTCCAGTCCAAACATCAAATCGCCTGCATACCCTCCTCTTGAATTTTATTTCGCCCTCCACACAACCGCCAACATGTCTACAGATCTTTGGTAAGCCTGCTCGTTGCTTGCTCTTGGAGGCCCCCCTTGAGCTCCCCAGCCATCATCTCTCGATCTGAAGCTCCGAGTCTGGATGCCCACATCCGTGGCAACCACCATCCCATCTTAATCCCCATTCTCAATCGTGTCCGAAGCTAATTATGGTGTTCTCAGCCCCGTCTACGCGGTTAGTACCCTCTCGACCACGTGTATTCACCGTCGTCATCCTGCCGAGCTCTACCGAAGCCGATCCCATCATCGAGAACAACACCGTCGATACACGATGCTAACCCATCTCTAGCCCTTCTTTGGCGCCATGGGCTGCACATCTGCCATCGTCTTCACATGCCTCGGCGCATCATACGGAACCGCCAAGTCTGGTGTTGGTATCTCGGCAATGGGTGTCCTGCGACCTGACCTCATCGTGAAGAGTACGTCACCACCACCTCGACCGGACTCGAGTCCACGTTTCAGCACGCTCACCCACATTTAGACATTGTTCCCGTCATTATGGCTGGTATCATTGGTATCTACGGCCTGGTCGTCTCTGTCCTGATCTCCGACGGCCTCAAGCAGGCTGACTACGCCCTGTTCACCGGCTTCATCCAGCTCGGTGCCGGTCTCGCCGTCGGTCTGGCTGGTATGGCTGCTGGTTTCGCTATTGGTATTGTCGGTGACGCTGGTGTGCGCGGTACTGCCCAGCAGCCCAGGCTATTCGTCGGCATGATTCTGATTCTCATTTTCGCCGAAGTCTTGGGTGAGTTATTTTTAGCAACAATCCTCCCTACCTGTCGACAGCTGCCTCTTCTCTTCACAGTATGCTGACAGCAGCCCGCAGGTCTTTACGGCCTGATTGTTGCCCTTCTTATGAACTCCAAGGCTGCCATTAACGTCTCCTGCTAAGCGCATAGCTGACAACCTCGGCCGCGAGCCAACTTTGGGATGCGTTGGCAAGACGATTCGCAAGGCCTTCCTCAAAGCTTCAACGAACGAAATCGCGGTCGTACTCGACAAGAAGGGCCCAGCTTGCAATCACAGAAAGGTTCAACTTTTCTTGAGCATTTGCATGTGGTCAGGTCACGACTGGTAGGACTGGAACGAATGGAACGAAAATGATGGATGATAGGGACATCATCCAATCAACATACACATGTACTCATTGTCACATTAGGCTATGACTCCGGAGCATTGGGTTCTCGTCATAGATGGAGGAGGAGCAGAAGAATGTAGTCTAGGATGGGAGTAGTGCTGCTTTGGTTTCCTGCGACATGGTTTCATATGGCTGCATCACTCCGTCACTTGTTTTGTATTGTATCTTTACAGCATCGTCTTCTCTTCCTGGTGACACGTCGTCTGTTGATACAATGCGATAGGCTTGAGCGACATGGTCCATACATCTAACTGTTTCTTGGCCATACTCGACTCGAAATGCTCGCTGATCATGGACACGTCTTCTACCTCTGACCAAGCGTATTGAACCCTCGCCATGCATCAACACCTACGGCTCCTCGGTTTGAATTGCGAGGTGAGACTCAACCGAGAAAGTGCCACATTCCCACACAGTACACCCAACCATCTTTCTCACGTCATGTCGGTCATTGAGCTGTCTCCTTCTATGCGCCGGCCTGCCTGTTCTGTAAATGATGCCAGCTCCCCTGGAGATCTCGGCCAGCGCCTGCTCCCGTTTCTGACTCGATCGCTCGCAGCTGACCGGTCTTGCGTTGTCTGTCCACTGCAGCCGGAACCAGGGAGACCCCACTCGATACCCGCGATATACATCCTCGGTGATTCCTCCCGAGCAGCGGATCGGTGCGCCTGGCGCATGTGGAGGTGCTCGAGAGCGACTTGGGATTTTCTCTCACGCTGCCTAGGATAGGGCCCAGTGTTCGGAGTTTCGAATTGCGCTGGTCGGATGCGAGCTTGTTGAAAGAAAGCCTGGTGAAGGTATAGCGCAGCGGCTGTTGGGCAAGTTGAAATGAGTGAGACTATTCCAGGGATCCTGAGGCAGAACATCCCGTCAATTTTCACGCCGTTCACATGGAGATTGCATAGAGCGCAGGCATATGTAACTTGTCCATTATGTATGTACGTAAGGATCAGGACATCACCAAAATGTGATCGCAACTGCAATGCCGTTTTCTCTCTTCTCCCATTACCATGCTGTTGAAATCAAGAAAAGGCTACCAGGATATATGCTGCTTTGTCCCTGCATCGTCCCCATGAAACCCACCTGAACAGAATCGTAGTCCACCTGCTTTTGTCTCGTCGCCCCATCCGTTTTCGCGACCCGAAGCTCTCTGGATATGCAATAATTAAAGGCAAGTACTGGTATTAAAACTATGTACAGATCGAAGCGAACACATGCAACGAACGAATCACAACGGGATGCTTTGCCACCCTTAGGCCGTATAGACTGAGGGCGTCTAGATGACGTACTGTAGCATAGCAATGTTAGCAAGCAGGCCACCCAAATTCCATGGACAGGGCGGCTGTAAGACTCACAGGGATGAACAGGTAGGGCACCTGTCTCTCATACTCCTTCCACGCGTCGCCATACTTCTCCCTGCACCGCTCGATGTCCCTCGCAGCGCGGTGTGCGATCATACAGCAGAAGAAGACGGGGTAGAACCAGGGGAAGGGGCTGCTGAAGCCCGTGATCAGGCCCCAGCAGATGGCAAAGAAGGCGTCGCAGGTGTAGTGCAGCTTGCGCGCCTTGCCGTACCAGCCGTCGACGAAGAGGCAGTCCCCCGTGGCGGTGGGGATCTTGCGCGGGTTCTTGATGGACTGCCACGGGACCTGGGGAAAGGTGTTGCGCTTGGTGTAGGTGCCGCGCTCCATGGAGCGGAAGCTGTTCTTCTGGCCGTTGCAGCTGTCCCAGACCCAGTAGACGAACAGGTACGAGACGTACAGGCCGACCAGGAAGGCGCGGTTCCAGCGGTACTCGTCGGGGGAGTGGTTGGCGAGGTAGATGATGCAGTGGCAGTAGGAGAGCGGGACGCCCGACATGTTCCAGAAGATGAGCATGAAGCCCCACTTCTCGTAGTACATGTCCCAGGTCGTGACGATGAGCTCCTCGCCCTTGCCGCATGCGTTGGCGTAGAGCCAGTGCGCCATCACAAGGAACATGACCTCGCCCGACACGTAGCCGTACTGCTCGTACTGCCGCACAGCGTTACTGACGCTGAGCAGCAGCAGGATGTACCAGGGCAGGCGGACCTCGAAGAACATCTTGAAGTCGAGAATGCCAAACATGCGCGGGTTAAGCTCAGCACCCATGAAGAAGTCGTAGATGGGATAACCCGTCATGCGATGCTGGGCGCCCCGGTAGATGGCAGAGAAATAGGCGAGGATCGCGACGATGTACCCTGAGAGAATCGAGACGGACAGCAGCGGGCCAAAGTCGTCGATGATGGCCGAGATCCTGTAGACACCAGTGAGGTGCAAGACAGCGGCGACGGCCAGGGTGGCGTAGAGCGAGAAGAAGCCGGAGCAGTAGTACTTGAGCTGCTTGCCACCCTCGTGGGGCAGGGGCTTGCCGTACGCATAGACTCCGGGCGCATAGAGGTAGAGAACGACCTCGAAGACGCCAAAGATCCAGTAGGCGGCCCACGCCCTGAGGTGAGGGAACGCGCCCGTGTAGACGAGGTGGCCGAGGTGTGAGAAGAAGTCGGCCCAGCTCTGGCCCTCGGCGCGCGTAGGGAACTTCCCATCGTAGTAGGTCGCGCCGATCCACATGTACCACATGAGCAGAGGGAACCCGATCATCATGGCCGACACGCCCAGAGAGCCGCCGAACTCGAAGTTGCCCGAGTAGTCGATCTTGGGATCCATGCCGGGCTTCCAGCCGTCCACGACCTTGTCCTCGGCCACCTTGCCATTGGCGCCGTTCTTGTGGCCGTTGGCGCCGTTGGCGTGACCACTGGTCACCGACCTGGGCTTCACGTCTTCCTCAAAGTCATGTTTGCCGTTTGCGGCCGGCTGAGGTAGGTTGTTCGTGTCTAACAGGACGCTCGATGTTGGCAGCGTATCGTCGTCGTCTATGTGCTCTGTGAACTTGGGGACGCCGCGCTTGCGCAGCGATCGCGTGCGCAGCGAGGTGGTGGTCTCAGCGGCAGAGCTTGAGTCGCCATCGGCATCGGATGCGTCGAGGGTCAGGGGCGTCTTGCGTTTGCCAGACACGCGACGGCCAGGCGTCTCGACCATGCCATCGAAAGGCTCCTTCTTTCTATGAGTAGAGCATTGGGGTCAGCATCAAGTCACCGCTATGAGCGCCGCCGAAATGCGCGCGATGCCTGTGCCCTGTAGTAGCCAGACTGGGCGGGCTTAGCATGGAGCCGTCAGAGGCGGTTCAACATGCGCCCTGTCCAAGCATGCTTGGCTGGTGACAGCAATTCGGGCGGTCCATAATGCGAGAATGCAGAATGTTGGGTTGGGTAGAGCAGGGCAGAGCACAGAGCAATCTGGTATGCTTGCAGGCAACAGACAGCTTACACAGTACAGCTATCCGTTGCCTGTTCTGGCATTCCTCTTGCTGGCTGCGCCTCAACTTGGGCCCCAGGCAAGGGTTGGGAATGCAGCGCTGTCTGATTGGCACCAGGAGGGACAGAAAACAACAGCATAACAACAATATACAGGGCAAGACGGGTACAAGAAACGACAAGACACGACAAGACGCAGGATTCGGGACTTACCGAGGCGTTTGGCGGAGTGAATATCTCGACGACATGGTTCCCAAGTTGTGCGAGCAATATGGATGATGCGTGCAGTAGGAGGGGATAAGAAGAGAGGGACTTGTCCCAAATCCAATGCGACAGGAAATAATCTGCTTCTCGATATTCGAGACCAGATTGCAGCAGATCAACCGAGGCCAGATCGAGACTGCTCTCTCTCTCTCTCTCTCTCTCTCTCTCTCTCTCCCTCTCTCTCGCGGCTCGCCCCTTCTGGCAGCTGGCCCTTGTCGTCGGAAATTCGGTAGATCCCAGTGACCCAGCCTGCCACCTGCAGATCCAAACCTTGTTGACAAATTTTCTGATATCTGCATCGGCACTGGGGCCAGCCGTTGGCCAGGTTGCGACCTGCAGGGGGGTGGCACCAGCCTCTAGCGCCGCTGAAGGGAAATGAGCTGCCCCCGGACCAGAACGTCCTCTCCCCCGTTCATCCTGTTCAGGGATCCACCCGCTCGCCGACTTGTACACGTGTAGATGATGGAAACAACTACACGTAGAATCGCTTATGTAGCTGTCATGCGGTCATCGCCGTCCAAGAGACTGCTCGTGGTTTATCATGCCGAGCAATTGCCGGCCTCACGTTGAGCCTTGGAGTCAATCACCGGCACAACGCAGCAGAAACCGGATGCTGAGTCGAGCTGGTCCTGGCGGCAGTGCGGGTTGAGTTGTCTGCCATGCCACATTGGCCATCATGTTCCTACCGTGGTCTGATGCACGCATGACATTGCCGTGCATGGCGACGGCACCTTGCTTTGCATCCGATGCTGCACACACTGACACGGTTTCGGGTTAAAGTTCGTCTCTCCGCGGAAGGCTTTAGCTCGTAAGGGTGCCAAATGCTTGCGTGTAACTTGACCTTCGGTGAGACAGCCCCGAGTGGACAACCTCCTGCGGGAATAATCTCCAGTCGGACAGTCTCTGTTAGAATAACCTCCTGTAGCATCACCTTCAATAAGATATCTAGTTAACATGTGGGATAACCTCCTGCGGGACATCCCCCTGTGGGACATCATCCTGTGGGACATCATCCTGTGGGACATTCTTCTATGGGATAAACTCTGGAACCGTGTGGGATAATCCGTTGATATCTCCTAACGGGAAGACGCAGTGTGTCTGCTATCCAGCCTCTGTCCAGTACGAGGTTCCATTTAAGGAACAGTCAAATGGCTGTTCAAAGAGTATTCAACACAAAGTTCAATTTTTGATCATTTTCATGACGTAGCATTCCTAGATGAGATCATGTGGAGGTTCTATCAGCGACGTTGAGACTTTGGACTCATGTATGTGGCCAAGGTAAGTTAGACACCCGTGTTACCACTCTTCTAGATACGTAGAGATATGTCCTTGTCTGTGGCCTCGTGGGTTAGGTTGAGTGTGCTTGATCGTTGCGACCGTGGGCTTCATGAGTAGCACAGCCACTGACCTGTCACCTCGGCCAGTTTTGGTTATCATTCCCGTTAAACATAACTTCATAATTACATACACAGGTGTTGTAATGTGCGGGCCTCCAATCTTCGCATTGAGCCTCTTTGGTTACGCAAAGTGCAAAGATATACAGGCGGTCATGTTTTTCAACATCTCACCTTCTGCTCAAAGCATCTGACTCAACCGGGTTGGCCATGCGAACAAAGGCCTAGCATAATAATTGCATTACAGATGGTCGGTCTACCAAGAACTGCTGATACAGCTCCGACGTGATGTTCTAATGCTGTTTGAGAGCACCTAGGTAGTCTTGCACCCTGACGGTAAGAGCGAAGCTAAGGTCGACCAAGGATGAAATGCCTCAATTAAATAGCACAGCTTGAAAATGGCAGCCTAATCGCCAATTTTTTTACATAGCTAGGAATTATTGTCAGGTCAGATGAAAATGCTAATTATCTAGCTCTTTCACAATTGCCCGAAATTGGGAGAAATAGCCTTCGCCTACAGATAATTACCAGACCCTCGAGTTCGACCACTCTGTCTGACTTTCTAATCCTTTCTCATCCTCGAGACCAAAAATTCCTCCGAACATCTATCTTCTCGCTCAAACACATCCGCCTCAGTCCACAACAGTGTATCCCTCCGGCTCTCTCAACCACACGAGCTTTCGACTATACAAACTTTCTCGAATCATGCGGTCATTTCAATTCAGCCTGGTCATTCTGACCCTCGTGGCCTCGTCATTGTCTGCGCCTGTTTGTCATCTCCGTCCAGAGGGCTTGAGCTTCAGCCAGACTTGTGATTGGAAGGCAAACCCCCAGGTCGGTTTCTGCGATTGGGGTGTATCCGGCGAATGGAGTACACCCAACGACTGGGCTATCAGCAATGGCGTCTGTGTCAATGACGTCTATGGCATAAACCAAATTTGAACTGCCCTGCAGGAGTTCTGGTAGTATTCCGTCCCATTTTTCTTGGGATGCGTCGATTCCTATGGCAGCGAATGGGGGGTCAGTTAATGGGGGTCAGTCAATGGGAGGTCAGTTAATGGGGGGTCGCGTGCCCTACGTACGTCTTTAAAAAGGGTGCCCTCTGCCCCTTCTGCACTCAGAACCTATCCATCATGCCCACTTCGAATACCAACAATTGCAGATTTGCCAGACCCAGTCTTTCCTACCATAATTCCTGAGGCGACTCGAGGAACAAGTTGTGGAAAGGAGGAACAGCAATCTTCAGGTGAGTTGGGAGCCAGCCTCAATTCTTTTTCCGTGGAAAGCCACCATGTCTCTTCATCCACGTTGCCCACCGCGATCTCGAACCACGCCTGTTGATCTCGTTTGCACCGTTGGCGCCTTGTCACATTTGCCCATCACCAACCCTGACTCCCCGCTTGTCCCCTCCCCAACCCGCCTCGAGTCGCATCCCGACTGCCACGTGCCCTTCATACTGACTTGGCTTTCAGCAGTTGGATACTACAGCAATCATTTTGATAGTGATTTGAGCTTCTTTAGTTCTGATCTTTCGGGCCTATTTTCTAGTTCACGACAAAACCGTATATAATAAATGCCAATGTGGTTTTCAGTCTCGCCTCGTCCCTCTATTCACAATGATTCTGAGTGTTTGAGCAGCTGATCCGAAAAAGATTTCAGAGGAAATAGCTGCGTTCACCAGAAACAGTTCTACGCAGTTATCTGGTCTGTCATCTGAAGAGATCCTTCTTCCATATCTGTCAGCAGCACGTGAGAAAAGCCGATATTATCCTTGAGCTGTCTGTGTCTCAGCAAGCTTGCAGCCAATGTGTCCCTTGAACACCAAATAAGTTTTATATGGTAGCACATGCACACCCACATCACCACCCTCCAACGTCTCGAGCCATGCGCGGTCGCGCTGGGTCCTCCAACCTTGCCAGCTCCAGCAGCAAACGATAAACATATATGCTCCGGTCGATCTCTCTAAACGCCTTGCTGAACCACTCGCGACCCTCTTCAGCAATATGCCTGGCCGCTTGCCGCCCCGCCTCGGTGGAAGTGAGATGCGAAACTACCTCAGGTAACTCCTCCATGCTCTGGCTGATCGGCACATAATGAAGCCACGGCACGAGGCGCTCGTCGTGCCACTCGCGAAGGAGAGTCTGTTTAAGCGGCGCTGATCGCGAGGCGAGGAAGTTGTAGTAGCGCCCGCTGATTCCGTTCCCGTCCATGTCGAAGACAAGACGGGACCTGAGGGCGCGATCCTTGTCCTCCCATGGTTTTAAGTTGAAGTAAGCCCGTTGGTCCCTGCAGGATCGCCCCTCGCATTGGAATATCCTGGTGAACGCCACGTCGAATAGTCTGGAGTTGAGAAAGGACGATTTCACCCGGCTGAGGACGCCACCCGTCTCCCGGAGGTAGTCGTGCTGGCGCCTGTTCAGGTTCTGCGCCAGCTCGACAAATCTTTGGCGGTGGAATTGTCGCCACTCGCCGTCAGAGGCAAACCCGCCCGTGTTAGAGCCAGCCCAGTAAAGGTTGTTCCGCTTGCTATCCCAGTCGACGTCGTTCGCGTCGGCGTATTGGAATTCGTCCTCTAGGTAAGCTGGGCTGGGATACAGGATGTCGCCCATGGTCGATAGCGAGCCTGTCGAGAGCACCGGTACTAAGCCTTCCAGCAGGGGAAACGACGCGGGGCTCATGAGGAGGCCGTGCGTGGTGCTGTACTCTGGATGTTGACACAGATCCGTGGCGGAAGACGGATCTGTGATAAATGGAAGGCCATAGTCCTCTCTCATGTGCCTGGTATCGCTGGTCGTTGTGTTCAGATCCCGAGTGGAGCAAAACTTGGTCAAAGTGTCCCAGACAGGCCGTCTTGACATGTTGTCCATGATGCAGGTTCCGCTAATATGTGCGTCTTTCCGTTGAGGTATCAGAACCCTCGGTTCATCGATGTGATTGACCAGGAATTTGACATCGGGAAGACGCCCAGGAAGCCCTGCCATCAGTTTGTCGAATGAGTATCCAATGTGTCTATCATAAGCGCGATAGGGGTGGGTGCAGACAGTCTTGGCCTCGCGACCAGAAAAGGTGCAAAGCCATAAGTCGCTGCCTGGGATGTTCTGCACGAGTCTCATTCTTTCGAGAAATTCTCGACCACTCATATCCAAGAATGGGGCGATGCTTTCGTGTATTAAATCGAAATCGTCAATGATGGGTGACTGATGAGAAGTCGCAAAGTAGAACCAAGCCTCGAAACCGGGTGGCGGCTCCAGGCCATATCGGCGTCGATACTCCTTGTGAGCAGCCGCGTAGGTATTCGACTGACTGTCGATCAAATTTTCAAAGTCTTCTTTGGCGTTGCGTATCAATTGATGGATGGGATGAGCTTGGGGATGCGTCAATAGTGATGGCGGCTGCTCGATTTGTATGGTATACACATTGATGAGGTATGGTACGAGAGACACAAGGCAGAAAGCCCATAATGCTGATTTCGATTTCGCTTGCCTTGGAAGCAATTGAATAATCTGGCCGAGTGACAAGAAGGATGCCACAACGTAAGAGAATGCGCGTAAATCTGTGGGTATTGTGAAGGGATCACGAGCAGACACAATGCTATATGTTATTATGGCTGCGGCAGTGCGCCAAGAAGATTTCCTAGCCTAGATAGCTGGTAAGTCTTAGAACTATAAACAAGTTTCTGGTGAAATACGTACTGTTTGGAATGTGAAGTACCAAGACAAAGCCTTGGTCAAAGCTAACGCGGGGGTATGTGCGGAGCAAGCTGGGTAGCCGAAAGCCAGAGTTTCCAGGCCTAGTGCAACTACCAGCACGAGTGTAACTCGTAGCGATAAAGGGAGTAGTGCATCCTCGAGATCGAAAGGTGGAAGAAATCGATGATACCTCTTGGATATTCTTGGCCTAGGGTCGAGGGCGATATAGGCCACCAGCAAAGCAACAAGCGGGACAAGCGACAGAGCATCTACTGTTCGGATGTTCCAGTCCGATTTGAGGGTCAGAATGGAGAACAAAGCCACCAAGACGCCGCCCCAGACAGTGTTGAATGTGTAAAAGAAGCCTTGGGAACTGGGTGGTGATGCGCCAGGAACATCTGCATCGTGCCAAATAAGGTGATTCTGACAGACAAGCAGTAGTGGCGTCAGTGCCGGAAGGAATGCGACCAGGGAATTTTCAGCAGCGAAGAACCAGTATGCGAAGAAGCATAGAGCAACTACCCATAACGACAGGGTAGATGCAGGTAGTCTCTTCGAGGCGTTCCAGCCTATGACATCGGCCTTCTCCCGTCTGTAATTTCCGCCTTTATTCGCAGCCGCAACCTTGAACACTATAGGTAGTATAATCCAGCACAGCGTCTCGGACAAGGACTGGAGCTTGGGTCGGCGGTCGGAAAGGTGTTGAGTCAAGATGCTGCACAGCAGTGCTGCGCCAGCCGATCTGGTAACATGGTCGCCCTTAATGATCTTGATGTCGTTCCACATGGTCGTCTCCCATATCCGCCGGGTTGGAATTGTTCGCGGAGCTTGGTCTTTGTAAGGTGCACGTGTAGTACTGTCATGTCGTTTTGTGGGAGTGAGCGTCCATGTCTGACGGTTAGAAAAGCAGCGAGTGTTCCGCATCCAATTCGAGATTGACGCGAGGCATAGGGCGCAGCCGGAGTCTGGCTCCTGTGGTCCTTATTGATCCGCACAAGTCTAGCTGTTCATATTAATGTCTGACCCGCAGGCAAAAGGGGAGAGATACACATGGACACCCGCAAATGTTGGCCTTGGTTCATGTAGCAGCCATAATTAATGCGGTCATCAACTAAGGCTAACGGGAGTGTGGCTTCCAAGAGTTCCAAAGGATTTCGTTGCCTTGGTTATGAAAATCTTTCCCCCTTTCCAAGTTCCATTACCTGACACTGCCACACCCAAAAGCGGCCGCGGTGTGCTTATTTGGCGACTTGGCGAAGTGTGAGGCAGAAACACAAAGAGACATGGGCTAATAATTTTATGCTGTTCCACATGTTACCGACCAAGCGAGAGTGGATATGTTATGGGTCTGCCTAGATACTTGGCGTGTCAATCCATGGGTTCGGAATACGGGATGGCCGCTACGAAAATTACATTACACGCAGTTGATTCGTAGCAGTGTCTGTGTGGTGAATTGTAGACTATAATACCGGCTGACCCCTGTGTGGGTCTCGTCCAGAGTCACAAAATTACGCGGGACACGTATACCTATACGTACAAAAGCATTCCATTACTCCGAATGGGGCTGAGCTAGATCCAAACTGTCTATGCCATCCCTTGTAATGTCGATGTCAGCCAATGAGTTTAATTTCCTCTGTGCGACGGCCAAATTCCGACGGCCAGAACTCAATAGATTCATCGTCTGGCAAGTGCACGTGCTTCATTCCGACGAGACCTCAATGGAGGGACATCTTGCAGCCAGAGACCGACCAGTGACACTGACTGTTCGACAGGCTTCTCTCTTGATTATGCCTTACCGGCGCTTCCTCGACGTTCTGTTCTATTAAAACAATTGCGTATCTCTAACTTATCAGCTTGCATATTTTATGTTATGAGACTCTTCATATGCTTCACTTCCTCTTCCACTCTCTCGAGATCCATTGCAAATTCGCCAATAGTTCTAGATTGTCTGAAACCGCTGTACTCGGCATTTTCTGATGTATTCAAGAAATTAAAACTAAAAGAAAAGTAGCGTGTCTGATGTCCATCGCCTCTCGATCAGCTGAAGCGTTCTGTTTTCTGGGAAGTAGTCATAGAGCATTTGAGACTCACAATGATGCGCTGGACATCATTGATCCATTAGAAGGCAATTGTGTTATTGATCATATACTTAAGCACCTCGATCATGAACCTCCAAGAACGGGCGTGTCGCGTTACGAGTTCTCTTCCAGTCATTCGAGTCTAAGACCGCTTGCTTCTGGAGTCCATGTACACAGTTTATCCTTCCCCTCACTTTTCTGAACTATTTACTCCAATTGCAATTTAATTAATCTAACATATCCGAACCCCTCAAGAACCGATTAAGTTCCACCACGGCCTGGTTCGATTTCACCTGGGTCTTCAAGGTGCCTGTGCTGGATAAATATGAAGACAACGTTTGCCCGCACTATCGTCATCATCATCACTTACCCCTGCCCAGACTTCCACCTTCAGCATGGCCGGTCAGTATTACGGGGATGACAATTTGATTAAAATCATAGCCGAATCCTGCCGCTGCAAGGTCATTGAATCTATCGAGACCATAACCAGCACAAGACTGGAACTATCTCGAAACACCATAGAAACTTCCACTTCTACTGCGCCGATGCGCCTGGCTGTCATCTTTCCGCTTACGTGCAGACGAATGATAAGGGGGCATGTGCTCAGAACCGGAGAGGCTAGGTACGTGATAGCATACAAGTTCATGTTGTCAAGGGACACCAATGCAGCTGACACTTGTCCACACGGATGAGTATAGGGAATTAAGCAACACACAGGCATTGATACCAGGCGATCTCATCCTGACCAAATAAAGTCCCAAGACTCGAATCTCTTCACCCCATTCAAGGCTGTGGTGATTAATTTCGTTTCTGGTCATAATCTGGGGTTGCCGCAGTTGCGAAAAGCTGGGGGAGACAGGTTGAGAAGCAAATTCGCTCTGTAGGTGGGTCTGTCCTCATTATGGTGAGCTGATATGCTCTAAGAGGCTTTCATCTCAGCTTTCAAAGTTCTGGGTGCCCTCAAAAACCGCAATTCGAAAGGGCACTTACATAGAAAGTGCTGTGGCCGTCACCCAAATGCCAGGTATCTGGTTTATTGACCAGTTAGCGACAGGCCCAGGTGCCTAGCTTGGAAAAGAAAATCACGAAAACTTAAAAAGCGGTACATGGAACGAGTGAGGCAACCCCAGGTACCTAGCTTCCAGCAGCTAGCTACGAGGTTCAAAGATCTCCTTCGAGTCTACTCGAATTTCATTTGGGACTTGACTTGTACTGCCTGAGCTTTCCACCGCTTTGACAACCACTCAAACTTCGTAGGAGCCTCGTGGCTGTGAGCGAGTCCCTTTCTCACAGCCACGAGGCTCCCAGCCATACCAAGACCTCATCCTCGAATCTGGTCCTTATTTTTCAACCACCTTCACACCCCAAGCTCGCCTTCCGTGTCACGGGATCCTTAAAGCACCGCGTCCTTGTGCACCAGTCGTGCTCACGTCAAGACCTCCTTACGCCATCGATGCCTCGGCATTGCGTCTCAAACTCTTCCTGGGACCACCTCTCGAGTGTCCTCTCCATCTCTGCCTGTCTCTCGTCACCACCTCTTTTCCATCTCTCACCAGCGCATGCTCAAGGTACGTGAAGTCAGCAATGCTGCACCTCGCAAGCATGCCTCTACGGCAGTGCCTCAATTGAACGGTCGTAATGACGCGATGACTATAAGCCGATGTCCTCGATCGACTAATGGACATAATCTCCAGATGCCCGCCTACATTCGTCACCTCCTGGACGAGGACATCTCGGACTACGAGAGCAGATGCCTCGGTACCGAGACGTTGTTCACGGACAGTAAGTTCACTGCCTCTATTTTGCTATCATTGATCACATGCCACACTGTTTGCTCGCCTCCATTGATCTTACAGCATGGCTTTCCACTACAGAAACATGTTGTATTTGACCTACTCCATTACTTTCAATGTCACGATCCGCACGAATGCGTTTTCTGTCCAGGTGCTGCCTACAACAACAGCATCACAAGCACAAACTCATACCTTTCACCCCACCGTGGCAAGCCGGCGATCCACCAGAAAGAAACAATTGCTGACCCTGGATTGCATCAGCAGCACTGAGCACTATCAGTCATCGTACCGGACGCACATTCCCGTTAGAGAACGAGAATGATTGCGGTATTACAAGTCCAGAGGTGAGCTTGATACTCACACATCCGCTTCAGCTTCGGACCATCGCTCACAACAACTCGTTCGATCATAGAACGCACAGCCCTCGAGCGAGGCCGCCTTCACCATGACATCGCCTCGTGCCCCAGAGTTGAGCCAGGGAACTCAGAGGACTGATACCGCCCCCGAAGAGTCGCTGTCTGCCTCTGACGGTGCTCAGACGCACCCGGCTGTTTTCAATCTTCACCTTGGCCCTCGCTCCTACCGGCTACGGCCTCCTGTGGCCGAGCGACCTCATTCAATCTTCGCACCGCTTCCAGAGATCGAGGGTCCTCATGCATACGTGCTCATGCTTGCAGCGACCGAGCTGCCTCTCAGATATGTGTACCTGATCCCTGCGACCGAGGCACACCGTTCAAGGGTGGTACTGCGACCCGTGATCGAGCGACCTCTGTCACCAAACGTCAAGTTCAGGTTGGAGAGGCAAGACATTCACACTGGAGAGACCAAGAGCGTTGGGATTGTGGTGGCAAGGTACAACATCGACACTGGAGAGACCCGGAGCGTGGGGTCCATCAGGCTGGGGCTTCGATACACGTGAAGGTTTGGTGTGAGTGAGCAGGGTTCCCAGGACTTTTTTCGCCTCGGCGCAATGATAGCCCATATTACCTTCCTCTCAAGCAAAAGCCCGAATTTTTGACAGGGTCAGATGATGAAGTGGAGATGGGGCTTCAAAATAAGGCGGACAGGAGAAATTGGTTGGTTCATGATGGACATTTCAGAAGTTGGGTTGGTGTGGGATAGAAGGACGGCCCTGGTCCTTAATCTGAAAACCAATAACGCATTGCAAAATTGCCTCGTGCTTTTAGCAGATGTGATGATTTACGGAGCAGAGTTGCCAGTATCAAGGTAATACGGACCGTTGGACCGCTATGGTTTGGGAGAAGGCCAGTCCTGACGAATATGAGACAAGCTATCCGCGGCTGATTATCTAACATTAAGAAAGACGCCAGACCACGATCCCAATGAAGTCCAAGTCAGGGAGGAGAAGTGCGCAAAATTGATGACCAGGAGGCCACGTAAGCAAGTCTTGACAAACATCATCGGTGTCTTAAGCTCTGCAACACACATCCTTTCCATTAAAACAATGCTATCTCCCCTTCAGCTGGCTGTTGAGACAAGCAAGTCCAATGTCCAGCCCCAGAAACCAGATCAAGCAATCAGATGCAGGGCTTCGCCAGGACGAACCATGAATTCATATCAGGGAAACATTGACAGCCCTGGCGTGAAGCCCATCCCATAGCCGCAGGGCTGTTGCGAGTCCCACAGCGTATTACTGCAAATAAGCTGATCAAAACCTGAACCATTGGGATCTTTTGGTCGTGGTTATCAATGCAACAAAATCTCGCATGCCAGCCTCACATCTGGTAGTGACCCATGTCTCAACCCATCAGCTCGGCTCGAGTGTCACCTGGCCACAGCGTCAAAAGTACGCACGCCTCGCGAGCACAACGCACGTATGGGGAAGGCCAAGAAAACAAAAGGAGATGTTCACATTGTATGGATACAACCGCCCTCCTCACCCAGGCATGATCGACAGTCCCCCAGGCCCAGGCCCAGGGCACGCGCGCGGCCTGCGCGGCGCAGGGCCCAATCGTCCCAGGTGCCTGGATACGAGTAAGGCTGGCCTGGCAAGTTCCGAGGCCAATTGATGATAACCTGGGAGGCCGGACCCCTGGCGTTATCGTGGTGTGTTATGCGCGCGCCCGCTGCGACGGCCTGTGTTTTGCTTCTGGTCAAAACCTGGGCAGACTTCAGGACCCATCGACGAGCGCCCAGCCGCCGACGTGGTAGGACCCCGGACGAGCTTGTTCTTCCGCCTCGATGCACGCATCGGTTGATGGAGGCGAATTCTTGTGTTGCGCGGAAAGTCACCTGAAGAGTAACCCCCCCTTCGCCCGCCCCCAAGCCTTACCTTGCGGCCGCGGCTGCGGTGCGGTAGTGCGTTACGGTATCACCAATCCACCGTCGCCAGTAGAAGCCTGCGATCGGCATGGAAGCCTCACGTCTCACATATGCCAGATGGCATATGGGAGCGAAGTATACCCGACAGCACGGGATAATTATCGAATGCACATAATGGGAGTGCCGACAGCCCAAGCGTTTTCCTAGTCCCGATCCGATCGGCTCCGCAGATCCGTTGGAATAAGGGTCCTGAATCTGGGTTTCGGGAAGAGGCATTATCCTGGACAGGCACGGCAACTAGTTGGCGGGTGGAGGGTGTCTAAGCCAACTTCATCGGGGTGACGGGCAAGAATTGAGGGTCGAAATGCCTCTCCAACCGCGACGATCACTTTTTTGACTTTGGATGGCGCACCTTTTGTGGGGTAAGTCATGGTTTGCTTGGGAGGGAGAGAAGACATTGCGGCGGGGAAAGGTTCTCAGAACTTCATATTCTCCAAGAAAGCATTGGGATAGACATATCGAATTGATCACAGACCCAATCTAACATTGCCTTTCCAGAATCCGGATGCTGCGGCTTCAGACTATGGCTCAAGGCCCAAGTGGTAGATATGCAGTTTTGTACACATTTTCAATAATTCGTTTCCTTTGCTAAATCTGGCGCTGCATGGCTCGGACAGCCACCTCGGGCCGTGCTTGGAGAGCCTGCAAGCAAAAGTGATCTGTGGCACCTGAGCGCTCAGGATCGCTGTTGCGTCTCTCGCTCAAGCAGGGAGGATGAGCTCGGTCTCAACATTGTCGATATGTGGCATATTATGTACCTAAGATTGAAGATCTCCAGGCCAAGAGAGGGGTGGAATGTAGTGAAGTAGGTGTGTGAATGCATCCAGGGCGAAAAGTGAGGCGGACGGGCTTCGCGTTGTGCGGCCAACTAAAATGCACCCACGCAGCAGGGATTAAATCCCATCGAACCTGAGAATTCATGCAAGCAGTTGCGATTAGCTTGCCTGCACGTATTCCATGCGGCAAACCGTCGCAGTCAGCGAGTCCATCGACATGGCCCAGCGGTGAGTGCGGGATGGACCAAGTCCTACTAGCCCCGACCTGCCATGCTACCAAGGCTGCGGCGGCCATAATCTCGCACACACCGGTGCTCAAGCCATAGGCGGCAGACCCGGAGGCATGGACAACATAAATACCTCCAACACCCCCAGATATTTGCAACGATCGACAAGCTCAAAGGCGTCTGCCGATCTTCTCCGAAATTCCCGTGCCAGGTGCTCAGTCCGGATGATGTCGTCCCCGTCCAACATGAACAGATACTGGATCCCCCACAAGGATATTCACAAAAAGGTCATCACCCAGGAGCTTCAGTACTGTAGGTGAACCTCAGAGCCACTTGTAACTCTCTTGCTCCAACTTGGGTCGCGTGGCGAGGCGGTGGTCGAAAGCTCTCTCTCTCTCTCTCTCTCGCCTTATATGTGCCACGCCCCCATAGACCTCGCCCACCGTGGTAATACTAACTGCTATTGTCGAACAGACTTGGGACCTGAAGCAACAGTTCGGCCGTTCACGCGAGACGTACGGTTCCACACCAGCGATTATTCGAGTCCAGAATCTTGCTGACAGCAAGGCCGCTTGCAGGGCGAAGATGGGTTCCTGATCCAAACGCCAGGACCCTGCCTGTCAGATGTGAGCGTCGCCCGGCCTGCGATACAGACGTTGTCCACGCTATTGACCCTGCACTCAGGAGCAAATCGACGACATTTGCATAAAATCGATAGAGATGTGGGAGAGGCAAGCCGCAAGCAGAGCCTCAACCGGCTCTGAAGGCAAGAAGCTCAAGCGGCCACTGCACCAACCAGTGGTGATCTCGAAGGGCAGCTCGAGCCGTCGAAGGCACGAGGACTCGCGGAGAGACTCCAATCGAGATTGTGATGTCCGCCGATGACATCTAGTTTGAAGGTAGGTTGGGCTGCGAGGCAGAGAGGGAGCAGGCGCGTGGTGCATTGTCAGCGCAGACAGAGCCTCGAGGTGGATGGTGCTTGGGCCGCCAGCACAACCGCGACCGGGTGCACGAGAACGGGGCGACTTCTGAATGGGAGTTGACCCAACAACGTCTCGCAGGACCCACCAAGACAGTGCTGCTGATTTCGGAAGCGATTTTTGTTGGGCGGATTGCAGGCGTAGCGGCGCGAATGCATTGCTCTGGTTTTGGTGTGGAGGAATTTTCCGAGCCAGCGACAGCCCGCCATCTGGCACAAATACACCTTGCGTTTCCACTTGAGCTTGCATGAACCATACAGATGAAGGTGTGATATGCAGGAGTACCAGTAAGTAATCAATAGTCACAGAAACTTTGGTCCAACCCGGCTGACCATTGACGTCCCTCGAGCTCATTTGTGCAAATCCACAGCTGTGGTGCAGGGGGTTGTGCCGGCCGCAGGTCTCGTGCAACAATCATTTGTGTCTCGGCGTGTGTAATTTGATGTCCAAGTCCCATGGATTCAACGTTTGGCGTCGAACCTCTCGCTCTCCTGTTGCCTTAGATGGTCAATGGATGGATTGAGGGTAGTTTGTACGCCTCAACTTAATCCATGCCTGGCAGCTAGCTGCATCGAAAGCCGATCGCTCGCCCTTGGTGCGGCACGGGTGTGTGAACTTGTCAAAAGGCTGCGCTGTATCACAGCGATACAGTTCTTGAGGCGCGGTTCATCGAATTGCGTCTCTCGGCAGGCTGCCCAACTCTTTTGTGACTGATGCGTGGAAGAGTGCTCTGAAGACGACATGGCAGTCTATGTTGTGCTGGGCCCTAACGAAATCGTGAGCCATGCCAGCAATGTTCAAGTCATCGCCAGCGTGTACACTCACGGTCACACGTTGAGACTCAATGTCGCTCCAGCCCTGTTCTGGGGCTTCAGCTCCGTGCTTGAATGCGAGGTGGCAATCGAAGGACTGGCTGTCGACTCCAGGTGCTCGACCTACTATTCGTGTAGCCACAAAGAGGTCTGCATCACCTATCAGATAGGCATGCTTGACGCCCAGCCCAGCTGACGGACATGGCTCGCCCGGGCCGCGAGGCCTTTTACCGAGCGCCATGTAATCATCAAAATCAATGCGTGCGTTCCTGCGCGGACTTTCATGTCTTTCTTGATGTTGTTGAACCCATGACCGGCTCACTCCCGGCCGAAATGCCTGCCAGACACATTTCGTATCGGCCAATATCCAAAGAGCCGGCAGACCAGAGCATCAATGCTTGCACATGAACAGCCGAGAGGCCCCTTTTGCGTTTGGTAGACATGTTTACCGATGATGATGGCGGTGAGTTGATGTAGCCTATGACATTAACCCACTCGCCCACCGAGGTCTGCTCTGCTGTGAGCTTCTCGAGCAGCAAGCGAACGTCAACCAATGCCTGGACTTCGGTTGACTTAGGGAACTGGTGCTGCAGCGTAAGCAACCCTGAAGCTGTCGCATATGATGTGACGCTGTGATTTGAATCAGCCGAGGTGGTCTTGAACCAACACTGAGAGCTCTGAGATGGAGCCGGAGAGCATTCGCAAGCACGTGCGCCAAGGCAGGAGGGCTCTGTGAATGTGATCTTGGAGGGGTCGCCAAACATACCATCCGAGGAAGCGTACTTTTGTACCGGCGTCGTGAGTGGGGAGAGAGGACAATAGCGTGAGCTTCGATGGCAAAGGGGCGCTGGACATTTCAACACCCGACGACAGGCGGCAGGCTTCCGGAAGGCTGCAGGCCGAGTTGCAAGTCCATCTCAGGGGTTGATATTGGCAGGACGGTTGAACCGAAGGATACTTTGATTACGGAAAAAAGCAATGCGTGTCGAGCAAGGTCAAGCGAGAAGGTGATGACGAGTCCTGTCACGCTGAAATTCGATATCCCCAATCCCAATGTCTGTCGGAATAGGCTCACATCTCACAGGCAGCAGGGGCAGCAGAGGCAGCAACCGATCGGGCTGGGATGACTAAGCAGATCGCGGCTAAATGCCGGACGCCTGCGGCTGCTTGTTGACTAGCGCCGGTCGTGACAAGGCCAAGCACTGACGAATCGTGCTTGCATCATACCTCGTCCTTTCTTTAGGCTTCTACCCATAACCCTGGCCATCTTGACTGCCTTCGCGAACCGATCGACACTGACGACGACTTCTCCTGTGACGACCCCCTACCCGCGTCTGCTGGACGACATTCCGAATCTATAAGGCTCAGGCTGCGACAAAAGCCCGGCTGCTGCCACGACCCCGCTATCAACGCACGAGTCCTCAGGGTCCAGATCTAGGTCATCTGCCACGTACCTTTCGCCCCGACGCCCTCGATAAGCGACCACGACGCTTGATATCCCCAGGCGCACATCCCACCGAATCTTTCCTCCTTCTGCACAACGATACGTCAGTGAAGCAAAATGTCTGGCTGGGGCCTGGGCTGGTTTGGCGGGGCCTCCGCTCAGAAGCAGAAGAATGCCCCCAAGAACGCCATCCTCGGGCTTCGGTCACAGCTCGACATGCTGCAGAAGCGCGAGAAGCACCTGCAAAACCAGATGGATGAGCAAGATGGCCTGGCCCGGAAATACGTCACCACAAACAACAAGACTGGTGAGGAGACACTCCCTGCACGGGCGGGGCTGCCCGCGTCGTTGCACGTGCTAACCTTGCCCCTCCGGTGGGAACAGCCGCAAAGACCGCACTGAAACGCAAGAAGCAGCACGAACACAGCCTCGAGCAGACTCAAGCGCAGATCGGAACGTTAGAGCAACAAATAAATGCCATCGAGTCGGCCAACATCAACAAGGAGACTCTCCTGGCGATGGAGAAGGCCAGCGAGGCGATGAAGCAAATACATGGCAAGCTCACGCCCGAGAAGGTGGACGAGACAATGTATGCAGTGCCCTCCGCCCGTGTACTCCCTATCACGGACATAAATGGTCTGGCAAGTATGGCTAAACATGATCGCGATCCAGGGACAAGCTACGGGAGCAAAACGCGCTCAGCGAAGAGATCGTCAACGCCATCACGAGCAACCAAATCGGAGAGCCCATCGACGAGGGGGACCTCGAGGCGGAACTGGACGAATTACAGCAGGAGCAGCTGGACGAGCAGATGCTCAAGACTGGAACAGTGCCGGTGTCGGATCAGATCCAGCGGGTCCCCGCCGCACCCCAAGACAGTGAGTCTCACTCTTCGGGCGACAAGACGCCTGTACATGCTGACGAGTCGGAACAGTCAAGGGCAAGACGCCGGTTGCGGCACAGGAGGACGACGAAGAGGAAGAGCTGCGGAAGCTGCAAGCCGAAATGGCCATGTGAGAAGCCCCGGGCGGCATGGACAACAAATACAGCGTCAGCAGGATATAACGAGGGCATGTCAGCGGACTTTTGGCCTGGTAACAGAAGTAGACAAGGAGACTGTCCAGAGCAGACGGGCAAGAAGAACTACTCCGGGGAATCCTTCCGCGACTGGCGTTGGCGTACAGGAGGCTGCATTCGTGATTGCGAGGGAAATAGGGGGACAGAAGGGAGGCAGCCAGCTATACAAATTTCCGAACCATATTGAAAGGCCTACCGTCCTCCTTGCTCCTTCGTGCTTGACAGGCCGGCTGGAAGATTGCGTGTGGAGGACTGCATGAGGAAATACATCCCTGGGACACATGCTAGTGGTAAATATGTCTGCTCAGCCGAGCAGCTGCACAGCTGGGAGGACAGCCCTGGAGGACCCACTACCATAGACTGAAATGTCCGATACGGTAGCAGAGCCCTACAGAGCCACAGCTGGATCTGGCCAACTCGGGCCAACAGCCTTGCCTCTGCTACAGCTACAGCCAAGTAGGCAAGCCGGGCAGCGCACACACACACACTCACATCTAGTCTCAGGATCTTGTTGGGCTGCGTTGCAGCAGCACAGCAGGCGAGGCTGTCAGCAAGCAAATAATATTTACTCAGCCTGACCTTTTAGGCGGACCCATCTGGTTGGGAGTGGATGTCTGCATGCAGACTGTGGACCTGCTTTGATCATGCTTTGTCAATAGTCGATCTCGCAGCGGGCAACGCGTGCCATGTCTGCATGTTTACCTGGCCAAGCTCTCTGGCTCCACGGAATGAATCATCAGGTTGAAAAGCTGAGCACGCACACGGCACATGTCCTGCGCATGGTGAACGCCGTCCTCCAGGAGTCCGTACACATGTATCGGTATCCACATGCAAATGCCTAGGCAGTGGGAGTCACATGAGTAAGGTCATCCGGAAATCAACAGAGCAGCAGAGACAGGCCAAAAGCTTAAACACTTGGTATAGTACATCAGACAGCCACAAGATCCACTGCATGAAGCGGCCGTGGGACGGCAACGTTCATAGGACGTCGAGCTTTGCGTGCTCGGTGTTGTGTGTTAGATGAAATGAAAGACGAGTCGTGATCAATGCAATCCATGTGAGGTGGTTAACCGTGGCAGGGAAGACGCGTCTTCCCAGTCACGGTAGTCTGCCGGCTGGCGGTACTTGATGGATGTACACAAATACCTAGGAACGCTACCGAGTCTAGTTGGGAGCAATGTACCCGCTACTCGGGAGATGCAGTCCGGGAGTGAGGTCGGCAGGAACAAACGGCGTGGCTCCGCTGGTCTGCGGTCACGCCCAACACACAGGCTAGGCTGGGTATATACTAGACTGCACAGGCTAGATAGACAAGGCCACAAACCTTGGTAGCCAAGTGTGTTCGTTCACAAGATCAGCCCTGACAACGCGATGCAACCTCGTCACATTTCATCTGAAATCGAATCTCCGTCAGCATTTGGGACCTTGTTGGAATGTTCGCCAGCTCAGCGTCGGCGTGCCATCCGGGACCGTCAGACCGTCTGAACTGCCAGGGCCGTCTCGTCCGATGTATTGGAACCCATGGGTGCCCAACAAATCTCCCGGAGACCCGCGACCTCGGGAACCAAAATCTGAAGGATGATCCATCGACAAGCAGACCAGGAAGCCAGGTGCGCCAGGACGCTACAGTCCGGCACGCATGAAGAACAACTTTGGAGCAGCTTTCCGAGGCGTGCTTAAAGCTCCAGATATCGCCGGGCACGCGCACAGTAAATTCATGCTCCCGCCCCACACGGTGAACCGATTCACGGCGCCTCACCTTTCGTGCTTGACTGCCGCACCAGCCGCTGCAGTCATCAGGCGTGCAGGTTCGGGTTGCTCAGGCTTTGGCGCCCACCTCTCAGGTCCCTCGCGGGAACATACAGTATATGCACTTGTTAGTACGGATCAGCAAGCGACGGCCCAGCTAGCGAGCCACGTAGCACGCAGGAAAAGTCGAACATCTGCAAACCAACGTACCACTTGCAGCACGGCTGTGTCTTGTCATTGGGCGACGGCAACACCCACGGGCACTTCCTGGTAACCCTGTGCCGTCTCTTGATGCCCGTCGCAGCAGGGCAGTCCCGTGGTTTGGGCTTACCCGTCCAACGCGCCGGCGACTTTCAAGCCATCGCTGGACGAACAGCCTGGCAGCACAGACCCCGGCAGGTTCAGGAACCTTCTCGGGCCCCAAGCCGTCAAAGAGACGTGGCAGCCATGAGGAGGGCGGCTAAGTAGGTAGCACTCAGCATGCCACGTTCTGCTCCAAGGGGCATAGCTCGAGCTCTTTTCTGCGCTACTCAGTGCCTGAGTGCGGGTAGGCGACATGCATCCGCGGCGTGGAGGGCAGAAATGGTATCCCGCGTCGACCGGTGGCCGGCGGCTCCTGTACAGTATACTGTAATCTGGAAAGGTCGACAATACTGTACATGCCACCTCGATATCGGCCTTGCAGATCCAAAGTACACATACCCACGACCCGTCCCATGCACGACTCTGGGTTTGGGGGGACGTGTTGGGCCGCCAGGTGCCCCCCATCCCCCGGACCACTCTGGCTGCGTCGCACGGCGTCGCCTTGCTCGTGTAATCTCATGGTGCCATGCTATGATACAGACCTCTCTTATTTTCCCTCCATGATTCGCACTGCTTGTCTGCCTCGGTTTTCTACTAGATGAGTCTTGACGTGGCGCCAGTGCCAGTCACGACCGCGCATCGGCCAATCGATCCCCGGCAGAATGCCTGTCGTGGGTGTGTCCCAAACTTTCTCCATTGAATCATTTCGTTGGCATTGACAGGCCCTTGGAAGTTTTTCTTAAAAGTGGAAACTGTGGACTTCCACCGCGGGGCATCGCGATTGCACCAGATGGACCCTCTTCCCTTCGCGCCTGCCTTTCAACACACTGTTGCCGGGGACACCCCATCCCACCGACAGACCGTCTCTCTCAATTTTTCAAACAACCTCTCTCCGTTGCCCTTCGGTGACCTTGCAAGCATCTCCCTCCTCCTGGCTCACCGTATTAAAGTCGTTTGATCCGGTGCATATCCCGTCACGCCTTGAGGCTTGCATATACCTCCTGCGCCCGCATATCAAGTTGTGCAGCTTGCCAAAAAACTTTTTTTCCCTTTTGTGCATACACCGTCTACCAGTCGTAAGAGCGTCTGCAGCATTGCTTCTTTTGCCATATACCCAACGATCACATCAGGTCGCCATTTGATCCCCTCGCCTGTGTGCCACGACAGCACACCCTCGTGACCGCGCACCACCCAATCGACTCGCTCGCCTGCCCAAGCTGCTGCCCCACAGGACGCAAGCAACTCCTCGGGCACTGATTGTCTTGACCTGACCTGCATCTGCATCTGCATCTGCAATCCACCTGCAAGACCGGAGGACCAGCATTGTTGCGTCACCTTTATGGCGAACGACATTAAAACCCAGGACCTGTCTTCTCTTGACACTTCCTTCGACCAACAGGCGTCCCAGCCCGCGGTCCAACCAGTATGAGCTTCCCAACTAGCAGTATCGAATTCTGTCCCGTCCGGACAAACATCGACTGGTCCCAAGTCCAGTTCTCGGATTATCCTAATCAAGAAGTGCAGGTAGCGGACTACTCCAAGGTTGAGTACTTTCAACCTTCTGACTCCGATGAGGAGCAGAGTGATGAAGCCGGCCACCACTCCAACGGCCAAAGTAGGTTTTTTTCTCTTCTCTTTCAATTTCCGCCTATTTTTTGAAAAGAAAAAAAATTCAACACGCATGCTTACAACCGCGTAGATGGACACGCTGCTGACGGCGGTAATGTAAGCGGAGGCGATGGCCTCGCCTCTCCCACATCACCTGGCGATGGCACAGCGCCTATCAGCAGCAAGACGGCCAAGAACAAGGCCAAGAAGGCAAAGCAGAAGGCAAAGGAGAAGGCAAAGAAGGCCGCTGCTCTTTCCGGGGAGTCCACCCCGTTGGAGACACCAATGACGCCCTTGTCGCCTGTCTCGCCCACCGGCGAGTTTGGCGAGGGTGACCAGGCGGCTACTCCCAAGAGCAAGAGCAAGAAGAAGAAGAAGAAGTCCAAGTCCAAGAACAGCCTGGATTCTGCCCCTACTTCTCCACCGCCAGAGCTTGCTTCTACCGAGCCGAGCAGCATTCAACAGCCGCAATCCAACGTTCAAGAAACGGAAGCCGCCCCGGAGCCCGTCCAGGAGGCCGTTGCGGAACCCACTTCAGCCTCAGAGCCCGCACCAGCCTCAGAGCCTGCCCCAGCCCCTGAGCCGGTGAAAGACGTGACGGAGGACGCCCCCGCTCCTCCCGCTGAAGCCCCCAAGGCCGTGGAGCCGGAGCAGCTCGATCAGAGCAGCTCGATAGCGGTGGAACCCACCAGTGAACCCAATTTGGACAGCACCGCCCCCAGCGCGTCTGAGCCAGTTCCTGAACAGGCTCAGACCAACGGAGATGGCTCTGGTCCGGTGGAATTGAGCAACGGCACCGCTGGTGCCGAAGAGCTGCAAGAGGCTGTCCCCGAGGCCGCCCCTGTGGCTGGCCCCGAGCCGGCTGCGGACCCGGTCGAGCCCCTGGAGACGAAGGAGGATGCGGCTCAGCCTATTGAGGCGAAGGAGGAGGCCCACGAGCCGAAGGAGGACGCTACAACCTCGAATGTCGTCAGTGACGGCCCATCCTCAACTTCCGCGGAGGAGCCGACCAACAGCGACGGATTGCAGCAGCCCGCTCAAGACTCGTCGAGCCTCGATGTCAGAGACGAGGCCGCTCCGGCTCCTGAGGAGGCTAGCGAGGCCCCCAAGGAGGTCGAGGCTTCCGAGAGCAAAGATGACGCCAGCCCCTTGAGTGACGAACCTAGTCGACCGACCGAGAGCAGCCAAACTGGAGAAGTTCAAGAAGAGGTCGGCCCCTCAACTAGCGAGACCAACGAATCCGCTGAGGAACCCGAGATCGTTCAGAGCCAAGAGTCAAGTGGAATCTCCAGCGACGTGGCGGAACCCCAACAGGTTGCAAATGGTGTTGCAACCAAAGCAGAGGTCCCTGCCGCAGTTGAAGAGGCATCCGCTGCAGTCGAAGAGGCGCCTGCTGCAGTCGAAGAGGCGCCCGCTGCAGTCGAGGCGGCCCCTGCTGCAGTCGAAGAGGTCAAAGAAGCCGATAATCCGGTCTCGGATGTAACGGAGGACATCCAGGAAACACCCGTACCCGAGGAAGAGGTCTCCGCGAAAGAGACCGAGCAGACTGCCGCCCCGACATCATCCGAGGTCACAGAGAAGCCATCTGAGACTCCGGTTGACGTCCAAGAGCAGCCCGTCAACACGGAGAGCGAGCAGGCGGCGCCAATCAGCTCCGGGGAGGCCGAATCTCCGTCGATTGAGCAAACGCCATCGGCGGCCCCTCTCAGCACCGACCAGCCTCAACCCGCGGACAGCGTCACGGAAGACAGCAAGCCGGAAGTCGCCGATACCACTGCGCCAGCGAGTGAGCAGCCGTCCGAGCCTATAGCACACAACGACGACTCTACACCGGCCGAACAGGCTCCCGTGCCCGAATTTGCAGGCCTAGAAACGAAGGAATCCTCCCAAGATGAGGTTGCTGAGTCGCAGCCGCCGAGCAGCGACCAGAAGGATGACAGCTCACCGGCCCAAGTCGAGCGAGCAGTCTCCCCGGCACCTGTCGAGCCTTCAACTATCAGTGAGGAGCCCAAGGAGGACAGTAGCGCTCAAAAGGTCGAGGCAGTTCAAGAAGAGAGTGTCGAGAGCCCAGCACCTGTCTCCGAGGACGCTCAACGGAGCGTTGTTGAAGAAAGTGCCCCAGCGGAAAGCGTTCTCCAGGACGATCAAGTCGCGAAGAGCGTTCCAGCCAGTACGGACTCGCCTGTCGATTCCGAAACGGTTCCAAGCGTTCTGCCGGAAAGCACATCCACTGACGTCGAGCCTACAACGGACATCCACAACTCAGAGGAACCTACTTTGCCTAGCACTGCCGAAAGCGCTCCAGTCGAAGCTGTCATCGAGAGCATTCCCACTGCTCAAGAGTCCACTGCGCCCCCAAGCGAGCCCGCCGCCGTCGCATCCCCGGCTGAGGAGCTCGAAGTGAAGGCCGAGGAAATCGCTGGAGTATCAGAGGCCCCCGCTGTCGATGAAAAGCCGGCTTCCGAACAACCAGCAGTCAGACAGGACTCGCCCGCCATTGATGATACACCCGCCGTTGAGGACACACCCGCCGTTGAGGGCACACCCGCCGTTGAGGATACACCCGCCGTTGAGGACACACCTGCTGTCCATGACTTGACCACGGAGAGCAGCAGTTTGCAGGCTCCTAACGACAGCAGCGTGGGCGGACCTCAAATCGAAGAGGCTAAAGAAGCCGTGGAGGTGGCACCTGCCAGTGTCGAAGAGGCCCCAGTCACCGGAGACAAGGAAGCAGAGACACCGCAAAAAGGAAGCGAAGAGGAGGCTGCGCCCCTACTGGCCGATGCGAGCGCCTCCGAGCCTCAGCCTGAGGCGGAAAAGGCCGCGGACTTGCCCGCTCAGACCGACGACGCAATTGTCGAGAAAGCTGTGGAATCGAGCCCACTAGGCGCCAGCGATGCCCAAGAGATCAGCTCTGAAGCGCCCGTGCCTCAGAGTGAAGTCTTGGAGAAGACGGAGCCCGAGCATACTTCCGTGGACAGCCCCGTGGTTGACAGCTCTTCAGCCCCCATCGAAACTCCCCTTCAGTCAGGAGAGCCTGAGGTCCAGCCTGAGGTCAAGGAAGACGTCAAGGAAGACGTCAAGGACGAGGTCAAGGATGACGTCAAGGACGAGGTCAAGGAAGACGTCAAGGACGAGGTCAAGGATGACGCTCAGCCTGAGGCCCAGCCGGAGGCCCAGCCGGAGGCCCAGCCGGAGGCTCAACCAGAGGCTCAACCAGAGGCTCAACCAGAGGCTCAATCAGAGGCCCAGCCGGAGGCCCAGCCGGAGGTTAAAGAAGAGGCTAAGGACGAAGTCAAGGATGAGGTTCAGCCAGAGGCTCAGCCAGAGGTCCAGCCCGACGTCAAGAATGACATCCAGCCTGAGGCCAAGGATGAGGCCAAGGATGAGCCCGCGGTTGAGGAGGACAAGGTCGAGGTGACTGAGACCGAAACTGCGCAAGGAAACGACGCGGGAAGCAAGCTTGAGGACGCGGTTCCTGCACCAGAGAAGGATGTCGCCGAGGTGAGTTACTGCCTGTTTGTGAAGCTGCTAATTTTTGGCGCAAATGTCTCGTTCTCTTTCAAATTTCTTGCTGCTTATTTGACTTGCTCTACTGGTTTCCATTTGCTTTGCCTTGTTTTGGCCTTCCAAATGTTTCTTCCCATTGGCTTTGGCAGCCTGATACCCAATTGTTGGAGACAGCACTAATCACGCATTGAACAGGCTCCTGCTGAGGTATCTGAGCCGCAGCCTAGCCCGAAAACAGAAGGTGTATCAGAGCCAGAACCTCAACAGGCGGAAGCGGAACTCGACAAGCCAGTAGAGACACCAGCGCCGATCACCGACTCACAGCCCGAGCAGGACGAGCAGCGCGAGATTCCGCGAACAGGCGAAGACCAGCCGCAGCAGCAAATCCCCAGTGACGAGCTCAAGGAGCCTGCCGTGGCTTTGGAGGACGGAACGGCGGACAAAGGTGAGGTCCCCCCAATTGACGATATCCATGATGTGAAGAGCCATGTTGCTTCAAATCTTGTCGACGAAAATCTGCCTGCCGTGGAGGAAATCCAAAGCCGTGATGTTTCAGCCGAGAACACGAACATCCAATCCCAAATCGAGGAGAACATCAACACTGATGTGGGCGCGGAAGCTGTCCCAGTTACGACTGCGGACGACCCGTCTAATGATAATGACTTAATGACGTCAAACGACACTATCAACCCAATACCCATTCAGACGAGCATCGAAACGTCCGTTGTCGAAGCTTCAAGTCCTGTAGAGGACCAACTGGCAACATCAGACGCCACTAGGCAAGCGCTTGAGGACGAAGATCCGAGCAGCAACAGCCACGATGTCCCATCTTCCGAGGTCGTCATCGATTCCGGTATTGCACAAGAGACAGCCGAGGAGGAGGCTCCACGAGAGGCTGTCCTAGATGCTAGCAACAACACCCAGGGTGTGGAGCAGCAAGAGCAACAAGATGCTCCCGTCACTCGGTCTAGCGCTGTTTCTGAGGAGTCCAACGATATCCCGGCTGTCGCAGCTGGCGCTTTGGCAGCTGGCTCGTTGTTGGTCGCCCCTGCGGTGGTGGAAGCTGCCGGCGCTCCTAGCCAAGATGACATCCAGAGCTCTCAGGACAACGTGGTCCGGGATATTTCTGAGGGTATTCCCAGCGAGCCTTCAGCTCACGATCTCCCCCCTCGCTCCCCCTCCCCTACCCCCGATGCTGCTACGACTGTTGAATCCTCCAAGTCTCCATCTGCCGGGTCACAGTACGGCACTATCACATCAGATCAACAAGAACAGCAAGCCGTTCAAAGTAATGAATTGCGCGAGCGTTCTACTGCCAGTGGTGCCGAATCTTCAGCCAAGTCTTCTAAGCAGGACATCGTGGTGAAGGATGAGGTTTTGGCCAAGCCAATCGCTGCATCTACAACACCAGGCAAGCTTACCATCCTTGCGTCCCTGGCCCTCGGTGCGTACGCGGTCTTCAAGCTTGCTAATGGTGCTTGGGGCTCAAGATATCCTTGAGTCGCCTGATGAGCCAGAGCCCGTGAGTGCAGACGACAGTGGCCCGGTCGTCGTGCAGGAGGGCGTAATTTCTGGGCCTGGGGTTGGGGATGAAGATCGGGGAGATCGTGATAGTGAAGTCGTTGTGGAAGATGCTGACGAAAAGGAGATCGCCACAAAATCTGGTCTCGAGGATGTTTCTCAGCCAGTAATCGAAGACTCAAATGACTTCTGCGGGCCGCCGAGTTCACCAATAGTCTTACAACCAGTCGATGAGGATCCCGCCATTTTTTCAAGCGAACAGCAGTTAGACCCGAGCACCGAAACGACACAAATGCCACAAGATGGCGATTCCGAATCTAGTCGAGTTTTGGAGCAACACACCGAACCGCCACCAGTACCGCAAGTCGAGCCTGGCAAACTGGGAGAAGAATCCTCCACAACCCAGTCCGAGAAAGGTCCCGAGGACGACGCGTTGCCTGAACAACTTATTCCCGAAGACAAAACATCCAGCGAACCCCAGCAACAGCGTTCATTGACCCCTGATATCATCGAGAATTCACAGATTGGGTCCAGTGTCGAATCTCCGCCTAGCTCGACTGAGAACCAATTGCCGGAATTCCTTCTCGTTGCACCATCCGTGTCTGATCAAAATCTGAAAGAACCTGAGCAAGTCGACGAGCTTATCGTCGACTCTTTGGGTGCCGAACAGCCCAGCGTCGAAGAGACTAGCGTTGAGCAGCCCAGCATTGAAGAGCCAAGTCCTGGCAGCCCGATACTTGTTCCTTCCACAGCCAACCAGCCTAATCCTGCACTCGGGATAGACTCTCCATCCTCAGAGGACGCTTTGAATGGCCAGGAAGAAAAGGTGGCCGAGCCTGTGCTCGCAGAGTTGCTCAAAGAACAAGAAGATTCTCCCAGTCTGGAACCAAGCACGGTAGACCGGGCAGGACCGGAGAGCCTGGTCCCCCTCGATGAGACAACTTTGGACAAATTCCGCAGCTCAGAAGAACTCAAAGAAAACGATGGTGGCCCTCGCTCCGAACAATTGGACAATGTCGAAAACCTGCAAGTCATAGATAGTGTGAATTCAGAACAAGCAGATGACTCGGAAGGCGTTCAACCTGGACTCAGCCTCGGACAAGACGGCCAAGAGGACACTGTCTCCCACACGCAGCCACTGGAATCGAGTCTTGTCACGGAATCTACTCAATCCTCCGGCGGATCTGTCAATATTACACCCGATCTTCCCCTCGATCAGGTAGAGAACGAACCAGCTGCCCTGTCATCCTCCACTCAGTCCGGTGCTGACCCGAGCAACGACACGGAGCTTACTAAAACATCACCTGTTGATGCGCCAAGCGACACCGTTGATGCACAAAACGACTCCCACCAGGTCGAGAGTGCCCAAGCTGTCGGCGAGATGTCTGGAAGCGACACGATAGACATCTCTGATGAAGTGGACCGAGACTTACTCGGGGGAGAATTGTCACAAAACGAACAGGACGCACCTGGACCCTCGCTGGAATCTTCGGACGTCTTGCCTATAGATGAGCAACCTCCCGCGGTGACAGATCCAGCGGATAGCGGTGAAACTCAAGTCCTGGACGGATTGGAGGCATCGCGTCAAGCAGAAACTGATGACACCAACGATGCCCTGGTCGTTAGCTCCAAAACCAGTCTCGAAGAGTTGCCACCAAGTACTACAGAGGAAGCACCATCCGGCGACTCATCACAACCACAACTTGATACCGCCACCAACGAGGAACTCGCTTTAGACCGAATCGTGGCAGATGATCAAGCCGCAGATGTGGAAGGAACAAGTCCACCAGGCTCTTCCACTCCAAATCTCGAGAGCCCGGAGCCAAGCGCCGATCTGGAGCAAGGCCAAGGCCAGGATGAAGGCCCCCAAGGCATTCAGGAGGTGAAGGACAACGTGGATCAAGCTGTAGCCCACACTGATGACTTTGGTGACAACTCTCAACCGAAAGGTGATCTCGAAACATCATCGGTGCTCGAAGGGGAGCCTGTCGTTCCCAGCCAAGAACAAAGCCAAGACATCTCTGGAGGCATCGAAGCCGACACACAACCTGGTGCATCTTCCCAAGGAATGGTCGATCAGTCCTCAAGCGAGCCTGAGGCTGTCATCGAGCCTGAGGCTGCCATTGAACCTGAGGCTGTGGTCGAACCCGAGGTTGTCGTCGAACCTGAGGCTGCTATTGAATCTGAGGCTTTAGTTGAACCTCAGGCTATGGTCGAACCTGAGGCTATTGTCGAACCTGAGGCTGTCGTTGAATCTGAGGCTGCCGTCGAACCTGAGGCTGTCATCGAACCAGATTTGCACATCTCAAGCAGCGGCCACAACTCTGGACATACTACCCCGAAACAACTTCCAGTTTCGAGCGAAGGCGAGGAATCCTCCCATGATCTCGAAGGCCAGAACGCGCGCAACCCACCAACGGACCAGCGAGGAGATCATGTCGAGCTTGTGAAAGGGCCAGACAGTATCGTTGACCAAGATGGACTACAGCAAGATGAAAATGAAGCTCCTGGACAGTCTGTCCCTGAACCCGCCGTTGAACCTCATGAAGATGAGTTACCCCAGGACCAAATCGTTTCGGAGGATGCTGGGATAGATGGCCACGGTTCCAAAGAGCAAGATTCAACTCAGGAGGTCGCTACACAAGATTCTGTCTCTCAGGACATCGACCAGCCACCTGAAATGCCACTGGAGTCCAGCGTAGACCCGATCATCGACGGAAAACGTTCGACCGAGTCTCTCCCGCATCAACCGGCCGAGCAGACATCCGAGGATGATAACGATATCAAAAATGCCGGGATTGCCGCTGCCACTGCTGCCGTTGCTGGAATCGCTGTTCACGAGCTCGTGTCGAGCAAGGATGATGTCGGAGACGACCAAATAGCTGTTTCTGGGCCCACAGACGACGTCCAACGGCCTCGTACAGCTGACAAAGCTACTGGTACATTGGAAAAATCAGCACCAGATCAGAATGACCTCGAGGTGCGTTCGATCTCATCAGCTGCCCCCGACAGCCCTGAGGAAGTCTCATCGCAACAACCACTGTCTGAGTCATTCACAATCGTCGATCCACCATCGACGAGTGAGCAGGAGCAGGCCATTCTAGACTCGAGCGAAAAACCAGTACTCCTGAGCCGCGTTGATTCATCGACTCAAACTGATGAGCTCTGGCGCCCTAAGACACCTCTGCCTAGGGGTAGCACTCCTGGGATAGTGTTGCCGGACCCCAATGACAAGGAGGTCATTGGCAGGAGCCGAGCTAGGAGTGCCAGGAGAATGAGCAGACAGAGTGTCCAACAGGCAGAAGAGGTTGTCGCTGCCGCAGTCATCATTCGCGCAGCGGCCGACACGCTTGGTGAAACCAGCGATCGGATGGCAGATCACGTCAAGGATTTGAAGCAACATGGAGAAACAACCGCTCCTTCGAATTTGCAGGTTGATGGGAGGGGTACGAGGGTTGCGGATACTAGCATTCCTTATGATTTCATCGCTGACCCAACTACAGGCAAGGAGTCTTCAAAGACAGATGACAGGCTTCCGAGGTCGCCACGCTCAAGAGAACACCGGGCCAGTCACTCTTCGCGATCTAGCCGCCCGAGCACACGTGAAGATGGCACCACGAGGTCCTCGCACCACCGTCACTCTTCTCACAGGCATCGTGCGGACGGTGAGCGGGAGTCTGAGCAGGTTCCGCGCACACCGCCTAGGCATCAAGACACGGGTGAGAGCGCACATGGCAGCCATAGCTCCCGCTCTCGGCGCGAGCGCACACCTCAAGAACAAGCCGAGCATGAGAGGCGAAAGGAGGAGCGCCGGCTCGCACGGGAGAAGGACAAGGCGAAGACGGACTCACCAGTCGCGGAGCCCAAGGGCAAGGAAGTTGAGGCACCGCCGTCGGCCGACCGCTCTCACCGGAGCTCTCGGCGCCACAGCTCCACTCGCCACAGCGTTGCGTCGCCCTCCAACACCGCCCGGACCGAAGCGTCTACTGCTGCGCCAAGCAAGAAGTTCTTCGACATGAAGAACGGCCAGAGCGTGATGGGCTCCAGTTTTGGCGGCCCTCTCACGGCCGATACCGCCTCTACAAGTACCAAAGACAAGGACACCATCTCGTCCTCTCGCCGCTCCAAGGAGGTCACCCGCCCACCACCAGTCGAGCTCAAACGCTCCAGCACCACGCGTTCCAGCAAGGGCGTGCGGCGCTCGCTTGATCAGTCTAACGCGAAGCTCCAGAAGGCTCGCGAGCAGGAGTCCACGAAGGCGGCCAAGGAAAGCAAGCCGCGCAGGGATGACAGCAGCTCTCCTGCCCCGGCGGATGCAAAGAAGGCGAAGGACGACGACAAGCACCGCAAGTCGAGGCTAGAGAAGCGCGAGAAGGAGGACAAGGACGAGAAGAAGAAGAGTTCTGGCGGTCTGAAGGGCATGTTCAAGAGGCTCTTCTCGAATTAAGAGCGGTAACCCCAAAAGGGGGGGATGAGAGCAAGGTGTGGTGGTTTCCAGGGTGGTCAAGTGTGTTTGTTCGTTTCTCAGGGTGTCTTCTGATTCATGATTTCCCATCACGACGGCCTATCTCGAGCGGATGACAAGCAAACTTTTGGCGGATCGTGTACGATTTTGACGACATAACCAGTGTTTGGAAAGATTGAAAGAAAAAGGGGGGCTGCACAAGCTGACTTTAAGGAGGATAGGAGGAATGGAAGTGTATCATCGATCTACTTTGGATTTTACTGAATCTCACGTCTCACTTACGCATCGAGTGCCTGTCAATACGTGCCTGTAGGCTGTCTTCAGCTGCACCCTTGCTCACAGCTTCTCCTGGTGTTTGCCGGAAGCACAATGGGCCGTCATAAAGCTGGGCGAAACCCATGTGCTACCATAGTAGGATGATAAGACTTACATACAGTGTGCACTGCAGACTTGTATTCTTCTGTGCTCGCCGAATTTCATTTTCTTGTAGCTGGATCTGGCACATGGAAAAGAGAAAGGTTTCTGTTTCACCTGCTATGGGCTCACGCATACAGATGACGGCGCACGGTATAACAGTAACTGCCAGCCGCAGCATTAACAAGGTGTGCGAGCTGATTTCTACCGGCTTTGATCAGGCTATCCACATATATCTCGGGCCATGCGTATCTCTGCAGTGTCTGTTCGTGTGGCTTATGGAATGCCAGTAAAAGTCGGGTACATAACGTACAGTTTTAGGACTCAGGTGGCACCCGGATTAGAGGTACGTCTCGTGTTAGAAGCTAGTACTACTAAAGAGCCGAATGAGATTTCTCCTCGGTAGGCTGCGCAGCCAAAACATCAGGCTGGAGATCTTACATATCCGATCGCTTCCTGACGAAGAGACTTCCGCAATCCATATATTGTAGATTGGTAGACTGCCTCTCTAAAGGTATTCATCTAGATTGGGTTTTGAGAAGCCAAACGTTCCAGTTACCAATACTGCTCCTCTTTCTACTTCCGAAAATGATGTATTTTGATATGATTAGGTTTCCTCCTACTCTGAGACACAACTCTGTCTCGGAAGCACTACAATTAATTCGTGCGAAAATACGTGGTAGTATATAGAGGGCTGGACCGGGCAGCCAGTTGGTTGGCCTGTAAGGTCGCACCCCAGGTCTCTGAGCGTAAAAAGATCAACATATCCAGCAGGAAACAGATAGCTAAATTTCCATTGCCCGTGTTCTTGGTTCAGTGTCCGATATCAGCCAAATATTTCGTCTCAGTCGATGCCTCTGAGGCAAGTGTGTCGTGGCATACGCGACAGTTGTAGTGGCCAAATTGTTACATGTGTCCTCTCACGTTATGTCAAGATCTGGATTTTCTACAAAGGGTGAACTTGAGGAGTGCTCATCTTGAACAATCTGTGCCATAGATTCATTTCAGCCCCCACCCGCTATATACAAAACTTGCCATTTTATTTGTTCAGCCGAGGAGCCCTCTCAGGGTCCCTCCAGTAAAGGCACGCCTCGCGCCGGATCTCATCCTTCTCGACCGTTGTCCCGTTAGGCTGGACGAGCAGCTGCAGGGCAGGATCCGAGTCTAGCCCATAGCCGGACGGAGTGTACCGAGGCCACTCCGGCGATCCTGCGTACCTCAGCGAGTTGGGGTCTCCGGTGGCGACGAAGCTCGCCAGGTACGCGTGGTACACGTGGCTGATCTCGGGGTACTGCACGCTGGGCTCGTTCCAGGTGTATTTCGTGTCGGATGTGTGCGGGATGCCCTGCCATGTCGGGTAGGAGTTGTTCGTGTTGAACCTCGCCTTCCAGGTCGGGACGCCCGCGGTTGACACGCGATAGGCCGTCTCCTGGCCTGGGCAGATGTACGCGAAGTCGCTGAAGGCGGCCGAGAGCCTGTTGTACTGGGTACTGTTGGGCGAGTTGGCGTAAGGCGAGGAGGCGACTGAGGATGGGTCCGGGTACAGGGAGTCTAGCAGGGCGATGTCGGTGTCGTTCAGCTCTGGAGAGATGTTGTGCATGAAGTCGAGGAACTCCTGGTTGGTCTCGAGCGTGCCGATGGTGTAGTACTTGCCCTCATCCGTGACGGTGCTGGACAGGATGGGCACCTTGTGGAACGTCCCGTCGTAGCCGGACTGCGAGCCGAATTTCTCCAGGAGCGGGCCGCCCTGGACGGGCTGGAAGGGCCAAGTGATGCTCGGGTCGTACTTGTTGTATAAGTCGGTGCTGATGTTCCGGATCGCGTTGATGTCCGCGGACCTCAGGCAAGCCAGCGAGGCCGCGTTGTCCCCCTCGAGTGGGCATCCCAGGTAGCTCGTGAACTTGTCCATCTGCTCCTGGTAGAGCGGGTAGCTGGCGTTGGGGAATGCCCGAGCTGTCACGGACCCAGACTGATGGTGGACTTGCGAGAAGAGCGGCTTGCCCTCATCCTCGCCGTAGTTGTGGAAAAGATGGATTCCGACGGAGTGACCTCCTGCCGAGCGGCCGCCGATGGTGACGCGGTCCGGGTCGCCACCAAAAGCTGCGATGTGCTTCTGGACGAACTGCAGGAAAAGCTTCTGGTCGCGGAGTCCGAGGTTGAGCAGGCCCTCCTCGTCAAACAGCGTCGACGGGAGGAACCCGAGAGAATTGATGCGGTAGTGAAAGTTGACCACCACTATCGGCGACTCTGACGAGGCGGCGAAAGCAGCGGCATCGAAAGACTTCCAGCTCCCGGCGTAAAATGCTCCTCCGTGTATCCACACCAGTACCGGCAGCTTCTCTGTCGGAGGGATGCTCTGGGGCCGGAACACATTGAAGTTCAGGCATGCCTCATCCTGAGTTGAGACGTCCACGGAAGTAGGGTCCTGGATGCACGCTTTGCCGTACTGCGTCGCGGGCTTCACCCCGTCGAATGCTTCGGGCCAGTCCACGGGGGCAAAGCGGCCCTCGCCAACTGGCTGCGTCGAGTAGTCGATGCCGAGCCATGCGTCGACTGGGGCGGGTAGTGCCTTGCCGCTCAACGTCTGGTTGACGGTGGTTCCGGTGAAGCTTCCGTAGCCCTCGAGCCTCACAGTCCTGTTCGTCAGCAGCGGTTGTTGCAGCGCCACGGCCGAACATGTGCCTGCCAAATATGCCGCAACCCTCATGAGGGTTGCTTTGCTGATAGAGGGCATCGTGGGCAACTACAGTTTCCCGAGGCAGTCAGTCCCAGTCGAGCGAAGAAGGGCTGCTCCAACTAGCCGTCTCGTCTCCTCCAGGCCTAGCCGTGCCGGGCGCACATTTTATATAGTCTAGATACTACCCGGGGATGCAGGTACTGTAGATCTGCGCGTCGGGGCGCGGGACGTTCGTCATTACTCGTTCCTATCACAGCATCCGACGGATTGGAGATAGCACGCACAACACTGGGCGGGCCATCGCCCACGGGGGTGGAGTTCCTCTACGGCCGTGCTCCACTTGGGTCAACAACTTCTGCCGAAGTCTAATCTCCCCAGACTTGGCAACCCAGCGCGGTGTGTTCATGCCTACACATATTGGTTGCGTAAATACGCTATGAGTGCCCCGCCCCGGCCGGCACCAAGTAGTATTGCCTGTCTTTTTGGGCAGTGGATGCCGAGGATGGCTTGCCGGTGATCGGAAGCCCGTTGCCCCTATCCCGGCCCTTGCCATCATAGCCCGCTATGGCATCAATTCCTGATGGGCGGGCCTTCCAGACTTGTACTTGAGATTGACGGAAGGCGGCGGAAGCTGGAAGGATTATTGACATCATGGTTTGTCTGCATCCGAGTTAAATGTTTAATTGTTGTAATAGGTGTGGCAATGTTTCGCCAACGTGAGACGAAATACTTAAGAGAAAGGCTATGAGACTGGACGACTGGCGCGAATAATGAAGCAGTACCAAGCCCAGAAAGCATGAGCGAGAGAATTGATCCCATAATATAGAGGTTCTTGTTTGTCGTCGATGAGTGGCGTCAGGCCGGCCTGAAATGTATGTCTGGGCATTGAATTGAGCAGAGATGATGACGGCGCCTTGGGGATATCGAGGACCGCAAGAGAGATGAGCCTAGCATCTATAGGCCCAAGTTAACCCCCCCCCAACAGAAACCCCTAAACGCGTGCTAAGCATTCATCTTCTATTCAAGGGCACAGGATGCTTATGGCTGTCTTAACTCTTCCGACTTTCCGCCTTGCCGTCTTTCCGTCAAATTTGCCGGACGTGAACTCAACAGTGTGTTCCTAAGTGATGTTCAAATTGGCTTTCGTCACTGCTGCAATGTTACATCACCTGAAACCGCACGGCGCCGCCTCCGTGTAGGAGAGGACTAGATGCCGATGAAGCCATCGCTACGCTATCAGGATAGGCTTGTATCCTGAATTGGAGGGGCAGACAGAAACGCGGAAATGCAAATCACATTCTTAGATTGTGCCAGCTAGGAAGTCCAAAGAGAAAAGTGTGGTTATGCAGGATTATGTCTCCTCTGACATGTCTAGAATCCATCAAAGCCAAGTGAAGGCTAAGGTCAGAATAATGAGGGAGCTGGCACCCTTGCCTGAGCACAATTTTGGACCATAATATGGCCATGTAAGATATAAATCCTAGCGGGCCTCATGAGAACCCTCACTCTCCTAATACTTCTCGACTAAGACTTCGACTGACAGATGTGAAGGACGTATTTCCGAAAAGCTCGCCGACATCTGAGCAACTCACTGCTGTGCTAATCACCTCATAGTAAGGCTTCACATCCCGCGACAATACTCGCTTTTGGAGGAAGTGAGCATAACACGATCCACTCATCGCTTTTGGCCGTCGAGGTAGGCATGATACGGGAAACTGGTTCCATTTCCTGGGCTGACAGCACCTGCTTCCAAGAGGACCACAGCGGAGATCGATCTACTGCATAATCTCTTTGCGCATGTAGTCATCTTCTCCTCGTTACTGCCATTTTTGGGCCAAGTGCTAGGGACTAGATTGCAAAAAAAGGTATAGGTCTACATTAATGGCTTCCATGTTCGTGGGTGGGCGAGAAGATGAGGTCAAGGAGTACAGGGAGGGCAAGCTCTTTCACTCGCGAATAGAAAGCCAAGGTGAAGCCTCGCGGCGGAATACCCGAGGGTCTTTATCTAAAGATAAATCTTTTGAGAACACTCACATGATGTTCCACGTGGTGATATCATTCATACTGTGCTGCATCTGTACAATCGTCGCAATGCTTTCCCGACACCGTGCCAACAGGCCAAAGCCAGTACACGGATGACCTTGGAGTCTGCTCCGATGCTTGCCACAATCCCACCCCGGGTATCTTCTAGCTATAGTTTACAAAGTCTTTGCGGTACTCAGAGTTTCGCTCTTGACCGTCTGCGACCCCGTCGCCGAGGACGCAGTCTTGGACCTCTTGTTCCGCATAGGCTGGTACGCGTCGTTGAAGTTCATGGCGACGCCCAGGAAGCGCATGTCCACGTCGGGCTGGTATGCCAGGTCCCCGAGGAGGAGGCACAGCCTCTTTTGGAAGCCCGTCGCCAGGTGCCTCAGGCGCTCCTGCAGCGCGGGGAGCTCAGAGACGACGGTGCTGCCGAAGGACGCGAAGGGGTCCTCAGTCGGGGTGTCGACCACGGGCGTGTTGGGGTACGAGCCCCTGGTGCTCGTCGCGACGGATGCGGATTTCATGTGTTTCGATGGCGGGAAGGGTGGTTTCCGCGACGTGGCGGCTGTGCGCACGTCCGCCTCCTGTCGTCGAGTAAACTCCGAGACGGACCACGAGTACAGGCCATCCACACATTCCCGATAGGAGAGCATGCTGTCGAGGATGACCTTTAGCTGTGTCATGTAGTCGCTCCTGTCTTCCATCTCCGTCATACCGGGCGCCACGTACTGCTTCCTCTTGGCGCCCAGTAAGCCCTTGTGCGTGATGTTGCTGAGGAATTTGTTGTGCGCCTTGATCAGATCATCAAGCGTGCAGTCGTCTTTCGTGATGCCCTTCTGCAGTTCATCCCAGCTGGATTCAATAACTTCAAAAAGGATATAGTACTGCAGCTGGCCAACGAAATGGATCATCTCGGCGAGCACGCCTCGGGTTGATTTCCACGTCTCGAGTACAGACGCATCGGTAGACTGGAGCACGCCACGTGCCCCAGTCATGCACTTCCGCCAGGTAGACGAGAGCGCGAACTCAACGCGTTTGATCTTCCAGAGGAAATTGAAAACTTTGAGGTACTGTCGGTTGCCAAAATCCGTGATAACCACGTCGATGGGCGCGTCGACTTTGTATTCCAGCGTGAAGCAATCCCAGCCTATGTCGCCATGTGATAGCTGGAGCATACGTGCGTCGAGGCGGCGAAGCACCTCGGACGAGTCGTATTGCGCGTTGGAGCCGCGTATTGCGTGTTCCAACTGCGCTGTGAGGGTGTGTCGGTATTGTGCACCTGCTGGGCGGTCGAGGTTCGCAGCGAGGGATTCCATCAGCAAGGCGATGAAATCGCCTTGGCCGAGAAGGAGGTAGCTTTTGAGCGCCCTCAGATGGTCAAATAGGTGGAATTTGGTAGTCATCAGGTCCATCAGACGCTTCATGGTCGTCTTGTACGCTTCATCAATCCAAGCCTCGAGGGTGGCTGTGTCACCGTATCGAAGCTCCTTGGAGGATGATTTCGAGTAATCGTCCACCCATTGTGCATCGCCACAGCTATGGCGGATGAAGTTGAGAGACTTGCCGATCAGAAAAACTTTCTGGGCGAAGTCGTCGGTTATGATGCTTGGTATCATGCCCTTGCAAACCTCGTACTTGTCGTTCCAAACACTACTTTGGCCGCGAGATTTGAGGTCCAGGCGATCCTCATCATTCGGGTCCTGCTCTTTGACAAAGAACTCTTGATATGGATCTTGTAGCTCTCCGTCATATATCCAGTGTCGAAGGATGTCGTAGAATGGCCGTGTCACAGAGCCGAGTAGTCGCTCCGCAAAAGCAGCAACAATGGGATCTCCATGTGAGGTCGAGAAGCCATGGATGAGTGAGATGAGCTGCCCACCTTTCTTGCTTTTCGATTCCTCGGCAATCAGACTCAAAAGCCGCAGTCCCATCGTCGCCTCTCTGGTCCATACCACGCACCGTTTGAGTGTCACCCCTGCAATGCCTATTCCACTCCTCGGCGCACCCTCGTCCAACGAAGACAAGGCTCGACGTATTTGAGCTTCCAATGTCGCAACCAGGTTCAAGTATGACCTGAGCTCGCCATTGATGGCAGCGCGTAAACTCTGCCCCAGCAGCCCGCCAGCAGGTGATTTCACCCATTCCACAAGTCCTTTGTAGAGCAATGATGGCTCAGCCAAGCTATGCAGCAATGATATTAGAGGTGGCGGCAGTGTGGGAGGCAGCTTTAGTGTGGTCTCTTTGGTGAAGGGCAGCGTAGTTGAGGATAGGCCCTGTAGAGTGAAAGGTAGGTCCCTCAGCAATACTGTCTCGGGAGGGTCCAATTCGACGTGGTTATCTGCAAGTAGCTTGGACTTGAGAGTCACGTCTCTACTGCGGCTCGGCTCCTTGGCCTTGTCCTGATCAAGCTCAGCCGACTCGTCTGGCCCCTTCCTTGCCTCCTCCGAGGGAAACTTCCTCAGACCCTCTGGTTGGAAGGCTTCCTTAAACTGGTCGTCGTCCGTTCTCGAAGCAGATCTTGAGGACTTTTGGGATATCTGGGTCTCGCTGCGACGTAGCGCCTCGACTCTCCTGTTCTCGGCGACCTGTCGTAGGGTATCAAGGGGCAAGGCCTCGTCAGGGTCCGGCGAGTCGGCGAGCTGGTAGAGTAGGTACAGGATTGCCCATTTTTGCTGTAGCACTGGGAGGGTCAAGAGGCGGGTGTACAGGTGCGTGAAGCGAAGGGCAGCGCTTGGGTCGGTCTGGACAAGTTTCTTCTTGATAAGGTCGTGGGCTTGGTTCGCATCGGCGGCAATGGCAGCGGATCGGTTGCTGTCAAAAGCAAGACAAAATGAGTCGACAGAGCCCGGGAAAGAAGAAGCTGGAGCTCGTGTACGGATTAAACATACTTGTCCAAGATCTGATGTGCCAGCTCTATGTGGTCATCGACCGTCTCCTGCACGAACTCGCGGTCCTCCTGCCTATTTGCCTTTGGGATGATGTGCCCTACCAGCTGCTTGATGCCGGCGTCGATGTGTTTCTGGGGATTGCGAGACATGGTCGCATTTTGACTGTAGCAGTCGAGCGAGGGCGCGAGGGGCCGTGTAATTGTTCAGCAAGGGGTTGTGAGGTTTCCGACGTGGGTAGCAGGGTATTGGTATTCTTGGGTGAGGGCGCCGTCGACAGCGAAATCAAGGTGGGATGGATGTTGATGTCAGTATGAGCCCCAACGCGCTTTATTACGCGACTGACCTGACCTGGCCAGCCCTGTAGTGCCAGCCGCAGCCGTGGAGGCAGATCCGATGCGCCTAGCCTCGGCTCCGTGGAGCAGTGTTGCCCAGGTACTGGGCTCCGAAGTGTTTCTCGTTGGGCTCTTGTCGACCCGCGCATGTAGTCTATGTATCTACTGGATGAACCAGCTCTTCCGCTCTCCTACTCTCCTCTACCTACCCTCAGCTCTGCATTATTGCACACAGAACAAGTCCACCATGTAATCCTCTGAACTGCTCCATTAATTTTATATGGTCTTGAGCTGCAGAGGGGAAAATAGACCTGATCTCGAAGCACGTGGAGTGGGTCAGGGGCGCTAGAGCGTATGTGCCTACCCGCCTACGTACCTCGACTTTCCAATCCCCTGGGGGCACTTGGGTGCTGCCACCAGCGCTAGCGAACCGGCGTCCAGAGCGCTGGGCAGGGTTTCTGCTGTGGGCACGTCCGTCTGCGACTTCACTGCCAGGACCGCAACTCAGATCCGACCTCACCCCATCGTCAGCGCCGAAAACCCGCATCGATTCGACGGCCGCATCCCATCGAAATCATCATTTTGAATCGGAAATGAGGATCGCATAGCACCCAGCAGCCGCCTGATGCCCTCATGACCGAGTTTGCCGCGTCGCGGTACGGAGATTTCCTGCACGCGACGTCGCTGGCGAGCCTGTAGGACCGCCCACCGCCCACCGCGCGCAGTTCCGCATCGCATCGCAGTACCAAGTACATACACAATCCACCACCACAGCATCGCCCAAAATGCCCGACATCAACCCCGCCGACCTGTCGTCGCGCCCAGCCGTCAACCTCACCACTCCAACCCTGTCCAACAAGACAATCACCGTCTCGACACCCTCGACCGCCGCAAAGCCCATCAAAACCAGCCAAATAATACCCGCCAGGATCGACCTCGAGCCCATATATGCCGCCCTAAAGTCCGCAATCGGCAATGAGCAATGGGCCATTTACAAAGAGGCCACAACCCAATTCTTCATCGGTCAGCATACGCACACGCACATATTCCCACCCATTGCGCAGCCTGACCATGCCAATGCAATGCTAACTCTTCCCATCGCACAGGCCGCCTCAACCAGGCCGAGTACTCAGAGCGCATCGATCCCATAATATCATCTCAACATGGCGACAAGGAACACCTGCACAACCAGCTCCTGGCTGCCCTATATGCCAATGTCACCCGTGAGATGCCAGACCAGGGCCTGGCACCATGGGTTAGCGCAAATGACAAACCTGCCATCGGCACAGGGACCAAGCCCGTGTCTGGTGATGCTACCGAGCGGCGCCTGAAGGGGCAGGTCATGCAACTGCCAAGCCGTGACCGCCGGCGCATCAAGGATATCCAGCAAAATGATGTGTGTACATATCTCGGCATATTCATTCATGCTGCGTATGGAACTTGTGCAGTGCTGACGCCATATATTGCAGTTCGATCCCTTCGAGTCCCTCGCTGGCATCTTCGCGGAGCACACGATCAAATCAAAGCGGCCCAGGCTGGCTGAAGAAAGTGTGGCCAGCAGCGGCCTGAACATGAGTATGCCGGAGAACCTCACCAGGACAAGTGCACACGCTGACAAGTTGATACTCAGACCGGGAACAAGACATCAAGAAGCGATACCTCAATCCTTTGGGCCTGGAGTCTGGCGAATTTCCCGACGGGAACTATACCGACTCGCGCATGCTACCCTACTGCTACGAGGCCGGTCTCGAGTCCGCTGCGCCCGACGCTGCGCAATTGGTCTCCGCTGCCACCGAGTCGTTCATCAAAGAAGTCCTTACATCCGTATTCAGTCGAACACGCAGCAATGGGCCTGGCGATTCTGGCAGTGCTGGGTTTGGATCAACGTCAAGCTGGATACAGACATACAAATACAAGAGGCAGCTCTCGAGGGAAGAAGATGCGGTCATGCGCGGCGAGGTCGCGCGGGACAAGTGCGGTTTGCTTCCCATCGAGTCCAAAGCGGCGGGCGAGAGAGGCCCTCTTGGCATTGCGGACCTTCATCTTGCACTCGATATCGCGGATTGCGGCATGTCTCAGTTTCCTGTTATGGTCAGGTCGCTGCTCAACGGATACCGTGATGGCGAGCTCGAGAACATGAACGACCACTACTATCTGGATGGCCGAAAACCCGCGACGCCGAACGGCGTGGATAGTGACATTGCCATGGCTGGAACCCGAGAGGACACTAAGCAACAACTCCCCAACGGGGTACCGCATGACGATGCGATGGAGATCGACGACGAGTACTTCTGGGCCGGCGCGAACGAAGAAGATTTGGAAGGTTTGGATGCCGTCCTAGATTCCATCGGGGCCAGTGGTTAGCAGGCCTCTTGTCGTTCAGCGCATCGTGCGACCGATCGATTTCTTCCCAAAGCGAAGCGAAGACCTGGGTGCACTAGAGTGAGCTTTCCATGCAAGGCGCCGGCGTTGAAGACTGGCGCTCCATCTTCATTTTTGTGTTTGGCGTTCATGGACGCATTACAGGGGCGGGGGCAGGAGGTGGAAATTCTCGTATTGGGCTGCAGAGCGCAGCTGTCTGTACGATGCTGTTTGTGTATGACCGGTTTTCTTGGATCATAACGGCGTTCCGGGCAGGGCCAGTGCCCGCGGGTCAATTGGGCGGTGACAAAAAGTTGCTTTTATGGACGATACCCATAGAGCCCTCAAGAAGAGTGGAGAGGCTCACCGAAATAACACCATCGACGTGGGACGGCGGCAGACGCGAGGTTTTCGTGACTGTGGTGAGCTTGGAGACAAGGAGGCGTGTTCATCGGCCAGAGCTGCTCACTGAGCTCGGCATTGCAGTGGTGAAATGCAGTTCACGGACTGTATGTACTCTTTGGCGCGCATCATCATGGTAGAGATTAAGGACTGAATAGCACAGGGAGCATGTCGATAAGTAAAGGATCCAGCCCACGGTGTGGACGCCGAATACTAGGAGCCAGTAGGGGCACACGTCACGGAGAGAGCACAAATCAAACACCAGAGTTTAGACAGTCAATGCAGCAGTAGAAGAGCCATTCCTTATGTGTATACGAGATCATTGCGATATGATATGCATTGCTGACCGCAGCTCGCCTCTTGGCACTGCCTTCTGCTGTGTTGTACCGTCTAAATGAGATATCCTCGTAGTCTATGTAATAAGCGTGCACCTGTCGGACTGTGTTGGTGATCGACAACTGAGGCGTCTGCAGGGATCAAGCTCCCCACTGTGATGGAGCTGCCACCGCCCCTGCCAGACCCCCTGCCATCCCGCTACCCCTGCCACACCCGCTCTAAACACGCGCAGCACTTTCCCGCAAACGCGTCGCGTGTAAGTCTTTCAGTATAACCTGCATCCCCTGCCTTGCACCACACACACAACATCAGTCACCATTCCCAGCACGTATTGACCTGTCTGACATTTTACACCCGAGGGACCGATCAATTGATAGAAGCATGTTCTTTCCATGATTTTAGTACACTTGGGATAGCACTTATTGATCTCATTCTTCCCTCAAGCCACAATGGCTTCCTCGCAGCCAACCTCTCCCGTCCGAAGCCCCTCTCCTGACAGGTTCGAGCTGTCCCCAAACTCCAAGCTGAAGAAACTGCTGGCGGCCGTGGACAGCGACTCAGATGAAGATCATACTCGAGTGCCCACGAAGACGCCTCACTTTGCTCGACGCGCTTCCCCTACAGCCAGCGATCGAAGCAACGACGCGCCCGAACGCGCCTCTAGTGATGAGGATGCCCAGCCGAGAGGTCGGATCGCGTCCCGGATGCAGAGCGGTCGAGACGACGTGAGGGCACGTGTGAGGGATATGCTGCAGAACACAGACGCCAAACAGAGCCGGACAAACTCCGATGATGTCGAGATGGCAGACTCGGTTGCCGCTGGGGCACAGGGAAGCGACAGCGAGGATGATATTGTTCGGCCCCGAGGCCGACTCGCGTCTCGTATGCAAGGCGGCGACAGTTCGACTGACCAAGGCACGAGGCCCGGCCCGGAGGAATCAGCAGCAGAAGCTATCGGCGCGGATCAACCATCCAACGGCCTTCAAGATGCCGAGATGGCAGATGGTGGTGCGGATGATGAGGAGGAGGCAGTCTCCGCAAGGCCAAGGAAGCTCAAGCAAAGACAGAGGAGAAGCAAGACCCCGGAGTCCAACCTCGGGACACCGCAGAAGGAAGCATCACCTGGTCTTTTCGTCACGCCATCCAAGTCGCCAACCTCGGCACAACCATCGAGCCAGGCTGAAGGCTCAGCAAGTGACGGGGATGTTCCAGTCCTCAAGAGCAATCGCTTTCAAGCCCTGGTCGAGAAGAAGCGGAATGAGCGCCTAGCTCGTGAGGCCGAAGAAGCCCGGAAGAGGGAAGCCCGAGCCGCAGCGGCGGAGGAGCTCGGGGACGACAATGACGACGACGTCTCAGACATTTCGGATGATGAAGGCGGCCGCAAACTTACCCAAACACAAAAGGGCAAAAACGCGCCCGTCGCGGCAGGCCAGCAAGAAGGCTCTGGAGGAGATGAACCGCGAGACGCAACGCATGCAGCGCGCAATGCAGCTTGCTCACGAGGCCAAAACCAAGAAGAAGATCACCAAGGCGACACTGTTTGAGCGGTTCAACTTCAACCCTGGCGGGAATGCAACAAAGGAGAAACTGCAGAGCTCCAGCAGACCTCAGACACCTACCTCTGCGAAGAGCACAGACGCAGAGATGCGGGATCCAGAGACACCTCCCAGTTCACCTCCTGCACGAGTCGAGGACGTCCTGGGAAAGGATTTGGTGGGCTTGCAGTCGCAGGCCGGGGTTCCTGTTCCCCAGCCGACCACTGCTAGAATTGAGGAGCAAGCTGAAGAAAACAACGACGACTTCCCGGACCTCATGGACATGCAAGCTTTTGCACGCAAACCTGTTGACAAGGGCAAAGGCAAGGCAGAAACACCAGAACTTGACACGAAACGGACCTCAAAGCGACAAGTTCGAATCAAGCTTCCTCCGATGCAAGCATATCGAGTTGACCTGGGCACTGGGAGCAACCAGGACAGCGACGACGACGATGACTTGGTCATCCTCGACGCAAAGAGGAGCAAGCTCGACGCCTTGTTTAACCGAGCCCCGAATGACAAGAGCAAGGAATCGCGCTCACTTTACGCTCTCCGACAACTCGCACATCTCGACTCCCCAGAGCGCAAGGCACACAGAAAGACTGATAAGGCCGCCATGACTCCTGGCGAACTGCAAGCGTACCTCAACCAGCGAGCCCGCGACCAGGCTAGGCTCGAGAAAGAGAGACGTATGGAAATGCTCAGGGCAAAGGGCGTCCATATCCAGACAGAAGAGGAACGTGAGCGTGACCGGGAGCAGATTGAAGACATGGTCGCCCGCGCGAGACGTGAGGCCGAGGAGATTATGGCCCGCGAGAGAGAAGACGCGAAGAAGGAGAAGCGGGCCTCCGGCAAAGTCGACCCGCTGGCTTGGGATGAAAGTGGCAGCGATGATGACTACGTTGCGGAAGGGGAGAACGAGAGCACTGCCGAAGTGGAATTGTCAGGGTCAGAAGAGGAGGAAGACGACGACGCGATGGTCCTGGGAGACGATGCCGTCGACCAAGACGACGACGAGGCCGGAGAACAAGAACGTCTCAACCAGGGATCTGCTGCTCGGCCTTTCGTGGACGAAGATGCAGAAGACGACAGTGCAAGTGAGGCTTCGTCAAGCGGTCTTTCCTTCGTCGACCCGGACGAGGAGGAAGAGAGGCACCGGTGGGGAGCATCTGACGAAGAAGCGGACGAAGCTCCAGCGTTCGTTCAAGCTCGCCGCCCGAAGAAACCTACTGCCATTGTTCCCGACGACGAAGCGGATGAGGATCAAGCACGCGCTTTTGTTCAAGCTCGCCGCCGGAAGAGACCTACCGCAATCATTTCCGACGACGAAGATGGCTTAGACGTCGAGGCAACACCGAGGCCCAAGGCTCACCCAGCTACCTTGACACCTGCGCCCAAACCGAAGGCTGTCGAGTTCACTCCGGCTCCGAATAGCGCCTCCCCCGAGGTACCACAGTCAGTACTGAGGTCGGCCAATAAAACCTTCATTCCCGGGCTGCCTGTGAATGCCGGAGGTCCTGCTGGTCTCGGGCTGACGCAGATATTTGCGGGCACTATGGACAGTCAGGCAATGCCATTCGAGGGGTCTCCATCGCAGCCTATGCCCACGTTCGACAATTTCCCCGACTCGCAATTCTCTCAGAAGGCCAATGATTCAGCGGACGGCATGGTACTTGACAGCCAGCCGGTTCCAGCCACTCAGCAGAACGAGACGCAGGCGGGCGATAACGAGTCGCAGATCCAGTTCAACTTCTCACAATCTCAAACGCACGGCCTCGGCAGCCTCTTGAGGGATGATATCATGACCCAGGCTTCTGATCAGATGAACCCTACCCAAGATGATGGTTTCCAAGACTGGACGCCCCTCAAAGAGAGATTTGTAGAGCCACCATCGGCGACCGCGGACACTGTCGTGCGGGACCCGAGCGAGGCTGTGGATCTTTCCCACCAATCTCCCCTTGTGCAGAAGCGAGGCCGACTCTGTAGGAAGGCGGCCGTTGCCTCGGACGAGGAGGAGGAGGTTGACGGGGCTGATTCCACCACCAAACCTAGTGCCTTCAACATCCTGCAAGATGCTGCCGCCAAGGAAAAGAAGCGGAAGGAAAGGGAGGACTTCATCAAAAAGAAGAGCAAGGCCAAGGAGATGGTTGAAGAGCAGGCCGAGGAGTCGGAAGACGAGTATGCCGGGCTGGGTGGCGTAGATGGCGAGGACAGCGACGATGACGATGCTGCGTCTGTCCATGAAATGATTGACGACAAAACTCAGAATAATCAGGCTGACGGCCTTGAGCTAGCTAAGTTCTATGCGTAAGTCAAACGCTCAATGCAGATGGAGATTTGGGACAGGACTGACAAGAATTTAGTGACCGCGCCCGAGCCGACGATGAGAAACAAGTCGACAAGCTGTTCAAGGACATCACGACGGGCATGCTTCGCCGCAAGCGCGGCGCAGGAGAATTCGACCTTGATGACGAGGACGATGGCGGTGAGGCCCGTCGGCGCATGAAGAGACGCCAATTCGCCAAGATGCAGAAGGCCCTTTTTGCGGACGAGCGGATCTCCAAAGTTGCTGAAAACCCGCGTAATCAGGCTTTCATGCGCACCATCGAAGACATTGGTAGCGACGAGGAGATGGACTTTCTTTATGAGCCAGCTCCCGGTGACAACAAAGACAGCCAAGAGGGCTCACAGGATAATCAAGCACAAAGCGCTGCCTCTGTTGTGCCAGATAGTCAGCCAAAAGCTGCCGGTACTATGAGCGCCCCTCCCAAGAGGGCGCCGGCGGCCGAGAGGCGCACCAAGACTGGCAAGAAACCCTCCGATATTGGCGAGATCCGCGAGACCTTGTCCAATCTCCTGGACGAGCCAAGCGGGAACTCCATCATCTCAGCCACCGACTTTGGGTCCGACAGCGAGGAGGAAGGCGACGACGAGGACGACGGCGGGTCCTCCAACAAGGAGAATGCGAACCCGCGGCGTTCGCGCGCCCGGCACGCAGGCCAGGTGGTCGACCGCATCACCCTCAAGCGGCAGGGCTCCTCCAACGTGTCCACCGCGTCCAACGGCGGGCGCCTGGCCTTCGCAGCGCCCAACTCCAGCAGCGCGGGCTTCAAGGTGCCGGCACTGCTGCGCCGAGCCACGACTAACTCCCTGATTTCCACGGGCTCCTCCAGCGCGTCCGGGAAGGGCGGTGCCGCTGGGGCCGGCAGCGCGGGCGGGTTCGGCGAGGACGCCAAGATCAAGACCAAGGCCGGCAAGAAAAGCGGGATCAGCTACCTCGCGCGGGAGAACGACCGGCGCAAGGCGGTCGACGAGGCCGAGAAGCGCAGGGAGCAGAGGAAGTTCCGCGCCGTGGAGGGGCGGAGCAAGGTTGTTGGTGGGCTCTTTAGGGCTGGCAAGTTTGAGTAGGGCTGTGTGGCTGTGTCATGGATCTAGATAATGGATTCCGAATGGTTATGAGAACCGTGTTCCTCTCTTTTGAGCAGTATGTTGGACAGGATGCGGTTTCCTGGTTGAGTTTGGCGTTTGTTAGCGAGTGTATTAGCATGGCATAATGGCATTTCAAGGTTGTTTGATGCTTGTAGGGCTGTTTTGAGCATTGCGTCCAAGAATTAATACCTAGGTAGTCTGGAAAGATACAGTCTTCAAACATCACTACGACCCCCAGATTGACTATCTTTCACATATTCACTGCCATCTGTTGTTTCCGTAAGCATCGCTTGCCCATTGAACTGCCTACCTTGGTACCCAGGATGTTGACCAAGTATGAAGGCGCCAGGTCTTGCATGAGATGTGAGGACTCAGACAAAATTTGATAATTCCTGCTTCAATACCACATGGGACTGGACCCGCATAGCTGAACAAATACATGATTTTTAAGTTCTATTCACACATCTCTCCCACTTCTAACTTCGAAATCCTCTCTGACTGATCACGGCAGTTGACTTCTGCACAACCGCACTAAATATGCTAATCTCTGCCTTCCTCAATTCTCAATGTAGGTTGCTGCTGGAGAGGCCGCAATTCCATTTGTTCATCTTGCCTCACAGATGTACTAGAATTTTCAAAGTAATCATGCGTAGAGAATCCAGGACTTGGGGCCAGTGAATAGGCAACAGGTCGGTAGGTCTTGTACGAGTCCAGGCAGGTGTGTTTATGCATAGTGTTTGAGGAATCCTGCTTCAAGTTGTTTTGTCTCAGGGATCCTGAAATTTATACCTCAGAAACCCAGCCCAGCCCTGCCAATCATCTGCAATGTCATCCCAAATTTAATGCTGGATCTTACATTTTGGAAGGACAAATTGACTATGTAATAATTCCCTTGGGTCGCCTCGGACTTTTGAATGATGATAGCCCTGGTGTTTTATGAGAGTTGTGGTCTGAGTAACACCATTAAAAGTCCTTATTTTGTATTAGTGGCTATCACGCTATTATCCTCTTGGCCAGAAGCATACAAGTTCTCCTATTGCCCAAATATCATCACAACACACACTTATCTACTACTGTTCAAGACGTAGCCATGTGCGCCCCTCCGTTGACGTGGAATGTTTGACCGGTCATCCACTGCGACTCGGGAGATGCCAGCAGTGCCACGACGCCAGCAATATCGTCCGGAAACCCTGGCCGTCCCATCGGACTCATGCCGCTTACTTTCGCGTCAATTTCCTCCGCGGTCAGATGCTCTCCCCCAGGGAAGTAATCCTTCGCAGCCTCGGTATACATGTCCGACTTGATGCCTCCGGGCGCAATGCAATTAACGGTGATCTTGCGAGACCCAAAGTCAAGCGCAAGACACTTGACCATGCCAGTGATAGCTGCCTTCGAAGCCGAGTACAGCGCGTGACGCGGGACACCCTGAATGATATCAGTAAGTCACTTCAGACTAGCCGCACTTGATGCTCACCCAAACCGCAGAGATCGACGAGATCAGTATCAAGCGCCCTCCCTCTTTCAAGTACTTGTGAGCCTCCTGGGCCACGAAGAACTGGGCCTTGACATTGACAGCCAAGACTCTGTCAATCTCCTCTTCCTTGACATCTTCAAGGTTCCCAAAGTGCTCAATGCCGGAGTTGCTCATGACAATGTCAATATGTCCAAGCTCGGACACCGCTTGCCGGAACAGGTTGGCGATTTCTTCGCGCTTGCTAACATCGGCTCGGATGCAGATTGCTCTCACACCTTGCTTGCGTGCGGCCGCCGCGACATCTTCGGCCGGACCTTGCGAAGAGACATAATTGACCACGACGTCAGCTCCGAAAGCTGCAAGCTTAAGTGCGATGGCTGCTCCGATGCCACGGCTTGAACCAGTGACTGTGTGGATGTTAAGATGTGTTTTCTGGGAATAACCAGGTAAGAAGATAGAACTTACCAACGGCGACTTTGCCAAGCAGTGGTTGATATTGACTCATTACGATGATGCTTCCTTGTTCTTCGGGTTTCAAAGTTTAACTTATTCGTCGCTGATGTCAAGAATGATAATGTTGACGACGCATTGAAATTGTTCCTTGGCATCAAGGGGAAATATACATATCTTGCGTGTATGTGTGTCTGTTCAATGCGTGTGCACAGGTTGGTAATCCGCAATTAACTTGGGGCAGGGAGCGGACGCGAGTGCGCGGGCGCGAGGGCGCGAGGGCGCGAATGCCGATTGGCATCGTTACGCGGCATTCATCTGGCCGCCCTTCCGATGATATTAGCGTTTGACTTAGTCCGCAAATTCTACCCAGTATTCCCTTGAACAACGTTTCGAGGTTCATCGTTCAGCCAATTGTCGGCTCTTGGGGAAGCGTTCCAGCCACTCACGAGCGCAGGTTTACATCAAGCTTCTACATCACTTGTTGCTGCTGAGTGATAGCCCGTCGCATCTATGCTAGGGTAGTCCTCATGGCTTCGAAGTCTATGATGCAACTAAAAGGTGCCCATTGGCCGGGAGGAAGGTTATGGGCGAACACCGATAAGCAGCCTGTGACCAGCTGAAAACACCCACTAGCTAGTAGAATGATGACATGCGAATGGCGAGAACTGAGACCAGCGCATATGTTTGCTGGGTCATCTAAGTGCTTGGGTCATCTTTACCTGTGGCATCATGTATACCTTGAATTTGAGCATAAGCTGTCAATCCAGTGGGGACCAGTAAAGTAGAGAAACAGAGGCGTGGAGTTATAAGCGTTGTCTCACTCAAACTTGCGCGGCTGTGTGCCAATGGTGCCCTCTGCAGCTCTGCTCTGGACTCTAGGAACAGTGACATGAACTCGCATATTTCCTGACTTGAATAATGCTCTTAGGTGTGGTGAGGCCTGTGGGCTCCCTCGCTGCCTACTCCTGAGTCCTGCTCAAATTTCTCTCCAGAAAAGTGTCATTCTTTCATGGAGGTGTTGGCCAGACTTGGATTCACTACTCAACGTAGAGATGTTCTTTGAGTGTGCTAAGCTCTTTGTGCGAAGAATTAGCACCTTTGACAAAGTTCCTTTTAGAAACCACCCGGCTTCAAATTTTGCCGGTTAGGCCTATTGCGATACTACATCCGAAAGGACATAATTATAACAATTATACAATGCTAACAAGCAGATGTGTGCTGGGCCGTGTGTAGGTATCAGCCCTTTCACAGCCTGTCAAAGTACTATTGTCTTCAGCGGCTGAACAACACGGCCGGATTACAAAGGTATTCAACAAATCTACTGATCTCGCTGCAGGAAAACCAATGTCCATCAACAAAGCCAATGACTGCTTGTAGATCAATTCGGCTATCTCAATTGAGTGAATATATTGTCAATAACTCTTCTTTAATTACCACATTGTCTGTGGGCTCAGTATGGCTTAACATTAGTTTTACACTTCTGCTTTGTTTACCATTCTGAGTTAAAGTCTCACTATCATCCCACCCAACAACCCACCATAGCCTATCATTAAGGTATTGTCTGCGTAAGTGTTGGCTATGATCCTGGAACGTCCAGACTTACTTGACGGACCATAGCCTATCATTAATGCATTGTATGTGTAATTATTGGCTATAGTCCTCTCACGGCAGACTCAAGTGAGCATGAGTTCCTACACAACGTTGTTGTGCCTATGTTGTAAGCCATTATACTCCTCTACAAGGCCATTGTACCTATTGTGTAATCCATTATGCTTCCTTGTAACCGTTGAAAGCAGGGCTATTCTATTGGCCTCAGCACCACAAGGTGACAATGGCATTGAATTATGGCTACCATGTATATATAAATCTAGACTAAAATCACAGTCATTGCCATTTCCGATCTTCCTCACCACCCTGGTACACAAGACCGGATATATATACACCTGCTCTGACCGCTACAATGTGCTACACGACGACGGTAACATACGACCTTTGCGGCCACTCCAAACGCGAGCCTCGCCAAAACGCCAGGTGCGCGGTCGGGATCATCTATCCTTCCACGCAATTTCATTGGCGCGAACCCGAAGGAATCGTTCACCGCGATGGCATGTGTGTGCTCTGCCAAACTCGTCTCCGCAGGTATGGCTGTTTGAGTCCTAACCAGCTTGACCAGCTGAGTCAAGCCACGGGCTCTATACCATCCTCAGCTGCAGGTTCAGCTCGTCCCAGCCTCAGCGATTCCGTTTAATCCAGGTAATTCAGACCAACGTGAAGTTGTCGGCTAATTCCGACGGCCGTGGGCGTTAATAAAGAAGCAAGAATCATAGAACGCCAGCAACAAGAGAGATTCCATTTGGATGAAAGACAGACAGACTGACTTTATTTCTTAGCAATACTAACCCCATATCTTATAGCGTACTAACTATATAGCACCAATCTCTACCAGCACTTGTGTCTCAACAATACTAACCATGTAGCATCCAATCAGTCCATCAGTCCAAGTCGATATCGTCTTTGGAGTTTCCAATTATTTCGAGTAGCCATACGAGAGTTCATTAAAGAAGATCGAACCATCCAACTGACTATACAGGGAGAATGCCCGTAAGCTTGAAATTAACCTCAGGTAATAAGCAATTTAACGACTTGTTCGAAAGAGCCCGTGCTAAGAATTGGGGGAACGACCACAAAAAACCTGAGATCGACATACCTCCCCACATACCCAACCTGTACAGTAAAATCAGCGCTGGTGGTGACAGAACAAGACTTCAAGCGATTACCACGGCCCGCGAAATACCGTAGAGCAGCAGAAGATAAGGAACATCAGCAACAAATGGCTGAAAAAAAAGCCCTTCCATTCATGCGGTGTTACTCAACAACATAATTCAGTTAACTTAAATAAACAATATATACTACTTCAGAGAATAATTATGTACACTTCCAGCAAGCTATAGATCCCACAATTGCTTGATATTCAATAATAATAACTAGCCTTCCGTCCTGAGTTGCATTCTTTCCATCCCGGCTTTTCTTTATATATTATTTGTATTCTTTGGGTTCCTCCACTGAGCGCAATGACAGTGATTGTCCTAATGGGATAGGAGGCCTAGCATTTCATAGGCAATTCCCGTCATTTGCGTTATGCAAGGCTTAAGACAATGATTAACTACGGCATTTCTTTATCCTTTTCATCTGAGTGACTGTTTAGTTGATTAGTATCTTCGGAGCCATACGCTTTGTATTCGGCATATTATGATACTTATGAATTCAACTGTAGAGCGTTATGTGTATTGCCAAGGTGCATTTAGCATGGACAATGGCAGATGGACCTGGTTTTGATACAATAGATCATCTTATATTTGATGCTGGGCAACAATGACCTCTATACGTTCTCCGGAAGGAGCAGTCATCTCGAAGCTGCTAAGTCCATTTACGATACGGAAGTGCGCTGAAGCAGAGTATCATCCACGTCGACGGACGCAAAAAAGTCGAGCCAGTCGATATTACAAGGGTAATCTTCGCCTGTGAGCCCAGTGATTTGGGCAGAGTCTCCGCGACTGGCTTGTTGTCCAATGTCGGACCCTCTTCCTTCGACGGTGATACAATTGTCGGTTGGTCTGTCGGGCTCATCGTGTCTCGTGGTCAGCGGGCTGAAAACCGCATGAGCAATCGGCTGAAACCGGAGCATTGCATCCTGGGCCAGCGGCCAGGTCCCTCCCAGGAATTTCAGCGCGCTCAGCATCAACACAACTCTTTGGCGGCACTGCTGTGTCTGCTTTGGGCTGATTGTACCGGAGCGGCTTGAGGCGACGGCAAGTTGCACGGCGCACCCCAGGACAAAGCCGCACAGGAGCAACGGCGTGTGACTTTCCTGGAGCCATGGGATCGTCGCAAGGTTGCAGATCCCTTTCGAGGCCGCGACCGACTTGATGATGTGCAGGCCACATGTCTCTGTTCCTTGGTTGCCGCCTCCCAGGCACGTCACGTCCATGGCGCGAGGTGCGGATAGGGGCAGGTTGGTGCGCGGGACATGCAGGAAAAGGGTTGCGACTTGTACGAGGAGATGGGCCTGCAGCAGCATGTGGTCGACTTCTCCGCTCGTGTCGCAGGATGCCTTGGGCGAGTCGAGGTTCCAAGTGGCTATGGCTTGGTCTCCAGCCTCCAGCTCGTCGGGGTCCAAGTCACCGCCCATGAGGAGAGGGCACACACGGCGGATGATGACGGCGGCGTGTATGCGGTAGGAATATGATGAGAACTGGGGCGGCGTCTGCATAAACACAACAGGCTGCCGGACCAGCGCGGAGCAGGAATACGCTACATTCGAGGCCTCTGGTACAATACATTTACACGGTGGGTCATACCACGTCGTAATCAAGAATATATCACATCCAGTCTCGTCCCGGAGAATCTCAACGAAAAGTATAGGTCACCTGATCGTATTGTTGGTATTAAGTTCCTACACAAAAACCGTCGACTTTCAGACCGTCACCATACCACCACCAGACTACCAGATTCTTAACTGAGATATTCAGTCTACCCTTCAGGCAATGTCTTCCCAGACTTGAGTCAGCAGACTTTTACATAGATTGATTCCTTCTTGAAAGGCGAACGCAGCTCTTAATCGGCCCTAGTAAATTCCCAAGACTCATAATGCGCCGACATGTTCAGCTTAGATCTTGTGCATCCAGAACCAACAGCGTGGATGGTCGGAATTTCAATAACGCGACATCTCTTCCCAGCTTTGCTAACATCTTCCCTTTCCCATAACTTGGAATCCTGCACTACTGGGAGTAATGCAGAGTTTCAAGCCATCTTAGCTAAGATATGGCGGCATCCATGGTGGAGCTGGCAGCCGATGCTGTATTCGATATTCCAGAGTAATCTCCGTAGTTCAAAAGAAACGCAATGCAGCTCACATATTACGTTCCAGGCCTAAGCCGATCGACTTTCAGAGCACGCGTTGCGAGATCGGTTGTATAAAGACGAGTTCAACTCGTTGGTGACGCTCTTACTGCTTTCTGAACTAGAGCATTCCCAGCTTACCAGACACGTCTCAAAACGGCTTTGCCAGGGTTCTTGAACCCCTTCATGAACCATGCCGTATGTACATCCATGAGAGACGCTTCAACTATCGGGATGCTGACTGCCGTCTTCTTGTAGGAAGTCCGACGTCACCCAGGAAACTGCTCCTTACTTCAACCTTGGTCTACATCGGTGGCCGTTGAGCACATCCTCAGCAGATTGTCAGACATGGCTTGATCGCGGATTACTGTGGGCGTACTCTTTCAATCATGAAGAGTCCCTACGTTGCTACGAGCGCGCTGCGGCATGTGACCCATCGTGCGCCATGGCATTCTGGGGGATAGCGTTCGCGTCCGGGCCAAACTACAACAAGGCGTGGAGAGGAGATCACCAAGCTCCAACTCCCGGAGGACCGCGACCTCTACAGCGCCACGACCGCGACGATCCTCTACGCCCAGGGCGTCGCGTTCAGCGCGCTGGGCCGGGTCCCGGAAGCCGAGGCCGCCCAGAAACAATTCGAGGCAGCAGGCGCGAGGGTCCCCGACAGTCGCCTGAACAGTATCCCCTGTAAGCAGGCAGACGTCTTCGGCGTTGCCTCTGCCATGCTCGGTGGCGAGCTGGAGTACCGCAAGGGGAACTTCGAGGTTGCCTTCTCGCTCCTCAGGGAGGCTGTCCAGCGCGAGGATGCCTTGGCGTACTCTGACCCGCCACCGTGGATGCAGCCTGTCCGCCATGCCCTAGGAGGCTTGCTGCTCGAACAGGGCCGCGTTGGCGAGGCGGAGCGGGTGTTCAAGGAGGATCTGGGGTTTGCAGCGGACTTCCCGCGCCGTCGGGCGCATCCCAACAATGTTTGGGCATTGCATAGATTGCATGAGTGCCTTGTGAGATCCGGTAAGGCCGATGAGGCGTTGTACGTCCAGGGGCCACTTGACATCGCTTTGGCATCGGCTGATGTCTCGATCACTGTTTCATGCTTTTGTCGCGTGAACAAGGAACTGAAGAAGAACGGGTGCTGTACCTAAGGAAAGAAGCAATGTACTGTCTCCCCGCCTAGCTAGCTCCACAACAACTTCGCGAGTAACAAAGGCTTGTCAAACTATTGGTCATGCATAGTATCTCGTAAGATGGTGGGTCTTGAAGGAACCAGATTCTCTTCCCACTTGAAAGGTATCCAGACTCAACCACTGTTCTACTGGGGAGTCCTGTTCAAAGAGGCTGCCTAGGTGTCCAAACGAATTCCTGAAGTCCCCTATGATGAGAGCACTAAATCTATGAACACTCTCAATGAGTTGAATTCCGTCTGCAGTATTTGAACACCCCTCTTTCAATCCATATGAACCTTTCCAGGGTACTGATTAACTTGGAGGGTGAGAATTGAGACACGATTTCTTTCTGTCATGGATTCGTAGGTGAAACGCCTGGAGTGGGGAGGCTCCCGAAATTGAAAATATGAGGTCCCTGGGTATGGATTTCGACGATCTTTTAAGGGCGGATATTGTCCGGCTCAGGTAGTTGTATAACCAAGAAGATCATTTCAGAGATAGAATCCGGTCTAAAACGGCAGTGCCATTCCCTCGCTCTGGATACGTTTCCAAGAGGATATCTGAAAGAGTATGATCATTGTCATACCTAGGCAGGTCTTGCTGTCTGTTTACTTGGGCCTCAGGAATACGGCACACAATGGAATTGGACTAAATTACAAGAACCAATAAGCCTCGAGTATTAGGCAACGTTCTGCTTCGACCTTTGATTTGGACTTACTGCGAGCAAATCCAGAGCACATATAACCCGTCGTTGCCAGTCCTATCTTTGGCTTCCACGAGGGCATCAGCTAATCCCAGACCTCAACTGTACGATCTGGACACTGAACACCTCAGCGACCTCGATTCTGCTGCCCTCATACTGTCGAAAAAGATGTGTGTCAACGTTCAGCCAATATGCAATGCCTGCAGTACCAATGCCAAGGAAGTTGAGCTCCACGAATGCATTTTCCGCGACTGTCAATACCCCGAGGAATGCACACGGTTCCTGAGCCGCCGCGAGCTTCTCGAATGGGATTGCGATACCCCGGGTTGCGGTCTTAACATGGAGAGCATCGACGATAGGCTCGCTGAGATTGATCGAATGCTTCGTATGGAAATAGACCTGCCTCTCAGGCCAGCCGAAGGCGACTCCCTCGGATCCCATGACGACAATCACGACGGACAGGCCAGTCCAAACTTTCATGGTTTCGACGGGGATGGCACTTCACTCGCACGCGACGAAACAAGAAGCGCCACTGGAGTCAACATCACGCCCTACGACGATCACACCCCCAACGACAGCGTTGTTGCCAACGGAAATGTCTCTGCCAACGACCATGTTGCTGCCAACGATAGTTCTGCGACCAATGAAAATGCTGTCGCCAACGAAAGCGTCGAAACCGTGTTTGATCCGGATTCTGTCGACCTGGATACATTTCCCAGGTGCAGGCACTGCTTCTTGTGCAGGCGCCGATGCGACGGGCAAACTCCTTGCGACAAGTGCCGGCAAAGGCGATGTCCCAGGGCATGTCGACCTATCACCGTTGAGCTTCTGAGGCAATATCCTGCCCGAGCTGAACGGGTCTTGGAACTTGCGAGGAGAAACGGAGCCAGCTCTTAGAACTGGGAGGGAAGTTGTGAGAAATATCTCGACAGGCTCACGATGGCACAAGGTGGAGAGAGCATATGGAGGACGGTGTGCTTGGAAGGCCTTCGCCGCAATGACCACTAGTCTGCCAGCCACCACATCAAGTTGGCCCCAGTAACCCGAAATCAACAACAAGCTGGGCTTTTTGGTGGGAAACGGCCGTGTGTGAGTGGGGGTGTGCGTGAGTAGGCACATTGACTTACCCTGGTCGTTGTTACAAGGTTTAGTCTATCACGAATTCAGATTTGCTGATTCTTTTCTTGTCTACAGGCGCAATGGAATGCTTCAACGTCCTTCACCGAGGCTATTGGCCTGCTGGGTCTGGGATTGGGGTTTACGTCCTGGCCCTGCGGATCTGCAAGACCAAGATCATCGTAGGTCTCCCCTCCGATAAGGATGAGGAACTGCGCGCGATAGACGGGGGCGACGGTGGCTCGGTGGCGCGGCGTGAAAAGGCAAGTGGGCCGTGGTTTCGTTCTCGTCTGGGAAATGAACAGGACCTTGCATAGGAAAGACTTGAGGAGAGAAGGGTGGGGTGAGGAGGGAGGCAGACAGACAGACAGACAGCAGCGCAAAATTAGAGCTGGTGTCTGTGCCGCAAGATATCTACTGGGTGTCTTGTGCTATAACAAATGAGAATCACAGTGAAGGCCTCTTGTGACTGAGATGTGCGTCTATTCGCATATACTCCCCGAGTAGTATTAAAATCCAAACGGAAGCGTGTGCTCATATAAATTCAAGAGCTGCCCAAACAGAATGCCTGCGTCCAACTTTGGGTTGCAAGAATTGCGGTCGTCGCCTTAGGAAAACGACGATGCCCTATTCACCACTTGAAAATCATTCAATACTATGCTGAAACGTACGTGCAGTTATCGATACCATGCTATGCCCCTGCGAGCATAGCACGCCCTGTAACAACCGTCACTTGGCCTGAAGTGGCCACCAGGGGCCAAACACATCGGGCAACTCCATTTACCGCTTACAGAATTCAGCCTTCGTCACTCTCCAGCGGACGATTCGTGACGAAGGCAACACCAACGCTTGTTGATAACATCTGAAGTGTCTCGCACAGCTGCCTGACACAAGCTTGACAAGAGTGGCACGACCAGCCAATCACAAAGTATGTCCAGGATTCGTCCATGGGGAGTCCGCCGTCCCGAAGGCTAGCGACGGGCTTTGGCGGCCTGAGAAGAGAGGAAATTGCACGCCTCCATGAGGGAAGTTTGCAAACGAGGCAAACATCATTTGCAGGCTTTCCCTCACACACGTCACAAGTGTCCCTAGCTTCCCTGCAATTTTTGCAAGCGGATTGGACATACTGCCCTTGACTGTCCACGAACGCCTCGAACTCCTCAGACGAACGGCAATGCCCCACCGATAAGTGGCATACCAGATCTTGGGTCTCCCTCACTACTCAATTCGGGAAACTGTTTCCTCTTCGAACAGAAGCTGTTCAGTTCCTCGGACGTACCAGACCATTGGCCTATCAATTGCCGGACTCAAGGCTTTAGGAGCCGACACTGTGTGTGTTGAAAATCGAAATTAAGTCTCGGTTGAAGCTGATCGCTTTTATTATTAGGAAGATGCCGTGTGTCCAACGCCCTTGGTTACCTGCATTTGAAAAGTTGTCAGGGGCCTACTGCAGTGTGGGATCTATCAGAAGATTGAATATAAAATGTTGCAATGTTAGAATGATACATTATTCCATCCAATATTGCGACGATACATTATTCCGTCCAATGTTGTGATGATACATTGTCCTGATAATAAAATCTAGTATAATTGAAGAAGAGAGGAGAGATTTGCAGCCCCCAAAACGGAGTGTACGACCATACATCACTCAAGCTATAGCTGCAGCCACACCCATTTCACACACCTAAGTTATATACTCAATTTGCATGCCCAATTTGCATACTCAGACCTAATTCACATGCCCAGAGCTAATTCACATACCCAATTAGCCCTAAGCATGTAAATTAATCTTAAATGTATAGGTTAGCTCTGAGTATGTAAACTCACCCTGGGTATGTGAATTGGCCCTGGGTATGCAAATTAGCCTTGGGTTTATGAATTAGCCCTAGATATGTGAATTGTGCGTCTGCATTAGGCGTGAAAATTAGGCGTGTGAATTGGGTGTGAGTGTTGGTTTATTAGTGCTGGCGGTGTATGGGTGTACCCTTTGTTTTGAGGGATGTGAATCTCTCCTCTCTTGAAGAATTAGTAGATGCTTGCTTGCACTATGTCGAGCCAGAAATTCTTGTGCTAAAGGAGGAAGTGTTGTCACCAGAAATGTAAGTCATACTTAGGAACCTGGTTAAATCCCAAGTCACTGGCAATAACAAAGTGATTATTTTTTTCATCAGCCTTCACCAAGCACAAAAGATCAAGAAACGCACAATCCACTATAATAACTAGGCTGAGATACCTAGGTACATGCTTTACTAGACATGTCAAAGCTTAGAACTCCTATTACCAGTATCTAAGTTCCAAATAACCAGAGCAACACTGCTGCAGCACAGTTGCACACCTCTGTGTAATTGGAATTATGATACAAATCATTAAAATCACAAGATTACAACTACAAGTGGCTGGATGGCTGAGTGGTTGAGGTGCTTGACTCAAGCATTGCTTGTCTGTGTTAAACACAGAAAATTTTGAGTCTTATAAGAGGCTTGCATTGTTGTTTGCTATTGTTTCCTCTTTATTTTCTTTTCTCTTTCCTCTCTTTTATTATAATACGTTATATTTAACTTATTATTATAATGATTTTAGGGTAATGGCTTATTAGTGGTATTATATGGGGTGCTATGGAAGATTACATGTCATGTCCTGTGGGGTATTCCTTGATGCTTGGTATATTAGCTAGCTGGTGGCCACCTAACCAAGTAGGAAACCTATAACAATGCTGGTGGCTGACTATTAAAGAGAATACAGCAACATTGTCATCAACCTCCAGCACCTGATCTATGTTCTTGACATGGTAGTCTTTCATCATGACTTTTAGATTTGCAATTTCGAGACCTAGAAGAAGACAGGCACTTGTTTCCATGTGGTTGGAAAAATTGAGTTATGAGCTATTCTTGGATGTATCGCCACAGAATTGAAGGCATTGAGATGTCCTACATGTGCTGGTGTGGATGGGGTTATGGAGTCGCTGATCACCATCAGCAGCCATTCTGCGCTAGGACCAAACTGGTTAGCCCCTAGCCGATGAAAGTACCGACGTACCTTGACGGTGACCACACCGGCCGTGAGCTAGGGACAGAGCTAGGGACACGTCCGTCTCCGTTTACATCTCAAATAAATCTTTTGACTTCGTCGAAGCTGTAGGCGCAACCTGGCGCCTCCTTCTTCTTGCTTGAAACACAGGCCTCTACGCTCTCTCTCGATGTGGTAGGCAGCCTCCACAAGATTTCAAAATGTCGGGTTTCCTCTCCCTGATGGGGTGGACCTTCCTCCCGGATGTGAGTTCGCCCACCCGTCGTCTGCCACATTCTCGACCACCTCCCTAGATGCCCAGATACTGACTGCAAGCCCCTCCCAGCTAGCCACCCGCTTTCTCCAGAGCACGTACTATGGCATAACCATCCGCGCCGGGTCCCCGAGACCCCAGCCCGGCCAGCCCCGCTTCGCCGAGCACTACCGACGCATCTACATCCTCGTCGTGTGCGCCTACCTCCTCTTCACCATCTACGAGGCCGACTGGGAGCTCCAGCGGTCCGGCGGCGACTTCTACTCGGTCCTGGGCGTCGCCCCGGACGCCCCCGTCCGCGACATCAAGAAGCGCTACCGCCAGCTGTCGGCGCTCATGCACCCGGACAAGGGCGGCGCCTACGACGCCGAGACCTACATCAGGGTGCAGACGGCCCACGAGACGCTCAGCGACGACGTCAAGAGGTTCGCCTACGACCGCCTCGGCCCGGACATGCTGCGCTGGCGCGAGTGCACCGTCGCGCGCGACTTCGTGATGCGCGGCGCCCGCGACGTGCTCGGCTACTACGGCGTCGGCGCCCTGGCCATCTATGCCCTGCCCAAGCTGGGCTACTTCCAGCAGGGCATGTACTGGCGGTGGGTCGCCCTCGCGTCGCTGCTCGCCTTTGAGCTGCACACCATCACGCGGCCCGCGCACCCGTGGTTCCTGGCCGGGGTGGTGAACCCGCTGCTCACGCGCGCGCTGAACCCGGCCTTCTCCTCCTGGGCCCCCGCGCTCGTCCACCCGGCCTACCTGCCCTTCCAGGCCGTCGCCCTCGCCCGCAAGCTCAGCATCACCCTCACCATCGCCCTGAACCAGGTGGTCCCCTACCTGACGGCCGACACGCGCGGCGGCAGGGTCCTGCTGCAGCGCCGCGGCACCGAGGACGCCCGCGCCCGCCAGAGCCTCGAGGAGCTCGAGAGGATGGTCCACAGCGTCGACGAGAACGCCACGCGCGCCGTCAAGATGGAGCTCGCCCCCTTCGCCGGCGACCCGCGCCTGCTCGACGGCCTGAGGGACAAGATGCGCCGCTGGCTCGTGGACAACACGGTGCGCAACGAGCCCATGACCCGCGACGCGCTGCAGAGGACAATCGCAAGGAGGAGGCAGGACGCGCCGGCTGGCGCGCAGGGCAATGGGTTGAGGGTCAGGAAGCCGTTACAGGCGACGGTGGAAGACGAGACATGATCTCAGGTTTTTCACATTGATGTTAACCCTCAATTTAAGCCAAGTTCATGCCCTAGATGACCTCCTCTAACGCCACAATCCAATAAGATGCCATTCAATACCCAAGATTCGCCATACAATGAGCCAGCCCTTAGGTTGGTGAACGTTTCTACAAGTTCGTGATGTAATGTACGCATAAGTCAAAGCCTCTGCCGGCCTCTAGTCTCTATGGGAATCAACACGATCCCCACGAATGCGGCGAAAATCAAAGCGCCAGATAGATAGATCGGCGCCGACGCCCCATCGCCAGGTATGTTAGCTGCTAATATGGGTGCGATGAGCCCAGTAAACCTGTTCAAAAAGCTCGCGACGCCGGTTCCAGCACCACGCACGGGAGCAGGGCTGCATTGAAGATCACACACACAAGTCAGCAAGCCCATTCCTCACGGTGATATCACAGCAAGTCCTCAGGAGGGGGGCAGACTCACAATATCTCGGGCGTGAATGCGTATAGCACGCCGTACATGATATTCTGGCTGAAAGCTTCGACACAGCTGAAGGCCAGCTGCGAGGCAGACGTCGTGCCGTATCTAACGAACAAGAACAGGAAGCTCGCGGAGATAAACGTCGATATCGCCAGCGTGCCCCTCCTGCCGAGGAAGGCCGACCGGCTGTCGACGGTGAAGTATGCCAGGATGCTGCCCGGCACTCCGACGACGCTCAGGATGGCATAATTGCGGTACGTCTCGGCCGAGATGTTGGTGGGGTCCGTAGGGTCGGGCTCACGGGGTGGTGTTGACGATGACGACGAAGGGTCGCCGCCGCCGGCCGAGTGAGACAGGTATTGGGGGAGGAAGGCGTTGAAGAGCGGATAGCCCATGCCGATCGTGGCCCAGGTGAACCAGACCAGGGCGGTCGCGAGGCCCAGTTTGCGGCTGCTGAAGAGCGGGCGGATGCGTGCGCCCGAGAACTCGTCCAGCTTGGCCTTGATGACGCCCTTGGTGGACAGCGCCGACACTGCGGCGTGGCCCCGACGGCGCGCGAGCTCGTCGCCGCCGTCATCACTATCGACCACCGCATCAAGGACGGCTTCTGAGAGCCAGGTCTTTGCTCCGTTGCGGAATGCGAGGCCGTGCACAACTGCCACGGCCTCTGACTGCCGGCCTCGCGACAGTAGGTATTTGGGGCTCTCGAAGAGGTGGAAGATGAAAAAGCGCAGACAGAACATGCCAAATGTGATGAGACCGATGGGCCAGCACGAACAGCCGCCAGCCCCTGTCGGCAGGCCAGTTGCCGATGAAAAACCATGCGATAAAGCTCGAGCAAAGCTGGCCCACTGGCCACCATACAGACAGCAGGGTAAGAAGGGATGATGAGGTGTCGGGTAGAAACTCTAGGAAGAGCGCACCGTCGACAGGTAGATTGCCTCCAACGCCAAAACCTAGGAGCGAGAAAAATATGCAGACCCATGCCCAGCTGGAGGCGAATGCGGTCATGATCCCGAATATGCTGGTGATCAATAAGGTCATGTTGAAGGCGATGCGTCGGCCGAGAACATCGGAGCCGACGCCCCAGGTGAAACTGCCAAAGCAGAGGCCGAGATACACGGCACTTGTCGTGTACCGAACCGTCTTCTCTGCGACGCCAAACTCTGCCGAAAGGGATGGCAAAATTAATGAGACTCCCTTGGCGTTGTTAGCAGCGAATAGAGTCTTGGTCAACCCAGAGATTGGGAATCGCCACAAGGGCGGGCTTGAGACTGTCTCACCTGCATCCACAGACTGGGGACGAGTTCTTGGTTAGCACGACAGCATTGCCAGTATATCGAACATCGGGAGAACATACTTATCTGCAAACCATCCAAAGCCACACAAGACGAACAGCTGCCAGTTGTACCTGCCCATGCCGATATCCTGGACGGCCTTGTTGACTAGCATCGATTTCACTGCCAGCAAACAGGTCAGCCGAGCACGTACGTCCTGGCGTCCTCATCTCAACATCCACTTGGGCACCCCTCGGGCACAGAGGCAGGACTGGGGAATTGCAGACTGACACTCGTAATCCGACCTCATGCCACTGCCGCCTCTTCGCACCTCCTTCCTAAGGCCCTCAATGCTGTACTCAGCAGCACTCATCTCCAGCATGCCGGTCCCCTCATCCCCTCCCCTGTCCTTGGGGTCATCGTCGTCGTCGCCGTGGGCCGGGAGCTCCTCGAACTCGGTCCTCCCGCAACGAGCTGAATGGCTGTGGAGATGAGCCTGGTCCAGTGGGACGAGCACGCCAGAGTAGTTATCGACGGACTCGATGCGCAGCCCGCGCCAACGTAACCTTCCCGCCATCGCTCGTGTCTTGTGGAAATTGCCCGAGGGCGATCGGCGGGGGTGGGATTTGCAGAGACGGAAAGGGGCTGGTATATCGCTCCCAAAGGAGCTGAAGAATATATGTGTGTATTGATGAGATGGGGAATATGATGGCTTCTCGAGGTCTCTTCAAGAGAATCAATCTCCCACGTGCAACCAGGCAGTAAGACAGGCGACAGTCAGCTGGCTGCCGACTAACCCGTAAGCGGCGGGCTCGGCAAGGCAGGTGGACAATGACGGCGAGGGCGGATCAACAACCTTCAACATCAATACCACAAACACGACTCCACGTGCCGTTCATCGATGCACGCTTGGGCATCGACAGTGACTACGGTACAATGCAGGTTGATGAATGAAATGCTATGCTGATGAGGAAGCGTTGAGGATGCGATGCATGTGCGGCGGTGCCAAGCTTCGAGCCGAAACAAACCAACCCCAGCTTTGCCGGGCCTCTAGAGGCTCGGTGGGCAGGGCAGGTGGGCAGGCAGGTGGGCAGATGAACATTCGGAGAAGCTGGCACATGGAACATGGGGCAACCGACAGCTGCAGGTCTCGGCCCGTCGCCGCTGATCACTAGGCCTGGTCTACTGTGTGGTGTATGAGTGTTTTTGGCTTTTGTGACGGGCAATATTCTCCGTTTCAAGGGACTCGAAACAGAACTTCTTTTGCAGTTGGGGGGCCTGGATAGGAAGGTGTGTCCCCGGGGCTAGTTTAGGTAGTGCCAAACAGGAAGAGACAGGTCCTGTTGGAAGGGAAGGACGTGGTAGGCTAGGCTTCTGTTGTTAGACAACATGGTGTAATAATATCGAGCCTTTGCTGGGTGTAACCGGGAGCCCGCCTCCTACCCCATCCTTCGCCCCCTCCTGCCCAGTTCCGACTCGAGTCCACCACCACCCAGTCCTGCAGGTCCGAGCTTACCTCAGCCTAAGCGTGCCTGGCCCAGTTCCCAATTTCCCGCGATCCCGGAGCGGGTACGCCCCCCCCCAATCATAGGCGGAGTACATCTCTGCTGGTACATGTCCGTTTTGGGCGACTTGGCAACACGGCTCCCTGGGTAAATCGCAAGATCTATTCTCAGATCAGCAGCCACTTCACTTCCTTCACCTCGCTCCGTTCAACTCGTCCGCCCGCCCACCCGCTGCGCCTTTGTCCTGCTCCACCAGCCGGAGCGGGCTGGATGGGACATGTCACCTACTGGCTGGCACAACATCAGCATTTCAAGGCTTGCCATTGCCAGGTGTGCCAACCTCAAGCTCAAAGCATTGACCTTGTGCTCAGCTCCCGCATATGTGCCTGTACGTCACCTAATCTCACTTGCGTCCAGGATTGGGCCGGCAACAGGACTAACCAGCCATGGCAGGAAAATAAGATTTGGAAAACCCTACTGTGGTAGACCAGGCACAGGCACGGGTACAGCACACAGGCACAAGCGCAGTGACCATGCCACGCTATTACATGACAAGTGAAGCAACCCACAGAGCGAGCAGGCCGACCCCCCCTCAGCTGCGCTGCTGCAGGCCCAGGCCGCCTAAACAAGCCTCTTATCAAACTAGACCTTGGCCACAGCCAGGCACACACCCTATCACAGCATCCGGACCTGCCAAGATGCCCCAGTGCCCCTGACAAGGCCGGCGGGCTCAGGAACATTCCCTCGATGCCGCCATGACAATCCCACCCACCCCATCGAGAAAGAAACCTTATCCTCCTTTGTCGTGTGTGTGTTGTGGGCGCTACCCTGTGGGCCGTTGGGACCCAGTGAATAAGCATGTCCTTCACTCCATCTTACGAGCCTAGGCCGCCTGCCGGGCCAGTCTTCTGTTCTAGCCCAGGGGGATGGGCATGGGCGAGGGTGTGCGAGGGTGGGTGAGGGCGGCAGGGTGCCCACGCTTGCCCGTCTGTTTGTTGTTGCTGGTGCTGCTGGTGCTGGTGCTGCTGATGCTTGTCCATGTTCGTCCGGTATTTGAATAAGCCCGTTGCCCACCTCCTCCTTCGTTCGTCCCATGTTTGTTCTTCCTGACTGCATACACAGACTGCACTCTCTTGTCATTCATTCACCAGAGCAGGCAACTCTCACTCACTCCCTCCGTAGCCATCACTCCTTAGAGGCTTCGTCGAGCAAAACAGACTCCAAACCAGTCCAGTCCTTCTTTCGCAGAGACAACACAATCATTCCACCCCACAAACCACCGCAATCATGCAGTTCTCCGCCATGAAGCGCCTCCAGGTCCTGGCTGTCCTCTTCCAGGCCGCCCTCCTCACATCAGCCCTCCCCGTCGAGAACCGTGGCACAGCAATCCACGCTGGCAAGCGCATCATGCTCTGGGACTACACCCTGACCCAGGCCTACGCATCCAACGGCAACATCCAGGCCTCCGCCGCCTCCCTCAGTACCTCCCCCGGCGTCAGCGCCGCCCTCAACTGGAACACATGGAAGCCAGAGGAGCTCCCCACCGATGTCCCCTTCCAGCCTATGATCCGCACCCCTGCCCAGCTGGCAGGCGATGACTGGAAGAACCTCGTCTCTGCCATCCAGTCTGGCGGCTCCAACACCGTTGTGCACTTCTACAACGAGCCTGACCTGAACGGTGTCGGTGCCGCCGATGCTGCTGCCGCCTGGAAGAACAGCGTCCTCCCCCTGCGCGCCCAGTACGGTGTCAAGCTGGTCGGCCCCGCCGTTGCCAGCAACGACGCCGGCTCCGCCTGGCTCCAGCAGTTCTACTCCCAGCTCTCCGCTGAGGAGAAGCCAGACTTCCTCGGTCTTCACTTCTACACCGGCCAAGACACGCCCGCCGAGGACGAGGTCGCCAACGCGGAGAAGTACATCTCCTCCAAGCACGGCGAATACGGTCTGCCCGTCATCGTCTCTGAGATCGGCAGCACCAGCCGCGACGCAACCAGCGTTGACACCTTCACCAAGGGCATCTCTTCGTGGCTCGACAGCACCGACTACGTCAACTCATACGGCTTCTTCGGCGCCACCACCACCCCCGTCGACGGCTTCGTGAGCCCCGCGGCTCAGCTGATCGACACCAGCGGAGTCTGGACGACGCTCGGCCGCTGGTGGGTCGGAAACTAAAGGGGATGCCGCTGAGACGGAGCGAGACGGTTGGGAACTAAAATCTTCATGAACTGCCGGCCCGTTACTTCGCTTCTCCTCTACCCCAATGTTGGGTCTTCTAGAACGAACTTTGGGTATGTGTTACGACTTCATTGCATAATGAATTAGTTTCAGTAATTACATACTTTTTTTGAAAGAAACACCCGGTGTCCTGATGCAACGTGCGTGACTGCTGTGTGACGTTCATAATTGTTATTTTAAAATTCCTACTGAGTGATGTAAGTCCTCTCTCGCCCAATTGACGTATTGTTTTTCAAACTGCACCAGCTGACTTGGCCGAGTTTCGCTCCAAGTAATCAATTAGTTCATCCTCATTGGTTATCAGATCAAGACCTCAAAATCTCCCAGTCCAGGCCTCGGAATCAGACAACCGTATTCACTCGGAAGCTTCTCCAAAAACTACACGGCGGCAGTTCGTCGCTACCCAACTTGTGCGGTCGTGTTCTATTATGAGAGATGGCGATCCCTTTCTGTTCTGGCTAGTCCAAAATCCCCCTTTGCAGCTGGCACCGGCTGCTATTGGCATGGCCAAGTTACAATCAACCAAGAAAACAAAACAGGATTTGGCCCTCTGCGCCATACCTGTGCGTGCCCTGAAACTCCTGGCCCGGCCTGCTCTCCTGTCTTGCTTTCCGTGCGGTGAAGGGGAGGGATAGCTGTGGGAAATCAAGGCATCATCAACCCCCTGTGTCTCCTCATCCTCCGCCACAACCAAGAAATCCCCGGCGGCGGCCAGCACCAAAATGGCCCCCAGTAACCCGCCCGGATGGTGGTCGATGCGTTGCGCAGGGGATACAGTCACCGGCATCCACAGTCACTCCAGTACGGGGGCCAAGCGCCGGCTTTTTTTCTCCCCGGTGGTGGTGCTGGTGTGAAAAAAGAGGGAACGGCATCGCTGACAAGGGACTTGGAATCACAGGCCGGGGCTTCTCCCACTCGCTACCCCATGGACTACACAACCGCTACGATGGATACCACTATCTTTGTCGTCACCGCAAGTCCCGCTCCAGAAAAACGAGGCTGGTTCTCAGCTTTTCTTTTCTCTTTTGAATTTAAGATTAAATCCCACCTCCTCCCCACAACACAAGTCCCGATCCGTACGCATGCGATGCTGCATCTAGCTAAGTCCCAGGGCGGCGGGCCAGCTGGGCTGGGGCCCTTGGTTTATACTCCCCACCGTGGGTACCTTTTCGTGTCCCGGGTTGGTAGGTGCGTAGTTTTTGGGCTGTTCTGGTTCTGTTCCCCATTCTTTTAGCGAAGCGATCATTGTGCGCGCAGGGCTTGTGTGTTATTGTGGGTTCGCGCCCTGTGTCGTGTTCGGAGATGACTGACAGCGGTTCTCGTGGGCGAAGCGGCACCCGCCGTTCGGTCCTGGCCCTGTCGACCCGACCCTGGAGCTTAAAAATAGAGCCTCTTTCTTGCGTCGGCCCAACGTCCAGTATGCGACTTGTGGATTTTGGAATGTCCATCACGGGTTCGTTACCCCGGGGCCCGGGCTGCCTCCCGCCGCCCAGTTGCAAGACCAAACAAAGCGCCGGAGCGCCGGCACGCGCAGCGAGGGCATGCTACGGGATGTGGTGGCCTTTTTTTTCTCGGCCGAGGCGAGTTCCCCCCGTCCAACAGCAACAGACGGACCTGCACACGGACCAGCGCGCGACTGACTCGTCGACTGGCGGACTCGGACTTGGCCGATCTTATTCCCTTTTCGGTCAGGCGACGGAGACCGTCGATGTCTATTCCATCTAGGTATTAGTGTTCTTCGGCCTGGACGGGGTGACTGATCTCACCGATCCTTTTCCTGCCGACGTCGGTTAAGGGAGACACAGTGCAAACAAGACAATTCATCAGAAACATAAGAGAGCTGATCATAAACATATTAGCTTGGAGGGTAAGAAGCGGGATATATGGTACTGGAACACAAAGCAACGTGTTTACTGCCACTTTGGCTGAAGAATGACACAAGAGGTAGGAACACCATCTGTTTCAGTTGTTGAAGACACTCGTGAGCAAATTGACCCCGAAACTTTTTGGCCAAGTTGTAAAATAACTCCCTACTTTCTCTCAATGCGAAGACCCACCTGCAAAGCGCAAGATGACTTAGCAGTTGGTGATGAGGACAGTTCGGACTTCCCCATAGCAGCCCATATGAGTGAAGATCCTGATAACTCTTTCAGGAATGAGCAAGCCTTGTGCTCAAAAGAGTTGTGTGCGTGGATTGCTCAGGTCATGACAATCTTCTGTGAGTTGGGCGTTGTCAGCTGACTTCCCTCGAAGGGCTGCCTGAGACTCTAGACTGCGAACTGTTTGGTAGCCAGACACACGGCCCTCTCCCGGTGCCCCCAGGCACGATCTTCACCATGAATTTGTTTGATTTTTTAACAGAAAGTGTTGAGACAGTCACAAGAGTTGATCTAGGCCCTCCATTGGGTACGTGACCCAGGCGTAGGTCCGACGGTCGAGGCAGCACTTGACTTGGAGGGTGGAGGATGGCAATTTGTGAGATTGTAGTCTTGGAAGAGCTTTGAGCTCGCTTAAGGTTTCTTCAGTAATCAGTGAGCGATGGGGCGCTCCTAACTCCATGATAAGCAATTGTGCAGGTGCTGTAAGGGCCAGCCCCAGTGGTCTTGAGGCAGGCATGCGGGATTGGGAGACTTTCTCTTCGGTCATCCACTGAATGTCTCCTATCTGAACATTCTATCAGCATTACACCTTGGAGAAGAACAAGACAAGATGATTTAAGCTGATTCTGGGTGGGGCCAGGGCCTATGAGGACAAGTGTGCCAAGAGTGTGTCCTTTGGCAAATGACCCGTCCCCCCCCCCCAAGCTACCTTCTGTCTTCGGTTGAAGGCATATAACTTGCAGCCTCTGGGGTGAAGGTGGGCTGCTGCCAGCTAAGTACGCAACAAAATCATGAGAAGTTCAGATCAAACAGTCTGCCATTAGAATGTGGCTCAGCCTTGCCAGCCACATTCTTTTTGAACCAACAGACAACAATCGACACACCGCTGCTATGATATTTCACTGATACCCCAGACCTTGTTTGATCCCATACAAGTGTCATAAGCTGCCCGGGTCAGTTCCCTTGGACCCTTTCTCGCGGACTGAGATACTATGGCGTCTTCGGAGCTTCTAGATACTGAACATCTTCAACCCCTACGACGAGCTCTTATCAACTGCCTATCCACATCGGTCGCTGAATACACGTATACTCGGATCCTCGATGGGCAGCCAACTTGCTACAACTATGCCGGCGACCACTATTCTGAAGATTCTTGGCCTGTTATGCAACACGAAGAAATCTGTCCCGGATACCTGGAGAAGGCAAAAAGTCTCCGTTCGGACTTCGACGTGCTTTCTCTGAACTTTGATGCCAAGGTAGGACCAAGAAAAGGCTTCCCTGCCCCAATATATCTCACTTTGTTAACTCTTCTATTAAGCTCGTCCAGACATATCAAGACACACAGCCCAATTCTGTAGCCTGGAAGCTCCGACTCCTTGAGCTTGTCGCTACTGCTTGTCACGATATTGCTATATTCCTATACCAGATGGACAGTGGTGCCCACAAGCACAAGGAGCATAAGATTTGGCTCACAGAGCAATTGAAGAGGTATCCCAACAAGCGTTCACGGGAACGAATGCTATTACCACCAGCTACACTATTCTGGCATGGGAGTTTCAGAGACTCGCATCGCTACCCTAACGGCATAGCAGAGCTTGCTGGATGCTGGGCAGAAACGCAGATATTTGGGGGCGTTGTTTTGTTTGACCGCGGCAACACCGGTGAAGAGGTATGCCTGGTTACCGAAAGCTCCATATTTGGTAACCACTCAGTCGTAGCTAACAGTTCGTTGTTTTGGGTGTAGTGTAACGGAGTATACTTGCACAACATACGCCGCAACTTCGCCCTCGCACCACCAACAGAGCAACAAATCAATCACCTGATAGCGTTCCTTCTGTCAACCGCTCCAGATCACGAGCACTACCCTCTACCAATCAAGGTGACACCTGAAAATAGGTGGCGTTGGGATGCGTACGATGCTATGACCAAGTATAACATCTTCAGAAATCGTCACGAGATCCCGCAGCGATATCGAGGACGCCCGCGGTGTGTCATCTCAGAGCATAGCTGGCCAGATTACACCGAGGCCTGCGAGAGGGCGGACGAGGCGGCTAAACAAGCCGCGGGCGAGCCATATGATGAAGTTTTCATGGCGGAGTCGGAAGGGAGGCGGCTGCATGTCACCCCTACTTCTATGCTTTGGACCGGTTGAAGGATGAGATAGCCGAACAGCAGCCTGACAAGAAGAAGCAAGGGAGGTCACCGTACTTCTTTGATTGTTGAGCGGTCAGATCAAGTCAAGGTATCTACTGGCATAGATGATGGTGCTTCTATGTAAAGCCAGATCTTAAGTTCAGTCTGTTCCTACCTAGGCAGCTTGTATATATAGGACAAGTAGAGTGCGGGATCACCAGCATTCTTGAATGGGCCTATATCTGTGGATTTGTACCGGAAGCCCTGCTATTCGGAATCTCTCACGCCGACATTCGCATTAGTCTACCCATTTCCTTTAAAGGCACAAGATCAATACAGCTTGCTCGCGGACAAGGTGCAAGAAAAAGATCGTTGGTGGATTCAGGGGAGGCACCTCCCACCGGCGTGAAGCCACCACCATCGAGACCTTACCACCCAGCAAACGGCTATCGTCGTCATGCACATGGACTTCTGCATGGAAACAAGTTTCGCACTGAGTGAGGAATTTGATGTAATGAATTCGGAGGCGGTGACGTCCACTGGAAAGTGTCTCGCGCAATCAACTCGTCCCACAAGATCATCCAGGCTCCAACTTTAGTGCCAAGTACAAGATACGCCAACATGAGTTTGCTCGCAAGATCCGAAGCCTAACAGGAGATGTCTAATAATGCTGAAAAAATGTTTCTCCGGTCGGCATGAAAATCGTTTACAGCATCATGTCATATCACATCATACCATCACCGCCTCACCGTCGTCATCTCCCTCAACCCCTTCCTCGTCACTGAAGTCGACGTCGGCCGCCATGGCCTCCGCCCGCCTCTGCACCTCCGCCAGGCCGGACAGCTCGGCGACGTAGTCCTTCTCCTCCAGTGCCTTCTTCACGAAGCCCCAACCGTCCTTCTGGTATGCCTCGAGCACGGGCTTGCTGCAGGCGCTGCAACACGGGTACGATTCGCCACGGATCATCATATTCTGGAATGTCGACAGGAAGCCACGGATCTGGTGAGGTACGAGGCCAAGTGGGTGATCCTGGGGGTCCCGGTCGTACGACGAAGAGTCGGCAGCGGGCTTGGGTGCCGCAGCGTGATGTCCTTCGGGGTGCTGCAGGACACTGGCAAGCAGCTCGACGAGGAGCGCGGACGCAATGGCTGCCACACCAGGTCGCGTGACGGTACATTGCTGGTCGAGGGTGAGATCCTTTTGAGACTGTATCAAAAGATCAGCAAGTCTGTGTAGAGCACGGGTTCGGTCCCGGTGGGACTTGTAGAAGGGCCGGCGCATACGTCTGTCGCTACCACTACGTCGTTACAGAAGTAGCATCCCAAGGTCTTCTCAGACCCATCCTTTGGTGTGGCGCCGTGCCGCATCACTACATAGGTGTCAAAGCCTAATGCAGCGTTCATGACAATCTTGCCTGCCGCCTTGCCCATGACTGTAGGCAGCCATCGTGATTCTCGGCTATCCATCAGCAGGAAGACAACGTCGTGTGAGTCGACCAGATCCTTCAACTTGGCGAACTCCTCTTTCGTCTTGGCCTCGTCCGTGATCGGATGGCCGAGCATAGGCACGGGAAGTGCATGGCCCTCGCTCTCTACCCCTGGATTGATAGCTTTCAGCGCCTCAGCTGCCCTGGCCGCCTTGGGAGCTCCTCCCTCAAGACAGTCCTTGAACTCGAAGAGCGGTTGTCGTACAGGATTCGAAAACGACACCGAGCCGTAGTCGACGAATGTGATCTTCCGCACCCCCCACCCCATCAAATTCCGTGATACGTAGCTTCCTAGAGTGCCTGCGCCAAGTAGCAGGCAAGACGTGTTCCTGATCGTGTCTAGGTCCAAATTTGGAGATATGCGCCACTTCATCAGCTTCAAGTTGAGGTCAACAGCTTGATCGGCGAGCTTGGTCGGATCCATATACTCGGCGAGGTTTGCCTGTCTAGCCTGCAGCTTCCCTGTTGCGTTGCGCTCCCACCCCGTGACCTTTGGCATCTGCGTTGTCTCCATCTCCGGCACGCTGTCCATAGCAAGCGGCAGGATGATGCTTCTAGCTTCGTGCCGTCTGGCCTGGGTGTCTCTGTAGCACAAGATATTGATCTTTGTAAAGTGGAAGCGCTGTCGCACCAAGACCAGCAGGTTTCGCAGCGGCCACGACGGATGCTCGGTGTAACTCGAGGGATCGAGGAAAGAGACAAACCGATCTTCTTCAGCAACTCCTTCGAAGAAGCCGTCATCAAAATCACGGAGGGCGCCAACTTCCCATCTGAACCCCAGGTCCTCGGCTGAAGAGTCAAACGAGTTCTTAGATCGGTTGTCCTCCCCGCCGCGTGTTCTTTTAACCAGGAAGAATCCATATTGTCTGTTGTCCACTCCGTACCGCCATGTCCCAACCTTCTCGACCAGGGATTCGCTCTCTTTTGGGGTGAGTTTGCTTATTGGGGCCGTCCTCTTCCACTGAGGGTCAGAATGCAGCGCTGGAAAGGCGAACCAGTACGTGAATCGATACTTTTTAAGATCGGCAAAAGAAAGTATCGTGAAGGCGGATAGGAGCGACGGAATGGAATAGATAGTCCCGTCCTTGATGGCATCCCATATCTGCCGGCCCGCCGTTTGGAGCATGGCACCTTTGTCTGTCGATTTGAAGTCCTCCATCGTGTTAACATTTTTAATCATGCCCTCGGCTCGACACTGACCCAGGCCGATTCTAGCACTCCGTGTTAGCCTTCGCAAGGGGGCAACACAAGTGTCGGCAAATGGCCTGCGACATACGCATTGCTTGTCAGCGCATTCCCGAGGATCTGCATGCGAGTGCTTTCCTCCGGGGTTGCGAGTGGACTCGACTCGTATGTGCCCAGAACAAACCGCGCCGAGTCATCGAGCTTGTCGAGGTCGAGTTTCGAGGAGAATAGTGCAGAATAGAAGGGGAGTTCTATCTGCGACGTGAAGGCAGAGAACTTGAGTTCCGACATATTGGGCGAAACGGGATGCGCCCGCGGTTTCCGGCAGCCGCTGTCGGGCTGTCTTGGTGGGACAAGGCTTGGTCGGGGAATATATATGTATTCGGCTGGACTGCAGGTCTTGAATGGGAGCAAGAAAGGCTACTCGGGTTCTTGGAACAATAAGTCACGATCTGGAGGCTTGCTATTCTCCTAGTCTCGGCGCGTGGCTTCGAAGTTGAGGGGTTCGTGAGGTCCACTATGGCGGGGTCGTGATGCTGCAACAGGTCGACAGATCAACCGTGACTTGAAAGTTGAAGGAAGGAAGGGTGAGGAGCCAGAAATTTGTGAATGTCAAGCTTGAAGGTGAGTTTGAAGAAGGTTCGTGGTCACACGCCGAGTCGTCATTTCAAAGCATGCTGATCAGGATCAGGTGGAAAGGCAGGTCGGAGCTTGGGTGTGGGTGTAGGAGCTGTCATGTGTGATGATTTGATGATTTCATGGCTGACTGGCCTCGGGAAGACCCCTCTGGGCTTTCACTGCAAGCTGCAGCCTGCAGGTGCCCTAATGAGGGTAACTGCAGGCACTCAGGCACTCAGGCACTCTGGCACTCTGGCACTCTGGCACTCTGGCACTCTGGCACTCTGGCACTCTGGCACTCGGAGAGTTGCCGCCGGCAAACCCCATCACGCTCTGCTGGGGCTTCACTACAGACGCGTTGAAGACAGTCAGGGGCTGTGAGACGCGTCTGCTTCGGGCAAGATTTGGTGAAAGGCTTTCCACAAGCTACCACTCGCTTCCAAGGCTGTGACAGAGGGAGGGATCATTCTCATGAGCCTTGAGAGATTTTGAGGAAGTTCATTTTTTGCATCATAAAAAATGTTGATTGGTATTTGTGGCAGTGAGTCTTCCTCACTGCATTCTCCGCCCAAGACTTACACGCCCTCCAGGTATCTGCTCCGGAAAGAGCACTGTCGCTCGGTATTTGGTGGACCACCACGGCTTCAAACATGTCTCTGTTGAGCCAAATGCAGCCAAGGCACCTCAGGAACAAGGGATCGGCTCAGAGGCAGAGACCAATGTCTCAAATATCCACCAGAAGCAGCCATCAAGGACAGCCCTGGTCTTCCCAACCTCAGATGAGCTGCTTGAGTACGTGACTTCACGGTGGCGGGAACGGTGGGTGACAATGGACGTAATGGGCAAAGAAACCCTCGACGCGTACAGCCGGCGGCCCTTCTTCCTCCTCATCAGCGTCGACGCACCCCTCCTCGTCCGGTGGCAGCGCTACCAGAAGAGGAAACAAGAGCTGGCGTCCGGCGCAGAGCAGCCCACCGAATCCATCACCAAGTCGCTACCAGACAGCCAACAAATCCACCCGGCCGAGACCCTCGAGGACTTTGTGACTCTGTCCGACGCCCAGCTCTACCACTCGGAGACAGGGCAGGCGACGCACATCTCGAGCGCCCCGGTGCGGCTCCTCAACACGTCGAGCTCGCTGGCGCACCTGTACGTGAACCTAGGCAAGCTAGACCTCCTGAGCACGGAGCGGCTGCGGCCGGGGTGGGACAACTACTTCATGACCCTCGCGTCGCTGGCGGCGCGGCGGTCCAACTGCATGAAGCGGCGCGTCGGGTGCGTGGTCGTGTCGCACAACCGCCGCGTCATCTCGACGGGCTACAACGGCACGCCCCGGGGGATCCGCAACTGCGGCGAGGGCGGCTGCCCGCGCTGCAACCAGGGGCTCGGCAGCGGCCACGGCCTCGCCACCTGCCTGTGCATCCACGCCGAGGAGAACGCGCTGCTCGAGGCCGGCCGCGACAGGCTGCGCGAGGGCGCCGTGCTCTACTGCGACACGTGCCCGTGCCTCACGTGCAGCATCAAGATCGCCCAGGTCGGGATATCGGAGGTCGTCTACGCGCAGGGGTACAGCATGGACACGGACACGGCGGCGGTGTTTAGGGAGGCTGGGGTCCGGCTGAGGCAGTTTGTTCCTGTGAGTCCTGTGTTTCCTCCTTTCCTCCTCTATGATGTCTTGCGTCCACCTCCGACCAACCCACCCCGTCCTTGACCTCCCACACACTGGGGCGGGTTTAATGCTGACAGCTCACAGCCTGCGAATGGTTTGGTCCACCTCGAGAAGATGGAGTTCCTTGCATAGTTGAGATCGCCGTGGGGTTGGACCTCCGGGATTGTAATCTTCTTCGTCATCATTGGCGAGTGAGCCGAACAGAGGCTTCTAGGGCTGTTGCATGCGTCCGCATCCCACGTTCTGGTGTCAAGGCCGTTCGCCAGGCTCACTGTGGGGGATATGCATAATAGTCAGGAGCACGTGGTGTTGGTAGCAGCACAAGTATCTGGGTCAATGACGATTGCGGGGGATGCTGATTAAACCATAGTATTGTATTGGTGTCCGGCGTGTAGTAGATGAAGCAGCCAATGCTTATCTGAACTATTTGTGATGATGCCAGCAACCCTTGGCATCGGAGTATCATCGTCTCCTCGTCCCCTGTGACAACTTCCCTTGCGCCCCGTGCTTCTCCTGAACCCCCATTACGGCTTTACGTAGTACGTAGTAAGTTTATCGTCCTTCCATTAATTCATACATGACCCGTCAGCCGTGACCGACCGTCGAGCCTTTCTCTGCCTCTCCAAGCCCTGCACCAATCTAGCCTGACAGTGCTTGCTTCTTGGCACGGGCAGCAGAGATCTTCTTGCCGATGAACAGGCCAATGACACCGACGGCGACGACGAAGACGATGCAGAAGACGACAACGACACCGGCTTCTTGCTGGGCCCAGTTCTCACGCTTGGTGATGTGGGAGATGGCCTCACGGGCGACCAGGGCGTTGTTGATGGCAGGCATTTTGTGATATTTGTGGGAGAAGGATCCTACGATTCAATTGTTAGCCACGGGCTCGCGGTATTTGTTTGTTTGTAGAAATCGATCGTAGGTGGTGGGTTCTGGGCAGAATCGACGACACGGAGAAAATCCGAGTCATGGGATGAGCAATTGGCCCCGCCCACGCCCAGCGGAGCTCCAAGCGCAGCCGAGGCGACGAGAGTTGTCGATTGGCGACCGTGACGGTGGCTGACAGTGGTCAACGTGCCCAAAAGCTGGACCTTGGCAGCCGTCATTGTGGGCTACCGGGTGTCCCGATTTGAGCGCATTGTAGCTTGGTCGCTGCTCGGCAACCTGGGCGCAATAACGCGAGGCGGATTCGACTTGAATTGCTCCAGACCGTCGAGATTCCGGGGCAATTGCAGAGCACAGGGAGGATAATCGAGGGACTCGTGCCGTACCTTTGTTTGGGATTGAGTGAGAAGGGGTTTGCAATGGTCTCGGGCGATGGGATTTGTTTATCGGCAAATCGGCTTCGGCACGAGCTGTGAAAGCTTGGCTGGTTATGCGACGGAAACGGGGCAGGGACGTTGGGCGAACAACACAGGACTGGTGACAAGAGCTGGTGATGAGGATGTGAAATTGACTGATATAGAAATCAGGACGTCCGTCGAGAGCAGATAATTGTCACGGTCGAGTGAGTTGGAGAAGGGAAGGGAAGGAGAGAAGAAGCGACGAAGGTCGAGAGACGACGGGCGTGAGCACCAACAAATAGCAGCTGGCACTGGCAGGGCCTGCCCGAGTGGGGTGGAGTACACAGTCCCAGGCCAGGAAGGGGACCGACTAAGTGCTGGGTCTGGTATGCAAGATTGCTAGTGACCAGAGGCATGCCCATGTCTGCAGCTGCAGGGGCAGGTAACCCCCTAGCAGCGAGGAAACACCCAAGGGCCCATCCCCCCAATCAGCGGGCGAGCTAACGAGCCAGACGGCAAACAGAAAAGCTTGTCTGGCAGTGTCTGTGTGGGAGTGTGAGTGTGAGTGGCCGTGGGAGACGGGGAGGTGGGAGCGCGAGGCACATCAGATCAGTCCAGTCCCGTCTGGTCCAGATAGATGAAAGCGTGGACTACCAGGTGCCCAAGTGGCCGGGTACCCGGGCGAGCAGGGACGACACCGCCGTTGTCGTGGTATGTATCCGCATCTACAGAAGCAGTAACAACAGTAAGCGGCCAAGCGAGCAGAGCAATGCGCGAATTTTGGACTGAGTTCGCCCAGGCGAAAGGCGCGAGGCTACAAGGATCCCATCCGGTCGGTCAGGTCGGTGCTGGGCGAGCGAGCCCCCAGGGATGGAGAAGATAGCCTGGCAAGCCTGCCTGGCCTGGATGGCAGGATGGGCGACGTTGCTCCGCGGGTGGCATCTGGGTGGATTCGAACCGGGGTGACCTCGAACTCGGATCGCAGAGAGGCCACAGGCACAAGCACAACACACACAAGACACGACACAAGACGCAGCAGGGCAGGCATATCTGGTCGTCCCGTGCGATGCATGTACTGTGATAAGCTTCCCCGTCGCGAGTAAGTTCGAGCGAGAACTGACTGACTAACTGACTGACCATGGCCCATTCGCAGGAGATTGAGACCCCCAGAGGCTGATGTCCGAACAGCTGCAAAGTGCAAGGTTGGTGGTGAGCAGGCGAGCCTGGTGAGGTGGTAAGATGAGGCCCGAGCTCCCCAAAGTCAAGGTCATGGGTCATTGGTTATGGGCCGTGGGTCATGGCCGCCGGCAGGGATTTGCTTATGGGGCAGCTTTTCATGTGGGCAAGAACGTTGGAGCCGTTGATGACCGACCGCGGATGCAATTGGCCGGGCGGCAATAACATACCAGGTTCATCGAGTCCTTCCCGCTCTTTTTTTGCAGGCAGGGACAGGGACACTGTGCTTGCAACTGCACGTTTAATTGCCTCGAGTCACCTCAACATCATCGCCGCTTCCATGACCGATCCGATCACAATCACAGCCAGACTCCAGGCATCTCTCTTCCCCCAGAATCAATAACTTGACAAAAACCGAAATGGCTCAATGCGTCATTTCTTCCGTGTCCTTCTTCTCCACGTACCCGAAAGACAGTTGCAAACGCGGTGGCGTCCCGACACCTCCGGCCCATGGATTGGGCAAACTAGACTCCCGCACACAAAGACCAGGCGGGCCTGCAGATCTAGTCGCCATGCGGTCAGTCCGATTTGCACGCGGCCTACGTCCACCTGCAGCTTTGGGCCGAGCCGAACAGACGCACAGAAAAGCCCTCACCCGCTCGCCTTCCATCCCCAGAAAACGCCTTTTCCACCCCCAACGCCCAATGATGTCAGTCTGGAGAGACCCAGAAATGCCTCATGCTGGATTGGCTCGGAATACCACGGCTTCTTTCCTCGCTCTTACTCCGGACATTGTCCACCCAGCTGCGCTCCACCCCCTCCAGCTTACCCCTACGTGCATACAGATGGTCGGTCTGTACTTGGCCAGCCAGAAATCGCGATATTCACACCGACTTTGGGGAAACGCTTCCAAGGTAATCAGGTTAAGTGACCAAATTGCTGTCTTTGATTCCTGTCCCCCCTTCGTTATCCATTTGACAGAGCCGAGTGGCACTCAACCTATATACAGTGGCTGTCAAGGAAGTATCTGCATCAGAGGAAGAAATGTGCTCATGAGCCTCGGCTCGACAACCCCGGCCCGCCCTATCGAGACTTGCGGATGACCTCCGGCTGACCTCCGGCTGACCTCCGGCTGACCCCGGATCACCTACTCCAACCTCATCCATTGAATCCGACCTGGCTTAACCTTAGTTGTCTGCTTTAGCAAGTTGCTACGGCCGGACCTGGAGCGGCGTAGGCCTGGCCGTTGTTGTCTGCCGCGCCCGCTGCGCCGTAAATATTGGTCTGGATGCCTGGATCGCCCTGCCCGTAGAATGGGAATGAAACAGCCGGAGATGGCGTCGACGAACCAGAACCACCGACATTGAGCTGCAAGCATGAGGAGTAGAACTGAGCGCCGTTGCGACTGTACGCTGAGTGTAGCGCGATGATCTCCACGCGCATGAGGTATTGGCCCGGTGCAAGGCACGATGGGATGTTGAAGTAAGCCCACCCATTGTTGGCGATGAGGTTGTCTGCGAAGCACTCAGTAAGGAACATATTCCACCATCCCACCGGCCGGGCCACAACTAGGCTATTAGCGCAGGAAAGGGCTTGACCACTTACCAACGCCCCATTTCTTTGACGACGTATCGAACGTGTCTTGTCCGATCTTGAACCACTTCAGCCCTGTGTGGCTTGATGACGCCGCATTGTCGACCTTGGCCATATATGCAAGAACCGGGCCATGATGGCTGCTCGCAATCGGGTTGTCTGGGTCGTTGGGGAATTGTGCGCCACCGATAACGTGTTGGAACCATGTCCCGATCTTGTCGCCCGGGTTCGCAGCGACGACCGACTGTGATGTGGTGCCAGCTGCGCCACAGATCAAGGAGGTGCTAGTCACGTCGGTAACAGGGTTGTTGGTCGACGGCGCTCGCAAACCCTCGAGTGAGCCTTTGGCGTTACCGTTGACCGAGATTTTCTGTGCAGCAATGGTTAAAGTTGTCCACACAAGTATTTCCAGGCGCGAAAGTCGGTGTGGACTTACTTGGAAAATGCCGTGCGCCTCAACGGCAGCAGCAGCGACGGAGGTGATAAGCAGTGACAGCTTCATGGCGAGTCTCGTTCGAGAATAGAATTATGGTCAGTATGAAGACGGCAGTGGTTGATCTGCACTTGAAGCAACCGACACAGACAGGTTGCGAGACGTCTTTTATAACAACAGTGTCGACTTCCGTCAACGTCTCGGAGACCTTGCCTACGGGCCGACACCAGCCTCAATCTTTAATCTCGACTGCTGCGCTATGCCTTTCATCCAGCAATCATGGGTGGCTTAGGTCTCTCCACCGCCGACATGTTTGGTACTGGCAGCTCTCGGCACGGCTGAGGTAGATGAACTTGGATGGCGAAGATCGCCAGTGCCCTAGCCCATCACCAATCATATTACACGCGCAAGTCCTCACATATCAGATGTCAAGGACGCCAAGCGCGAGCCGTCCTCTATGTTGGTGTTTCACTCCCTTAATTCGCAGTGATATTGGGGCGGCCGTCCTCCGCTGGCCGAAAAGGGAAAGGGTGAGCCCGGGGCAATTTAGCCGCAGTGCTGGACCATGGTCACGCGTGCGCCGTGCGCCTAACAGATCGCAGATTAATAGACACCTCAGATGACGGGAGCCTCTACGCCCATATAAGCTTGACCTGCTTACTCCCTATCTGCAATGGAAAAGTGCCGGGATGACAACCCACGTATATGTACGACGGGACGCCTCCCGTAGTTCCCGTATGATACCATTGTTGGAAGGTGCGAGGATCGTATGCCCATACGCTAGCGCTAGCCTACAAATAGGCTCCTTCTGAGCGTTTAATAGCGGGGAGATTTCTCTCCTTAATAATAATAAATAATTATCATTTGCTTAATTGCTTTATTAGGTTATAAGCCTAGCGTTGCTTAAGATATCTTAAAATGTTGGGAAATATTAATACCCCCATTTTTATAATTATTTTCATATTTAAATTATTAGGATTTTAACGTTATTAGCCTTTACCAGTATATTATTATTATATCTTATAATAACTACTATAGCTAATAATAACTTATAATAATTTAATATTCTTACCTTATTTAATATTTTAATTACTTACTCCTTTTTATTTATTTATTTATATTAATTAATGCTAATTACTATAAATAAATAAAAACATATAAATATTATTTAAAATATGCTTAGAAATATATAAATACTATTTAAAAGATATTAAATATACTTAACTTTAAGCTTAACCCATTATTTCTTTTAAAGTTAAACTTAAAAGGGGAAAACTTCTTAGATTAAAGGGCGATATAAAGTCGCGGCTTTTAGTTTGCCGGCCTTAATAAATACATTATAAGCATTAAAGAATAATTAAATAAGAATGCGGCCTTTATAAAATGGGAAAAGCTTAATAACTAAGCCTTTATTATACTCTTAAGCTTAATATATTTAAGCCTTATAATATTTATTATATTATATAGAAAATCTTTTAATGCTTAAAAAATATTAGCTAATTAATTTAATTATAATACTAGTAATTTAATTATTTATTTCTTTTATTAATTAATAAACTTATAATATAAGGATAGTTTTAACTTATAAGGCTATTTAAATACCTTTTAAAACCTTTAAATAAAACTTTATATTAAAACCTTAATATTAAGATAGTTAATTAAGAGGTTAATAAAGTTACTTTTTAAAAGCAATAAAGTTAAAGGCTTTTTTTTCTTAATAATGCTGCTAAATATTATAAATAATATTATTAATAACTTAAGTAATTAAAACCTTATAATGTTTTTTAAAATTAAACTTAAGATAATAAATATTATTTTCTATATAAAGATTAAATAATTTAAAATTTACTTTATTTTTATTTAAAAAAGGTTGGCATTAAAAAGTATAAAAAAGGCTGCAAAGTTTGCATTAATAAGTATTAACTTTATATTAAGTAATAAAGAATGTACTTAATACTGCATATAAAACTTTATATTTATTAGCTATTTATATATTAATTATGCAAAGCTTGCTAAATATAAAGCTAATTAAAAATAAAAAAAAGGTAAGAAATAAGCTATTATAAATTAAGTTATAAATAAAGAAGTTATTAAAATTTTTAATAATGATAAGGAAGATATAATAGTATTATATATTAATGTTTTAATATATGCAACAAAGTTATTAATAATTATAAGTATTTTAATATTATAGATTTTTAATTTTAATGCTTTAAAGTATATAATAAAATATATAAAAGATTTTAGCTCTTTATAATTATATTTAAATATAATTATTATTATAAATAATAATTAACTTATTATAAAAGGCATTAGCTTTATAAAAATCTTTTTATAATTATTAAATAAATTAATTATTAAAAGCATTTTTATTAACGTTTTATATAATTATATGTTAAGAAATACTTATTTATTTAGCTAAATTATAATTTAAAAGAGGTTTTAATTAAATGTATAGGGAAATAATATCTTTTTATTATTAAAAAATAATAAATTTCGCAAGATATTATAAGCAAAGTTTTAATATAGAAATTTTAAAATTTAAATGGTAAAAAATAACTTTACAATATTTACAATATATAGTAAATTTTATAAAGCTTTTAACTATAATAATTTATTAAAATTAACTGCTTAATGCTTATATAAAGATAAAAACGTTATGCTAAATAAATTAATAAATTTTTATTATAAATTATATTAATTTATAAAGTTCATTAAGAAATGCTTATATTTATTGCTAAAATAATAATTTACATAACTATTTAAGTATATTTAATTTAATTTATTAAGCAAATTCTTAATAAGATTATTAAAAAGTTTTTAATACTTTATTTTATTTATTAATAATTATACTTAATTTTATTAAGTTTACTTTATTATTTAAAAGAATAATATCTTAAACGTTATTAAGGAATTTTTAAATATAATTAAAACTTAATTTAATACGAAAGTTAAAATATTTAGTTTAAATAATAAGAATAAATATATAAATAAGATAATTATTATAATATTTTAAAAATACGGAATTATTTATAAGAAATTACCCCCTTATTATTATAAGTTAAACAATATGCTTAAAAGATTTATGCATATTATTATTATTAATATTTGCATAATAATTTGCAATAAAAACTATTTATTTTTATAGCTTAAAGCAATTTCTTATATAATGTATTTATGAAATTAAAAACTATACTTAGCTTTATTATATTAAATAACGCTATTTAAGGCGCTTTATAAATAAAAGCTTAATATTAAATATTTTTAACTATACTTTCGCTCTATGTATTTTTATGTTCTTATTAAGGCTTATAAGCTAAGAATGAAATTATTAAATAAAGCTAAAAAGGTATACTTTATAGAATTTAAGGTTAAAAGCGAAACTATTTTTTATTTATTTATGCTACTTTAAAAAGTTATTATAATTATAATATTAAGCTATATTATTTAATTTAATTTAGCAATAAAGATTATATAAATAATTAGCTAGCTAAATAAAAATATACTACTTAAGATAAAGGTATTATTAGCATTTTAGCTAATGGAACTTGCTAATAATATAGAACTTATAAATAAACCCATAAATAAATTGCTTAAACTTACAAAACCTATTAATAAATTACTTAAACTTATAAAACTTATATAATTATATAATTCTTAAGGATAATGGATTTAGCCTTTATAAAAAGTAAAAGAAAATATAAACATTATTATGGAATATTTTAAAGATTTTAATAACTTAGCATTAATTAATATAAACTTTATACTAAATCTTGCTTAATTAGCATTAATTAATGCTAACTACCTTAATTAAATCTTTACTTAAATATTGCTTATTAATATAATAAATGCTAATAATATTCTTAATATATATATATAGGTTATAAAGAGTAATAAAAGGAATGCTTAATAATAAGTTATTAAAAGAAAACTTAAATTACTTTTAAATATAGGTATATAGATTAAAGTACTTGCTATTGTAAATTAATATATTATTAATCCTTGCTAGGTATATATAAAGAAGTTTAATGCTTTTAATAAGCTTATCCGCTATAAGGCTTAATTTATTACTCGTAAATATATATAAATTTACAGTATAAATTATAACGATACTTATAGCCTTATAGCATATTATAATAATTTAAAATTAATTATTGCCATTACCATTATAATAGGCTAATGGCTTTAGCAATTTAACATTAAAATAATATATTTACATAGCCATTTAAAATATAATGTTTATATATAATTGCTGCAAGGATATTAAATATTATTTAATAATTAGCAAGTTATTTTAAAACTTCTTAATGCCTTATATAAACTTAAATAATTAAGCCATAAATAGTTTAATACTTTTAAAAAGGAATTAATTAAATATTTAATAGAAATAATATTTAATTTTTACGTTTTTATTAAAGATTAAATTATTATTATTATTTATATTAATAATATTCTTATTATTAAAAGTCCTTTTTAAGTTAATGAATTTCGCATTAAGCTTATACAATGTTTTAAGTATAAGGATCTTAGTTTTTATAAATACCTATTTAAATTAAAAATTATATAAATTAATAATAAAATTTACATTTCCTAAAAGAAATATGCTTAATGGATTTTAAAATGCTTTAATATATTTAATTATAATTAAAGATAAATTCCTATAAATTTAAATTTATTTTCATAATAAGAGGAACTTAATAATATTGCAATAAACGCAATAATATATTAATTACTTACTAAATTTATTAATTTTCTTATTATTAAAATAAAACTTAATTTTGCGTTTTTATATGCAATGCTCTTAATATTTAATACAAAGCCTGCAATTTATTATTTAAACGTTGCAAAGGAGGTGCTTTAATATATTTAGCATATACTGGATTATACCTTGCAATTTCTAAAATAAACATTATTATTTTAATTCGCTATACTTAATATATATATTAATGCTTCTTATAATACTAATTTAAATAATTTAAAAGCATTTAGTAAATATATATAATTCCTTAATAATAGCTTAATTACTTAGTTATTAAAGCGCTAATTTATTATTATAAAATTTATTTATAAGGCGGAATATATAATATATTTATTAGCATTATTATATCTTTATTAAATAATTTAAGTATTAAAAGATTTAAATATTAAGTATGTTAAATATTTATTTATTTTATATATTAATAATTAATTAATATTAAACCTTATTTAAAATTATAAAGTTAACGCTTAATTAAAATATATTACTATTTATTATTACTTTATTTATAAAGGAATTAAAGAGATATATAATATTTATTATATTGCATTTAAAGATAATCTTACTAATATTTATATAAAAGCGTTGCCTTGCCCTGCCCTTAAAGAGGCTTATAAGAGATTAAGATTAAGATAAATATAGGGTTTATATTACTAAAAGGGGCATTTAAATAGTTAATTAAAAATAATATAAGCAAAATATATAAATATTAAATAATATTTATATAATGGTTTTAATATAAATTATAGCGGAATATTTAAATTGTATTTTTAGCTATTAAAATAGAATATCTTTTATTATTATTAGGATGATGATATTTGCGATGAGGGGTGTATTGAAAGGTGCGAGGATTATATGCTTATACGTTAGCGCTAGCCTATAAATAGGCTTCTTCTGAGCGTTCAATAGCGGGGAGATTTCTCTCCTCAACAACAACAAACAACTATCGTTTGCTTAATTGCTTTATCAACCATCACCAGCCGCCCGGGACAAGAGACGCATATTGTGACCCACCGTGAAATTCAGTATCTTGGTTTCGATAACATGCCCTAGATAGCACAGAATGGTGCCGTTCGTTCCTTCGCTGACCATGGTTCTTCTCACCTGTTGGCAATTCTATTAAAAGCTTCTAGAATTCGGCAGTCGTCGGAATGCTGCTCCGGCCCATACCTGAACGTGACCCATGTTGGGTGTTTTGAGGCCGGTTCCTGAACGGACACTAGTAGGCATTTCGTGACCCTGGCATCTGCTTCGATAAATTGTGGCGGTATCCCTTTATCAATCCTTCACTGTCACTGTTCCTCAGCAGCTCCAGTGCGCCGGCAGTCAGCCGGCCAAATTCTTTGGTTCGCGTTGTTTGTCTGGATTGGATAGATTGAAGGTAAGCGCCGGCAGTGAATGACACCAACAAGCATGGTTCATAAATTGCGACTGCCCTCGAGCCGCTTTGCAGTCGTGCTCGCTCCGACAGGTGGTGTTTATCGAGCACGTATCGAGCAATCCGGACCTTTCAGTCGGAGGGATACTGGAGCGAGATTGTGGACCTCGTCAGCCCCGAGAAGTATCCAGGAATTGGATCACTTAGGGAGACTGATGAGTTGCGGTCGGTTGCTGCGCAAGCCGTCTCAACAAACCTACTCTGTGGAAAATACACAATGGTGCTTGTGCCCGATTTGGCACAGCCTTGTGGCGTGTCAAGCCGCCCAAGAAGCAGATTTGGAGACAGCAGCGCCGAAAGGCCCACAGTATGAGGTATGAATAAAATCGAACTGATCAAGGCTGTACCGCTATCAGTCAGCTCACTGCTCGCACGTTAATGGAAGGCTGTCGGGGTCGATGTACCCCGACATAATATCAAAAAATACAAAACAGGACGTGATTCGGACCGTTTCTGGGCAATATGAAACACACTCTGGTTATATTTGAATGTCTTCCAAGGCTTACGCACATACGTACGTACATCATCGACGATCGAGCTAGGGTACAACCAACGCTTGATGCTTTGCGTCTGTCTCACCCTCTCTCACCGGGCCGGGCAAGCGAAGTCGTATCTCAAGCCGTCCTCAACTGGCAAGCCGCTGGGCCATGATTTGATGCATCAGCGCCTGTACGGAAACCTGGTCGAGGCGTGGCGCTCGCACGACGCTGCCGGCGAGAACGATGCCGGCGATGTACGTACTTGCGGCCGTTCATCGCGTCCCTCCCAGCCACGACATCAAGCGCCCGCCCAATTCTGCAGCCTCCCCTCCCTCCCAAGCATCCCGTGCCGCTATTCCGGCTCCATAATTCGGAAGTATGGTATTCGTGCGGTAAAGTCGGCTCTGTATGTAAGGCCCGTTGTGAACCATTATCCACTCAGGTCTCCAAACTTGATACGGCAGGAAACCCTACCCGCGAGTGCCGAGTGTAGACACGAGCACTAGGAGACCGTTGCCTCTCCTTTTTTTCTTCTTTTTTTTTCTCTTTTTTTTTATTGCGTTTCTCTGCTGATATAGGACGCCAATTTAGCTAAACATGTTAGAATCCAGGAGGGGTACCGTACAAGGGCCAAATCACACTCAGGGGTGTAGGTGCATCCATTCTCCTCTGTAGTGCAAAAGAACAAGGCAATCAACAGGGTGGCTCTGAGTGGAATCACATTCTGTCCCAGATGTTGAGACGAATCTATTACTGCTAGGCAATTAGATACCACTCAGCCAAGAGACGAGTAATTCCCAATCACCAAATTAGGCATACCCAGCAGCATATAAGCACCATACCGTCACAGATATCATACAGGCAGCACAGAAACAAGGGCGAGAAGAGAGCTTGTACCTAGGAATTGCATATTTGCATAGATTGTATGGAAAGAAAAAGAAGAAGAAGAGAACAAGAAGAAAGAGCTGAAATGTAGTATGTCCACATATGGGCCAAGAAGAACAATGCAGATCGCGTGAAATACTTGACATAAGTGGTTGACTTGCCAAGCAATGAACCTCTTGTTTCCTACCTGGGTGACTCCTTAAAAGGTTCTGCTTGTGGAAGGGAAGGATCAATACCATGCAATGGGAAGGAAGCCCGCCTTTGTCTATGATATGGCCCGTCGTGTCATTGGGTTTATCACGAGTCCGAGCAGGGCATATCAAATAACTAGTGAATTGAATGGTTCTTTTGACCATGAAAAGTGAGCGTGCAGTGCTCCTATTGATATGCAATGGAGCACCACAATAGTGGAGCCCCGAGCTCGTGACAGATTTGGTTGGATTTGGGCGTCTTTGGGACCCTGCCGAGCATCATTCTCCAATGTGAACCTCAAGGCAGCTAAAAGAATATGGAAAGAGACCATGTTTTGTTTCACTCCATCTTACGCTACTCATCCACACGTAATCTCCTATTAATTCCAACCATGCCAGTTCAAGTCTCAGGTTGGAAAGTTTTGACTCTATGTTACAGTGGCGTCCTTTGTGAATTCCAATCCTCAAGTTTCAGCAGATACAACGTGGGGAAGCTTGAAATTCCTTGTGGCTCTTCAGTATATTCTCTATCATGCCTAAGGCAGGCTACCATTCCATTTGCTACTATCAGAGGCCTCGAAGGAAACCCCCTGACTCACATCGTCCTGTCCCTCTAAACCATAAGGTTCTTGCCGGGCAAGAGGAAAGGTGGATGCCCGTTCGAGATAGGGGGCGGCAACGGGGCTGACGGGGGGGTATGCTTGATAGAGCTCAGGTCCACCTGGGTATTGCGGATAGTAATATTCTGTCGGATGGGCTGGGGGTGTTTTGGTTGCAGATCGTGGTGAAGATTTTGCTGAAGCTCTGTCCAATGGTGACCATAATCCGAGCACCGTCCTCGATTTGGACTTGCGTTGCCGATTCGCTTTGCGCTCTCCAATCTCGCGGTCACTTATGCTTGAGCTTTGCTTGGGTGGAGACGGACTTCTAGACACAGGTGGCGGCAAATGCTTGTGGTCTTCATACGCCATCCAAGTCGGGTTGACAAGGTGCAAGTTGTCCTGACCACTTTCCCCAATCCTCACCAATCCGGGGTAAAGGCATTGCAGTAGAGCTCCGTCCTCACGCGGACGCATTTTCCTCCATGTGATGAGATCTTTAAGGTGCCACGACTCTGCTTGCTTGATGATGGGCCCGGGCGGGATTTCGAGACTTCCTACGACGTAGGTCTTGTTCGAGCAGCACATCATTTCAAGGGCCTTGTTGGAACGAAGGATGATGCTGGTCATCAACGAGTCCAACAAAGGCTTAGGTATTGGCTTGTCCAACCAATGCCCAAGAATTTGTTGCAGCTTATTTAGCTGCTCATCAGTTGCCCTCTTCGTCCGTTCTTTTGCGCGGTCCGCTGCGTTCATTGCAGAGATAGACTGGCCACGCCATCGAGAAATTTCAGAATCATCTGTTTTAGCCAGCGAGCTATCAGGACCCGGAACCGCGACTTGGACATGGACAATAATCCAGCCAAGGATATTTAGTGGGCAACATACCTCGATTCAATTTCGACCGCATCGCCTCCTGCAATCGCACCAAGAGGTTGATTTCGTTGTCTGAAAGACCATGTGGGCACAGATGTCGCCATTGATCAAGTTTCGCCGTGCGAAATACCTCATCTGTGAGGAATTTGGAGATGATCAACGAAACGATAATGTGGAAGCAGTGTGGCAGCTTGCTTAGCCTCACACGCCATTCTACATTCGAGTAACACCGACGATGGAAACCTAGAGACTCCAGGCCGTATCCATCCTGTATTTTCTTTTTGAAATGCGCCCTGAAAGTCTCTTCGTGGCCTCGTTCATAGGTGATCTCGTCGATCCATGCATCTATGCCACTGTAGACTCTGGAGAACGCAGCTTTGATGTCGTCCTCAGGAATGTCGTTGCCTTTGTGCAGGACTTCGAATAGCTGGTCCTTACAATCTTCGAGATCTCTGCGGAGTGTTTCATTTTCCTGACGTAGGCTCTCAATCGTATCATTGACCCCAAGTGAGCTTCGCTGTTCGCTTTCGTCCTGGGAATCAGACATTCTCATAGCTGTGTCGTGTCTGCTTGTCGGGTATACCACCATGAACCCGGATTGATTTTGGAGTAGATCTGAAGGTAGGTATACGAGGTGCCGGTACAAAGTTACTGGGACTTTTGCCAAGGAAAAGCGTTCTCTGAACCAGTAGTGTAACTCAGCCTGCCGTGCTCAACGTGATTGCCAATGGGGAGCGTACGACTGAGACACATGAGAACATGTTTGAAGTGTGGTCTGGACGTATTCTGGTGTGGAAGAAAGACCCAGCCGTGGCCCGCTGACGTGGCAGGGCATTGCTCGGCACATCGGTCAGCATCGGTGTGTAGGACAAGTATCGAAGTCGCGTGGCGTTGCTCACTTCTCCCGTGCGTGTGCTACCAGTTATCACGCCATACCCAATCAATACACATGAGGCTGCATACATCCAGCTCAGCTTCTGTAAGCGAGGCGCAGAAAAATCCGATTGCGCTCCAATCGCATACTCTAAAGGGGAGACCGGTGTGATCACTTTGCATCCCATAAATGCACATGGCGCTTCTCGTGAGAGGGGTCAGCGACGTTTTGTCATGGATGAGCGAAATTCGCCGGGCTCCAACGGCAGATTCCGTACCCAGTTTGCAGACCAGGCGAACCACAAGGCGAACCATTGCACTGCAGCCTGCTGAGCGGGGGACCCAATTCAATTTCTCATTTCAATCCGAAGCATGCCGTTGCGGTTACCCGTCGACCCTCTACCGAATTACTTGTCGCTCGTAATCCGTCACAACAGGGCGGTTTTCAACAGCCATCCTTCACCAGTACTCTCGAGTCTCAGGTCCCTGATTACGGACGCAGCTCATTCCAGTCATTTCCTAGAAGATGTCGACCTCGTTCGTACAAAGTGCCTTTCAGCAACCGGCGGCGGGCTCGACTCGCACGTCCAAGGCCCCGCAAAAGGCTTTGTCCAGCTCCAAGGCCAGTCGTAGGATCCTAGTAGCCGTCGACTTTGGTACGAAAGCTCAATACTGTTGCAAATTCTCGGAGTTGGATAGTCTCTGACGGTAGATGATCACAGGGACGACCTACTCTGCTGCCGCCTGGCTGCAGATACGAGCTGTAAGTTCATTTCTTGCTCGAAAGACCCGTGGAATCTCAAACACAGTGTCTGACCATGTCAAATAGGGATCGAAGGAAGTCCCAACCATTACTGCTATTACGTCCTGGCCTTACAATGCGAATACGATGGAGAAGGTTCCGACGTAAGTAACGGCAAATCATGCCTTTCAAACGGGGTGGCGGGTGGACACGAGCACGCTTGCAAAACCTCTGGTATTCGGACAAGTTTATGACCTTTGAATGTTGGATCAATTGCCACTGATGACTAACATCGAAGCCAACCCAGCGTGCTGCAGTATAGCGACCGTGGCAGCATGAAGTGGGGTTTTGGCTGCGATAGAGATCAGGATGTGTTCCAGTGGTTTAAGCTAGAACAAGATCCAAAATACAAGGCCGGACAACTCGCGGAAGCGTACCCAGATCACACCTTGAAGCCAGAGAACGAGAAGGAGGTCAAAGACCTGATCACCAAGTATCTGCGATTTCTCAGACGCCATGTTGAGAAGTCTGTCAAGGAAACGCTCGACCCAGGCGGCGGTGGGCAGAGCGTCCTGCTAAGGGACACCCGCTGGGAATATATCATCACCGTCCCTGCCATGTGGCCTGAATCAGCACAGAGCATAACCGAAAAATGCGCTAATGATGCTGGGATGGCCCCTAATCGCCCGGTGAAGATAATCGCGGAGCCAGAGGCTGCTGGCATTCATGCACTAAGAACCATGTTCCGAGAGCTCGAGCTGAAGGAGGGCCAAACATTCGTAATATGTGACGCTGGGGGCGGGTACGTCCTTTTCAAATATTCTCGTTGAAAATTGGCAATGCTGATCTTCCATACTATCTAGTACCGTCGATCTCATTTCATACAGGATCACAAAACTTGGCGCTCAACCAGAACTAGAGGAAGCAGCGCCAGGAACCGGTGGGCTTTGTGGCTCATCATTCCTGGACCGCGAATTCTACAAATGGGTGAAAACCCATATGTCAGGGTGCCAGCCTTGGATGGAAGACGACGGGTATATGCAGGACGCGATGACAAAGTGGGAGTCCGAGATCAAACGGAATTTCAATGGTATCGACGACGGGAGATGCCTCGTTCCTTGCCGCAGGATAGATGATGATGAGCATCTGAACATCAAAAATGGCTCTTTGAAGATTTCGTGCGAAAGGATGAAGGAGATCTTCTCTCCAGTGATCAAAGACATTTTGAAGTTGGTGAAGGGCCAGATTGAAGAGGTACAAAAGCAGCAAAAGCTGCAAGGACAAGAGGCCAAAATCAACGCAGTCCTACTTGCAGGTGGTTTTGGGAGGAATGAGTATCTCAGAGACCGCATCCAGGCTGCCGTTGGGCAAAACGTGACAGTGAAGAAAATGGAGGATTGGTAAGGCATGATTTAAGTGTTCGATTTCTTCGGTTCTCGACTACTAACTATCTCGTTCAAACCCTCTCATTGGCACATGCACATACTGATTGGTCTTTTTGACAGCACAACGGCCATAGTCAAAGGTGCCCTCGTTCGTGGGCTCCAAGACAAGCATTCACCCACAACGGGAATGCCGACTGTCACGGTGGCGTCTCGGATGGCGAGGAAGCACTATGGCACGAAGGCACTGCAGAAATTTTCCCCGGACATTCACGACCACAACCAAACAAGGTCCGTATGACACTATGAGAGCTCCTATCTCACCGAATATGCCATTTAGTCCACTGACCGACATTATCAGGTATCCTGGTGGCGTTGACGGTGGAGAGAGGGTTGACGTGATGCGTTGGTTTGTGAAGAAGGCTTGTGAAACCATCCGCTGACATATGCACCCCTCCAAGTACTGACATTTCTCGCCAGAATGCTCGTGTCAAGGATCTGCAGCCTATGCCATTCCATTTCTATTACGACCAGCTAGTGGCTGACGCAGACTGGAATGGGAGATTAGATACCATCAAGCTACCAATCTATGCTTGCGAGATTGACGATGCTCCAGGCCATCCTGATCCTGCGAATGCTCCAATTAGTAAGTGATGCTGAAAAATTTTGGGCGGAAGTAATCTTTATGCGAATTCTCCTCTTGAGTCAGCCAATACAGTGAAACATGGACTTTGGAATGGTTTTGGCACTGATGTCGCTGCTGAGGCATGGTTCTTGTTCGCTGACAGTCCACAGAGATCAATAAAAGACTCGTAGAAGTCAAGGCAAATCTGGATCTGATCCCGAAAAAGAAGCTGAAAAAGGAGAAGGGAGCAGACGATCTAATGTACTATAAGATCGACTTCCACATTGTCATGATAAGCAACATGGCAAATGTAACCTTCAAATTGGTCCACGACGGAACGGAGTATGGCACGGTTGATGCTGAGTGGGACACGACTGAACACGGGTACAGCTGAAGGGCGTCACAAATACTCTGGATCCATTGCTCAGGGGTGACGCTTGTCGATGTCTGGGTACCGAAACGAGACTGTGAAGATGGACTGGCGAATAACCATCAGGGACATGGAGATGTCCGTCGCATGAATCTTTCTCGATCAAGTTATTTTTATTCCACGCCGGCGAAGACGCCCGCAGTCTTCAATGCTTTTAAGTGTATCATGTGCCTTCGATCGCCAATGATGTGTTCTATTCGTCTAGAACTCGTCTCTGAACGGAACTCTAGCCGCGATAGTCCTGAAGTTTGAACTTTGATTAAGATCGTAGAATAATCAACTCTAGTCTTGGGACTAGGTAAAATAGAGTATAAGAACAGGGAAGTATGTATAGGAGTTAGAGGACAGTTTTCTTGAGGTGCTTAGAGAAGCTCCAGACAGATGCCTACGCCTGAAGAGGTGCTTGAAGAGGCTGCTGCAGAGGTGTCTAGAGAATACGTGTGGAAGTGATTAAAGGGGTGTGGAAAGAGACACCGGACGAGGGCCCATTCAACGATGTTCGGTGTACTACCAGGTGTAATTGCAGAGGCGCTTAAATGCGCTGTTCTGGGGTGCCTGATTTGCTGGGCTCCACACCGGTCGTTCCCAAAACAGGTGCAGGCAAGCGAGATGTCTTACTCCTGTACTCTGCTGCATGGAGACCGGGGTTGAGAAAGATGCGCCGACTTCCTATACCAGATAGAGATGGCTGCATGAGGGCCAGCCACTCGATTTGTTTACTCTTCCCCCCTTCCCCCCCCGACGTGAATCCCAGTCGTCTCCCATTTACAAGCAGGTCTCTCTGTCTCACGTTTTATTCTCTAGACCTTAGATGACTGCACGAAATGCTTCTAGCTTATGTCTCAGCAATTGGTCTTCATATCATTTGTTACCTGAGATGAGGGCCTCCAATCATCAACGCCGCTACCTGTTGACGACATTGAGTGTCTTCCTTTGATACTACCGAGTCCAGCAATCACCATATCGTCACCCACTTCAACGAGGAATCTAAGCAGTGCACGTCTTCGGTGTGATCAATTTCCGGTTCTTAACCACCCAGGCCGAAAGCCCTTGCGACACAAAGACGGACATTTTGGCCTTCAACACTGTTTGGTCATGGTCAAAAAAAACGATGCCATAGCCCTGATATTGGTGCTACTCATCTCCTTCTTCGCCCTGTTGACATACCTCCTTCTCCGCCTAGTTGGTCAAGCCAGGGACACAGGATCCGAGAAGACGTATCCATCATCATATACAATATCTGAATCCTCTGACGCGGATCCAAGGCCCAACCCAAGGCCCAGACCACCGCCTAGCCCACAGCGCGGTGGGAACATCAACATCTCACCGCCACCACCGCCACCACCGCCAGACCGAAGACCAAGCGGACAAGTCAACGTGTCTCCGGTCGGCGGCCGGGGTCACATCAACGTGGCACCCGGACTGGGCAGAGGGGCCGTCAACATCGCAAGCAGTCATGGAATCGGTCGCGGAGGTGCTGTGAATGTTCCAAGGGACGATATTGGGCAGGGTAGAGGGGGCAATGTAAATGTAGCTTGATGAGCAGCAGAGTGCACGTTCTTGAAGTAGACGTTATGATGGCAAGACCCGGGAGGTAGCAATTTTGACTCTCATGAGAAAACGTGGCATATCAACACGAGATTGACAGCTTCTTCGCAAGAGTACTAATTCCGATATTTCAGATAGGGGAGAAGTGGCCTGTCAGGGCCCTCAGGAGCCTCCCAGAAATCGAAATTCCACAGACTGGGGACATGGCAAACTTCTTGTTGAGCACGTGGCGTGCAGTCCGTGGTTGAAACTTTAGGTTGTCTTGTAAATATTTCTTAACCGAATCGAACCGAGTATTTATAATGTACCCAAATTTGATGTTGTGGGAAAAGAGAGAGAAAAAGAAAATAAGTCTGGCAGTGTGAGGCAGGGACAATGCGAAGAATCTCTAAGTACCGCCAGACGCACGGTATACGATGACGGTTTGGTATAGGTGGCAAGGGGGTCTATAGCCTGCTCAGGACCGTCTCAACGAAACTTTTTGGACTCGGCTAATAGACCCAGTGGTAAAATGACGAACCGTGATGAGGTGGCGCGATTTCTGTGTGCTCTACAGGCGGTTATCAATTGTTGCCTGAATCGAGTGGAGCCGCGCATCGAAAGGTGGGTTTCTCTTACTCCGGAGCTATCTGGCCCAAGAAGAGCTTACGGATGTTCTGCGAGTCCGCAAACCTGCCTGATGGAAGATCAACAAGTCAAGGCTGTACTCGCTCAATGTCATGAAGCTGCAGCACGACCTCGGGAGTGTTGGTCACATCTTACACGAAGCTAACTCTGTGAAATTTCAACGGGTAAGGTACAAAATGAAAGCAGATATCTATCAACGCGGGGTGGTATCAATGCTATACAGATCCTGTTCGTCTATCGGAACCCGCTGCCTAAACAGCAATGGTGCCCAATAATTATCTTTTGCTTAGGCTGCTTAGGTAATAATATTTATTTCTGTATTCATTTGTTGTTGGATTCCATTCTGGTCTGCAAATGTCGTGTAGTTGCATTGCTTGTCAACTGTATCTGATACTCTCAGTGTTCGCAGGATGCACTGAATGGAACATAGTTCACTCTGTTGACAGTTATGATATAGGCGTGCTGTGTATAACGAAATGAGGCAAGCATAACTCGAATTCAGCAATGTGTACAATATTCATCTACTTCACTCAATACATGGAGCGCCCCCGTTTTTCAATTTCGGGGGGAACTTGACTTGTAGTTGAAATTCGAGGTAGTGAGAAAGCGTTGGCGTATGGTCCCTTACTGAAATCATGCGGAAGCATAACTTCTCTCTTACAAATGAAAAAAAGCAGCCGATGCCCATTTTGCATGTTGATCTGGTGAGGCGCAATGAAGCCGCACGTCAGCTACCATGGCCTTTTTCAGTTCGATCTAATTGGGTCGAACGCCATCGGTCCACTCGCTCCTTATTATTAAGCTGGCTGCACATATGGTAGCAGTAAGTAACCAAGTGCCTCGGCACAGGGGGAGACCACACTGCCAGCCAATCACAACAGCAACAACCAAGCTGAGCAAACAAGATTAGGTAAGCCCTGTCTGAGCCGTCGGGAAGCTCCAAATGTTTGACGGCATCACTTCCAGGGCGGCGACAGCATCATCAACTTCCTGCCATTGATCTCTACACAGCCCACCATGGCAAGCAAAATCGCCCCCCTAGTATTCAGAACGGCTGCCCGCTCCGCACGGAGGGCGGCAAGGCCACAGACTCGCGCATTCTCCGTCACAACCTCAAGACCGAGCGACTCGCTCATGGTCGTACGTGCCACCCGAGAACACCCTCCCTCTGTTGTGTCCCGTCGTCACCATCCACCTCGGCGCATAAGTCTTGTGGACAGCCAGCTGGAGACTGTGAAGAGAAGCTAACGAGGCCCCCGATTGCAACAGCACCGAAACACACCCGACAACAACCCCAACATCCCCTTCAAATTTACCGCCAAGAATGAAGCCGTCATCGCCGAGATCCTCAAGCGGTACCCACCACAATACAAGAAGGCCGCAGTCATGCCGCTGCTGGACCTGGGCCAGCGCCAGCACGGCTTCACCAGCATCAGCGTCATGAACGAGGTCGCCCGCATCCTCGAGATGCCCCCCATGCGAGTCTACGAGGTCGCTTCTTTCTACACCATGTACAACAGGACGCCCGTTGGCAAGTTCTTCATCCAGGCCTGCACTACGGTAAGCTTGCCCTCGCTGTACAAGAAGAACTGGGGGATAGGTGGAGGAGGTTACAAATAAGAGATGGAATCAATCCGACGGATATACGCAAGGAATCCGCAGAAAGGGCAAATAGCACACAAGCTGACCTGTATTCCAACACGCACAGACACCCTGCCAGCTCGGCGGCTGCGGCTCCGACTCGATCGTCAAGACGATCGAGGAGAGCCTGGGCATCAAGGCGGGCCAGACGACCGCGGACGGGCTCTTCACCTTCATCGAGGTCGAGTGCCTCGGCGCCTGCGTCAACGCCCCCATGGTGCAGATCAACGACGACTACTACGAGGACCTGACGCCCGAGACCACCAAGAGCCTGCTGACCGCGCTGAGGGAGAGCGCCGGCGACGTCAGCAAGATCCCCAAGCCGGGCCCCCTGAGCGGCCGCCAGACGTGCGAGAACAGCGCCGGCCAGACGACGCTGCTGAGCGAGCCCTACGGGGCTGAGGTCACGAGGTCGGATCTGTGAGCAGGTGGGTAGAGATACGGGTCTTTTGGCGTCTGACTTCATGCAATATGGCCGTCTCATTGTCGAGAGCAGATCGTTAGACAGACAGTGCGAGGCGATTTATGGACGGGGACAAGGGAAAAGAGACCAGAGAGAGCAGAGCCCTGCTGGTTGTACATATGAATTTGTATTGCGCGTCGTATCAAGACCTTTGTGAGACAATTTTGGCCTGCAGCAGTGCTATCTTTCTCGAGAACATGTGATCCCAGAAACCCATCGTCCGTTAATGCAAGAACGCCGACCCCTGTTCCGAGGTGAGATGAAGTAAATCAAAAAAGTCAAGCTCATCGGAGCCCGGACGCTCAAGGCTCTCTCTTCTCTGCACCCAGCCTCAGGATCCAGCCGTCTCCCAATCTCTTATTCGCGCCGTCCAATCCGCCCCAGACAACAATGCCCCTCTCCTCGAGCTGACCCATGTGCGCCGTGGCGAACCAGCCCCTCGGGCCGGGACCCTGAGCCGCGGCGTCGTCCTCGTCGTCATACGCCTCGGTCTCGACGCGGAACCACTTGCCCTCGACGGGCCTCTCCTGGCCCTTGCTGCCGCTCCTGCCCCTGCCGAACATGCCCATGACGGACGAGGCGGCAGTGGCCCTGGGGAGCTCGTACGCCCAGATGTCGTCCCAGAACTTGCCGGCCGCCTCGTGGCCTGCCTCGCTGGGGTCCCGCTCGCCCAGTAGCAGTATCAGGTACTCGCGGCCGCCGACCCCGCCGATGGTGACGGTCTGCATCCCGGCGACGCTGCGGTTGCCGGGCCAGTGCGGGTTGACCTCGGCCTTGAGGGGCACGCTGGCCGCCTCGTCCTTGTCCTCGCCGGCGGCGGCGTTCTCCTCCGCGGCCGCGACGAGGGGCGCGGCGGGGCTGCCCGCGAGCTCCGGGAAGATGCTCTTCCACTGGCCCCTGGCGCTGAGGACGACGTCCCGCTCGCTACTGATGTTCTCGAAGGTGTCGACGCCGAGCTCGAGGTAGTCCAGCTGGCCGCCCTCCTCGCCCTCGCCGTTGAAGCCGCCGAACCTCCAGAGCCTGGAGCCCGCGACGCCGAGGCTCGTCCCGCCGCGCGGCTTGCCGGGAGCCGAGGGGAGCTCCTGCCACACCCTCGAGCGCACGTCGAAGGCCCAGGTGTCGTTGGCCCGACCTTCGGCGAAGCACCCGCCGTGCACGATCAGGGTGCCGTACCCGTCGTCGTCCTCGTCCCGGCTGTTGTTCGCGACCTGGCCCACGGCCGGGTTGTCGCCCTGCGCCCACTCGGCCCACGTTTCGGTCTTGGTCTCCCGGGTTGCGAAGTCCCGCGGCTGGTCCAGGCCGGCCACTGAGTGGTAGCTCCTCGCCGCGGGGTAGAAGTGCCTCTTGTCGGCGAAGGCCGGGGATATGGGGCCCGCTGCAGGGAGGAGGGGGTCCAGGTAGCTCCACAGGTGCGTCTTGGTGTCGAACACCCACACTCGGCCGTGCTCCTCCAACGGCGCCAGGTCGGGGCCACCGCGCCCGCCAAACAGGAAGATACGGTTGCCAATGACGGCTGTGGCATGTCCAACGCGCGGGGAGGGGACGTCGCCCAGGGAGGAGCGGTCGAAGTCTGCGTGGGCGGGGCCCTTGTCCTTGGAGGTGCTGGGGTCCGGGCCGTCGGCGATGTTCTCCGACCCGGTCACGACGTCGTCGGACGCCTCGGCCGAGGTGCCGAGGGGCACCTCAGCCAAGTCCTTCTCCTTGCTATCGTCGTTGCCGTCGTCGCTGGGGGCGATGACAGTGGGGACCTGCGGGACCTCTTGCTTGGGCGCTGCCTTGGCCTTGACGGCGTAGTAGTCGGCGCCGGCGCTGCTGAAGGGCAGGGTGATGATGTGCATCTCGTTGTCGACTGGCTCGCGGGGCCGGATCTCGCCGCCGAAGATGTAGGCGCTACCGGCGACCACGTTGACCGAGTGGGATGACCGCGGCATGGGGGGAACGTCGATTCGCTCCCAGGTGGCCTTCTGCGTGGGCGTACCCGGGTGCGCTGCCCCGGCTCCGAAGGCTGGCATCTTGGGGAGCCTCGACGAGAGGTCGGACAGGTTGGGAAAGTTGGCAGGCATCGATGGCATCGATGGCATCGCTGGCATCGCTGGCATCGCTGGCATGCCGGGCAGGTTTGGTCTGGGGATATTGCCCACTTGGCCCTGGGCTTGGGACATGAGGTCGGTGGTCCGACGCTTGAGAGATCCGAATGTCTCCATGGCTGGTTGTGGTGCTGGATTGGTGATTTGAGAAGGTAGGGCAAGGTGGTGGGAGGAAGGGAGGGAGGTTCGTCGAATGGTATTTGGGGCGATGTGATGATGGATGGAGCTCGCCTGCTCTCTTTATTATTATCCTAGTGGCTGAGTCCGTTTGCGTGTCTGTCGCAGTGGAGGAGCTGCGGTAATGAGCAGGGAGCTTCGCTGTGACGTAGGCGCGATCCGTATAACGGCTGATCTGCACTCGCTTCCGCCACGAGGACACTCGGCTGATCTGCAGATAGACAGCTTGCAATCAAGGCAGGCCCTTGGCCAAATCACAGGCTAACAGTACTCGAGTAAACCCGCAAAAAGAAGAAGAGCCTCTATTGCAATCAATCAATTGACCTGGTTGAGTCCACGTAGACACGAATGGTACGTATACGGCGTACAGAGCAGTTCCCGAACTGCGGGGTTCGTAAACGGTGGACCCTGACTCGAACACCACTACTCAGCTTGTTCAGCTGCTCAGGGGCAAAGCCTCACTACACCTACGTGGGTGTGTGAAGGGTTCGGGTTCAAATCTGGGAAAGATACCCTCCCCCCCTTATACGACCCCCGTTTCGACTTACACGCATGTTACGCATCCCCACCATTTCTGCTAGCTACATCTTAAAGTCCCTAAATATGCACACAACAGGACCTCCATAGATATTATTAGTGATATGTGTGGGAGTTATGATACATAGCTGTATTACTCTCGCAACATACCATTGAAAAAAGGATCACACAATCAACATGTCATACCGCAGGAGGCAGCAATAAGGAGCAGACTTTACACTGACACAGCTCTGTAACATACTTGTCCCAACGCTTAGACTGGTCTTGCAGAGGTGCTGTAGCCCTGAACAGATTTGTATCAATTTGTAAGTCCATTCAACATTCTCGTCTCGACAGAAACAGAAATTGTAAAAATGACAATTGGCTCGTTGATGGAACAATTTGAAACTTCAGTACGAGCAGAACGCCATGGCACTAGTTCCAAACCGACAGTGTAGAAGGAGGTGGACGGAAGCCATGTTTTAATGAGCTCAAGAACTTGGGATCCTTTTGAGTCTAATCAAAGCGCACACACGCACATTCACCATAGCATGAAAGACTTTGTAAGGAACGTCATCTGTCATCAATTTACAGCTTTCTATCTATGTACAGCCCACCATATTATCGGTCTCACCTCCCTCCCAGCCAGCGCCTAAAGAATGTGGTATAATAATGCAAAACGAAGTAAAAAGAAACCAGCAATGGGAAGGGGATAGCTGATCCAGATCAGCTATGCCTCCCAGCCTTTTTTGACCGACCCATCCATCCAGAATGACCAGGGTATCGAACTGTGTGCCTCAACGTCTGAGCTCGATATGGTATGTACCAATCTACTCCTCGGTCTTGAGGGCACGGGCGAACCTGCGCTTGGCGAGGTTGTACTCGATGGCCCTCTTCTTGGCGGCGGCGCTCTGGGTGAAGGCGACGGAGCCACCGAAGGGGCCGGCGAGGGCGGAGTTGGCCATGCGGGCAATGCAGACGTTGTTGGCGCCACCGACAGAGCCGGAGCAGGTCATGCCAGCGGGCATCTGGACGGCGATGGGGAAGTCCATGGTGGAAGCACCGGAGAGACCACCGATGCCGATGCCGGGAACGTCCTGGGTCATCTGAGCATCCTTGAAGGCAGCGGGGTCGGTGCCGCCGGAAGTGGGATCGATGGCGGCGGTCAGGGGACCGGCACCGTCCTGGTTGACCTGGTGGAAGGTCATCTGCAGGGTGCCATCATCCTGGGTGGTGGGCAGACCCTGAGCGGCGGCCATACCGGTGGCGGCTTTGACGGCGGTCTCCTGAGTACCCTTGGGGGTCTTGGTGCCACCGTTGGCAGCACGGGGCAGGTTGGCGCGGCGGGCGAGGGCAGCCTCGTGGATCTCACGGGCAGCAACGACAGCGGAGGTGTTGGCGCCGGCGCCGTCCATGAAGAGGCTCACCATCTTGGAGGCATCGACGGGGCCACCTCCGTTGGTGCGGCCCAGAGCGGTAGCCTTGGAGGTGCCGAGCTCCTTGTCGCGGATGATGGAGGTGTCGGCCTCAGAGCCACATCGGGGCGAGGCGCAATCACGGGGAGTGCCATCAGCGACCGAGAGACCGGGCAGGGTCACACCGTTGGCACCCTGGACGGCGGAGACGACACCGTGGGCGAAGACGTTGGTGGCAGCGTAAGCCGCGATGAGGATGGCACTTGAGTACTGCATCTTGACTGATTTCTGGTTGATGTTTATAAACTGAAAGAGCTGTTTGCGGGCCGAAAGAGGTGGCTGAAGTTAAGAAGACTGTAAAAACTTGGAGCTCCGGGCTCTAGGGCAAAGAAAGGCTGATGATGAGAGACTGATTAGACGACTGATGAAGCTGCTGATGATGATGAGAAGAGAAAACTGGAGCGAGAGGAGGCAGTGGCCCGTGAATCTTATAGAGATTTCGGATGCCAACCGGCTTGGTACAGCTTGGTACAGCTTGGCTTGCATCTTGGCGATGCTTGACAGGCTTGGTTCTCTGGGCGCCAAGTTGCCATGCAAAAGAGTTCGGACTCGAGGTGCTCTGTATTCTCAGAGATCAGGTGAAGCAATGATCCGACGATAGAGTTGAGGCAGTGTGGCTGCTAGCCCAGACGCTGAGCCGGGAGAGGCCCAGCCCGCCATGCCTGCAGGTGACGGGAGTGGCTGCAGATCCTCGCGGCGAGGTGCCAGCACGTGTTGCGATTGGCCGTCTGTCGAGGAACGGGCAGCATGGTATGTACATCTCCCGGGTGTGCAAAGGGGTATAGCCTGGTGTCACTGGGGGCCGGGAAGGAGGAAGGAGGAAGGAGAACAAGATCGGCACGGGCTGCAGCGGCCACTGGTGCTCGTCATGCAAGGCAGATTTGGTTGCGATCGTGGTGGATTGCTCTTGAGTGCAGGGGGCATGGGGCTTGAGTGCTGCTCGTCAACGTCAGGAACCTGTGGTGCCCAGGGCCGAGGGCAGTTATGTTTTGGAAACCCCATCCCAGAAACGGGGTGAAGGGGGTCAAGGAGCGCTTGCGATTTGCTGATCAGGTGAAACGAGGTCTGTTTAAGCATTTGAGCCGCACTGGGATTGCTCCACTGAGATTGGGTGCAGGGGTGCACAGCAAGGGAAGGAAGGGCCGGGTGCAGTGGGGCTGAGCCGGCTCTTCCTGTCCTACTGCCCTGCTCCTGCTGCTTGTCTCCTCCCCTTGCCCCTTCTCCTTCGACTCCAGCCTTGCCTGCATGTGGCCTTAATCATTCCAGAAGCGGGCAAGGCTGCGGCTGCCCACTCGGCGGCCCCTTTCAACAAACCAAACCCACACCGCAGTTGACCCTGATCTGCCAGGGGTCGAGCAGATCATGTCAAACACAGCCGGTCACGCTTCTTGGAACATGGCGCCCATGCCTGGAAACTACTGCCAGTTGCCGCCGCCGCCTCCTCATCATGCACCTGCAGCCCCCGTCTGCAGCTCGCGACTAACTCGATTCCTGGCCACAGGCCTCAATTCGTCTCTTGACAACTCATGACTGATTCTCCTGATGGGCGCAAGGCACCCGAGAGGCACCTCAGAGGCACATAGACGTGGCGCCACACTGCATATTCCTAATGGCAAATTAAGCGCACGGCACGCTGCAGTTCGATAAGCGTTGCTGCCGCCGATGTCCGGGAACTAATCTCATCACACATCTTGGTCACATAGTAGGAACTCAAAGACGCGCCTGCACATGGTTTCGCACAGCCTGCGCCCGGGGAGGTGGACTCCCCACTGTTACCTGGCCTGCGGGTCAGTGTTTGCCGCCAAGGGAAACGCTTGAATCTCGTCAGTGCAATCGTAATCGGCATTGGAAACAAGGAGCCTCCTGCTTCCATGCTCCACCGGCTGCACATGCCTGTGCACACTGGCTTTGCGTCCCGAGTACCGTAGCCACGCGTGCCCAGCAATGTTCAGTGGTGGCCCAAGATTGATCAAGCTTCTACCAAGACATGTCGAAGGCTTGGCCGCTGCCGATCGCTTATCCACCGCACACATTCCACCAAATCACCAGCGTCTTCGTCCCGACTTCCCTCTCGTCTCAGCAACAATATGGATGGCATAACTCCGTGCCAGCGGGGGAAATGCAACCCGGATGGGCGCGTGGCCGCCCCGTGCGTCGTTTCCGCCACGTCCCGCCTCCTGCACACGATCTAGACGACTTGGTTTCGGGGCCCTCCTCTTTGTCATCGTCTCAACCTGAGGCTCAAGATCCGGGCGGTAGTGCAAGGTTCACTTAATCCGGTAATTCTTCCCCTGCTGAATGGCTGAGTCGTCTGGACTAGTCGATGGGATTGATTCAGGGTGGGGACGCTGATTCGTGGACTGGGGAGGGGCCTCTATCTTTTCAACCTCGGGTGCATCGGCGTTTCGATGCGTCCAAAACAAAACAGCACTCACCGAACATGTTTGAGGCGCAGGTTGCGGCCCCAAGGCAGAGTTTTACCCCCCCCCCCTGCGACTGCCGCTGGAGTCATACTCGGCCTCTCGCCTATCGGGGACGGCATCATGCATTGCACATGATTGATTAGGATTCGCCAGTTTAGTCTGGAAGCAGGCATCATCAGGCTGGCCCCAAGGCCATCAGTCGGAGCGCGTACACAAATCCTCAGGGGGCTTCAAACACATCGCAGCTTTGTCTGATTTAGGAACAGACAACATAGAACGAGCCGGATCTCCCGCTCCCTATCTCCCGTCCCAGCTTGGCGTCTGATAGTGACAAAGTCGTTGAACTCGAGTCGTTGAGCTCGATGTTGGACCAATATTGCCCGGCAAGACCGTTCAGATTCTTCTTGCTCCTAGTTTTCGCCTCAAATCTTGTCATCTAACAATAGCACACGGAGCAATCATCATCAGAACTTGGTCACATTTTCCAACTCACAAGCATACGCGTACACGCACCTGCGGGCGGTTGGACTGTCCAGATTTCTCCTCTGTTCAGCGTAACGGCACGAGCTCAGGAAGTGAATACACAGTCAAATCACAAAAAACAACAGTGTCGGCTTGTTCTATCGTCCTCCATGATTCCATTGTACTTTCGTATCGGACGAAAATCTTTATTAACTCATGTGTTCAAGATACAGATAATCCCGCAAAGCCTCGTACCGGACCGAGTCACACATTGCATACCAATAGTCGGAGTTCACGTACGAAAGCAAACACTATACGCCATCTCTGAAAATATATGGTGTCCCGTGGGATTCTCTCGCGCCTCGTGTTGCCCACGGCTCCTAATATCTTTTGACAATACCCAGCAATGATATTTAGAAAATTACAATGACCAGTACTTTAGCCACACATCAGTATCTTTCCGCATAGAAACCCCCCGGCCTCTGCAGACAGCAGAAGACGAGTCGAGGGATGGCATTTCACACAGAAGACTGCATACCCACCCAGGTCGGTAAGCAAAGTGCTTGACAATTGTGGATTATAGCAGCTATGAGAGACTAGGAAGACGTGCGTAGGTTGAAATGAACCAGCAAAACACACAAAACAGTCGACCAAGGAGATAAATAGCCATAAATCGTGATGTAGTCAAGAGCCAGCGAATCCTTCCGCAGAACCCCATCTGCGCCGCCCGAGCACACACACACATATGTGCTCGACTAAAGGGTTCCCGGCTGTGCATGTGCGTTGTCATCCGCCTCAGCCCCGCTGGAACCGCACGTGTTTCCCAAGCCCGGGAGAGGCGGACTGACTAGCCTTCCTCTTCGGCGAGGTTGTCTTGGCCAGTGTGCCTGGCTTCTCGTGCGGGGGACCGTCCAGCACTGCCTTTGTCTGGTAGAGCGAGGCGAGCATGTCGGCGTGCTTCCTCGCGACGTGGGGCTTCACGTTGTCGGGCCGGTTCTTGAAGACCTGGTAGCAGATGGGGCACTGGGAGTCCTTGCTCCTGTGGTTGCGCGTGATGTGCTTCTCCACGGCCGCCGCCAGCCTCTTCAACGACCTCTTCACGCTCGTGTCCGGCTTCCACCGGCAGATCTTGCATTCGGGTATCGAGTTGTCGGCGGCTGGTGGGGAGTCCTCGCTTGTCGGGGGCGAGTGAGCCATGGTGACGTCGCTGGATACCGGGGAGAACGAATCGTGGGCGGGATAGGCACTGCCGGCGACCTCCAGGGCTATGCCATGTTCTCCCAGTGAGCTGATGGCTGATTCGGGCATAAACGAGGAGAAGGCTTCTCGTTGGCTCCACTGATTTTGAAGGAAGCTTGTGAGTTCACCCTGGCATTCCTTTTGGACATAGTCGTAGTCCATGTTGGTATCACTACCCGCGGAGAATAAGGACCTCATGGTCCCGATGTGTTGTTTCTTGCAAAAAGTTATCTACTGAAAGCTCGAACCCGCAGGGCGGGTCACCGACGTGTGGGGGTTCGCAAGGCAGTTGAGGCATGTTGGCCCACTGAGACACGTTCGAGCCATCGATGATTGGCGTTTCGATCCACGCAACATTCGAGGGAGACCATGTAAGTTGCGTCGACGATGAAGAAACCGCCGACGGGATTCCTTGTGATGAGAAAGTGCTACAGGGCCCACTATCACATGACGAGTTCGTAGTTGTAGAACTTGGGCAGGAGTTGCTGCTGTATGGCCCACTTGCATGTGACGACGCCGGGTTGAATTGCGTGACGATCGGATCAACGGCGAAACTTCTGTTATGCTGCTGGCTGAGAGGGTAGATTACCTGAGAGTCGATCTCGGAACTACCACACAAATATGACACGGGCGATACTTGGTCTCTCTCCTGGGAAGGGCCAGCGTCGAATGAGAGGGATGACGATGGCGAAGATACAGTAGAGGAAGATCGTGCTGGGGAGCTAGGGTAGCCCAGGACATTGTCAAGACTTCTCCTGAACTTCAGCATGGCCTTCTCGCCGTGGCCCCTGGCAGGCATTCGGACATCTTTCTGACAGCCGGGACAGGTATATTGTCTCGGGTTGGACTTGAAATGCTGGCATTTCTCAAGATGAGTGATTACGTCGGCGAAGGTGCTACACTGTTGATTGCAGCTTAGGAGAGGGCAGTTCCAAGTGTCTTGAACTTGAAGGCAATGTCGCTCATTTAGGCAGATGTACCATTCCATTAGAATGTACTTCAGGTGTCTCTTCGACGAGGGTTCGCGCGCGCGCTCCTTGAACCTGTCATTTGGTCAGCCATCGCTCAAGCACAGGATCGTCGGACTTACACGCATTGCGCGGTGTGCTGGTTGTTCTTGTCATATGCTTGTAGGCAAGTCGACTGCTGCGCCGCAGCCTCACTTGGGCTCTCAAGTCCTTGACGCTGATAAGCCATGTTTGCCGGCAAACCGATCGAATACTTCTCCGGCGACGAGGCTGTGGGAATACTGGACTGCGAGGCTATGCCCGAATTCTCTCAAGCATGTACAATGTTTATGGATTTTGTGTTTGGCCATTCTCAAGCAGGAAACTGGATTGTTATAAACAAATTCGATGCTTGCTTCTGCCATACTCAAAAATGTGTTGCCTTGTCTGGCACCATGGAATCTCATCACCCTTCAGGAAGGCTCCCAGGCCCTCATGGTAATGAGTTGGCATCGTATTCCTTCCACTACCCATGCACTGGATACATTCGTCATAAGGTCTGGCAGCACTGGTTGCCTGAGGAAGCTCGGGAGTGACTGGCCCTGCATGGAAGGGTCGACACCTTCGGGAGGCCCATCCAATAATACCTCCACGAAGACACGAAGACACGAAGCATGAAGTGTTGTGAAGGGATGCAGAGGATCCAAGGAACATGCAGGGTGTCGAGTGGAAAAAAGGCACGAGCGGTTGACGTCGTTTGTGTCGTGACAGGGTGGCGGTTCGCCGTGGTTCGCGAAAGGGTGCAGAGTCCGAACATCGGTAACGGGAACGAAGAGTCCGCAACCTTGTGTGCTGGGAAAACAATTAGCATGTTCTGGGACCGAGGAGTGCAAGGTCCAGTGGAAGGGTGCCTCGGTCCGTTCAGGCCGACAGGGTCCGCGAAGGGGCGAAGGGGGCAATGCAAACATGCGCAGGTGATGGACTCAGAGTTGCAGCGATCGAGCCCTCTGGCGTAGTTCCAATAGCTGCATCGTTGCCTTTTCTCTGTCGGTCAAGCCGTCCGAATGAGGAAACAGAGCCTCAAGGCGGGCACACTGTGATGGCAGTGCACCATTTGGGCCGGCCTTAGACAAAGTCTTGTGGCTGTCACCAAAAAGCAGGCAGGCTTGGAAGGGGCTGGCAAGGAACGGTAATCGATGGGTGTAAATATCCAGCGGTGTAAAGAGAGAAGGCATCCTCCATCGAGAACTGGAGTATATTCGAGGACGGATAGGTCGCTGTTATAATATGCCAATGCTGATCACCTGTGGAAATGGCCCCCAGAGCTGAAACCCATAATTATCTGGAAAGATGGAATTTGAAGACGGACGATGGGGTCCTAGTACCATATTAGCGAAGATGAACATGACCGGCAGAATGCGCCCCCAAAATGCCAGCCTCCACGGTCTCGATCCCGCCCCAGCAATTACCATACATATCATAACACTGGTGCCCGACACACCACACAGGATTCTGCAGCGCCCAGGAAAAGCATGCGCTTGATAAGAGCAAAGCCCCTCATCTCAAAGACACATGCCTGTTTGGGCGTAGTAGTGCATCGTGATGAGCATTCGACCGCCCCGGAAGAGAATGAATCAGTCCTGACCACCGTGTCTAAGCCGCTCCTGTGCCTCTCGTGCATGCGTAAAGCGGGGCGTCGACGGGGTCATTGGTGGTGTTCGACACCCACATGCAGTGGCTTGAACCCGTGCAGAAGACCGGATTTGGGGGCGATGGCTTGCAATTCAGCCTGCGAACTCGTACAGTTCAGGCCGCCCCCGACTTCTCAGACCGAGGAAGTGTGTAACCGCTGTCTCAAAATATCAGCAACGTTCTTAGGAACGAGGAAGAGGCACTCACATACACTCCAAGATCCCTCTAAGTCGACGGATCCTCCAAGTGCAACTGGTAGAGGCCTTTCCTTGCACAAATCCTTCTTGGTTCTCTCAGGCTTCCAGTAAAAAGGACGAACACGGGATACTGGGTCATGTGCGCATCAGCGTCTGTATGATTTGGAGGAATTTGAGAGGACAGCACAGCAGCTTCAGAGACACGAAGACGCTCGCCGGCATGGGATAATCTTTATACCTATGGACTGACGCAACCGTCCTACGATTGACTCATCCATAAAGCTCCGGAGTCCTAGACTCTCGTCAGGTGTTCTTTGATGACGGCACCACCGTGGGACACAGGACACCAGTGGCGACGTCCAGAAAAGGAGAACACCTGCTCGACACTGAGTCGCTGCTGGCAAGCCACACCTAGGCTTTCTGAGCTAGTGTGCTCGGCGTTCGTAGGAAAGGCTGCCACCTCTTAACACAATTGAGGTTGCTGAAGGCCATCAGCTGCTGTCAGCAAGACCAAGTGGATAAAAATAATGATGGGATTTCATCGGTTGAGAGGGAAATACTGACCTCGTGAATTTCTGAGAACCATTCTGGCCCCTGGGTCTTTTTAACCAGGCCAGGCGGGAACCAGCATGTTTCATTCACCCAGGTTAGCAGGCATCCGTGTTCCCACACGGCTCGGTGGTTATCCGGCGTGATAGCTGTCATGACCGGTCACAAATTTACCCTCATTTCTTTTCTGCATTCATTTTTTTCTGGCTCACTTGCCCACGTAATGATCCGAAACACCTCTTGTTGTCGGAGTCAATCCTTTTGCGTTCACCTTCCAGATTTTGACTCCATGAGTCTAGGGCAAGAAAAGTCTTTCCTGCCCACATCCTCGGCTTCGCACACGTTTAATTTCAGAATTTTTGCATTATTCGAGGACGCAAGTACCACCGGCTGCGCAGAATTGCAAGGTAACTTAAGGTACCAGGGCCTGGCCTCCCATGCGGCGAGAACAGCACCCAGTACTTTACGGACACGCTTCAGGGCACACTCTGAAGACTCAGACCTCAAGGCGTTGGTCACGTCAACAGTGGGACTTAGTAGACCACTTAATAAAGGCACGGTAGTCCATTCGAGGACGCAAACGTACTACTTTTGTTATCTTTCCTCCAAAACCTGCTCCTCTCTCTGGTCATTTGCGGATCAGGTCATCTTGTTGTCGCCTCAGATTTGGTGACAGAGTCACCTCGGCCACAATGCATCACGATCACTTATTTTCGAAAAGCATGACCGAGAACCTGTTGTAAATGTCAGTTATTGTTTTCTGGAGTAGATTCTCTTGATGGACTCAGACCACGGAATGTTGTCTACCGTTCCTTCGGCTCGTGTAGCAACTCTCAGTTGCCACCTCCTTTCCATCTTGGGATGCCAAATCATCCTGACCTCGGGAGGCTTCAACTTGCAACGAAATCTCGTCTCAATGGATATTCTGAATGATGATATGGTGGCATACAAACGGAGGCGCTGAGGACAGAGAAGGGACGTTACGTCGTGTCATTTTTGTCGAGCTACCTGCATGAGCACAAGCAATCACGCTGAAAAGCCTTCACGTCCTATATTTGTTGCATTCTGACTGAGCCTCGACGTCGAATTCATTAGCATGAGTTAGGCTTAAAAATAAAGCTCTAGTTTCGGACAAAGACGTGTGCTGACAAGTTTCTTAGTGTCAAACTTCGATGATATGTCGTTGGGCTTTACGTTGCCACCTGAGGCAGCCACGCATGGAGGCGAGTACGTGCACCAATGCAGGAAAGCCAGATACGTGACTATGAACCTGTTGGGATTGCACAAACATTAAAATGCAATACCAACAGTCTAAAAATAGAAATCAAATTCTCAACGTAGGTGGCCTGGCAGACTCGGACACCCACAGGCAGGCAGCGGATGAGCGACCTCATCTGCAACATAGATCTTAGCATCATTGGCTTCTCTATCCGCTTCTGCGTTGGCTTGTTCATTTTTCCAAGAGTCTTTTAGGGACTAGGTCTTAGCCAAGTTATTGTATACAATTTTAATGTAAATTCTAGCGCTTGTACCATCAGGGCCACTGATCTTCGAGCAGTAAGTAGACTTGATTCGTTTAGTAGATCTACGATACCTAGGTACTACTCTTTTGGACCAATATCGGTTGCTCCAGTTTGCAAAGGGCAACTGCAATGATGTATTTCCTACATCCTGATAATTTCGTATGTAGCAAGAAACACGATTCCGAGTTGATGTCGAAAACCCCAAATGTTTCCACCAGGCAGCATACAAAAATTCTGTCCGGCCACTGGAGATCTATCAATTCAGAGTGGAAGCCCAGTGATCTTTGTCAGGCATACAGTTTCACGAGCGGATCAATTGTTTGTAATTGATATTCTGCCTAGGCAACACCCAGTGCCGAAATCGATGATTGTTCTGATTTCGCATGTGGGGGAATTATGCATCAAAAATGTTGTGGAATAGGAGTCGGGGAATACAACTGCCTCCATCTTCCCTGAAAACGCAATTCCCGCGAAGAATGACACGTATAACTTATGTGCCACGAGAAAATGATTGGTATCAATACCTAACCAGAGCAATTATAGTGTAGTTTAAACTAGAAAGTATAGATATGTGGAAGTATGTATGACCTCTTCCCGGCCGCCAAGATGCTCTTCGCGGGCTCTCTTGGCGGGTTGCCTTCTGGGTATTTGGTCCTGCAGGGCGAAGACCGAATCATCTTCATGAGAACATTGTTTCAGGAATTGAATAAAAATTCCTTCTCAACAGCCGTGTTGGGATAGATTTGCTTGTAGACGTGATGATGAGCGATCTGTGTTAAGCGGCAGATTGCTGTCGGCTTGTAGAACTGACTATGCACCAGGGATCCCACAACAACTGTCTAACTATTCCAGACCAAACCAGACAACAAATACAAGCACTATTAATAATGCAGGGACAAGTTCTCCTCTATCTCTCGGACTGTATACTGCCGAGAATTACGGATCGCCGGCGCGGAGAATGTCTTGGGCTGAGTAAGACCCCAGGTCGTAATGCTCAGTCAAAGGGGCCTAGCGGCTTTCAAAAATGCATAATACATAAGCTTCTACCCCTTCGATCCTCGAATGACTGTTCTAGACCATTTGGTCTGGTTGGTAAATTCGTTGCTGGCTCTTGTGCCTCCCAGACATCGACTTCCCGGACGTCGTACGATATGGAGCTGTTTGCCCCTATGTCTGATCTCTGGTAATGACAATCGTCACGAAGATGTTGTACTGTTTTGATTGAGATGTGTAATTGCTAATCTGTACTTGGATTAAAAACAGGGATGCTACAACAAGTCAAAAACGAATGATACCAGTCTTGCGTGCGAGTCCTCGATGATGACAGGGAGGATTCACGAACAGGACCACAGTGTCCCCAAGCATATATTGTCGATAAAAGCAGAGGTAGGCATTATGATTTAGTTACGAAGTCCGACAGCGCCAAATCGGATAAAACACGAGCAGATATATTACTATCCACGAAGCACGAATACACTGGGCATATCAAGCATCGCCGAAGTCTGAACCAAGGTTGATAATGTCACCGTTTTTTTCCGAGGCCCAATACAGCGGTTAAATAACCAACGAAACCTTGGAAACAAATCCAGGTTTGCAATGGCCGAGATCAACGCAGAAAGCATACTGAAGTCTCGAACATGGGAGTCTCTAGATCAGGGTCCGCTACCGAGACAGCCTGGCTCTCGATCACTTTCCCCGAGAGAATTCTCTCTCAAGGATTAATAGCCTTTGTGCTCAGGCTCAGTCATAATAAGCAAAAAACCCAGAATAGAGAAAATACAGTGCTCATTGTCAGGACTGAATTATCAATCGACAGAGCCGACATCGACCCTTCCAGGAAGAACAGCACGTCACGCTGTGACTAATGGCATAAAGAACAAATTCAAGGCCGGAACAGTACATTCAACATCAGAGGTTATGCATACGACATAGGTGCGGTAATATAAGAGTGCGTATATAGGTAGATACATAGCTGCTAAACAGGGTTGGCAATGCGCCCAGAGAGTCGTCAGTGCGGACTTCACACTTTGCTACCAATGTAAGTGTTACTTGCCATACGATGACTCTTCCCTAGAATGATTGTGTGCTACGACCGCAAAGCAAAATCATAGTGGTATTCAACCGTCTAAGCATGGCGATGCTGTTATTCCAGCGTATGGAAGCCTCGTACTAAATGGCCACATGTCGGCGTCCGCACGAAGCTACAGCTGGTTGAGAACGTTGTGCCCGCCATGTGTCACACCTCTATGCTTTCTCTGTAATCACGAACATTGGATTGTAGAGTTAAACAAGGAGGAGAAATACAAGATGTTCTTACGCGTAGAAGAATAATAATGTCCAAGGATGCATGAGGGCATACACAGGGGGCGCAATTCCCGGCAGAGGGTAGACATAGCGGTGAGGCTACCACAACATGCTACCGGGCACGGGTGTAAAATCTTTTCTCGTTGACGTGCAACTCCGGTGGGTTCCTCCGGCCAAGAGAGCACAGCAGGGCGCAGCAGGACACAGCAGGACGTTCATTCATCCATGGCTCACGCAAGGGTATCAAGCGATTGATTAAGTGTCGAGTTAAAAACGGAGACGCCTGAGCCGCCCGTACTACAATAAGGCACCCTTGGGGTTGAACAAGGTAGGTAGGTGCCAGGCCCCTTGAGCATGTCTGGCCGGTGGGACGTATCATCAATCCCGAACTCCTTCGAAACCCCCCCCCCCCCCCCCCCACTACCCGTTCGCCTCGCAAACTCTTGCCTCGCCCATTTAAATTCCCAAAAGCAACCCGACAGGAATCAACTCCAAATTCCGGAGTGAGAGAAGAAAACGCCCGCACAGCACGCGGCCGCCGCCTCGAACGCCGAGCATTCGCCATTTTTCGCCTTTCTTGTCACAAAAACGAGGTTCCTCCCTGTTCTTTTCTTCGCCCCGCGAGAGCGCCCAAAAATACTCCAGCCATGTGTGTGTATGCGTGTGTGTGCGTGTGTGCGTGTATGTGCGGATGTGTGTGTGTGTGTGTGGTCCGCCCTGAAGCGGACGAATGGTCAGGCATGTGGCAGCGGGATTTCAGCCCAGCCGCATCAAGCCTCAAATGCAACGGTATCCAGCCAGCCAGCCCACCCGCGAAAACGCGAGGAGGCGGCGGGAAAAAGCAACATCCGCCCTGCCTCGCTAATCGCGCTGGGCTGCAGCATCTCATCCCAAACGCCATTTCGAAAAGCCACCCCAGAAATAGCAGAGGGCGGGGGTAGATTCGCGTTCTTCCTTTTGTCCGAAGGTGGGTGAGGAGCCCTCCTCACATGGAGTAGTTCCCGACCTCGGGGTACAGGTACGCGTCCAGGTCGCTGCCGACGTGCATGGCCGACATTGTCGGGTCGACGTAGCCCCCGAGGCCCGGCGGCGGCGGACCCGCGGCCGGGTACGACGTGGGGATCTGCTGGTGCTGGTGCTGCTCGCTGACCGACGAGGCCTTGAGCTTCATGTACTCGGCCTGCAGGTCGGCGTACGCCTGGCTGAGCACGTCGTTGCGCGCCTTGGCGTCGTTGAGCATCTGCTCGAGGTCCTTGATCCGCTGGTCCTTGCGCTCCCGGTAGGCTCTTTGCGAGGCGCGGTTTTGTGCTCGGCGGCGCTGTTTGGAGGGGCTTGCATCAGCGTGAGACCTTTCGACTGCGGGCTTTGTGGGGTATGCGCTGGTAGTGGGGATGTGATAGTGGCGCTTTTTTTTTGCCTTGCTGGCTGAGACTTACCGATAGGACTGATGGCGGGGCGTTCTTGTATCTGTTCTCTCGCTTTCTCTTCGCGGCGGGCTTGAGCTGTGTGTTTGATGTTTGGTCGTGTGGTGACAGGCTCCCTTCCTCGCCTTCCACGTCTGGGCTCGGCATTGTATCTGAGCCTGTGTAATCCCGAGAAAAGGTCATGTCGTACTGCATGAGATTAGCGATGGGGCCGAGCTGGACGAGAGGTAAGCAGACGTACGGGAGAGGTTGCGGAGCTTTGCGTCTCTGAGCGGCTGGCGTCAAGGAATTGGTCTTGGTCGCTGAAAGTGTAAAGGTAGGAATGAGATGGTGACGGGGTGTCGAAGAAAAGGCTGACGTCCTCCATGTTATACGATGTGGCGAGTGAGAGAAGGCTGTGGGCTACGGCGGTGTGTTATAAATATCCCGGTGGATAATAAAGTGTGGTGAGAGATATGATGGAGGGAGGGGCAGGCTGGCCAAGGAGACGGACGACGAGCTTGTATTATAAGAAGATGCTGGCCGGGTGCAGGGAGGGCCAAAAGGACGTCTGGAGAGCGGACTATTCATTCATGGTGCGGGAGGTTTGCAGCTTTGCCTGGTGCAGCACTTGCATATGCGAACTGAGGCAGGAGGAAATCACTGCTGTCCTGGTGTGATAGACACCAGAGCAATGGCACCAGTGACTTCACCGTGCCGCTCTGGTTACATCGGCGGCCTGGTCTGCCATTGCGGAGGGATAAAAATGACTGAAGTTGCGGTGTCACTAATACCTCGATATTGTGGCCCGCCATGCTGGCCGTCGGTCTGCCAAAGTCGTTGCACCAGCATCCCCATGTTGGTGTGACACAGTGGCCATTCCTGGGCCCATGCTCAGAGACAAGATAGGGCTGGGAAGGATGAGCCTGGGGCAGTAGTGTACATGAAGCCCGTACATTTGCCGAGACAGTGCCTCCACTTGGTGTGTTTTTGCGAGTCTGTGCTTGTCCAGGGCGGACAGTCTCACTATGGCTCATAGCAAGCAGAGCCGTGCGCGTGCTGCTGCTCATGGTGGGCTTGTCAGCCTGGGAGACCTGCATGGTCTGCATGCGAGGCGCAAGGATGTAGATACGGATGGATCTGGTCGGCTGGTAGCAAGTGGGACGTCCTGACAGAGGCCACAGCTCCAAGTCCACATCCCGCCCTGGTCTGCGATGAGCGGCCGAGACGTTACTTGCGCACTCCTCCGAGAGACGCCCACGCATGGAGCTGCAAGACGTCACTAGCTGTTCGGTCGGCTTCTCGGAGAGCCCAGGCCTGGGCCAGGATGGTCGTGGGATGTCCATGGCGCTCAGGATACCGAGGACGACCGTGTGCCGCAGGGCGGTACTATGTACGAGGTGAGATAGAGTGGGGAGCCTTGCTCCTTGTCCAGGCTGGGAAGACGTCTGACGGTTCTGACAAGGGTGTCGGGCCAGGGGTCCGGCATGCACAGTCTGTAGGGCTAGGTGCGCGCACGGTGGGGAAGCTGACTCCCTGGTTCGACGGTCACTCCGTCCTGTCTCCTGCGTCGCCGAGACATGCAACATATGTCTCTCCGCTACTTTCATTCTTGTTATTGCATTGCATCAACCCACTGGGCGGCCCAGCGAGGAGATCTTCCCTCCATGGGATTCTTGGCATGCAACGGATACCCACTCGTCGACGCCGGGTCGGCGTCCCAAGTGACGCTCCTCGACGAATACCCGGGAGGTGGACTCCACGTGGATCTCGTGATAGCGCCAGCCTCGGTGGAGGGATCCGCAGACGTGATGCTCATGACCCTTTCTGTCGGGCTGTGCTCTGCCTCTACCCGGCCAGATACGCGACATCGCAGGCCTAACAGGGCATGGACACGTGGGTGTGTTGGCCCTGCTAGCCGCGCGAACACCCAAGCCGCCTTGAGGTGGGCCACGCTGACGGATCGTGACCCGACATTTTGGGTGAAGATGTCCTCGATGTCGCAATCGAGGAATGCCAGGCTCTCCATAGGTAGGCTGATCTGCGCTGTCAACGGTGCATGCCGACCTGATTGGCAGGTCGGCATTTGAACCCGGTATTCGCTATTCTCTAGTCTGGGTCGTCGACCCATGGTCGCATTGCTGGTGAATTGGCTCGGTGAGCTTGGGGCAGCTTCAATATTAGATGTCGATCAGCCATGGTTCGCGAAGCACAGAGCCTCAACCTGACCCTGGGTGTAGATGATTGTCCAATTCTCATCTGCCGTAGAGTGGCCAACCCATCATTTGGGTGGGCTCGGCAAGGGGATGGCCAGTGAGCTGGGCTGCACTGGCATCTCAATCGTCGTCGAAACAAATCCCGTACGGTATCGTCGTCCTTTGGCGGCAGTGAGACGAACGATGGCGACGTCGGAACCAGCAGGACAAGGACTGCACTTCGAGCCACACTTCCGCATCGGGTTGAGGCCGCAAAGCTATCTAGGCAGCGGAGGGATAGCTGGAGGCTACCCTCCGGGTTCGCGAACGACAACAATGGTCCTTTGTCGCCAGAAGCAGGGCATCACACCCGAAATGGAAGACGCAAGCCACGAAATGAGGTGAGGAACTCCATAATTAGAAGAATCAAGCTCCTGTGGGAACCGGAGCGGGCACAGTGGGTCCCGTTGCTGGCTATGCCATAACGAGGTTGGCATCGAGATGATGACCCTGGTGAGACGGCGGGTTCCTGGATGGCCGTGAGTCAATGATGATGTGGTGTATTGGTATGTTGTGTGTCGTGTGTTGTGTAGTTGAGTAGGAATGACATGTCCAAAGTCAGCCAAGGCCAGGGTGAGGTCCAAGTCCGGGTCCAAGTCACGGACCACCTCCCTGCAGCGTGGACGAGAGGAAACAAACTTCTGATCGACACTTTGATCTGTGCACAGACAGGACCCGACTGATTGGTTCCTCCCCACCCCAGGGAGTCTCACAACGGCAGCAACCGCTCCCGGTTTCTTGGCTCCGATCGCAAACTGTTGCTTCATTCGATTCTCCTGGCCTATCTTTCCTCGTCACGGCCTTTGACTCTTCTGCCGTCTTTTGAAAATTCATTTCTCGACTATCAGATTTTTCCGTCGCCGGAACAACGAAGCAAAGCCCGTTGCTGTATGATCGTCTCCTGTCAGGCTGTAATGGTGTCCTCCGCGGAAATCTGCTGTCAGCAGCGCCGTGCAGCAAGCGAGGCTGCCGGTCCCAGGGCAAAATTAGGGGGAGGGGGGGGAGGAGGGGGAGGTGGAATTGGCCGTTGGAAGGACCTGTCAACCTTCTAGACTACATACAAGAGCCTCTCTGGCAAATCACGCTTATCTTGGCGGTTGGTCTTGATGATCCTCACCCTGGTTGGGAGGCTCCCTGAGCTCCAGAAGGAGGGGGGAGGGGGGGGGTTGTACGCCCAAATGGTCATTCAGACCAAGAATCTCACCGATAGTTGCTACAGACAGCGTCCAGGTACCCCTAGCGTGAACCCGCCATCTCTCCCTGATCTCACGCACCACCCGTCCTCATCCCTCAAAAGGGTCCTTTGCAGCAGGGGTCGTGGGTCTCTTTGGGCACTATGCCACACCTGACAACACATGCTCTTCCATATCTGGGCAGCTGTGTAATTGGTCCACGCACCCCTCGAGGTATCAACCGAAGCTATCGTCATCCACACCATCCTCAAAGGCAGCAGCAGCAGCCCACGAACGAGTCCATTCAACCCCCTCCCCCAACCAACCAACATCTGGCGCCGCCGACGGACGCCGCCGACTGCCTGGCCTCCGGATTCGAGCATGCACGATAGATCTGGTCCGCATCTGACGCACGGCCGCGAACCCCGGCCCTAGAGCTTACGATGTGAACTGGAATCAATGGTGCCCTAGGTCCGGGAGGATTCAGGGGCAGGATTACCCAAGCCAGGCGGTATGGTGTGGTGTTGGAATGGCAAGCAGAGGGTTGACGTTGTAACTCCATGCCACACGATTTGAGGAGAGTGAAAGAACCAGCACGGAAGAGGATATTCTCCTCGACTCGAGAATGTTACCGCGTGGCGCTTTCACGAGCGTCGACAATTCCACCGATCCGCAAGGTCGAGACACATACTCGTCTGCCCCCCACCACCCCCCAATCGTCAAATCATCATTAGGGGCCCGGCGGGCACTGTGTTCCCACCTTCCCACCATTCCGCGCCGGAAAAGTCCCCCCCTCGCCAGGCCTTCCTTGCACTGCACCGGATACGAGCGAGCAGAGATAGAGAGATGGAGAGCGGGGAAGCGGTTCCCCTCCTCTCTGGACAAGCTTTCTTAGGGCTACATGCGGTGCGAGGGCGCGGGCGATCTGCACCCTGTAACCCGCTGTCTGTTCTGTGGATGGGGACCCTTGAAGACAGGCTGATCGACGACGGGGTTGCAGGGCAGGTAGGTATATACATGCTCTGTTAAGAGATGTGTCTTCGATCGAACCCCCTCTTCCAAACTTTAAGATCGTGACTGCGGATTGCGACTACTGCAACTTTATACATTTCGACCCGCCGATACCCGACATATTGTCCAGCATCTCCTGGGCACAAGCTTTAGGTCAGCCACGGACATGTGATCATGGACTCTCGACTGACGCGTATATTCAAGTGTTGTGCCCTGAGGATGCGCGCCGTCGTCGGTGCCACTCAAGCCTCCATGCTGTGAGATATGGAAATGGCGTAGGGCACATCGTAATCAATCTAGATTCTGCATGACTAGGTCCCTTTCGAAGCGAGAGACACTTCAAGCCTCTGTTCAGCCCTGGAGGCGAGATACAGTACAGTGCCGCGCCCCCGCCGGCGGTAATAAACACAAGGTTACGTTACACAACACAAAAAGGCGTCTGGCGAAAAACAACTTGGACTGCCCAGCTTACAGGCGGATGCCCTAATCCTGGGGGCTCCGTGGAGAGCCACTCCCAGATGTGGCAATTCCGTCGCTTCGTCTCGCAGGATTCTATTCTACACGTGAAGCCTCAGCCTTAGCCACCGCGAAGAAGGAGCTGGTGGGGGCTGGGGAGCGGAGCACAGAAGATCTCCTCAGCGCAAGGTGGCTTGCTCGCGTCCGGAGCGCACCACTCTATCTGTGCCTTAGCGGGACGCCTCCCACTCCCCTGCCTCCTCTCCACAAACTGCGTGATGCCTATACGGTGAGGCCTTTTATCTATTCTTAGGATATCGTGAACTGGGGAAGACTCGTGGTATAGCCTAAACCCCAGATGTGTCTAACTAGGATCGGGGAGCACTAGCCAGGGTCAAGTTTGAATTCATGTGCGTGATATCATATTTCTCTTGGTCTTCATCCGACGTGAGAACATACGGACGTGCCGGGCTAGTGGTCGCCGACGACACGGCTCGATTCGTCCAGTTCACGGAGTATGTATTTTTTCATTTTTTTTTTTCCATGTCCTCTCGTCATCTTTTGCACTGCGTTGTATATTGACACTGTAGATGCGCCAACACGCGCGCTTCCGAAGGAACTGTCCCCCCTGCGCCGCTGCCAACGCCCTGCACGATTAACTACGAGATCCGCTGGAAGATCGTGGGATTGCTCCCCAGTTGGGTTGAGATAGAATCTGATTGGAGAACCAGAGTCGGCGCTGGGCGGGCGGCCAATGTGCAGCGGATGCGCTACACCAACATGCAAATGATTCCAAAGAACGGTCCCATCGGCCGACCACCCTGGCCTTGCGCAGGACTTTGCGAAATGCCCTATTCTGCTTTTTCTCCTCTGTACTTTTACACGCAGGGGCCCCTATATCCTCGGGGCCCAGATGCCTCCACAGCAAGCCTCTCAAAAGCGGGTACCCGTACCGAGTCCAGGGCTCTGGGGAAAGGTAATAGGTGATATCATGCCACCCTCACAAGAGCCCCATCCGCCCGCCGCCCACCCTCCGGCAGGGCTTCCACCGCCAGGCCTGTGCTGAGTGGCCTGCAGCAATGCAGCCACAGCTGCATCCATTCGTCGCCGCGGCCGTGCCGACAGACACAACCTTGAAAACACGTGTGCGTTACCCTGGCCATGCAGCCAATTTTTCTGAGGTCAGCGGTGTGGTTAACATTCACAAGCTTCGTTTGCTCGGCGCTTGTTCGTGATCCGCCGGGTCATTCTCGGGGGATAGGGCCCGTGATGGTTATTTGGTCCTATCTGGGACATCTCGGGTCGGTCTTAGATCGCGCTTCTGGGAGGACCGCCACAACGTTCGATTGCATATCGGGCACGAGCCTATGGAAATAGCCGCGCACGTATTCGAACTCGTGATTGGGTTGCGAATACCACCAGTGTCTCGTTTTGATATCTTGTGAACCTCAATGCCCTGCATCGGTGACCAGAGTGGTCTGATGGCTATGCGAGTTCCACCAGCAAAAGCCGAATGCGTGGAGGTCATGGCTCTATACCCCGGCACGAAGTTGATGCCATATGCCCACCCTGCCGGGCAATATACAGTAGAGCAGGTGGAACGTTTCACATGGTTCGATTTCTTCTCTGCAGCTTACTATGGCTGCGTTCGGAACCGTCGTTGCTCGAGTCGCGGACACAGATCGATGACAAAGTCACATTTCTCGCTCCTGCTCTGGCTTTGATCGTAGACCTCCGGGCTTTGATGAAGGGGCGTAGGCGGAGAAAGTCGGCCAGCGTGAGACTTGCTGTCGACATGGGCTCGTTGATCAGGTCAAGATATCCATTACGCGAGTCGCTTCAAACCAGCTTGAGCCTGCGCCACACCGTCGGCGAAGCCGTTCTTCTCGCTGACTTTGATGCTCTGCTCGTACCGCCGTCGCGCCTCTCGAACATCGCCTCCCATGGCTGCAATATCACCAAGGTTGACAAGGGCAACAGCGCACGCCTCGTCACATTCTGGAGTTCGCTTCTCCCCCGTTGGTTCCTTTGCGTGACGGTAGGCGTTCTTGGCCCATCTTTGTCCCGACTCGAGAAGTTCCTTGCGCGTCCACTGCTCACCTGAGCTTGGCTTCGGGGCCGCATCGCCTTCGCCAGGAACAATTCCCGCGAGCGTTTCGTAGGGAGCTCGTGGCGGATGCTGAGCAAAGGTAACGGCGAGGTTGTTCATGATGACAGCCATGTGGCACTGGTCTTGACAGAGCCTGAGCGCTTGGAAGAACAAGGGCAGCGCGAGGTCGAACTCTGACTTCCGTTCGTAGCTGTGGGCGAGAGACTCGAGTGCGCCACCGATCTCTTCTGGCGTCATCCACGGTCCTTCACCAGGTTTGACGCCCTCTGTAGATCTCCGACGGAATTCTCCTAGGGCAGTCTCAACAGCCCACATAAGTCGCTCATGAGCCTTGTCATGCTGTAGAACCTGCTCATGCGCATACAATTCTCCGAGCTTGGTGCTGATCCCCACCGACTTGCCCAGGATCCTGGTGCGCGAAGAGCGGAGCCAATTATCGAAGTCTTCTTGTGTGATGATCTTCTCTGACTCGCCCTCTCCAACTTTTGTACCAGGGCGAGGGGCCCGTGGGAGCTTCTCAGGTGCGGACTCGGCCGTAGTCAGCCATTTCTTGTTCTCGGTCAAGACCAACTCCAACACATGGATCGCATTCTCGACATTGCTGATCCTCTCGAGCCAAGCCGCAAGCTGAATCTTGATGCCAACCACTTCATCCGAGAACGGATCCAGACCATGTTCATTGCATTGTTCAATGGCCAGCTTGTAATATTTCAGAGCGAGCTTCGGGTCCTCGTAGTAGTTGCTGTAGTGGAGGGCACGTCTCAGGGACTTCGCGATTTCGGGCGGGTATTTGGTGAATTGTGCGGCGTAGAAGTAGGTGAAGTACATGTATACAACATATCCAATGACACCAGCCGCTCCGGCGAGCCTGGCTCAAAAGTCAGCAAGGCAGTAGAAGGGAAAGGGGGATGAGGACGGGCGGGATGTGACTTGCAGTATTAGGGCCAGAACAAGTTCTTCTGGGCTTTGGCGGAACAAAGTTTTGAGGTTTTGCCCACGGAAGAGGTTGGGTAAGCGCAATGCGCTTCGCAATATCTGCCCGAGCGGCGGCGGCGGGGGCGCTGTCCCTGTCTGTTTCCCATCCGGTGGTGGGCGGCCCGGTGGAGTGAAGGACGTCTTGGATGCATATCGCACCTGGCAGCTGCAAGTTGACGTCGGGAGTAGAGTGTGTCTGCTGCCAGATCCGGAAGATGGCAGGGTCCTGGCCGTCCTGATCGTGTTCACGCGGAGAGGGGAGTGCCGTGGCTCGAGGACGGCGCGAAGCAGCTCGCCCCGAGGGAGCTTCGCGCTGCGAATGGCAGACATTGCCAACTATCGGATCCGTTCGATTCGCAGCCTTCAGCGGTTGTGGTTGGATAGCCTCGGCATCGGGTCACACGGTGCCGGTGGTCGGGTTTGTCGGGCGCTCAGAGATCAGTCGTGTACTTTAAAGCACATGAACAAACCGCGAACACAGCTTTTCTTGGGAGCTCTACTCCCGCAGAGCTCCAATGACGTGCATTCCAACCCACCCCTGCCTGCTGACTAAAATGTACCCGTTGCGTGCTCCATCCGTCGTCACCTCCACCCAAGCTTCCGTGCTCCACGACGAGGGAGTAAGGCCCCCACAACAGCGAACTCCGAACACACCGTCAACTTGAGCATCGAAGAAGCACAAATCACAATTAACACAGGAAGTCCTGCATTGACTTCTGCTTATCCTCCCAAAATATTGACGTCTCTTACGTCTCAAGACATCTGAAAGCAGCCTCTCAAATAAACCGGAAGAAAACCACCGTATCCACAAAATGCCGGACTTTAAGCCCAAGAACCCTGTGCAGCTAGCCCCTCCCAAGGACGACCCTATTTCTCTGGAGGAGCTTGCCAAAGCTGATGGTAAGACAATTGTGTTGCAGCTTGAGCCCCAGTAAATACTCTTGTGCCTCAACCCGACTTATTCACACTGCCTGAGTGCTTTTCCACGTTTACGGTGGTCATGTTTTGGCCGGTCGGCCGGGTATCAGTCTCAACCTACCCTGCACATTGTTGCTGACCAGTTGTCCCAGGCAAGGAGGGAGCGAAGTGCTACGTCGCAATCAAGGTGTGAATCCTCGGGCATGTGATCATTTCACGCACTCAGGTTCTCACTCGTTTGCAGGGAAAAGTATACGATGTGACCGGCAACAAGATGTACCAACCCGGGAACTCATACAACGGTAAGCTCACCAGGCTTGATGTGGTCTTCAGAGGCGTCTTGAATATCGCTCTCCCCACATTGCCTTCTTGAAGTAGTATCATGAGTACTGACAAACAATGGCCCGGCAAGTGTTCGCGGGCAAGGATGCCTCCAGGGCGCTGGGCAAGACCTCGACCAATCCGGAAGACGTCTCGTCAGAGTGGAAGGACCTGAGCGACAAGGAGAAGGGGACGCTCAACGACTGGGTCAAGTTCTTCTCCAACAGGTACAACGTCGTCGGGACCGTCGAGGGCGCCACGAATTTCGACGACGAGCCTGCCGCCGAGGCCGCCGCCCCGTCCTCCAGCTAGGCACGGGCGAGGTCATCGCGCGCGCAGGCCGTCTGTTACAGAGCAGGAACGATGATGAATCCGGCGCTACAGGTCGTGGTACGGTCCTAGGGTTTCTTTGTGTGTCTCCAGTCAAGTACGCCTTGGGGGCGATGCGACGACGCCCGACAGATCCCCCGGGCGCACGGGATGCGCACATTGGGATACACGAGACTTTTCTGGCAGGGGTCTTAGCAGAGGGAACAGCAATTGACTTCGCGGTTAGCCACATGCCATATCGCCTGCCAGCCGTTTCCTACAAGGGTCTTTTTGTTTCGAGCCGGGCCGGTGGCCGTGTGCGTCTCGAGCAGGCTCCCGCTCTCGCCTGGGCGTCTTGTTTCTTAGGCCACGCAGGTGCGGGTTTTGCCGGGCTGGGTCACGTTCTCCCCATGCCAACGTTGTCCCTACCTGCGCTGCGCTGCCGTGCACAACGACGCCGGGGCTTTCTCACCCTGAGCTTAGTCCGTCCCACGACGCCTGTTTCCGTGGGCACAATGATCTGGATCGCTGCAAGGCATGTGAAGCACCTCTTTATCTGTGTCCGATGTAATCGTTGGCCACCACCTTGGGTGACGAGCTTGCCTTTGTTCAAAACAAGTATTTTTGCCTTGAAGAAGTCGTGACAGCATCACGCTGCACAATGGAATGTCGTCGACGAGGGCTTAGGAGGTTTCAGGCCTGTCGTCCCACAAGCATCATTTATGCCTCGACCGGTCTAGGAGAGTTTCTCGTCACATGAGTTCTGCATGAAGTGGCTCGGAACATTCTTCTGTTCAACCTTGCACCATCAAAGGTCCACGACGTCGTAAAACAGACTTTTGATTGACCCGGAAAGAAACGGTCTAGGCTGGAGATGACAAGCCTATCTACACATAGCTAGAGGATCGCGATATGTTACCTTGGGTAACCTCATTGTGATGGGGGCCATTCTGCCCGGGAGAACATCCGGCATCCGCAGAATAAAAGTAACTGCTGTGCTCGGCCCAAGATGACCTCAAGTGCAACCTGGCGGGCCATTGAGAGTCTCCCAACGGTCCTTCTGTCACAGCCTCAACACAGCAATGACAAACAATACAACATCGGAACTACCGGAGCAGCTGTCCGTACCCGTGCGGCTCCTCATCGACGTCGTTGGCCTGTAAGTGCGCAGACTCGTCAGCTTTCGAATCATGCCCCAACATCTCCGACCTGTCACAGGCAACCCGGCCATGGCAAATGCCCCAGGTCTGGCGGCAGTTCACTTACTAGGGCCCTGCCCGTAGGGCTGGTATGATCGCGACGATGTCCTGTTATTCCTCTGGCTGCACTTGTCGCAGATCTCGGGCACGTCCCAGACCTTCTTGAGGACTTGCACACCGAAGCACTGATGGTTGGGATCGTTGCGGGCGAAATGACAATAGTTCTTCCGCTTGGTGTAGGAGCAGGAGCATCCGAAGATGAACTCTTCCCAGTCACACATTGTCGTGTTCTTTGTTTGCCGGGCGGTGAACTATTGGATGTTGATTCTGCCAGCACTGGTCAGCCGATCAAGTTTCTGGGAGGTATCACTGATGGACAGGCACCAGGAAAGAGAATTAGCCGGGAACGTACTATGACAAGCACGGCCTCGGTGTGCCTTGTGATGCAATTGAACGTCAAGGATGGGATGTTTGAGTAAGTCAAGGTGATCAGGGTCCTCAGATTAGTTGTAGGTGACGGCTCGGAAATTTTGAGGGTTTTCCACGTGGCCCATGAGGGACAGATGCCTTGTCGGCCTCACCGAGTAACCGCATCCCTTTTATACAACTTCATGATGCTCTGAATATCAGCTGCAGGGGCTCAGAGTCTGAGGTCGGTATGTTCAAGCAAACTTCTTCACTCATGCCACCACGGCATCAGCATGATCTGATGCTGTACATAGTGTTCGTTTCGATCGTAGCGGAATTCCTGCACATCAGAGCTTCAAATTACCACGACGTATGCAGTCGATTGATCATTTCTCATGTTGTTCTAAGTTTGATATATACCTTGTGGACCGATGGTCATGCCGGCACAGGTTTGTGTGGTCGGCTCTTCCGGGGAACGCAGCCTGGAAGGGACAGCAGCGGCATAGGGATAACACAACCGCATGCCATCAGGATCGTCAGGCAAACGTGGCATAAGCACGACCCTCGCGATCGCGATGTTAACGAAAAGCGTGGTTTTCAAGATTTTGTTGGATGACCTTGCCCCAAGATCCGCTGCTAACGCGGCAAGTACAGAGGCCATCGCCAAACAAAGTCATTGCCTCTGCTCCGTGAAGAGCCCGGTACGAGGTGTGTCTGATTCAGAGAGGTTGTCGACGTCACATGAGGTGCATACACCATAGCGCCGTTCGGTTGTGGTAGGTCATGCAAGCCAAGCGGGCAAGCAAACAAACTTGAAAACAGAGTGGCAGTGGTCTAGCACTGTGGGAACTAGGGCTTGAACAACATACCTTGATGATCTCCTTGAATTGAAACTTCAGCGTATCTCGATACTTGATGGTCAGCTTATCCCTCTCAGGGATGGTCGTCATCGACAGGGTGTTGCAAAGACAAAGGTACCATACCAGTGTGTGGTGGATCATATGTAAAGCGGATGGCCAGCACTGCTGCCACAATGGGAAGTGCAGCTTTCCGTGCCGGCCGTTCCAGAATATTCTCCCTTAGGCCTGATGCAGATGCAAGTCATCTGGGTGACGTGTAACTCAAACTAGCCAGAATCTCAACCGGGATCTTGGGAATGTAGTCTACCCGTTTATTCTGTCGGGTTACTCGCGGAAAGCTTCCTTGGGAGGCAGCTTGCAGCAGTAGCAAAGGGCAGTTGTACCATCTGGTGTTGCCAAGTTTCAACGCAACGGGCTTCGGTGATGGCCCGATTCGAGCCTATAAGCCTCAAAGCAGATACTCAAACAGGGGCCGGGGCAGGGGCGACGAGACCCGTGTCGAGACTTCTCGAAGGTTGTTGCTGGGTCATGTTGTTCAAGTTCGCCACAAGAGTACCCACCGCGCCAGAATGGACCAGAAGAACACAATCACGGCGGCTGCAGGACGTCGGGCCGCTTGACTGAAAGCGCTGCAGTAACCGGGGGAAAGCACTCTGCATCCCTCCCTTGGTGCAGTGTAGCGCGGCGCAAACGCCGCAGTGACCGCTCTGGCTGTGAGAGCCTCGCTGCCTGGATGTTCCCCAGAACACAGTGGACACTGTGCGCGGTAAGCGAATGCCGCGAATGAGCAGTTGAGATGCTGTCGGCTGGCTAGTTGATTGTTTCAAGCCTCCAGCCGAGGTATGACCGTCTCAGAAGAGACAGTGTGAATGAATGGTGCGGCCAGGAGAGGAGCCAGAGAAGATATTGAATCCGTTCCCAGTGCCGTGAGAGGACAGGCACCAGGCAGTGAGTAAGGGCATGGGCAAGTGAACAGTGGAACTGTCGCCGCCTCTAATGCCGTGTAGAGGCCATTGAACGGGCGAATAGCGGCCCATATCTGCGGGAAGGACCGAGCCGCAAACATGGAATGAGATGCTCGCTCATCTCAGTCACAAGGGGCGACATGAGGGTCGGCCCTCGACCTGTGCTGATTGCAAGTAAAGTCGAGATGAGGGACCCGGGCGAATCTTGGGATCCAGGCCGTGGATGTGATTGTCATGGTGGTCGTCGTGAAGCAACCGAGCTGTGCTAGATATTGATTTGTCCAAGCCCTCTGCATGACCGGCCTCTTCACGTCGGGTCGAATGCCGACACCAGAGGTTGGGACTGTCGCGGTCTTGACGTGAAGGGCACGTGATCCGGCCCGGTCGGGTCGTCTATGCTCTACTCTTTCCTTGGATACAGACACCAGTTCTCGTGTTGCCGTTGCCGTTGCCTTGGCAGGACCGGCAGGGACCGCTGTGGCAGGGACTGGGCTGGTGGTCTGCCGCGAATCTTCAGCGCCTCCCATTGGGCTGCGGGCTGCAGGTGGCGCTGCAATCAGGAAGGAGCGCCCCCAAAGAACTGCGAAAAGTGAGGCGAACAAGCGACCGGTAGACCGGAAGGTGGCTTGGTCTTGGTTGCCTTACCTGCCTTACCTCGCAGAGACAGACACTCGCACTGCCCACCGACCCACAGCCCATGCCGCTGTCCTCGTCGTCCCTCTCCCTCTGTCTGCCTGCCTGCCTGCCTGCCCGCCTGTCTGTCTTCCTCCATCCTTTCATCTGGCGACATGGTTCAGAGGACGCAGCTCGTCATCTCGTGACTTATTTCACCGGCCCGACGGACGCCATTCCCTTTGCATCGGAATCCACGTCTCCCGCTAGTCGATGGGACACTGAAGCATCACCAAGCATTACCTGCCCAAAGCGGGCCTGTGGCCTCGGTCAATTAAGCAGAGGACATACAGTCCAGTAAGTAGTCGGTCAGTCAGTCTACCCGCCATTTCAAAGTCGCTGTCCGCGCTGGTTCGCCTGGTTCGCGCGGTCCGCCTAGTCCGCCTTCAGGCAACTGCGACTGAGGAATCATCAACCCCAAGCTTGCAGAAGCCGGGCGTGCATTCATTCCACTTTGCCCTCTTTCTCGCCCATGTGTCTAAACGGTTTTCCATACAGCCGGTAATAGCCTGCATCCAGTGCTCGTGCTCGTGCTCGTCCGAGTACGCCACCGTGTACGCTCTCGCGGCCTTTCATTCCATCCAGAATCACTTATCTGGGCTTGCGGGCGTCCACCCTCTGCCTTGACCACCCTCGCTCTGACGCCTGCAGTTCGCATCCCGTTCCCCTGACCTGACGGCCCAGCAGCGGCCCTGTTTGTCTGCAGAGTGGAGTGGCCCTGGCCCGAGTTCGACGCGGTACAGCACGAACACATGTACGTTTTCTGCGACGTCACTTTTCGCTGAGGGCACAGATTGATGCTGTCGTAGCATCATGGCCGAACAGACCTCGTTCGCCATCCCGGAGCAACGCTCAGCTTCGGTATGCCCGTCTACTCTTGCCGTCTTGTAAATCTTCCCATTCTAATCTCCCCTCCGCCTAGACATTCATGCTCTCTTCCTCCTCATTCCATGGCAGCATAGACGGGCGTCCGCGACCCCTTGAGCCCGACCTCACCAGCTCTGGGATCGCACTGCCCGCCCCAATCCCCGGTTTCATTGATACTCTTGGTGATTTACAAACAACCGGTATCAGTCGGAATCCCCAATCGCCTGAGGCCTTTGTGCGGCCCGCGACACGCAATCCAATCCTAGATTGGTACACCTCCCAGGAGAAGCCATGGGACCCTATCCACGGACGAGCTGCACCCTTGCCCCGAGCTGGAGACTTACGAGGTGGTAAACTGAATTACCGCCTGAGTGGGCCCGCTTATTCCGGCTACCGAGAAAGCCATGTGCCATCTGAATGCGAGACAACAGGACCAGGCGCCCTGCCGTCAGACTCTGGTTACCATAGCAGGGCCACGCACAGTGTCTTCAACGGGTCTACTTGCGGGGATGCCGACCGCAGTGGTGAGAACGGGAGCATTTCGAGCCATCTGGCTGGCCTCCATGTAGATCGTCCGGCGTTCTCTTCAGAATCCTGGGGACAGACATCACTACAGACGCCTCCATTGCCTTTGTGTGTAGACAGTGGTAGCCTGGTTTGCCCGACGTGTCATCAAAAGGTCAGAACGAAGTCTGAACTGAAGTATGTCCTCTCTCAAGTCGCACTCTCAGCCCTTTCGGAAATCCGCCATGCTAAGAAATGCCTGAAGGAAGCACAAGCAAAAACATGAGAAGCCACACCACTGCGACGTCCCCGGCTGCACACGTACCGAGGGCTTCAGCACACCGAACGACGTCGATCGACACAAGAGAAGCTGCCACCCCGAGCAGCGTGCTAATGGCAAATACTACAGGTGCATTGTTCAGGGTTGCCGCAAGAAGGAAAAGAAATGGCCTCGGGCAGACAATTTCAGGCAGCATCTGAAGAGGGTTCATGGTGTGCAAGCTCGGGATGATGATCTCGAAGCTTATGTGTACAAGTGAGCCGCTGTACGGGCGTCTCTCTTCCATGATATAATAGCTAACCGTATTGCGAAGAGAGACAATTTCACCTGGTCCTGACCTCGCTGGCCTTGGATCCGTAGGGGACGACTTGCGAATGGACGCGAGCCACTCCGACACTTGGCCGGTTTACGATCTCCGAACAACTCTGCAAGCAATTCAGGAGCAGGCGCCGAGGTATTCAAGCAATCTTGGCTACCCGGGCCAGCAAATGAACCAATACCAGGACGCAAACGTCACACATCAGCAGCTTCAGTTGATGGCGTCTGACGACACTGAGGACCGACTATCTCAAACTGCTATACAAATCTCCCCGGTCAATTCAGCAGATTGTAGCGCCTCCATCCAGCTCGAAGACTCGCAGTCACAACAGCAAGAGCAGCAAGCCATAGAGGGTGTCCCTGATACACGCTCTGACGAGCAGTTCAATGAATCGGACTACTTGAACGATGAATCCACAAATGAGAGCGAGTTGTGTGATGAGCAAGTAGATACTGTCACGCAGGTCGAAATACAAATGTCGGACATCGAGGACCCCAGACAAAGCCCTGACGATATAGGACAACCCGCTCAGGACGACGGCGACTCGACATCAAGCGAATCAGAGAGTGAAGATGCACAAGACTGTCCATCTAGGCCCGAGAACAGCGAAACGTTAGACGCCGTGTCTTTAGCCACAGTGGCGGCACCAAGTGTCCGTGACCGGCCAGCCTTTGACGAGGCAGTCAACACATCGCGAGCAGAGTATCCGGCTGGGCCAGTGCCATCTCTGGAGGGATCAAGGATTGTTAACAACAGGCATCAAGCGTCTGAGTTGATAAAGGCTCTGGAGGACCAAGGAGCTCTGGCAGACCTGCTGGAAGAGCTCGGTTATCAGAAACCGAGGCAATCTGACAGAAGGACCCTGACAACCCACTCAGTTGCCAGTGTTGCCAGTGACAGTAGTCAGGTGATTTGCGACGAGCCGAACTGTGGCAAAGTCTTCCCAAGGCCTTGTGAACTCAAGTAAGTCTGCCTTACCTTGCTCGATTCATAGCTTGCTAAGTTGTGCCCCAGAAAGCACAAGAAAAGACACGAGAAGCCGTACGGCTGCACCTTTCCAAAATGTCCAAAACGATTCGGCAGCAAGAATGACTGGAAACGTCACGAGAACAGTCAACATTGCCAATTCGAGTTGTGGAAATGCAGCGAACCAAGTCGAGTCGACCCAAATGAAACTTGCGGGAAAGCCTGTCACCGTCGCGAGCAGTTCAAGGCACATGTGCTAAAAGACCATGGAATAACGGACCCAGCCGAGATTGACCGCAGGCTTGATTATTGTCGAGTCGGGCGCGACTGTGAAAGCAGATTCTGGTGCGGCTTCTGCAAGACCATTGTGGAGACAAGTGGAAGAGGCCTCAAGGCCGGAACTGAGCGTTTCAACCATATCGATGATCACTACTCGGGCCGCATCCCCCCCAGAATGGATATATCCGAGTGGAAGAGCGTGGACCCTGATCTACCGGCGAGGAACCTGATCTCGCCTGGCTCCGACCGCGACAATCTCAACGGATTGTCCCAAGCACCGTCGCCTCCTTTGGCTGGCCCTGGAAACGGTCGCAAGAGAGAGGCCTTGGCGCAGCAATCAACTCCTCGGAAACGGCCAAGGGTTGCAGTTGAGACGCTTTGGTTTTGCGTATGTATTTGTCGGTCCACGTCTCTTGTCTTGATGCTGACCTCGTCTCTGTGTCTAGTGCCACTGTGGCAACCCATCACTCACCAGCACTACTGCAATTTGTTTCATGGATCACTGCGACAGCCATCTCAGATGTAGCAATTGCAGGGTCCACGTTGTTCCTCCAGAGCAATGAGTCCCGAAGCACGAGAGATGATTTTTTTTCATTAATATGAGGGAGTCTCGACCTCATCCTTGGATTACGAATTACATGTAACGATCTCATCTGTATTCAGGCGCAATGGCTTGGAGTTCGCTCGAGTAGAGCTCATAAAGACTGCTGAGGAGCCACTGCTTTTCGGGGCGTCGTGAGCATTCAGTGTTGCGGTTTCTCATTACCGCTCGCAACTGTAATGGTAAGACTTCCCGATTTTGATAAGCTGGATGCAACAAGATGATGCAAGCCGGAACGGGGGCAGGTAAGACAGTTCATCCAGCAGTGCGACCAAAATTGGGTCGCCCGTTCTAAGCAAGACATTCGGTCGCCTTACAAGGTAACTGCAACGGTGCTCTCAAGCGAGCTAGGAGACAAGTGTAAGCGAGAGACCTTGACTGTTTGACAGGTTGTCATACGCATTTCGGCTAGTGCCGTTGCCTTCTTCTGCAATGCAACATGCCCTTTACAGGGTGTAGGCAGTCTTGCTGTCCCCAACACTGTCACTCGCCCAGACCCTCACGTTGATTACTGTGATGACCGCCTTCTGTGGTGTGGTCTTCGGCGCCGACGTTGTCTCTTGGGCCTATCTCTTCACTTCACGGTTGAAAGATCGGCTTGATCGAGCGCTGAGGTATTTGTCAACGTCAAATCACCGGCTCAACTGCATGAGCGTCACTAGCTGATCCCATCTCATCTCCGGGCAGCCGCTCCGATCCAGAGGGAAAGTCCCAATTTGGGGTCCAGATCAAACAGCGACCTGGGGGCCTGCATCGTTGAATGTGACCGTGCGGCTCAAAATTCACCGTCTGTTTGCCCAAATCGAATGCCCTCAAATGAGATTTCAGAAGGATGCCGGACGGTTGGCTGTGCTGTGCCACACGCTCGCCTTTCCCACCCTCCACTGACAGCGCTCCAATGAAAGATCCACTTCTCCAGGCATGGAAGGGCTCACTCTGAGTGGCCTAACCCCCTCACTCAGAGATTGTCGTCGACAAGGGTGGTGACGCCCGGCTTGGGTGAGAAAAGGCCTGCTTCAGGCCTAGTGTCGGCCTCCCTGTGCGACCACGCACCACACCACCAGCTTGTGGAAAAAGTCTGACACGGGTGACCGGGTTGCCAAAGGACCAAATAGACAACGTGCTCCACGGCATGGGGCTGATCAGTCTCGACTGTCAAGATAGTCCTTGGCGCCCCCGGACGGGGCACAGCATCGACCAAACAACTCTGGCCGGCGTCTTCCAAGTCTGCCCTCAGTTCGCCTTGTACTTGCGCCTAACGAGTTGAGTGTCAACCTGGCAGCCAAGGCACAAACCTCGGTTTGCTTTTTGAGAAGGCGGACTCGACACTACATGTACGTGCCTCTTGATGACTACGAACCTTCTCGCGGGTTCGAGTCTGTCTAGTCTGTAGCTTGTGTGCGTCAGGACCGCAATCCTACAGATCAGCAGTCAGCACACGCATTCTCGAGACGGGACAAACAGGGAACCCCAGAGCAGAGCCTCAAGCTGAACCCGGGGTGGCATCATACAGTTGCTTTTTCACCAATACATTTGCTCTTGGGTGGTGGTGGACAGCGCACCTAGGCGGTTCGCGAACAGCAAGGGGGAGGGGGTCGTGCTAAGTCAGCTCACGCCCCGATCGGGTGCCGTCCGGTAACACGACCAAGAGTTACAGTTGCAATGTCCTTCTGCGAGCAGGGGCGCAGCTCCTTTGTCCACTTTTCTGGCCGTCAAGAGCACAAGAGAACCTCTTCAGCTCCGAGTGCCGTCGTCCGGTTGGTCAAGGCCCAGGGGGGTGCATATGCAAGGACACCCAGGCAAAGCATGGCGTCAGCACGGAAGGAACAGGCAAGCGGGAAAGGAATGAGAAAGATTGGCCTGCGAGATTCCTGACTGGGCTGGCTCAATCGGGCGAGCACCCACGGCAATTCTCCATTGGCCGAGCACATCAGGTCTCCATAAAATGCGGCTCTGCTCGAAAGCCCACGGAGCTCTGCAGCAAAGGACAGAGCCGGTCTGCGGCAGCCAGTGTGGTTGTCTTCGTCGTTCTGCTCGAGTCGAGTCTGGCGATCTCTTATACATACCCTCAAGGCACTTGACTCCGCCACCCATGTCGCTCACCATGGCTTCCACAACCCCAATCCACTTCAGTGAAGTGTATCTCAAATGTTTCCAAGTCGATCCGTCCATACTTTATATAATCTTTCATTGCCGTCTGCCTAGTGTCGGCCCCCTCTCAGCACTTGGTATCTGACCCTGCACCTCTTCGCTGTGGGACCGCGCGATTTGCCCTTCCTCAGCTGACAACTTCACACGAGGCTGTCAACTCTTCAGAGCCTTGCTTCTTGCCCCCCCCCCCGACTGGTGCTGTCCAAACAATTGGCAGCCTCCTCGTGCAGGTTCCTCTCCTGCAAGCCCATATCCTTTTTGGATACATCGTGCATCCTACCAGTGGCTCATCCGCGGACTTGTTGGCTTGCTAGGGCATCCACCCGCCAAAATGGAGTTCCCTTACTTCACCTACGATGCTACATATCAGTGCTTCCCTCATAATCACCCGGGGTACGCTGGGCAACCGTTTCCTGATGAATTTGACACTACCGGACAAGATATTCTGTTAAGTTTTCCAGGCCATGATGCCTCAGCTGAGCGCCTGGATCCCTATGGTCACTCTTCCATGCAGAGGTTCTTGAAGGACACCCAACGCGCTCCATTGTTCAACCCCATGCCGCAGTCACAACTTCCAGGTGTTGCACAACCAGTCAATCCCATTCCACCAACAGCATCCCACGGCCGCCAAGGATCCCCCTTTTCCTCAAATGAGCCATCGAGTTGCAGCGGTGGTCAGAGCCCACACGCAGACACCGAGCTATACACAGACAACACGCCCTCGACACCGTCTGATGCGATACTCTTCACCCCCTATGCCTCCGCTCGTCACGGGCCTTACGAGCCCGAGTGTCAGCTTCCGTTGTTTGGCATAGGTGAGGTGTCTGGTGATGCCAACCAATTTATGACCATGGGAGACTGCAACAACATTGAAGACTCAAAGACAGGATGGGAAGACTCCGGCCAAGCCATCGACTTCGAAACGCCCCAACGCAGCTTCACTTGCGATAGTCAGACAACAGACTCCACGGATGCAGACAGTGCTACCACGCAGAGCTCAGTTGCCCCCGGCTACCATCGCTTGGCCAGCCCAGAAGACACACCCACAGTTATCAAGGATGAGATCAAGATCCCTGAACGTGTCGTACCCGTTGAGAAAACGACTAGTGCATATCCGAGTCCCAGCATTGGAGCGAGCGAGGACGAATTGGAGGAAATAGACGTTGCCGCCTCCCAAAGCGAGGACGACGAAGATGACGACGACTATCACCCAGACAGGAAGCATCCCGCTTCCGCCGCTGCTCGGACTAATAAGCTGAAGAGAGGCGCAGCCAAGCAGCCCGTCGACAAGCCGGCCCCAAAAAGAGTGAGGACGGCCTCGTCGGCCCAGCCACTCAAGATCCTACCACCGCCGAGTAGCAGGAACCAAGGCTCTTACCCCTGCCCGGAGTGTTCCCACTCGTTCAAAGACGAGTGCACTCTTCAGAATCACGTCAAGAAGCAGCACACCCGGCCCTTTATCTGCGTTTTCAGGTTCGCCGGCTGCCAGTCGACCTTTGCAAGCAAGAACGAGTGGAAGCGCCACGTCATGTCTCAGCACCTCCTCCTGTACTACTGGCTGTGTGACATCGACGTCTGCGCCCACAACAAGAACGACCCAACGGCGCCACACTCGCACAGCGGCAAGCGAAACAAGAGCCGGCGTGCTGAGAACGCTGCCAGTGGCGAGCTCATCGGGCCGCCCCTCCCGGATGGTGCGATCTTCAACCGCAAAGACCTGTATACCCAGCACCTACGCCGGATGCATACACCTGCACATATCAAGAAGACCGGGTCTGCCAAGTCGTCCAAGAAGGCCACAGCCTCCGCGCAAGCATCCTCGTGTGCCAGTGCTGCCGACTGGGACGACACCATCAAGAACCTCCAGTGCAAAGCGCTGCGCGAGCGTTGCCAGCTGCCGGAGTACATGGAGTGTCCCGCACCCCGCTGCAACCAGGCCTTTAACGGCGCCGACGCGTGGGACCAGCGGATGGAGCACGTCGCGAGGCACCTGGAGAAGGCCGCGACCGGGGCGGAAGAGCCGGTTGTGTTTGGCGGGCCGACGGACCCAACCCTCATGGCTTGGGTTGCAAGGCCCGATGTTGCCGTCGCGCGGCCGGTGGCGGCCACTGGGGAGTGGGTGCTGAACAACCCGCTCCGGCCGGCGGGCGAGGGCCGCGCTGCGGGCAGGAAGAGGTCGACGACGTCCACTGCTTCTTCGCCCGTGGTTGTTGCGGCGTCGCCTGCCGTCACGTCGGTGGCGAGCGAGATCCTTGTTGAGGACGAGGATGAGGATGCCGAGGGGGAAGAGGAGTGAAGTGATCTTCGCAGGCACGGCTCGGTTTGGCTTTCTAATTTGATACATGCTGGGATGGAATAGAATGTTTTGGATACCCCTTTACCCATTCCTTACACTGGGCGGCCCCGCCCCCTTTCTTCGTCTCCCGCGTGGTAATGTACATCGCGATGGGTCTCATGGTGTATCTCTATCGGTACATATGTGCTTTCATGTCTAGCTTATAAAGGCAACTGATGATTTATGAAGGCATATGAATGCAATGACTTTACCAACGCCTACTTTATCCCAGATGTTCCGAGCATTGAGGAGTTGTCTCCTCATGAGCGGTGACAGTCTCTTTTCACTTATCAGTGACACCGGTATTGTCCTCCTACTCATGAGGCGCTTTCTATTGAAGGACTCTATCCAAATGTGGTGTCGCCAGGGCTTGTCTGCATCCCAAGGACATGGTCTGCTGTTATCTTACCGTTTGTGCCCAAACCATTCTTGGTTGGGGCACTTGAAGGCACACGATGTTACTGGTCCTCGTTGTCTGACGACGGCACAAGAATGGTGCAATTGTCTTCACAACCTCTGAATAGGCAAGTGTCTGGCGGGGCTTCATTCACCGGCGCGCTTGCTACCAGTCCTGGTCAGACGGAGTTCCTTCAAAGCCTCTCTCGCAAGTGTGCCCGCCAGCCATTTTCTACACTGCAGACTTTCAAAGCCCCCTTCTTCCAAGTTGAATTGGTGTTGCCAGACGTCTTCCAAAAAAAAAAAAAAAACAAGCCCGTCGTCGAACAGCACATTACACTGGTCCTTTCCTTTCATTTGCATACCGACCCACTCGTGTTTGACCACCGCTCGTTTGGTCCAGATCTGGAGCTTCGACAGGCCACGCTTCTCCTTTGATAATCAAGATGCCACGCCTCCAGAAGCTCCCATCAGCCTGCTCCCAAAGCTCTGCAGGCAGATCTACACTGAGCAGCAAGGACGACAGTGCCACCTCCCTGGCAAGCCACAAGATGCACCACCGCCAGGAGCGGCAGCAAACGGCTAGGAAGAGGCGCTCGCCGCGATTTATCGTCGCTGCGCTTGCGGTACTCGTCTTCATCACACAATTCGGCGCCAGCCTGTCTGACGTGCCTTCGGTCCGCCTACTACAGGAGATCATCTGTCGCAGGCACTATGGCCTCGCCCCTGACAGCTCGGTCGAGGAGGGAAACTGTCGCACCGACGGAATTCAGAGCCAGTTAAACGTCATTACCACTGGCGCGTTGGTGTTTGGGTACCTGCCTGGTAAGTATTGCTTACTCTTTTACATCATTCATGTAAGAAAGGTCGAACATAGCCTAACCGTCACGATATCAGGCATCCTAGTCGCACTTCCTTACGGCATGCTCGCCGACCGCCGAGGCCGCAAACCCGTCCTGGGGCTTTGCATATTGGGCATGATCCTGTCTCGGCTGATATGGATCGCCGCTGCTTACAACCACACACGCTGGGACTTGCGCACTGTCTGGCTCTCGTCTCTGCCCTTACTCATCGGCGGAGGAGAGACCGTCGCAGAGGCTATGGTCTTTGCGATCGTGGCAGATGTCGCACCAGAGGGAAAGAGGTAAGAAATGCTACCCAGGCTGACAGTGTGTTGCACATTTTCAGGACCAACGCTGACTTTCTGGTGCCAGAGCGACGTATTTCCAGTTTGAGATATGTGCCGTCCTCCTCGCCGAAGCGGTCGCCCCCTTCGTCGCCTCAGCGATGATGGCCCACTTTGTCTGGCTCCCGATCCTCGTGTCGCCGGCGATCATGACGCTGGGTGGGATTTTGATCTCTCTAATACCCGAGACATTGGACATGAGGCACGATGCATTCGGCAACACCCGCAGGAAAGTCACGCCTAGTGTTCCTAGAGCCCCCACGTTCACAAACCGAGTGCACAAGCACACTCCCGAGGCTATCAAAACCCCGTCCCGGTGGACCCGGTTCCGTGAGTCCCTCATCTCGACCATCCGCCTTCTCAAGTCCCGCGACATCCTCGCCCTCACCCCCAGCGCCTCGCTCACGATCCCAGTAGCGACGGTGACGATGGGCATAACGCTACGATACATCCCGATCCGCTTCGGCTGGACCCTGGAGCAGACAGGCATGGTGCTCGGCGTCCGGACGGGCCTCAACATCCTGGTGCTGCTCATCTTCCTCCCCCTGCTCAGCAACTCGCTCCTCTCGAGGCAGGACGACCGCGACCGCGACATGGTCCTCGCCCGCATCTCGGCGCTCCTCCTGGTCGCGGGCCAGCTGGTCTTCGCGTGCGCGCCCGACGTTGCCACCGCGTGCGCGGGGCTCGCGGTCCTCACCCTCGGCACGGGCCTGCCGTCGCTGTGACGCGCCGTGCTCACGAGGCTCGTGGACCAGGGCGAGGTCGGCAGGCTGTTCGGCGTGCTGGCCGTCTTCGAGATGGCGGGGTTTCTCTGCTGCGGGGTGGGGCTCGGCGCCGTGTTCCAGGCGGGGCTCGCACGCGGGCTCGGGCCCGGGACTGGTGAAGGAGCTGCCGATGGGAAACCGGCACCCCGGGGTCGGGAGGGGTGGCTCGCGCTGGTGTTCTACGTGGCGGCAGTGGTTTATGTGGTGTGTGCCAGCCTGCTCTGGCTCGTGAGGAAGGTATTCGGCCGTGATGATGATGGTGGCGGCGACACGGCGAGCGTGTGTTCTGGGGCGTCTTCAGTTTCGTTGCTTCACGAGGCGAGGATACTGGCGGATGGGAGGGTCACGAGGAAGCACTCCAGCTTGGAGAATGTTGCTGTGGCGGTTTGAGGCTTTTGAGGTTGTTGAGTTTGGGGAAAGCATGAGGAGGACCTCGTGGTAGTGAGAGACGGTTTTGAAATGTGGACTGCGAGACTGCTCGATCATTGCTGGCCCGTAGAATGCCTCGCGATGTCTTCCGTAGAAGAGCACACAGTCTCAATCTTTGATGAAGTACAAGTCTAGGTGGAGCAGTAGCCAGTCCAGGATCCTCTGTGTCTCTGTATGCGGCTCTGCGAAAGCACCCCCGCTTATAAATACGACCTTTCTTTTTGACTTTCTCTCTCTTTCTTTTCTGCTTGAGATATGCAAAAAGTCTGTCTCGGATCTCCCAACAAGTAGAAGAAAGGAATAAGTACAGCCGCCCAAATGTTCAGGACGGGCCAGGGTTTGCGGTGCTCATTGAGGGAGGGGGGTTCGGGACAAAGTCTGCATCAAAATCGTGCTGGACGGTGCCCTGTATCTTGACATCGGATCTCTAGTTGCGGAATAAAAACTTCTTTTCTCGATCCTATTGCTCTTCTTCGGTGAGGATCTTGCTCCAAAGCCATTCATATCGACGTCTGTTGCACCCGTTCAAGGGACCCGCTTGAATCGGTGTTGGTGTAAGATGATTGGACACCACAGCACGCTACCAATTCCTCCCCATGAATACCTACCACATGTTCTCCGAGCCATCAAACTGGCCACAGTCCTCAGTGCTCGATCTCAAGGTCACTTATCCTTCTCCCAGGCCTCCAGCAATTCTCTCCTGTTCGCTCATCTAGACTGCAGGACAAGATGTTGACAAGCTGGCCGACACTGGACGCAAGTACCTAGGCAGCACGAGCCGTGATATTTCCAATGTTTTGTTTACTACAGGGCGACAAACTATTGAATCTCTGTTGGCCAATCAATGGTTATTCGATAGGAATCATTATCGCTAACTATTTGGAATCTTGACTCTCTGCTTGAGCCATATTGCGTGGCGGGCGTACCATACTGAGGCATTTTTGCTGCTCATATGCGTGCAGCTGTAGGTGATGGCTGCGGCACCACCAGGCTTCGCCAAGCCCCGCAGTGAGGATCGTCGATCGCATCTTCAGCACATCAGATGCGCTGATGATATTTAGTGTCGCTTTGCAGTCTGGCGAGGGAGTGTCTGAAACGCAGTACTGCCTCTCCCTCGCGGGGGGCAGTTGCCCCAAGACCGGGAAGCTTATTGCCTCGCACAGCGGGCCACCAATGGGGATCGTCGGTAGCTTCAAGTGCCCGGTACCGGTTTGTCACGCCCTGTGACTACACATTCATAGAGCGTGGCCTCATTGTTCCGCCGAGCTTACTCACCTCACATGTCTGGGTGATGTGGTAGCGGGGGATAAAGATCGTTCATCACCCAACAACCTGTTGCTCTGTCACGCATCTTTTGTCTGGACGGCTAACTCAGCTATCCGCGTACCTTTGATCAACTCATCAACCGAAACATCCACCTTCCGGGCAACAAAGCAGAACCAAACAGAATGGCGCAAGAATTCGGCACCGAAACCCAGCCCCAGTCTGCAAAGCGGATGTATAACGCTCGTGCCGCAAACTACGAGGACTCGTGGCACCCAGACTACTCCCAGCGCTTTATGGCCCTCGTTCCGTTAAGCCCAGGCAACCGAGTCCTTGACCTCTGCTGCGGCACGGGCCTAGAGGCTTTCATAGCCGCGGAGACAGTAGGCGAACAGGGCGAGATCGTCGGGGTGGACGTCTCGAGCGGGATGCTGGAGCAGCTGCGCGAGAGACAAAAGCGGGAGCTGGGGCTGGGACAGCGGATCAGGACCTTCCACCACGACGTGACGGACCTGGGCGGGGTGCCCGAGATCGAGAGGGGCAGCTTCGACGCCATCCTGTGCTCGTGCGCGTTCGTCCTGTTCGAGGACCCGGCGGCCGTCGTGGCGCACTGGAAGGAGTACCTGAGGCCGGGCGGCCTGGTGGGCATCGACGTTACGCACGAGTGGAACCTGCGCCCGGCGATGGTCCTGGAGAAGGTCGCGAGGAGGATGGGCGTGAAGTTCCCGTCTAACCGCTTGTGGATACAGTCGATCGAGTCCTTCAGGGAGATCCTGGAGGGGCAGGGGCTTGTTGTTGAGAAGGCCGTTCCGCTGGAGAGGGTCTCTGGAAAAGGGTCAGTGTTCTATGGGGTCGACGAGGCGGATAGCCAGTACGAGTATATTGTGAACGGCAGCCTGACGCAGCATGCCGTCTCGGAGTCCTTCAAGGTCCAGGCGAAACCGCTGTTCAGGGAGGAGTGGGAAAGGATTGCGGTGGATGGGAAGGTTGGGAGCGTAGACATGAGCTACGTGTACGTTGCACGGAAGCCATGAAAAGTAAAGATTGCACTTCGTGGCTTCTTCTCAACATATGGTCAATTGAATCTATATCCTCGCTCGGTTGGAGGTATTCATCTTTGGCTTTATGGGAATCTTTGGGTGATCACCGGCAAGGGTCAAACCAATGACACTTTCCAGCTCTTCTACGGCCTCAAAGGCCCTTCCCAGATTGACCTTGATGGTTCGGAACCCTGCCTTGCTAGCTGCCTTCAAATTCTGCCCAATGTCGTCGAGAAAGAGAATGTCACCCGGGGCGATCCCGTCTTTCCAGCCCAGTGCTCTCCCCATAGATGAGTCCGCATTCTCTCTGGCGAATTTGTCCACCTCTCGCACTGCAAGCTCATAAATCCTAGGATCAGGCTTCCTTAGACCAACATGGGCAGACGATACGAAGACGTCGAAGATGCTTCGGATCGGGTCCTTGGAGAGGTCCGGCCGATGAAGCTTGTGTCCTGGCGGAAAGATAACGGTGTTGCTCAGGGCCGCAAGGATATACTTTCCGCTCGCCTTGAGGTTCTTCAGAGCTGGGAACATCCAAGGGTCGGGAGCAACAGCAGAGGACATCATGTCGTTGAACAGATATTTTGCATCGAGTTTAGGCACGGGAGGCGTCGATTCCGGCAGGCGAGGGTCTCTGGAGCGCTGGTCCTTATAGAATTCTTCCCACAGCTCTGGGATGTGTAGGTCGTCGGAAAAGCCCTGTGTGAAGGCGGCGTCCAAGGGGATCTCGCCCCTTTCTAAGCGGTGCCACGAGCCATTTGGGGATGTTTTGGATATGGAGTAGTTGACCCAGCCCGGTGGGATACCGAGACTGAGCTCATAGTCAAGGATAGACTGAAAGGGAGAGACGACCTAGGACAATGTCAGCATGCTCTGGGTATCTTGATATCACGGAAAGAAGCCAAACAAGATTGAGGGAAGGGGGAACAGTGAGCCCATCGAGTCTAGCACATAAGGCATTGGGTGAAACAGTAAAAAAAAAAAAACTCCAAATTGCTGTCATTTCCCATCTCCATCACTTACAACAACACCACCTATGTCGAAGAGCACGACTTTGGGCTGCGCCTGGCTGCCCATCTCTGCGTCGATGCCCTCGAGAATGTACTCCACTGGTTGTTCCTCGGGCAGCATTCTACGAAGGAAAATACTATCGGTGCGAATGCTTTGATTTAAGTGTTACAATTCCATGGGAAGTGTCGCTGAACACAGCCCGTGTGGATTTTGTTTACGGGAGGCGAGACCGGATGCCCTCCCAGAAAGGCACCTCTAGGCATTGCCGGACCTCGGCTCGTTTGACTGAGTGGTTGTCACGGTGGCCTGGGTGGGTGGTCGACGGGCGATAAGCGATAACGTCCCCGACCCAAGTACCTAGGTACTTTGTAGACCACCTCTCCGTCCCCAACCCAAGTAACTCTCCTGGGACCCACTGCTGGGCAAGCCAGCCAATAGCGTCACATAGGGTTTCTCCTCCACAAACCAGACGGCAAAAAGCTTTACGATTTCTCTGCCCGCCTTCTTTGGACCCTGATTCCGACCTCGACAATCAACCAACGACCTTGTGGACATTCAGCCCCAAACAGTCGTCAAGATGGTGAGTCTGCGACATCAATCCGTTCTCGAGGCCTTCTCGAGTTCTGTTCTTGGGGAACGAGAGTCAATGCAAGATGCTTCGGATGGATGAGAACAATCTGAAGCGCAAATTGCTGACTCGATGGGAAAACGCAGCCTTTCCACAAGCTTGTGAAGAGCAGCGCGTACTACAGGTGAGTTCCCGATCCTTCCTACAATGTGCCTTGCAAGCGGCATCGACTGCGGCATTACGCAGGCAAACGACAAACACTGACGACCTCTGCAGTCGCTTCCAGACCAAGTACAAGCGCAGAAGGGCCGGAAAGACCGACTACTATGCCCGCAAGCGTCTGATTACCCAGGCCAAGAACAAGTACAATGCTCCCAAGTACCGCCTGGTCGTCCGCTTCACCAACCGGGACATCATCCTGTGCGTATACCCCGCTCCCCGACGAGCAGAAGTCTGGAACAGATGGCTGACGGTGGTTGTGGCTACAGGCAGATCGTCTCCTCCGAGATCAGCGGTGACAAGGTCTTCGTCTCTGCCTACGCCCACGAGCTCAAGGCCTACGGCATTGAGCACGGTCTGACCAACTGGGCTGCCGCCTACGCGACCGGTCTCCTGATCGCTCGCCGTGCCCTCAAGAAGCTCGGCATTGACGAGACCTTCACCGGTGTCGAGGAGGCCGACGGAGAGTACACCCTGACCGAGGCTGCTGAGACCGACGACGGTGAGCGCCGCCCCTTCAAGGCCAACCTCGACGTCGGTCTGGCCCGCACCTCGACTGGTGCCCGTGTCTTCGGTGCCCTCAAGGGTGCCTCCGACGGTGGCATCTTCGTCCCCCACTCCGAGAACCGTTTCCCCGGTTATGACATCGAGTCCAAGGAGCTCGATGCCGACACCCTCCGCAAGTACATCTACGGCGGCCACGTCGCTGAGTACATGGAGACCCTCGCCGACGACGACGAGGAGCGCTACAAGAGCCAGTTCCAGAAGTACATCGACGACGACGTCGAGGCTGATGGTATTGAGGACCTGTACGCCGAGGCCCACAAGGCCATCCGTGAGGACCCCTTCAAGAAGTCCGAGAGCGATGCTCCCAAGAAGTCCAAGGACGAGTGGAAGGCCGAGTCCAAGAAGTACCGCCAGAAGAAGCTCAGCTACGACGAGAAGAAGCAGCGTGTCCAGGCCAAGATCGCTGAGCTCCGCGAGGAGTAAGCGGTCCTTTGCCTTTCGATACCCACAAACCACTACTCGCGTATGACTTGTCTCGGAAAGCAGGAATGACCAGGAAAAAGGTCAGGATGGAAACCGGCGTTGCTCAATGGAAAGGTTGTCTTCAAGGGTTCGGGTCTAGGGAAAATCAATGAAAAGTTCCAGCCACCCTTGCTTTGGGCCTCCTCCAGCTCATCCAGATTATCGATTTCCCATGATTAAAGTGAGGTGCAATGTCTACGCTGTGCCACGCGGTAGTTGCCCGCGGCAGACGACGGCATTTGAATTCGATTGTCGACCGGTGTATCCTGTGCAAGACTGACTGCCTGCAAAGCAATACGGGCATCAGCAGGTGGTCGATGGCATGCGACCCGCAGTAGCGCGTATCGGCTCTGCAGCCCAGTGATACGCAGTAATGTAGAAGTCATGCTTTGCATCTGCGCTGACCTGACAAGAAAAGCAGGAATAAGGCGGTCTCATGCCTTGGCTCTGCCTGTCACCTCACAACCCGCGCGGCATCTCTGGCCTGCCCCTGAGCCCTGGGCCCCAAGCTCCGTGACTCCTGCTGCATTGACACGCATGGCGAATCATTAGCCCTCTGACTCGACCTAGATTTCCGCAGCGAGGTTTATTGTTTACTATAGGGGATGGGGACAGTGGGAGACAAGCACACCCATCCAACGCCCCGGGCAATAATAGAAACAGAAGGGTACGGAGCACCGATGGGTCCGATGGGGGAAGAGCAGGTCTCGGAACGGTAGGGAGGAAATTGAGTTGGGGGGATGGACCCCGAAGAGCCGAGGATACTTCCCGGGGCTTTCTTTTGTGGCTGCTATCTACTGGGTTTGGCGATGCTTTGGTGTCGGATGTCCCGGTGGTTTTCTGGCGTGTTCGATTGCGCCCGGCCGTGCGTGTGGTAATTTTAAGTCTGGAGGCCGGGCCTGATGACGAGACTGACTCCGGAGCCAGCAAAGCAAGCAAGCAGGCCAAGTCAAGCAGTACCAGCGCTGGTGAAGATGCAAGTCAGTCTCGAAGAAGTGGGCGCGCGGCAAGGGCGCTATATTCCCCGCACTAGCAGCCAGCAACAGAGACGAGATGTCAATCCCGATTTCCTCCTCCCAGTCAGCTGGAGCTGGGAGAGTCCGGTGTGCACTTGAACAGTGGATTTCTAAGCATTGTGGCAAGCATCCGATAATGGTATTGGTTTCTTGGGCGGCGTTTCAATTTGGAATCAGTCACTTTGCTTCTGCCCCCTCGTCCCAGGGAAAACGGCCGCTGGGCGGGCTGCAGGCGGCATACGACGGGACAGGGTAAAGCCCGATTGTGTTGCAGTACTGTGTAGAAAGAAAATACCTTGGGTGGACGGCAATCAAGCGGAGCAATGCCCTGAACGGGCGGGTTGGACTCGTGACTCTCTTGGCCCCCCGGGAGGTTCGTCACGATGGACGAGCGGCGGGCGGAGGTCGGCGGTGAGTGGCCAAGGGCTGGGATGGGCAAGATGGTCAGGATGGGTAGGGAGATGGGTAGGGCAGTGTGTTGTGGCTTGCTCGTCCTGTCGTCAAGATCAGATGAGATGGGAGTGTCGTACGAGGCAATTAGCTCCTAAAACAGGACAGTGCAGCGTGGATCCCGATTTGCAGCCGCGGCTCAATGACCGTTGTTGATTGATTGATTGATTGAACTCTTTTCCCTCTTCAAATGATTTTTTTTGTGGTCCCCGGTATTTCGCGATGCGGTGCGATGCGATGGGAGAGCGAAGCACTCCTCCTTGTGCTAGACTACTTACATCATGGTGCTGCTGGCTGGCGGGTGGCGTGAGATCTGTCTGATGGTGTGGGCAATGTAGAATTGTCCTGTAGATGGCAATGGATCAGCTGCTCACCAACACAGGCAGACCGTCATAGCCAGCACAGAGAGAGAGGCCTAACGACGATGCTTGGACTCGAACTGCATCGATCTTGGGAAGGTTGGCAGCGCTAGCGAAGGCGCTAAGTGGCCAACGTCTTCTGAGGGAGGGTCCAAAACTGGAGACACTGCGGTAGAGATGCGTTGCGTGCTGAAGTGCTGGTCCCTTCATCATCAGGCCTGCGGGCACATCCACAAGCCATCCAACTGTGTGACGTCGTGCGAGCGACCTGTGCTGGGCTGGGCTGGGGTGGCCAGCCCCAGCTAGCCCTGCTCCTGCTAAGGCCCGCCGTGGTCGCTCACGTCTGTCAGTGCCAGTGTCTAGATGCTGGGCAGATGGATGCTGCGCATGGCGATGCTGTGCTCAATCCGGGCAAGGGCTGAGAACCGGATGGTGACCCCATTCCAGGCCTTCCCCCAGGACACCCAGGTACCGTCAGTCAGTCGGATCTGTCGGTCTGTCTGCCCTGTTCGTCCACCATATAGATGATGGATGGATGGACCTGGGATTGGCAGAACAGGAGGCGGGCAACTCCATTCTGGTCTACATTTGACAGCCGAAACCCCCGTATCCTTCGCAATAAACTCAGCAGATATCGTCTGCGGGAAGTCAAGGAAGTCAATCGGTCCATACAAGAGTCTGCATGTAGCACAAAGTACCGTCTGGGCTAAATTACTCATCCCTTCTCAGCCTGGTGCCGGGCGTGGCGCGCCGCTCTCTCTCTCTCGCTGACCGAACTCAGCACAATATTACGAATCAGAATCACACTGTACTGCGCGCTGCACTGCACGGCACTCCTGCGTCTAAAACACAACCGCAGCCAGCACAAAGGCTAGGCACAGTACAGTACCTATTTCGTCCTGGTAGGGGTCCTACGGGCAGTACCGACTCCTTTTCGCCCGGTGAACCATCACTCCTCGACCCTCCAGAAAGCCCGGCCCACTGGCACTTGGCACCTAGCACCTTGTCCTGTCCGAGTACCTAGTCTACCCCTGCCCTGCCTCGCCTCGCCTCGCCTCTCCACTCTCCCGCTGCTCACCTCACCTTATTACGCAGTACTCCGGTACAAAGTATCAATAATAAACCCGCAACCGGTACTCTTTGCCCACGACCAAAACATATCGCGCCTCTTCCTCGCCCAGTTCCGCTCCAGCATACCCAACCCACAGTTCGACCACCCTTCCCAATCGTCACTGGATCGCCGCATTTCTCGACCCTTTTCCTGCGCTGCAGAGGATATTATCTCCCACCCTCGCTAACACCATGGCCGCCAAACCCCGCCTGTGATCAGACCCTCCCAAGCGTGGTTAAGCTATTGCGCTCTAGTCTGTCTGACTGTCTGACCTCCGGCCTCCTCCTGTTGCGCCCCCGGAGCCGTCATTATAATTACCAATCCTCGGCCAGAGACTCAATTGCTCTGCTCGCCCTCAAGATTTCTAGTGTTCTACGGCTGTCCGCACCTACTGTGGCTATCACGTCTGCGCGGGATCACAATGGAGCAAATACACGGCGTCGACGTCTCGTGGATGGCCCACCACGGAACCCCGAAAGGTAGGCCTCCTGTCCTCACGTTGAACACCCAAGCAGCGCAAAATTCCTGCAACATCTGTCTACCGAGCACTCGCGTTGGCGAGGCTGACGTAGCACCCAAAAACGCAGACCGAGCGCAGCCTACCCGTCGATCAGCCTTCCCTGCTCCCCCGGAACAGTCTCCCCGGGGTTCGCCCGCTTCGAGTCCGGTCAGGGAAGCACACGATGCGAATGGCCACGCAGACCCAGCGCCCAAAACAAACGGTACACTGCCCAAGCAGATACCCCCTCGTCCTGGTTTCACCAGGGAGAGGGGGAGCTCGATCAACGAGAAGAATGGTGTGGCAAGCAGCGCCTCCCCGACGAGAAGGCCGTCGTGGTTCTCCAACATATCCCAGAAGTTCTCAGGCAGCGGGCCTCAAAGCCCGCCACAGGCCAACAACGCGCCGACTAAAGACGCCGAGATCTCCGTCCCCAAGATCACGCCCGCCAAGAATGCAGTCCTCCAGCATGCGGCTAAACACCAGGGAGAAGGCCCTTACACACCAGCACCGCCCAGGTCGGGCCAGACTGGCCTACTGCATGTGTTGCGCAGGCTGTCGTCTAATTCCGGGCAGTTGGGGCCTCCTATGAAGGGCGTAAACAACCATGGACTGGTCGAGCGGAAGGTATTGAACGTCGACCAAAACCGAGAGCGATGCCCCCTGGAAGAACTACACCAGTCCAAACTGCGGAGGGTGGCATTCTGTGTCGACGTGGAGATCGCGCCGATGCCCAAGTATTCCGATGCCGAGGCTTCTCCCGCGCCCAAGGTGTGCGCCACCGGAAAGCCCGAGAAGCGGAAACTCGCCGAGAAGGGCGAGGGCGAGGCACTGAAGAACCCTAAGGCCGTTGAGAACCAAAAGGAACAGGATGGTACCGTCCAGGTCTCAGGAGAGCAGTTGCCAAAAGAGCCCGAGAAAGAAGGCACAGAGAACAACGACGCTTCTACAAAAAATGACACCCAGCCCTCTACCGACAGCGGCACAACCACGAAAAAGAAGGAGAAGAAGAAGAGGAGCGAGGAGGAGAGGAAAGCAAGAAAGGATAAGAAGCGGAAACTTGCAGAGGCCAATGGCCAGGTCCCTTTGGAACTACACCTCGATACCGACACTTCTGAACCGTCAGCCCCGACCACCCCAAAGGTGCAGGCTGTCCCGACAACGAACCCCGTGCGCATCTATAGGAGATGTTGTCAGCTCAGGGAGACGCCCATCCTCAAGAAGATCACCGAGCAGCTCATGGCCCCTACGAACTCTACACCCGCCGGGGTCGTTGAGAAGCTGGACCTCAGTGGGTACTGGATGCAGCTTGCAGATCTCGTCACATTGGGGGACTACCTGGCTGTCGTTCCCGTCAAGGAGGTCATATTAGAAAACTGCGGATTAAACGATGAGGGCCTGAGGGTCGTGTTGGCCGGTCTTCTCGCAGCGAGGAAGGTCAGCAGCGGCCCTAGGAGACGGCCGATAACCTCAGCCGATGGGCTCGTTGAGCAAGGGGGCGTGGTCGAGCGGCTGGTACTGAAGAACAACAAAATCGGACCTGAGGGTTGGAAACACCTCTGCTTGTTCCTCTACATGTGCAAATCCATCATCAGCCTGGACCTGGCAGAGATTCCGTTCCCAAAGCCACCGCCGCAAACAGCAGCAAACGGGCACACCCACCATTTCCATCTTCACGAAGAGAAAAAGGCCCCATTGGACGTTGGTACGCTGTTCGCCAAATGCATTGGCGAAAGACTGGCAGGTTCAACGCTTGAAATGATGAATTTGAGCAACATCGGCCTGAACCATGCCCAACTTGGTCAGGTCCTCGATGGCATAATGCAGTGCGGGGTCCGCAGGCTCGGCCTTGCGCATCTCGATCTCGATACAGACGGCCTCGAACACATCAAAAAATATCTCAGCAGCGGGAAATGCGAGGCTCTAGACCTGGGCGGTAACGACCTACGCGACCAATGTGAGAATATTGGTGGCGCTATCGACGAGACCAACGCGCTGTGGGCTCTAAGCTTGGCTGAGTGCAACCTCAAGCCAGCTTCACTGTGCAAATTGCTCCCTCATTTATATAAGCTTTCGAATTTCCGTTTCCTTGATCTGTCGCAGAATCAAGCGCTGTTCAACTCGGATCCTAGCGCTGTTGGGGTCCTCAGAAGGTATGTTCATCTCACTCTGCTCCCACCCGCAGATACAGCTCACTAACGCGACGACAATAGATACTTGCCAAAGATGGAGACCGTCAAGAGGATACACCTGAGCGACTGCGCCCTGAGCTCCGAGCAGGTGATCGCTTTGGCCGAGGTCATTCCGGAAATGAAATCGGTAGCCCACATAAGTTTTCTGGAGAATCCGGAACTCACCAAGCTGGCAGATGCGAGCACCGAGGAGACGCAGGAAGAAGCGTCTGCACTTTACGCGTCCCTGTTGGCTGCTACAAGAATATCTCCCAGCCTCGTTTGTGTGGACATTGACGTTCCCACTGAGACCTCTGGCGAGATTGTGAAGGCTCTCGCCAAGCAGATCGTGGCTTATTGTCTGCGGAACATGGAGCGACTACCATTGAAGGATGGCGGATCGGGCCTTGCCGAGGCACTGGCAAACGGTGGCAAGGACCCAGAATACCCAGATGTGATCCAACATCTCGTTGGACATGATGTCATGGCGCCCGACACAGACGACGAGGAAGTCGAAGCCGACGATGATTACATAGTCGGAGGTACAGGCGTCGCGAAGGCGTTGGCTTGCTGCTTGAACAACCGCGGAGTCGCTTCGAGGAGAAATTCTGGAGAGTTTGTGCGAGATTTCGAGACAGGAGTTCCACAGCCAACGGCGCAACTGCCTGGTGGGAAAGCCAAGGACGTGTCAAAGCACTTGCTCCTCAGTGCAAGGAAAATTCGGCACCGTCTGGAGCCTGCTCTCGTCAAGGCAAAGACCCTGGCGGAACAGTCCACCGGAGAGCGTGGTACCTATCAGCGCTTGTTGTTCCTGCAAAAGACTCTGGATGGCATCATCAAACGCTTCGAGGACGAGTTCCCGGAGACGAAAGAGGCCGCGGACAGTGGCATATCGATCCCGCCGCCCGATTACCAGCTCGAGAAGACCAACACTCGCAATTCGCTTTCATCTGCAGAAGCAGAGCCCGAGCACATTGCGGCAGGATCCGATGTGGAGGACGAATTCGACGTGCAGCGCAGCCTGGCTCGAAGCAGCTCCAACCTGTCGCTGTCATCCCTGGCCCTCAACCGCGAGGAAGGCCGCGCGCTCCGGTCAGGTCACCAGTTCCGCTCTGGATGGATGACGGCGGAGCAGTATCAACTGTTATCGTCGGCAGGCTTCGAAGAACTAGAGAAGGACCCGCACCAGGTGCGCGTCTTCAATGAGCTGATTGACGAGCTCGACGACGAGGAAATCAGCAAACTAAGGGAAGAGAAAGGCGCGGTGAGGGTGTTCCAGGAGCATCGACAAAAGATCGTGGACGCCTGCCGGGCAGCTGACCCTGAGTACTGGGTCAAATTTGTGGAGAGCCAGGAGAAGGCCAAGGCAAACGTCAATGTGTCCCAGCCCAAGCCCTGTAACAATGGAGCTGTGCCGGAAGCCGCGGTGGTGGATGATGAGGTTGCTGTCGCGGACTAGGCGCGTGGACGGCAGGACGAGCCACTGCGGCCAAAGCCCAAGAAGAGGAGGTACTGTTTTTGCTTTCATTGAGCCTTGAATTAAAACCCAGTACAGACTGGTTCCCCAAGGAAGATAAAAGCCGTCGCTGGTGTTTGCGACTTTGATTTGCATCAACATGGGCGTTTGAATCGGAGCCTCACGGGCCTCACAGCAGGCCTTCGACATATAACTTTTACGCATGTTTTCCTTTGTTCAGTGTACTGGAATCACAAGAGAAACAGAGGGTTGTTATGGTGTACAAATACCCGGCGTGGAGGGTGATGAATGGGGTGGTTTGGCAGGATAACTTTGCTTGGGTGTAGGAAGAATCTGGGCTGCATTCGTTTCGCTTTTCAGCAGGGCAGCTGGCCTAGGCAGACCGGCTAGGATAGGAGCGGTTACAACCCGGGATGGCGATGTCCGCCCCACCGGCTGTGTTGTGTTGTGTATACTGGAATCTAGGCTAGGGGGTGAGAATTCAATTGGAAATGGAATGGGAACGAGACCTGACAACGAGACTCGGAAAACAGCATGTTGCGTGCTTCGTAGGTGTGTCCCGTGATGAACGAGGTGCATCGCTGTTGAATGGTACCCGGAAGTCTGACGTGCCTGGGTCCACTGGTGGCCCCACCTGAGCTTCCCACAGCTTGCTCCCTTGCCTAGCTGCCCGGGCCCACCCGCCAATTAGAACGCGTCCGCCCAGGCCTGGCAAGCTGCTTTCGCGTCACAAGCTTCAGGGTCCCCCGACGCATTAGACCACCGCCCCAACCCGCCATTACATTACCGTTGCCTGCTCTGCGCAAACTCAGATCTCCAGATATTCCCCCTCCCATCCTGACCTTTCCGTTACTTATCCATCTCAATTGGCTTTGCGAGATTGAAGCCGTTTTACTTGTCAACCATTGAGTGAGCTTCTCGCGACAGTCGTGCGCTTCTCCAACCCTCTTGGCCCACTGACAACGCGGGCGCATCGAGTCCCCAGCCCAGCCCTGCACTTTACACGTCGCACGCACGCGCAGCGACAAACAACCCGCCCTCCATCCCACACCATGGCCGACGAAGCTGCCACCACCCCGCGGTCCGTCGCCGACCCGGGCACGGCGACACCAACCCTGGCGCCAGGCACCGCGACAGGCACTGCCACGCCGCAGTCCGCCATCTCGATCCCACTGACGGCCGAGCAGCGTACCCTGAGCCTCAAGGTCTCGCTCGCCGACCTTACCGCGCGCGCCTCGGGCCTGTACGCCCAGAAGAAATTCGACGAGGCCGCCGAGGTCTACGCGCAGGCCGCCGAGATGCAGGCCGAGATGAACGGCGAGATGTCGCCCGAGAACGCAGAGATCCTGTTCCTGTACGGGCGCAGCCTGTTCAAGGTCGGCCAGGGAAAGAGCGACGTCCTCGGCGGCAAGGCCCCCGCGACCGAGGGCGGCAAGCCCAAGCAGCAGCAGAAGAAGGCCCCCAAGAAGGCCAACGGCGCGCCCAAGTCCGAGCCGGCAGCCGAGGCAGCAGCGGCGGCGACCGCGGAGGAGAAGATCGAGACCCCGGAGGCGGATAGGGTCGCCCAGGAGGCGGTCAAGATAATCGCGGACGACACGAGTGCCGGCCAGGCGGAGAAGAAGGAGGTCGAGGCCAAGAAGCCCCTGTTCCAGTTCACGGGCGACGAGAACTGGGTCGACTCGGACGAGGAGGACGACGTCAGTGACAATTTCCAGCTTTTGTTGCCGACCTCACCTTGTGCGCACGCGCTGACTTGTGACCCCAACAGGCCGGTGCAGAAGGAGAGGGCGACGAGGAGGAAGAAGATGACGATCTTGCCACAGCCTTTGAGATTCTCGACCTGGCTCGCGTGCTGCTGAAGAAGCGGTTGGAGGAGAAACAACTCGCGGCAGAGGCCACAGAAGGCAAAGGTAAAGAGAAGGCCGAGAATGGCGACGACGATAACGACGACGGCCAAGATGTTGGCCTCAGACATATCAACGAGCGCCTAGCGGACACGCATGATATCCTAGCAGAGATCTCCCTCGAGAACGAACGGTACGCTACTGCCCACGGCCACTCGTCAACATGGGAGGCGGTGCTAACTGCGTCTCAGGTACCCTAACGCGATCGCCGACGCCCGGGAGTCCCTCAAGTACAAGCAGCAGCTGTACGGCGAGGACTCGGAGATCATCGCCGAGGCGCACTTCAAGCTCTCGCTGGCGCTCGAGTTCGCGTCCGTCACGGCCCAGGCGGACGAGGAGGGCACCGGCGACACTGCGGCGGCCGCCCCACCGCGCGAGGTCAACCAGGAGCTACGCGACGAGGCGGCCAAGGAGCTCGAGGCGGCCATCGAGAGCACCAAGCTCAAGCTGCAGAACAAGGAGGTCGAGCTCGCGACGCTGCACTCGCCCGAGGACAACGACATCTCGCGGAAGCAGATCACCGAGACCAAGGAGATCATCGCCGACATGGAGCAGAGGGTGAGCCCTAGAACCCTCTTGTTCATTTTCCGCATCCTTTCCCGTCGTGAACCCGTACTGACAAAGTCTCCCCGCAACACAGCTGGTCGACCTGCGCGGCCCGCCCATCGACATGAAGGCCGCCCTCGGCGTCGACCCCATGGGCGGCATCCTCGGCGCGGCGCTGGGCGAGTCGTCCACCGAGACCGAGGCGCGCATCGAGGAGGCCAAGAAGACGGCCACGGACCTGACGGGTCTCGTGCGCAAGAAGGACAAGCGCAAGGCCGAGGGTGGTGCCGAGGGGCAGGAGGGCGAGGAGGAGCCGAGCAAGAAGGCCCGCACGGAGGAGGAGACCGCCACCTCGTGATGCGTCAGTACCAACCTGAGAAATGTCTGGCTTTTCCTCCCGTTGCAGAACTGGAGAGACCCGCGGGAGAGGCCAGAAGAAGAAGGGTGGAATGTTGGTATCTCTGGAGGAGGTAAAACGTCCCTATTTCGGGCATCGTATTCATCCACAACTACTACTGCTGTGATGTCCTCGGCGCGCTTGCTTGGAGACATCAAATTTTCCCTACTGTCTTGACATCTCTGTACCATACATAGCACACACACCACTGGCTAGGAAGAGGGAGGGCTTTGGTGGTAAGAAACAATATTGCGGGCAGCTACATTAAGCCGGCGTCACAGAGGCAAAGCCGAAAAGGAGGGCCGATTGCTGAGACCTCCAAACGAATTGCTTGGATTAATTTTTCCAAACTGTCCTGAGTAGCAGCAGTGATATTTCCTTCGAAAAAGCACTTCGATTTCATCCGTGTGGTATATCCTGCGGCCCCCAAACATTGAGAAGCCAGGGGGGGCACGACAGGCGCATTGTGCCTAACATGTGTGGTTTGGTAGCCAATTTGATTCTTGAAATTACGATTGGTATTTCACCTGGTCTAATGCGACCGCCGCCGGAACCAAGTACTCCTCCGTATAATGCAACCCGCTTTTTGTTCCACGCAATTTTTCTTTTCCTTGCTGCCGTCCACAACGCTCCTTTGCCCCTCTCTCTCCTTCTTCCCTTCATCCCTGAACACCCCTTCCATACACTTACACTACCGGTGATAGCTACACGCATTTTCTCACAGCTGCAATCCCTGGTTCTGGTTCCGACTGGAGGACGGCCCGCCCCTCAGGTGCGCGGCGGAGCCCTTGAACAGGCTCTGCCAGATGTACGCCTCGCTGAGGAGCAGCTCGATGTCCTTCTCGGTCCACTCGCGCGTCGGCAGCGACTGCAGGAACATCATGATCTCCTGGAAGTCCATCTTGACGAGCTTGTCGGACCACTTGACCAGGAACGCGGCGCAGACGTATAAGTGGAACTCGGAGAAGCCGTTCTCCTCGGCCTGCGGGGTGATTCGGCGTCAGCAACTGGTGTTTTTTTTTTTTTTTTTTTTTTTTTTTTTTTTTTTTTTTGGAGAGAGAGAGAGAGGATGAAGGGGAAGAAAACGGAGAAGAGTGAAAGAATGAGAAAAGGGGCAGGGGAGAGACTGACCAGGTATGTGTCCCACATCCTGATGGTATTCTTGACGCTGACCTCCCTCATCAGGAGGCAGTTCATCCACCGGAAGCTGAACTGGATGAACTCGACGTGCTCCCTCTCCAGGTGCCGGGCCAGCCCGGCGTCGATCCTCGCCGTGAGGTCCTGCAGCGCCCGGACCTGCCGCTGTATGCCCGGCTGCGCGACGATGTAGTGGTCCTGTATGCCGTCGAGCAGCTTAGTCAGGCACCAGAAGGAGTCGGCCTCGACGGCGTCCAGGACCGCCTTGGGCAGCTGGCCCGGGTCCATGCCGCGCTCGATGTCCGGGTCCGTGATGTACACGCCCAGGAAGGTCTGCCAGAAGGGCGTGACGAGGTCGTTGATGCCCTGGACGTAGCCGCTCGCCGGGTGCCGCACCGCCCAGACGTAGAGGATCCGCTCCAGCGACCGCTGCGTGGCCTCGTAGCCGTAGAGCTCGATGTGCGGGTTCGTCCGCGGCACGTCGATGCTGATCTGGTGCCATACGGCCTCGTCCAGGCCCCGCGATCCTCCACCACCCCCTCCGCCTCCGGATCCCTTCCCTGCCGTGGCGCCGGTGCTGCCCGTGCCCTTTTCGAAGGACTGCTTCACCCCGTCTAGGTACTCCTTGCGCTTCCGTTCCAGGGTCGCTACCCGCCGCTCGCTGCTCGTTGGCAGGTACGAGAGGAGGAGCTGCCACGTCATGGCCCTGACCTCCTCCGGCACGCCTGACCATGCTGCTGCCCGCAAGTCTGGGAGGACCACGCTGGAAGCCTGGAGGATCTTCTTGAACTTGTTTATCCTGGATATCCTGGAGTTTATGGCGTCGATTTCCCTGGGGGATGCGTTTGGTGGTATGGCGGGGTGGTTTATGAGGTGGAGCGCATTAGCTGGGTCTTTGAGGATCTCCTTGTACTGCGGCCTGAGGATCTTGCCCTCGCTCTTCTTGGCCACCGGGTAGGATGGTGTTGGTCTCTCGATTGCGATGTCGGCGCTATTGGAGAAGCGCCTGGAGTGGAAGCCACCGCTGTAGCTATCTATATCTGAGGGCTGGTTGCTGGCATTGGCTCTCGTCTGGGCGTCCTGCATTCGTTTTGTCCTCCTCTTCATGTTGGATAGGCTGGGCAGGCCGAAGTCGTCCCCGTCATCATCGTCATAGTCGTATATCTCGCCGGCATCGTCTGCGTTCCAGTCGTCATTTGTGGTGGAGAGGAAGTTCATGTAGCTTTTGAAGGGGGGAGACGTCGGACGTTGTGTGTTTCGTTGTTGCGGTGGTGAGACTGGCTTGTTGGAGTGTGAAGATGTTGGTGGAGTTCGAGGCCGCGTTGCTGAGCTGGATAGGTTTCTGAGAGCGGAACAAAGGTCAGCACCCGTGATGAGCTTGGTAGACGAGGTTGGTCTAACAGTGAGTCGAGTTTGAGCATGTCAGCATGGGAGTATGCTGCCCCAACAACCAGGCTGGATTCACGAGTCGTCTTCTTGGGCCCGTTTGCCGGCGTCGGATTGCGCCAGAATGGAGAGGCAGACCTGCTTGCGGATCAGCGCCGAGTTGCCAATGCTTCTCGAGACCAACTCTTACTCGGATCTGTCTACGGTGGAGCAAGGCCAGACTGTCAATCTCTATAGTGTCAGGGTGGAATAGCGCATGTGAAGACATACCAACTTGGACCATCTCCTGCTACACGCAGCACACCACCAGTCAGTTTCGGAGCCGAGTCGCAAGCCTGTCGCACCGGGCAGAGGCAGAGGGAGAGGGAGGACCTACCTGTGGCGGCGGCTTCTTGCCACTCCCTGAGGAGGAAGAGGAGAACATTTCGGGTGCAGACGACAGTGATCAGGAGGAACAAGGAACGCTGTGCTACACAATCCAACTCATGGTCGCTGTTGGTTCGTAGTCTAGATCGTGCATCCTTCCAATGTAGCAGACTGCCTCGAGATACCCACATCCGCCCGCAGCGCTGCGACTGCTCCAACGCCCGCTTGCTCGAGCTCGGTTTCGCCGTTGGCTGCTAAGAGCCCACTTGCTGAAGCCCGGCCCCTGATGGACTGACCAGGAATGACCAGGACCCCCGCCATCCAATGCCAGCCAGCCTGGCCGGCCTGGGGAGCTAGGTCCCTGGGCAGGCACCTACTGCGCCTAGGCAATTACCTAGGTAATCAATTCTCCGGCCACAGCTGCTGTCGGGACCCTTCAGGCTACCTGGGTACCTGCCTAGACTCCCTGACTCCTCAACACTCAGGCAGAACCACGCTAGCATTCCAATCCACGCACGGGCCAGCCGGGGGCCTTTATCGATAACCCGCCCTCAACCTAGCCCAGCTTTCTCCCAGTTCGCCCCGTTGCAATCGACTCAAACCTCAACCGCAATCAAATCGAATTTCCTGCTCCCCTTCCCCAACCTTGCCGATCACGACACAAACGACAGTACCGTGTCGCGTCGCCTGTTTTTGCTTGCCGACAGCCAAGGTTTCACTTGTTCATCCAGTCATTCTCTCCCTTCTTACAACCACACTGTTGATTTTGACACTCCCTTCCCTTCCTTATCTCTCCCTCCCCGTTGGTAACTCACCCAGCAGTCATTCACAATGACGGAGCCTGAGAACTTCGAGGACGATCTCTTCGACGACCTGTACGCATCGCCTGATTAGTCCTCCCTGGCAAGCCGTTGCTAATCGCCTGACCAGCTATAATGACGAAGCGCCCGCGCCACCCGCTGCCGCTCCAGAGCCCGTCGCTCCCAAAGCCGAGCCTGCTCCTGCCCCAGGCAAACCTGAGGATGACCAGAGCGGAGGTCACCATGGAGCAGACCCAGCCTTTGGCGAGGACTCACACATGAACGGTGCCGAGGAATACGAGGAGGACGATGACGATGTCGACTTCAACCTCGGCAACGGCGATACACACGCTCCTGATACCCCATCCTACAGTCAGGCGCCGGCAGCAACGACGCACAAGAACCCCAATGCCAAGGAGGACGGGTAAGTCAGATTTTCTTTGCCTTCCCTATCACCATATGTTCTGCGCTTGTATTATGGCTTCATCGCCATGTCTGTCGTTTTGGCGCTGCGGGCACGATGAGCAAGTCAGCGGTGGTCCACTGCTTCAAGATCATCACAAAATTGGGGCTACCCTGAAGCGGAGCATCTATAAAAGAGACTGGCCATGAGGTATGGAATCTTCGGAAGGAAGAAAAACATTCCGTATCAGATGCGCGCCACCCTGGTCATGTTTGCGGAGGTTGCTACAAACTCGTCAATCGGGAAGCGAGGGGACTCGTCGTGGCATGATTCAGCTTGGATTGGCCGGGCGTACAGCGTGGGAATGACCTGGAGTTGCTTGTCTCAATTGCGGCGTCTGCACTCTGGATGCCTCGGTGGCCGAGGTTGGCGCATGGGCGTCCAGCAACACGCAGGCATCTCAAGTGTTGCACCCTTCAACCTACAGAAGACATGGGTCAATGGCGCAGTGAAGACGTGCAGGCAGCCGAAGCATCGAAGGACAGGAGTCAAGGCGGGGCCCCACACTACCTGAGAAACAGCCGAAAAGCGCAACCGATGCGATAGATCAGATCACGGGCTCCAGTTGCCATGATCTCTGGGAGCTTCAAATAGCCTACAGAGAATTCTGTGGGCAGGGAAGACATGGACATTCCTCCCTCTTCTCCCAGGACTTGTAAAGAGATTTGGAAGCGGATAGCGCTCGAGCCAGTACCTAGCTTGACGATAGCAAGAGAGAGACAGAGAGACAGTCCGAACAAAGATCGCAAGAAGATTTCGACAATCTTTGCTGCTCCTGGCTTCCAATCATTCTGCGCTGCTCGCTTCTTTTCTCACTTGGACGTGAGAGCTTTGGGATGTACCCTACCAACCAGCAAGCAAGAAGCAGCCCGCCACTGAGCGACAACCTCAACTGATCATCGCTACACCTACTCAACAATCAGAAAGCAATCATGGCGACGGAAAATCTAGATTCAGCGGTGAAAGAAGAGGACTACTTGTCGTTTAAGGTTGAAGACGACGATGGCGACACTTTTGATGATGACTACTCCAACGACTCCCTTGCCCGCTTGGCCACGATATCGAACTGCATCGGTCTAGTAAGACATGAGGTGTACCAAAGGTGTGGGAAGCCCGGGAATGGCCACGGGAGCCAATGCAGCAAGCCGTACTCTCACCGCCGAGGCGTCGGGGCACTTGGGGCTGACTTGTTTGCTCTGGGAGGAATGACAAGGAAGCACTTTGCGTCCGCGGTGGCCGGCTGCATAGCAGTCAACACTGGACTTTTTCATGCGCTCACAAGCACTTACACATAGTCTCGCAAGCTCGTGCCTAAAAGATCAAACGTACTAACATGCGTGTTTTATAGAAAGATGTTCATCGGAGGGCTTAACTGGGAGACCACAGATGGTAAGCCACTCCACGCTTGAGTAGTGAAGAGTGCTTGCTGACTCTTGATCTCAAGAATCTCTTAGAGACTACTTCTCTCAGTTTGGCGAGGTCACCGAGTGCACCGTAATGAGAGATGGCGCTACAGGCCGGTCGCGAGGTTTCGGATTCCTCACCTTCAAGGATCCCAAGACGGTCAACGTCGTCATGGTGAAGGAGCACTACCTGGACGGAAAGATCGTGAGCATCAGCCTGTGTACCCACTGACGAAAGCCATCGAGTACTGACGAGCTGCCAACCACAAAAGATTGATCCCAAACGCGCCATACCTCGAGATGAACAGGAGAAGACGAGCAAGATCTTTGTCGGCGGTGTAAGCCAAGAGACCACGGACGCCGAGTTCAAGGACTACTTCGCACAATTCGGCCGCGTCGTCGATGCCACTCTTATGATGGACAAGGACACCGGCCGCCCCCGCGGCTTCGGTTTCGTCACTTTCGAGTCCGAAGCCGGCGTGGATGCTTGTCTTGCCACGGAGTTGGAGATCCACGGCAAGCCAATCGAGGTCAAGAAAGCCCAGCCCCGCGGCAACATGCGGGAGGAAGAGGAGGCGAAGGGCCGGGGCAACAACCGATTTGGCAACCGGGGCAGAGGCGCGGGAAACAACTTTGACGACAATTCGTCGCAGGGAGGAGCAATTGCCGGCGGAAACGGCGGCGGTAGCGCGGGTGGCCCCAGCGGCTCGGCAATGGCACAGCAGTGGGCTCGCATGCAGCAGATGTTCCAGATGTGGCAGCAACAGATGGCCATGAACCGCGGCATGGGCGGCATGAACCCCCAGGCGGCCATGATGCAGATGATGCAGATGCAACAGATGCAGCAGCAGATGATGATGCAGGCCCAGCAGCAGGGCGGCGCCGGCGCGGGGCGAGGCGGCCCGATGCCCAACATGGGCAACATGGGCAACATGGGCGGGGGCCAGATGAATCCGGCCATGATGCAGCAGATGATGAACCAGATGGGCGGCCAGGGAGGGCCCGGCGGCCCCCAGGGCGGCATGCAGCAACAACCAAACGTCCCCACCGGCCCCGGCGGAAACCAGAACCGGCCAGGATACAACGCCTACGAGCAGCAGATGTTCGAGCAGCAGAAGTACGACCAGCGCGGCGGCCGCCAGGGCAGCAACAGCAACATCAACCAGCAGCAGGGCTACGGCATGGGCGGCGGCGGGGCACCGACCTCGTGGGAGGGCATGTACGACGACGTGCCCCAGCCCAACGTGCCCAACCAGATGGGAGGCGGCAGCATGAGCCCCGTCTCCATGGGAGGAGGAAGCCACGGCGGTGGCGGCGGCGGCGGCGGTCGTGGCGGGGGTGGCTTCCGGGGCCGCGGCGGCTTCCACCACCAGAACCACCAGCAGCCGGCCGACCCTACCAAGGCGCCTCCGGCCAACGCGCCTACGGGGCCCAAGAACGCCGGAAGGCCTGGTGCGAACTACCGCGGAGGCGGAAGAGGTGGCGGTGCGAGGGGATTCCACCCTTATGGACGCTAGCAGCGCCAGTGGTTGTGATTTTTCCCTACGGAGTCTTTCCATCCTCGAAGAGCTTAAAGGGGAGTGGCGTTCTACTTGGGCGAGAGGTCTTTTTCTTCGCCCTCATCCTTGTCTCGATATGGCCGGACGGTATGATCACAGCACTCACCGCGAGCCAGCAACTAGGCGTCAGCATACGGTCGATTCCTCGAACAATGGTGTCGCCGCGAGGCAGTTTCTCCGTCATGGACGGCGCAGCGCGGTCAGCCGGCAACAAACGCGATCAAACCTGTACATTAGCAAGCAAGTCTCCTTCAAAATATCGGCGGCCGTCTGCGCCTCAGCCCTTGGGCGTTTATTTTTACCCCGAGGACGTCACATATTCGGTATGCAAGGGCAGTGTGTTTCATTATCTCCGGCTACGCAACGGGACGCGGGAGAGGCGGTGGTAACCTGAGCAGGCAAGCCTTAAAAAGGGCAGAGGGTGTGGCCTGCTGAGTTGTTTTCGTTGACTGGACAGTATTACCGTGAATCGAGGCTTGCGAACCCACAACCGTCCCATAAACTTGACTATGTGATGCCGCTTGTGACCAATTTCTCCGTATCCGATGGATTCCCTGCGACCTCCTGAGAAAGATTGGCCGTGTGGTAGCAGATGCGTGTAAAGAAGCAACAGTGCCTAGGTGGACTGGTGAATGCTCGCTTCACAGGCGACCAAAAAAGTCCTCTTGCGTACGTGGACTTTCTGGACGCTTTTTTCATAGAAAATCGGTGATAAAAGCATTTGTTGTCATTTTCTACTCTCACTAGCTTTGCTTCGAGCGTCGACTGATGCTTGTTTTCCATAGTGTCAAACCTTTCGATGCCATAATCTCGTAGACGGTGGCTACGACACCTTTGACATCGAGGTCGGAGCCCTCGGTATTGCTAAACTGCGACTGAATTGGATCGTACAAGAAAAGGCTTCGAGCGCGGCTGAAATTGAAAAGTTGAAGCGTATCCGTTGCAGGGTTGACGAGGAGGTTTCGAGGGGCTATGGCTCGGTGGACATTGCCGAAGTCCATGTTGAGGTGGGTGACAACGTCAATGAGTTGCTCGAGATACTTCTTTTTGAAAAGCCATGAGGGTTGCTTCTGCAGATCCTGCAACGTCTTAGATGAGACGAAAGCTGATGTGAAGCCAACGACAACTTCGACGTCGTTGCGATACCCTGGGACGTCTTGGTAATCCGTGAACCACACATTCAAAGGGCACGATGCTAGGGTGCCCTTCAGAGGTGAGCCTCAACCAGTAGTTGAGCTCGTCCCAATTCCTAAGGGCGCGGTAGTGGCGGAAGTCGTACTTGAACACGGCCCTTGATCCGGGCTCGGACCTGTACGTGACCAGGTCCACGCCAGGAGACAGCCTGTCGACCTCGACCAGATCAGCCCTCGAAACAACAATTTTGAGGTTTCTGTATGCCTCTGGAATCATTTCGACAGGGCAGTAAAGCGTCGTGAGAACTTCGTCGTCTCTTTCATCGGACGAGGCGGAAATGAAATCACCATCCATCGAGAAGTTGACGAGATAGACGTCGTCGTCAAGCCGGTCAACGAGCCCGGACAGACCTCGGAAGATAAGCTCCATCGCAGTGATGGCTTCGCAGCCACTGAAATCATCGCCCATTGTGACCTCTTCGCGGACGCGGATCGAAATGTGGCGTCGCTGGTCCCAGTCGATGCAGTACCATGTCGTTGGTCCATCGGGAAAGCTCAAGCCTCTTTCGGCACGGAAACGCTGGTAAGGCTGGCAGTCATCGAGGAAACCCATGATATGAGCCCAAGCTTTCGATGTAAAAGTGTCTTGAATATGTTGAGATAAAGTGGTGGCAAGATTCCCACCTGACATCAACTTCAGGGCATCATGGAATGACGCCGATTGAGATGGATGCAGCATGGGACCCCCCGACCCATTTTGCCTTCCATAAATCATAAAGCAAGAGGAATAGTCGAGCCTTGCGCTTTCCCTGAGCGTCGATGTTGCCTGGGACGTGGTCTCCTGGGGGGAAAGAGAGAGGCGGGGGTTTAGATCGAGTTGGCAGCACTCAGCGAACAGGTCTTTCTGCTCAAAGCAGTTGATTCAGTACAATGCTCCCAGCCCCGATGCAAACATACCTACAATGGATACAAATTCTAGTAATGCCAGACTTGAAAGAAATTGTATAATTTGACCAAGATCGAGAGCCAGCGTGGATAGGGAGCTGGGTAATCTACGGTTAGCCTCGTGCCCAGCCCAGACTGAGTGGGGGACTGTCAGCCGTTTACTTGGACCACTTCGGAGGGGCTTTCCTTCCTTAACTCGCTCTTATCACTCACCGGCAACTCAACAACCACCGGTAAAAGAAGGCGTATTATGAGACATTGAACCTAAGAGCATATACAATACTTCGATAGCATTTACATTACCTTCAAAATGACCGTGTCCTCGCATACCTCGGGCGGCCTGACCGCCAGCCAAGTCGACTCCTTCAACCGCAACGGCTACCTCATCATCGAGGACGCCCTCTCAGCGTCCACCGTGCAGTCCCTGCTGGACGAGACAAACTCCCTACTAACCAACCTCAGCCTCGCCGACCACCCAATGACCAAGTTCAGCACGGGTGGCGAGGACGGGCAGGACCACGTGGGCGACGACTACTTCCTGACGTCAGGCGACAAGATCCGCTTCTTCTTCGAGGAGGACGCCTTCGACCCCCAGGGAAAACTGACCAAGCCCAAGGAGAGGGCCATCAACAAGATCGGCCACTACCTGCACGCGCTCAGCCCGCCCTTCGCAAAGCTGCTGGGCGGGGACAAGGGCGCCGCCTCCGAGGCCGTCCCCGCCGAGATCGCGAGGTCGCTGGGCTTCGCCGACCCCAGGTGCCTGCAGAGCATGGTCATCTGCAAGCAGCCTGAGATCGGGGGCGCCGTCCCGCCGCACCAGGATAGCACCTTCCTGTACACGAACCCGCCGAGCGCCGTCGGGTTCTGGTACGCGCTTGAGGACGCGACGCTGGAGAATGGTTGTCTGAGCTTCCTGCCCGGCTCACACAAGGTAGGCCGGTCTCTTTTTTGGTCCTTACCTCTCTCCTCTTTCCTCTCAAGATGTCATGAACCATAGCTAACGCTCACAAGTGGGCTCCCATCTCAAAACGACTCGTCCGCAAGGCAGGAAATGCCGGAACAGAGATGGCCACTAACGAGGGGCCGAGATTCCCTCCTGGCGAGGAGTATGGCGAGAGGGCGGACACGCCGGCCAGGGATGAGGACTACATCCCTGGAGAGGTCAAGGCTGGGTCGCTGGTGCTCATCCACGGCAACATCCTCCACAAGAGCGAGAAGAACCTCAGCCAGAAGGGCAGGATTATCTACACTTTCCACATCATCGAGGGAGGGTCAGAAAGGCCGTACGACGAGAAGAACTGGCTGCAGCCACCGGCAGAGGGCTTCACGAAGCTGTACTCTTGATACTTACTGTCTACAATGGAATTGACTTCCTGACACCAATGTTGGATACTCTTAGCGATGTCCTATGCTATCTGGTTTTCGTGCCTTGCCGTCATCCCTCATTACAAGTAGGTGAAATTGCGCGCTGTTACGGGCTGAGGTCGATGGGGGTCCTCCCAACACAAGTACTCAGGCTGCTGAAGCGTTTTCATTTGTATTCTAGACAGTCTGGTAATTGTTACATCAACACAATTTCTCTACTGGATAAGAGGCTTCAGATCCGCGATCAAAGTCTCCATCTCATCAACAGTCCCAACAGGACCCCAGTCCTCCCTCGCCTTTGCTGCCCTGTCCTCACCCACCACGAACGTCTCAGGAAGTCCGTGTCCCTTCTCATCCCCTAGCATGATTCCTGCTACACCCCTGCCGGCCAATGCACATCGCGGCATGCCGTGACCCGTGAATCCGGATGCGATGTATAAGCCCTCGCCGCCGCCCAGTGACTCAGGTACAGCACCGATCCACGGCGCCTGGTCACGACTGTACGCCATGATGCCCGTCCACTCCATGGACGCCTCGAGTCCCTCCTCAGGGGTCTTATCACCCTTGCGGTCAAGGCTGAGCACAGGCTCAAGCTCGGTCCGCAGCCACGTCGCCACCCTCGGCTCGACCGTGTCGTCCCTCCACTCTCCGACAGCCATCCCCTTAGCAAGGTGCCGGCCGCCGCCGAGGATAAGCTCTCCTCTCGGGAGGGGCCGCTGGACCAGATACTCGTCCCTCGTGGTATCCTGCCCGTCCTCGCCCTCCACCTTCCCGAAGAAGACGTACGAGTAGTCCAGCCCAACACGCGGCTCAGGCGGCAGCAGCGCGCCGATCTGGCCCCTGACGGGGACGATCAAGTCCGAGAAGGCCGGGAGCAGCCGCGACGTATACCCATTCGTAGCAAGGAGGACCTTCTTCGCGGAGACCCTGCCCCGCGGCGTAGTAACAACCCACCTGCCGGACTGCGCGTCCCTGGAGACACCCGTGACGGGCGTGTTGGTCTGCAGGTTGAACGATGCCGGCCCGTGCTCGGCGAGCAGCCTCTCGAGCACGTGGCAGACGAGCTTGTACGGCCACATGGACGCCGCATGCTTCTGCACGATCGCGCCGGCCACCCCGGGGCGGTCCAGCCTGAGCTTCTCCAGCGTCAGCCCCCGCGCCCACTCCTCGCCCTCGGGCCCGTCCACCAGCCCCTTCCCGGCAGCCACCACGGCGATCTTGTCGGCAAAGTCGGGGACTTTCCTCCTCAGCGCGGGGATCGCCGCGGCGGCGGCGTCGAAGACGTCCGCGCTCAGCATGGCGTGCACGCCGTTGACGGGCCGGAAGTCGCACTCGACGCCCTCGTCCGCGACCAGGCCCCGCAGGAACTCGTACGTCTCGAGCTCGAAGCGCGCGACGTCCTCGCGGGCGCCGTACAGGAACGGCTGGCAGTGCCCGCCGTTGCGGCCCGTGGCGCCCCAGCAGGCCTCGCGGGCCTCGAGGACCAGGAGGGACTGCTGGCTCGCGGGCGACGCCGGCTCCTTGAGGAAGCGCGCCGCGAAGGAGCCCGTCATTCCCGTGCCGACGACGATTGTGTCGGCCTCGGCGGGCAGGTCCGGCGTGGACCGGTGGCCTAGGAGTTTCTTGGACGGGTCCTTGTGCCAGTATGAGTGCGTGCTGTTGGGCACGGGCAGGCCGGCCTGGCCCTCGACTACCTCGCGGAGGACCATGGTTTTGGAGTGGCAGGAAGACGCAAAGTAGGAGGCAGGATCGGGGATGTAGCAAGAGTAGCGTGCAATACGGATTAAGTTTGATGTCGAATAGAGCTGCCCGTTGCGTGATGGCCAACCGGCTTCGGACCGGGCCTGCTTTAAGCGGGGAATCGGCCGGCTGACGTCTTATCTGCGCCGGAACAGCCAATCCGCCCGGTGCTGCAGTGATTACTCTATACTGCATATTGGTGACACCGGATGCTTGAGGAGGCTCTAGGTCACATCTGTTATCATCTTGCATCAAATACGTTTTGGGCTTCGCGGAACAGCCTCCATCCCGAGGATCTTGAAATATGTGCGGGTATTTGCACCGTGGTTTCGACGAGAACATGTGATATGCAAGCTAATTTACAGTTCTCAGTCGAATAATCGATCGGCCAAGCATGCTTTGCAGCTCCGACAGGACCCCCTTTGACTTCCAACGCTCGAGGACACGAAATGCTCACTCTCATGATATCCGCTCCTTCTTATCCTCCTCCCATAACCTTGCAATGAGCTTCTCGGTCAAAAAGGGGCTCAAGCCCAGTCTGTAGAAGTTAGAACCTTGGTCAGTCATGGCTGGCCAGATTGCAGCAGGACAGAAAGAAACGGGACAGGTTCAACTCACATTCCCTCGTTCGTCACTATCCTGTAGGTCCCGCTGGCCTGGAAATTGCCCTCGATTTCCCCCTTGCTGTCGACCTGGACACTGCCAAAGATGTCCTCAGGCCTTAATGAACCTCGTGTTAGTCCACAAAAGCGCCCATTCTGAAGTGAGTGAGAAGAGTATGTGCCAGCTTACCATGCAATCCTCCCAAAATCTGGCGGGTTTCTCCTCTGTTCACACCAGAGTCAGCAGAGAACGTAGTAAACGGCTTCTGGCCACAATTATGAATGATGTGATTTAAACAATCAAGGCAAAGAAATAGACAAGACTCACATCACTCAAGTGCACCCACCCCCCAGCCCCTCCACCCCCAGCTCCTCCCTGGTCACTCGCGCCCCCGGCGCCGTCCGAGCCGCCCCTCCTCTTCCCCCGGCCCCTCATCATGCCGCCGCCGAGGTTGACCCCGCCGGGGCTCGCGAACGCCTGGGCCGCGGCCCGGAGGTCCGCGTCGAGGTGAGCGTGGGCGGCGAGCACCTCGTTGAGGATGCCCAGGAAGCGGCTATTCTCGCGGAACGACCCCGGCGTCGGCGGGAGCTTCGTCGTTGTGCCGACCGCCAGGCCCGGGTTGGGCGGCTCCGCGGGCAGGTAGGTCAGCAGGTAGGATGCCGAGGGCGACGCAGGGTTGGGGAAGACTTTCTGTGCGGGCGGGCCGGGTCAGCTTTGTCTCTATTATCCTCTTTATTATGTATGTTATGTTTGGTAAGGATTGGGTGGATTGATGGTGTGGTCTCCCCGAAAGACTACGAGACGAAGGAGGCAAGAGAACGTAACATAAGACAACATGAAGAACTAATGTGAGGTCGTTTCTGAGGCATCGTTTCTAGTCGCAGCCTGTGCAGCGAGGAGAATGTGAGATGGCAGGGAACCAGGGCACTTACAATGTCTGGATTGTTGGACAGCGTGGTAACGCTCCTGGTCACCACTGACCTGCGCAATTGGCTTGCGATCCGAAACCGTGAGGCCAGCATGTTGTTATGAGATTGAATGAGAGATCATCATGAAGCTCTCACCCACATGGAGCTATCAAAAAGGGTATGCTCATGCCGTCATTTATAAGTTGATTGCCGGGGTGCTGCGGCAGGCAAAATCCCTGCTTTGCGACGTCCGCCGCCGAGTCCAAGACGGGCGACTTTGAACCGCAACGACGACCGACAACGGGAGCTCTGGTCGGGACCTGCCCATGTCGGGAGCGGATGATGAGGGATCTGGTACTTCAATCACGAAATGGCAAGCAGGGCAGAATTGTTAAATGTCATGAGAACAGGACCACCAAAGAAACAATCAACCCGACTTGTTCGTGTTCAAGTTGCACATAAAATTCGTCTGCATTACTTCATGGCCTCTATGTAGCATCGAAAAGTTACTGTACAGCCAGCAGGCAAATGACCAACCTAAGCCCGCATCTTTCTTCTCTTTCCGATCTGGGCAGAGAAACCAGTCTTGATGGCGGCGACGGACCGACGGGATCCGCACGAGTTGCAGGTGACAAAAGACAGACGGTTCTCTCCCTTGCTCAGCTCCGTGTCCGGCGACCGGCACGTCTTGCACGACACGTACTCGATGATGTACTTCCGCAGCACGTTCTCCAGTTGCTTCGCCTGGAAACGACCCTTGATGACCAGACCTCCGGTACCTGCGGTCGAGCCACTCGTACCCAGTTCGGCGAACAGGAATGTGGTGACGTGCTCCTCGGATCGCTTCATACGCTTGCAAATCTCGGGAAGGTTGGCGAAGATGGTCTTCTTGTTGCCTTCACGCATGCATTGGGGCGGTGGGATCTTGTAGCTCTTGGCAGCTCCGGTGGCGTGGTCGGGGTTCTTCTCAGAGAGAAGGCTGAAAAATCGGCTCTGCGACGAACGTTAGTCACCATATGACATCCCCGAGAGAAGAGACAAGATCTTTCAGCAGCTAAACGTACCAGGAGGAGGTCGTATTTGATGGGTGTTGTCTCGTCGTGCGTCCAGATACCGGTTCCTTGCTTCCTGCGCAGAGCAAATTTGTCAGTACACGGAACCTTGCGCGTTGCACCACTGGCTGTGCTTTCTTGCGCCAGCCAGGATAGAACCAGAATGCACGGCACGAGTCCGTAGAGGCGTGAAGTGACAGCGGAGAAAGACTTACATGTCACCATCCTGGGTTTGCTCGTCAGCGGCTGCCTCGCCACCCTCTTTGTCGAGGTCCAGGGCAGCAAGCTTGGCCGCGAAGTCGTCATCGCCCTCCTTTGGTGCCTTCTTCTTCTTCTTCTTCTTGATTCCCAAGTCTGTTTCCGATAATGTCAGCCAAGTCGACCCCATAAAGTAATGCTGCATGCGCTGGTGATTTAAATACCAAGTCCACCGTCGCCTTCAGCAGCGGCGTCGTCTCCAGCCGGCTCCGCGTCGTCGGCGATCTTGACCGTCTTCTTCTTCTTCTTCTTCATCAGACCGAGGTCGAGTCCATCATCACCGGCCTCCCGGGGAGGGGTCTCGGTCTCGGCGGGGGCGGTAGCTGTGGAGGGATTAGTCGACGCGAGGGTCTCTGATAGTGGCTCGGTAGACGGACTGTGAGACTGTGCAGGATGTCAGCAAACAGATTTCTCGCTTTGGCTTGTGGCCGCATTGGCAGCGCAAAAGATGGGAGGGGTTGTGACTGACCAAGGCGGTGTCCTTCTCCTCGTTTGGAGCAGACATGATTTCGACGCTGCCGTCGGCACCGACGACGAGTTTCTCTTCAGTGAATGCGACGGATTTACGCGAGGATCTTCGCGAGTCGGACTGGTCCTGGGGTGGGAGTTTAGTGTGGGGACGTTTCGAGATTTCGGTGTGAGGCTGGCTCGATGATCAGAGTAATAGGGGAGGGCTAAGGGAGACTGGCTTGTCCTGCAAAGACACAGGCAAAGGGTAAGGTAGTCGGTTGAAAGACGACAGGTGTTGATGATGTGTGGAGCGAGTGAGTCAACTCTAATGGCCTGCTTTTTTTGGCGGGGCTAGGCAGGCGGGCGAGCAGGGGTGGCCAGGGCAGCCGGAACTGGAGTCTGGTCTGGCCTGGAGCAGGGGAGCTTTAGGGGCAAGCTGCACTGCGATGCGCGATGCGCGATGCGCTGCAAATGACTAGAGTGGGCACTTGTTCATTCCTCTCCGTCCGTTCAGAGCCTGGGCCTGGGCCTGAGACTGGGCTTCTTCCCTGAGGCAGGAAACGTGGGTTCGGGAAAAACTGCCTCGACTCGAGCAGTATGCAGTGCAAGGCATGGCAAAGATGCGGGCAAAGGATGGGGGAAAGGCCGTGTTCTCATCCGCTACCCGGACTAGCTGGCGGACATACCTCGTTCACCATCTTTTTGTTCCTTCGGCCGCAGTTGCAGTCGCCTCTTTTTGTGTATGACGGAAGGATGGACTTGGCTGGCTGGCTGGCTTGTTCAATCAGAACGTAAACCGGGCTGGTGGTCTTTTTCGTTGGTTGATTGATAGGCACGCTGCTCTTGTGCGTACGTATTGGGGGGTCCGGGTCTCCCTTTTGACTTCTTTTGTGGGTGTGTGTGCAGAGGCGAGTCTTCGATGAGTCGGATGCCGATGACTGAGGGGCACAACTATGAGTAGGATGAATGGAGTTCGGGGTACAGTAGTGTGCCTACTGTCGAACGGTTCCTCTCCCAATGACGAAATGCCCCAGCCGACAAGCACCCCTCAGAGTCACTCCAGCTCTGAGGACGAACCAGGCACAGTCAGCTGACTGACCTGTTGGGAAGCCTCAAGAGATCCCCTACAAGACGGGCGGGATGCTGAAACAGCACCCCTGCGCGCAGTTAGCTTGACCTACAAACGCCCAGCTTTAGAACCCGACCTCAGCACCTAGCTTGCTCTGTGGGCTGGCGAGCGAGACTGAGGACGGGTCGTGGTTCTCGGACGAACAGCCGCATGCTCTAGCCAAGCACTACTTCGATCCACTCCTTTGCGATCCCCGAACAACCGCCACCTCCTGCCATCCAACACCTGGCAGATCTATCCTAGATGTCACAACCCGCCAGGTAGCAACATAGTCCATCTAAACCGACCTGCCGGGTCACCGACCGCCCGCGACCGAGCTTCAAAATCCCCCGTCTACGTCACCAGCTCGCCCGCTCATCCACCCTTCCGCCCTTCTAGCATCCCGGATCCCCCACCGCATACCCTACCGTACACCTCGCAGCCAACATGTCCACGTCCGACTCGTACGTGATATCCGACATGGCCGCCTCAGAAAGCCACGACGAGGACCTCGACTCCCTGCCGTCGATATCCAGCGACCTGCTGAGCTCCGAGGCCAGCGAGAGCCCCAGCGACGCCCAGAAGGAGTGGGAGGAGAGCCTGGAGCAGATCCAGCTGCTGCTGACCATGGTCGTCGTGCCCTTCGCGGGCAAGTACCTGGGGAGGAAGTTTGCTTATTGGAGTGCGTTTTCACCCCGCCTCCCCTGTCTCCCTCCCCGCCCCGCGCGGATGAGAGGAAATAAACTATGCCTGCTTGCTAACAAGGGGAGACCGAACAGGCTGGGCACGGTACATGGAGTGGGCACACAACGTTGAGATACGATGGACGAACAAGAACGCGTGGGCGGCCACGGGTGCTGCCGAGGCGGCTGCCACGTTATGATGAGCTATGTGTTTGGCTTCTGATGATGCTTCCGAGAACGAGAGATGGTCACGGACGGGCCTTGGACCCCGTGGCTGCTGTGGATGGAGTCTAGGACGGGGGATGCCCATGCTGGGCGTGTACGACGTGTGGAAATCACTCGTGCCAGAGCGGACCAGCCGCGTGGTGAATATTTGACAACCCCAAGTCTTGACCGCATCGTCGAGCTGTGGTTGACCCACTGACTGGGTTGATCATATGGATATCTATGAGAGCACTGGCGCATCTCAGTGGAAGACTGGATAGGTGAATTTGGTTTCTGCTAAGACCCAAGAAACAAAACAGGGCATTTTGTGCCACAGTTGTCTATAGCTGCCGAGAGCAATGAAGACATATTCAACGCCAGAATGATGAGCCGTGGGATCGAAACGTTCATCTTCCTTGGCTTAACCGCAGCCGGACAGACACAGCAAACGAATCACTAGACAAAACATAGTGGGTACAAATGGATGTTTTGAGATGATCCTGTCCTTCGACATCCCATCGGTTCAGCAGGTCGTTGTCGTACTCGCGGACGAGGATTTCTCAATAGATGTTCGTGGCAGGCCTGATTGTTCTGTCGATTAAACTGCGGAACATGACCATAAGCATACACAGCTGAGATGGCACAATATACGCCCGGCTTGAACCTTGCAAGTCCATTACTATATTTCTCGGTATCTCTAATTCAATCAATCAGAAGCACATATCCAGTACTCGTTACACAGGTCCAAATTTTTGGTCGCACGGAGGCGCGAGGCCCGTATGACCTCTCCAGAGTTTTGCCCCGAACGCCGTCCAAGAACTCGTAGCTGCCCGTATGCGACCATTTCGGTGCCCAGCACTGCCGCCCATCCCTTCCGAGGATTGCTATAACCCATCCCGAGTTTTCCTATCCTTCCGTCCTATCCGTCCCATCGTATATAATCCGTGACCATCATAACCTTCATGACGATCGTACTCATTATACCGGCTCTAGGAAGCCGTCCAAACGACTTAGACCCTAACCTGTGCCATGTGAGGGCCGCCCGACCTGACTGAGCCGCCGCCCCTCCGGTAGCCCAGAAGGGCGAAAGCTAGGGAGGCGGCAAAGGTGCCGAAAAGGAACCACATGAAGACCGTGCTGGCCTGCAGCTCGCGGCACTTCTTCTCGTTGTCCTCCTTGCCGCAGTTGGGCACGCCCAGCAGCGCGGCCAACACGATGGCGTCAATGAGGGTGAATAGCACGACCAGGGCGTCTGTGGCCATCACGACGATGGGGACGGCGAGCGACTCCACAAAGGCGACGGCCAGCCCGTAGAGGGTCACTAGCCAGCCCAAGACGGTGACGAACATGGAGAAGTTGACGGCGGCGGCGGAGACGAAGGAGCCATTATTACTGGTCGCGATGACGTTCCCGAGGAGGGCGGTCAGGATGATGATCCAAAGGAGCTGCAGGCCTCGGATGGCTATCTGGATGATCTCCATGATGGCGGCTTTCGGGGGTGGGGCTGGTCTGTGTCTTCCGGGCGGAGATGCTTGGATGCTCAAGAAGTACAGTATGAGCTAGGTGTCCGGGTGGAGGTACGCGTGGGGTGGATTCGCGTTGCTTTCTCTGCTGCTTGTGGTGTTTGAGCGGCAGTGTGTGGAGTATGGATTGCTGGCGGAGCGATCAACCACGGGACAGTACAGGATGTAATAATCAGATTTGTTGATACAACAATAGCGTCGTGAGGGTGCTTGTGAAGATGGACAAGAGGCGAGGGAACAATAGACTGTTCTGGGTGAGGAGAGATTTGAGTGGCGGAAGCAATGCAGCGTCGTATGTGGGAGGCTGTGAAGGCGATGTCTGCTGTTATTGCTGCGGCTGGGGGTCGAGCGGTTCCGGAAGCCGGGAGGGCGATGACGTCGGCCACTCGCACTTGCTCAGATACGGGACAAGCTTCTGTCTCGGTCTGCGGGCAGGAGCGAGCAGTTGGGAGCGAGCTAAGCACTGTCCTTCTTGATGAATGCGATGGTGTCTTGAGAGTCCGAGTCTCGAGCGTAGTGGAGTTCGTGTGTGTGTGTTTCGTTTCTCATGGCATGGACGGGTGCTCAATCGACCAGATTTCCCCATGCTGCATATATTGGCTGCTGACTTGTTGATTTTGTTTCTGTTTCCAGCCGCCGAGAGCCATTCAACTGCCATCGCCCCGGCACTTAGACTGTTGGCGGGGCGATCCAAGCCAATCGACAGCCCTACAAGCCTGCATACCCCTGCAGGAGCCTGCAGATCTCCGCATTCACACCACAGCTTCACACCTAGACCCAATCATCTAGTGAACATTGCCCAATGCCTGGACAATAACCATGGCATCCAGCACCCAAGTAATTAAGCAGTTGATACTTTCGTCCCTCGATGACTGGACCACACTGCCACTGCCACTGCCACCACCGAGGTCCCCTGATGAAACTGCCACCGGCCGGCTCTCTGTCTCTTGAGACGCGCGGCTGCGAGAAACCAACCAACCACAGCCCGGCAGCCTAGTCGCGTTCGACGAGATGCCGCCATCCATATCCCTGAGACGCGGGAGCCAGTAACGCGGGGGCCAGTAACGCCTCACAGCCTCCCGAGGCTATGCGACCGCTCCGGCCCCCGACGCGTGTGTACGCACGCAGCCACCGGAGGACAGTGCTGTCTATGGCTTAGCCACCCGCACGTTGTTTCAACTCAACCTCCTCCCCAACCTACCACGAACTCGCAGTGGGTGACAGCTGCCACGCTGCGTTCGTCTCGTGCCGCACCTGTGACCTGTGCTGCCGCACATACTCGAACCTTATCTCCTTCGCTGCATCAAGACGCTCGGCGCTGCCGTGGCGACCGTCGCTCTCGCTGTCTGCCCATCGGTTGTCGCAATAGTCGACCGACGACACTCCACGACGACTCGCGAACGACTCATGGGAGCCCGCCGCTCTCTCACACGTACATCCGCCATCGAGCCACCCGAGCTGACATGGACGATGCTTTCACGGCTAAGCATACACCCACTCACACCCACAATGACGCATTCCTTGGACTCGTATCAATGCCCTCGCCCAGCACAGCACTCGGCCAGCAGCCGGCCTGCCAACGACATCTTCGTCCACAACCTCTGACGCCAATCCCTGGGCCGCCTCGTTATAAATGCGTCATGAGCCCTCGGAAACCTTATAGTGGCCTGCTGTCGAAACCATCGTGTCGTGGTCCCGACATTCCATCCCCGACAGGAACGCCATCACCGTTTCCCCTCCGTTAGAGACAAGGTTTTGGCCGTCGAGCAAGTCGTCGGCCTCTCCCATGTAACTTACCATACTTGAGCACCATCCGAGCCTTATCAAAGTGCCTTGATTTACGGTGGTACGCAGTGCGGATACTCCACTGCGCCTCTGACACCTTTCGAAGTCTTCTGGAACCCTTCCCCCTTCATCGCCTGGCCCCACACACGAGACAACGCACATGATGATGGCCTCCGTCCCGAGCAAGACGCTCTTGTTGTCATCCAAATTGCCCTCGCCGTCCCGATCACCACTGCCGCCCCACTGACTGACGTGTGCCGAGTGCTCGTGACCTCGCCCACGCGCGGGGCTGTCTGCTGTCAAGCTCTGCGAGATTCAGATGAAGTTGTCGTCGGCAACTTGACAGCCCCAAATGGCCAGCAAACTTCACGGAACTTGCACCTGTCGGGTAAACAAAACCCAGCCAAGCTCCAGACAGCTGCGCAGACGAGATGACAGGCCGGCAAGGGATGGGTCCCTACCTGCGGTGCCCTTTTTGCAGCTCGAAACAAACAACCATTCTCAGACACGGCCTTCCCCTGCTCACACTCGTGGGCATTGGGGAAGCTGGCGAGACACCGCTGTGTGTGGTACTGACAGCTGAATTGCGAGTATCAGAATGCCAAGTCTCAGCCCTTGGCATTCGCCCCTCTGGGATGACTTTGAGTTTCAGCAATGGTTATTTCCCGTGGACTACTACAGTACATTGGGTAAAGTAGTACCCGCTCTCCAAAGCACTGGTCGCGAGGCGTGGGATCGCATCTCCCGAGATGGACCTGCAGCTTGGAGGAGGGATAGAGTTTGGACGAGAACGTGAAGCGCGGACGGTGGTACTGGCGGTGCTATGTATTCAGGCCAGAACGGTACCCGCTCCCCCAAATGCTGCTGGATCTGTGCCGACCCCTCCCCTGCGGTCGCGATACATGCCCAGCTACAGTGGGATGTACCCGAACATGACAGGCACCCTTGTCCCCCAAGCCTCTAGAAAACTCTAAGATCCAGTCTTTTGGGATTCCTTGGCTCAGGATCGTCTGACTTGGCGTGGCAGCCGTAGCGCGGGATTTGTCACGGGATTTGGGTGAAACCTTCTTTCTTCTCTTGTCGGGAACCCCAGTCTGAATATGCTTTTCCAAAAAGGACGCTCACGACGAGACCGCGCCGGCCTCCCTCACACTCTCAAACATCCTCGTCCTCACTCTTGTTCCCGTCAGGTGGTCAAAGCTTGCGACGATTTCACTTCCAAGAACTGGTCCGATCTGATCTGTGGCCTGCCACGCAGCAGAGTTCCCCATTTCCCAGGCCAAGCTTTTTGCCACCTGTAGATCACTCACGATGCACGCAAATGATGGTCTGCGGTGCCTGGGCACCTGCTGACAACGGCGACCCAACACCAGATGGCAGACCGCGCTGGGCCCACCACAGCAAAGTACTGAATCCTCAGGATCTACTGTGTCGGTCTTCGTGCTCACCTTGCCACGGATGACCACGGGTGGGCCAGATCTGGTCCTTCTTCGGTCTGGCCACGGCGAATACCGTCACGAAGCAACTAGGATTTCTCGTGAAGACCTCTGACCGTCAGCTTACTCCGGCGCACCAGCTGCTAGGCCAAACTCTACGATAGCGACATCGATTTAGCTCGGAGATTGGAACACCAGCAAGCTCGGCGCGATGGTCACTTGCCGCTCAAACTACTGCCCCGCCACGGCTCGCTGCGGGTGCTGAGGGATGCCGCCAAAATGGAGCGTCGATCATAATTGCGGAACACTTCCCGTGGCAATGGAAGCGAGAACCAGGCGGGAATAGGGAATGGCATGCTGACCAGGGCAAGGTAATGAATGTGCACTCTCTGCAGAGCGCTGGGCGGTCTCGTCGACTGGGCCGATCGAGAGGGGAGACCGTCGGCCCTGTTTGACCGCTGCGAAACCTACTGAACTTCTGCTGCAAGTGCTCGCCTTGTGATTTTACGATCCCCAGGGCATCTCGAGATAGCTTCGAGATAGCTTCGAGCTTGCGACTGAATTTTGACGTCAGACCGCTGATGCAGACTGGCACGACTTGCAGCCTATGCTTCGATAGCCTCATGTGTCGAGCGACAGGTTTCCCCGGATACAACTCTCTGGACAAATTGCGAGATTGAAGTCGCTATGCGCGGCAGCTCCTGCCTGGCGGCGACAGCATAATGCTGCTCGAATCTCTGCTAGTACAGGGTCTTCCCTTAATCTTTATCCATGAAGGTACAATGTCCCCATAATAAATGTAACCTTATAAACCAATTAAAAGGCTTAATTTTACATTTAGAAATTATATATTATTAACTTAACATACATTTAAATTCCTGCTTAAATTAAAAGATGTAATATAATTATTTTATTTATCTTTATCTTATTTTATTTTATAATTATTATTAATTAATTATTAATTAATTTTTAATTATATAAAGCTAATAATTAATTTATTTAATAATTTAAAAAAAAATTTAATTATTATTAAAAATTAAGTTAAAAATATTATTTATTTAAATAAATTATAATAATTAATTATAAATAATTTATTAAAAAAATATTATAATTATAATACCTTAAAATAAATATTAACTTATTAACATAAGCTAATATTTATATTATTAATAAGCATAGGTAGTTATTAATCTAAATTTACTTAAGGGGCCCCTCCCTAACACGCCGAAAGTCACAAATTAGCCTTCTTTAGGGCGGTTGACCCTGTAAATGCAATTATGACCCGCCTGGGGGTCACCGACGTGAACACCTGTGGCTACCTTGGTACTTGGATCGGAGGATCGCGACCCCATTCAGGAAGGGCACTCCTAGCCTTAACCTTAAATCATCACCAACAGAGGCTGTTACCACAGCCCTAACCCAAACGTGTCACGCGGACCGATCATCAAGCATACTATGGAGCACGGAGGACTTTTATGGCATTAGCTCACCGACTAATCCAGCGGCCAAGGAAAGCTAGCCAGACAACGAGAGGCGCCACGGGCCACGCGCAACGGGTGGAAGTAAGCACGACCACATGGTAGCTGAGCGAGGGAGAAAAGGGTACGTATCTCCATGCATGCAAGATCGACCAGACCGTCACAGCAGCCCCTTGCCCCCATCCAGCTGCCAAAAGTAGCTATCCCAAGCTACCTTCATCCCATCTCAGCCCGCAGTTGGAGAAATGAGAAAAAAGGGCGGTTGCTGAACCCGCAGATCTACCATGCACCGCGGCGCCGTCCCGAGAGGGAGGGGTGTTTTGCCACCCTCGTGGGAATTTCTGGCCACTCCCCATGCATGCCCAAACCGCATTTCCCCTCACACACACATCAAACCCTTCTTTGTCGGGGGCCCGCTGCCGGCTTGACATATGCACGTCGAAGGGGCTGCGGGCCCCGGGCTTGATGAGGCTGAAAAGGTGCCAACAACGACAACAAACCAATGCGCAACCACGCAACCTTCTCAGCCTCTCTCTCTCGCCCTCCCATGCGTCCAACCCCCCGATCCCACAAGCCCGGGGGGCGAATCACGGCCAATTGTTTAGATGGGGGCCCAATATACCTACTCGCGGGGCTAAAATCCTACACCATGCGGTAGGTTTGAGCGTGCACCAACCAGTGCGACAGCAGGGCTGGGGAGGGGTGCGCCGGCCTCCCCAATCGGGGCCGCGTTGCCGGAGGTCCTGACGCCGGTTGAGCGCCCGGCGAAGCTTCTTTTTTTTCCTTTGTCCCTCCCGCTTCCTCTGGCCCATGAGGAGATATGCCATCACGTATAATTGTTCGTATATCAATAATAGCCAAGCCGCCAATCGCAAGCCAAACCTCGTGATTGCCGCTCTTGGTTCACCGCGATTTGCCTTGAGAAAAGCATATACACCGCCCGCACAGACTGGGGAGGCGGTGGAGATGTACCGATGTTCATATATTAGAGTGCCTGATTACATGGCAGACTACAGGGTGACCTGAAAGAGATTATCCATGTCACTACAACTCCCCGGAAAGAATGTAACCAAATCCAACCAATCACAATTTCTAATTTATCCCTTTTATAATTAACCTTATATTATTACAGCGAATTCAGGATATAATGCTATAGAAAAGCTACCCTTTTTATACTTAATTTTGCCTTAAAAATCTGGTATTACTATTATGATACGCACAGACAAGACAGGAGAGTTAAGGGACCCCTCGCCAACGCTACTAAAGTCACGAATTAGGCTTCTTTTTCGGGTCGCCCTGTACATGGCTGATCATCATCCAAGGACTTTTGGTCTGTACTATGCTCGACATATGCGGGAGTCCCCAATGACAGCTTCCTCAAAGGGATGACAACCCACGGGCCTAGTGCTCGGTCGTGATGCTCGGCTTAGCCGCCGCGCCCCGGAGCATCTGCAGTCGCCGATCCCCAACCCCAAATGGCCAGGGAAATAAACTACCAGTACCAGAGCCCGTGAAGCCAAAACCCCGTTTATGGCTTGCTGACTGCGTCTTCGCTTATTACAGTTTATCTTCGTCCTGTCGGTACATGAACAACCTCGGGCCTCCGTTGCCACCATCAAGCGGCGCCTGAGCGTAGGACTTCTCAGAGGCAGCCCCACCACTTTCGGTGGAAGTCACAGTTGTGCCGCCGTCAGCTACGACCTCCTCATCACGGGTGATGGTCGAGTTGGTGGCCGCTACGTGCCGGCGATACAGCTCCTGGTCGGGGACAGCGTCAATGGACCCGCCCGGTGCAGTGAAGCCGCCGAAGCTGAAGACCTGGTCTGTCGAGCCGTACCCGGAGCTGTTACTGCGGTCCGCATATTGGAAGAAGTAAGCGGTGCCGTCCTTTGACGTGTCGACCAGCGAGCCGGTATACTTGGGGCTGGCTGACCCACTTTCCCCTTCAGAGAAAGCCTCCAGGCCGTCAGGGAACACGGCTGCGCCCTCAACGTAGACCTGCACCCCTTGGATGAGGCGCCCGTACAAGGTCAAGTTACCTTCAGGCGAGTAGCCATAGGTCGAGTTGCACCACAGAGGATACTTGTACTCAGTCTTGTAGTCAGCCCCCACAGCCGCCACCGAGGAGGAACTCGCCTGGTCGGTACCGGAGATCAAGAAATCGTTGATCTGCGCGAAGCCGTAGGCCGAGACAAAGCCCTTGTTACTGTACGATAGGTCCTGTGTCCAGCTGACGGTGCCCGAGGTGTTGTTGCGCGAGACAACAGTCGATGTAACCTTGAAGGCACGCGAGACCTCGGTATCGTACGTGAGTGTCTCATTGGCGCCCGTCGCATTCTGCGTGAGCACCGACGACACAGAGATGCTCGGCGGCATGGCTTCGACGACGGGCGCAGAGCCCGTCGTCACGCTGCCCTCGTCGTCGAGCCACACAAAGACCTTGCCCGTGACATACCAGCTGGCCGCCACTGTCTGTGTGACACTTACCTCCGACCCGCCGTCGTCGAGCAGGCCTGCCACGTAGATTGTGAAGGTGTGGCTGTTACCGTCACACAGCACCGGGAGCCAGGGCGTGATGTCGATCTCGTGCTCTTTCAGGTCGAAAGCGTCTGGGCCGACGACCGGCCGATGCAGCGAGGGGACGACACCGCCGGTGAACACTACGGGGAACGGCCACTGCACGCCCGCGAGTTGCCCGTCGATAAGCACCTGAACCTCACGCCACGGCGAGTAGCCAGTAAAGTCTCCGGCGGTTGCAGAAAACGCCGAGGTGTCCGACTGCAGCACGTTGGACCACCAGAACTCCTCGCTGGACTGGCCGTTGGCGCTGACAGAGAAGACGGCGCGGTTGGCATTTTGGGGGAAACTGACCGTGTTGGTCGCGTTGTCGGCAGGCAGTGTGAACTGGCTAACGCCGTCAGACGAAGACTTACGCGCACTGATGGGGATGATGAGGTCCGCAGGGGCCGCAGTGGCCACGTCAACCTCGTCGTTGAAGAATGTAGCCGTCAGGGTCGTATTGAAGGAGCCTGTATATACATCTGTGATGAGATTGCCCAAATCGAAGATGATTTTCTCCGGTGAGTTCCACAGGGAGAGGTACTCTGTCATGTCTTTCAGATAGGTCCAACGGATGCCGGGATGCGCCGTGGGCTCGGCGGTTGACGTCCGCCAGACCTCGGTGTCATTAAGGTACATGAGAGCAAGACGGTCACTGGTGTATAGGTCAGTGGCTGTCTGCATGTGTGCCAACACCGTGAGGTACCATCAGACTTACTATTGCCTACCCTCGCTCACCACGGTGAAGTTGATCACCACGCGATTGAACTCACAGTCTGGCGGTGTATAGGCCCCGATGAATGGGGCTCCGTAACTGACCGCGAAGACGTGTTCCATCAGCACGACGGAACAAGAACCACCGGGGGCGTCGTCATCGTCACCATCGGCGGCGTCATCCAAAGTCGGTCCAGACGGGGTCAATACGGGCTGGTGCACCTGGAAGACTTCTAGAACTGTCGCAGCGGCTGTCGCAGAAGTCGTAGTCACATTGGCAGTCTGCCGTCTGATCACACCGGGGACGCCGAGTGCGACGCTCTCGCTGGACGATTCGGCAGCCGCATGTTCCGTCTGGTCGTTGCCAACGTGACCAGTGGTCACATCCGGGTGGTGAGGAGAAGCTGCAGCTGCAGTAGCAGCGGAAGCAAGAGCAGCACTTGACAGCAGGTCGCGGTCGGACGGTGCCGCGCTCTCAGACCACGTTGGAGCAACCGCCACGGGCGCAGCAGGCCACTGCAGGTTCTGGCGGTGGTGGTGGCACAGGCCCAGAGCGGTCAGAGCCGCAACCACGACGAGACACACGACGAGTGGTGCATGTGTTGAGCGTCGTCGTCGCTGTCGACCAGTGTGGGGTTTGACCATTCCGTCTTCGGAATACAGCCCGAGTCGCTGGGCACCACGACCCTGAGCCTCAACCGCATGCTCCCCCCCATCAGGGCCCCAAGACTGCGCCTTCTGGCCCATGCCTGCACTTTGTCCCGGGCTTGTCACCTGCGGGCTGGTTGGCCGGCTACCGATCAAAGTCAGGACACGACTGCCGGTGTGCGTGGAGAGTTTGGACGAGGGCGGCCCCCCAGAAACAGCCCGAGACGATCGTCTGGTCGCCAAGTCCCAGGGAGAAAGTGCTTGTATCCTTGCAAACGCACCTCTGGTTGGGGTAGCACTCACTCACTCACTCACTCAATCACCCAGTCTCTGTGAGAGATGGGAAAAGCCCCTCTTGGCGCAAGGGGCAATGGGATTTGTGCCGATCTCTTGTGTCTGTGGCTCTCAGCCCCCTTCCTTGTGCGCGAGTGTGTCTGAGCGGGTTGCAAAATGAAAAAGTATTATGATTGCCAAAGTGTATCAGGATATATTTGGACCAGATGAGCAGGCAGACTCGCGGGCAGAGCGATCGACCTCGACAGGGACAGAGAGATGCCGAAGAGTAAAGTTGCTCAAGCTCGCATCGGATGGCAGAAAAGCAGCAGCGAGGCAGAATGCTGTCGGTATCCAAGGTTCGAGGCACTGCCCGCGCCTGGTCGACACGCGCTCTGTTGCTGTTAAGTACAATGTGCAGGGGAAGAGGGGGAGCCGTGGAGCTTGAGATGAACACCACCACCTCTCTCTCATCCCCTCACGGCAATAATGGCCCGTCGCGATAACGCCATGACGAGCAGACGCGCAAGCAATCTGCAATGACATGGGCTTGGGCCAGATACGCGAGGGGAAGGGGAGGTGGCAGAGGGACCCCAACAAATGAGGCCATACGAGCCTACGACGGATTGGGGAGGTGCGTGCAGGTTACACGGAAAGAGGGCAGGAGCCAACCGGTTAGACCGAACAAGCCAGGCACAGGCACAGACATAGGCACACAAGGCACTCACTCACCGCAGTCAGTCACTGCAGCAGGTGACACGGGAGAAGGGAACAGCCCAACCACTCCGACACACAACTTACGCAGGCTACTGTACCAGAACTGCAGGACTGCACGTTACGCGGCTGCAGCTCGGTACCTAATCAGAGCTGGTCCTGAGGAGGGAAAGGTACCTCTCCCAGTTATGGCAGGGTGCCATCCGAGTTTGGAGATTGCGACTCTGCAGTCTGTTCATTTACCAGCGTCACCCCCGGTACCTGTTTATCAATCCTGTGACCCCGCACGCAGCCAGAGCACCTCGCGCCGAGTTGGGGAATTGATTCGCAGGCTCCTCGCAGCAGATCTTGGGTGAGGTGAAGGGGGCAGGGGAAGCGTGGCCGTGGTATGTAGTAGCGCTGGATGGGATGGGACATGGGCAAAGCAGCAATTTACCAATGTTGCGTAGTAGGCGCAGCACTACGGACGTAGCCTTGTCACCTCGTCCCCCTGCGTCAATTGCCAATGCCAGAAATGCAACGGCCCGGTTCGACAAGTCGGTCATGCTGCGGGATCATGCGGCCCTGGGCCGTGGGCGATGGCGTGGCGTTCGCCCTGCGTGTGCCTGGCTGGGCGAAAGGTGCAGCTAACCCCAGTGTCTATCTATCTTACCTGGTTAGATAGATAGACTAGGTGGTTTTTGGCTTCCCAGCAGTTCAGCCCATAATTACGACAAGTCAATGCTGCCGCATAGTCCGCACAGCCCATAACAGAGCCGCCCCCCCCCCCCCCCATGGAGAAGGAGTGATGGCCAGGGGAGTGATGGCCAGGGCAGGGCTGGGCAGGGCAGGGCGGGGAGAAGGGTGGCGGGCGAAAGGGCAAGCAGCAGCAGGACCCTCCACCCCGGGAACAGGAGCATTTCTCCCGGGCGTTATTGGCGAGGGTGATTGGATATCAACCCGGGTTTTGACAAGCTTAGGTTTGGATTTCTTGGGATCTCGGTCGCGAGCGAAGGGGGTGTGAGGGAGGCAGGGAGCGAGGGAGAGGGAGTGGCGAATCCGGGTATCTTCCGTATCTCATCACGCGCATCGCCTCCTTGTGCCTGCCTGTATGTTGCTGTCCTGTCCAGTCCTGTCCTGCCAGTCATGTCAGTCAAGTCCCCGGTTCGAACTTCATCTGATGGGATGCGCTTTGTAGCCAGGTTTTCCGTGTGGGCGATCCCCTTTCGGCTCCGAAACATGGGTATGGGCGTGTGCTGGCATTAGACCCTTCCTCTCCCCGTCAAACTTCACTCATCCGGGCGTCATATCATGCCATGTCAACAACGTATCTGTCCCATTTCCGCCGTCTGTGCTGTCCCAGCGGGACCCCTCTCCCGAGTGCCCGCGGCAAGAGAGCTGCTCATTGCCTTCATCCGCATCGACAAGTGGAATTTCTGAAAGGGGAATCACCGCCTGTGGACATGAGTCGAGCACCCGCCAATAGCAGGGAAAATGTTGAAGCGCATTATGATGTAGGGTGGGGGGAGTTTGGAGAGTAAATGAGGCTGAGTTGCGAGTTGAGAGTGAAAGCTTTGTGCAATTCATTGCGCTACCAAATACTGTAAACGGGTATCAACAACCTGAAAAAGTTTGACGCCCTCCGTGTGTATGCGAAGAAGATGCCACCCCGACTGGCATGGGCCTGCGGCCTCAAGACCAAGCTGGGGGAAAACGCAAGTAGACAACAGTTGTTAAAACAGACCAGGACGTCCCCCCCCCCCCAAACCGATGCACACCCCTTCCGGCCCCCGGAGCCAACACAGTTGGCCGGTGACGGCGGCGGCGATGAAGACAAACCCCTTCCGAAATCCAACTCCATCCAAAATGCTGACCCGTATCGTATATGCCCCTTTGAATTTTCGCCTCATGAAATAGTAAAGAAACCGTCCACAACCCTTTGGGTAAAACTGTACAAATCTCCGTCTCTCTCTCTGTGTAACACACCATTACTTCAGCTGAAGTAATGCACTTTCATGCAGGGCGGAACTCCGACAGTGTGAGGACGCTGAGCGCTTGCCGCGAGCCCGGCTCGGCCAAGGGGACCACGACCAAGTGGGCGGCAAGCTTCGATCATGCCTGGGAATCGCGTCCCCGAGCCTGCTAGACCCTGTCCTGGGAGCTGCAGTGCCGCCAAGACATCTTATTTGCGCCTTGACGTGAAAAGCATCGACAGGCGTTGGGGTAGCGCCTGTTCGTGTGCTTGTGGCGCAATTGCGGAACAGGGCGGGGGGAGGACCTTCGCCCGACTCGTTTGAGAATGTCTGTCGAGCAACCCATAACCCCGTCCCAAGGTAGACGGGACGATTGGGTGGGCGCATTGGTAAAATTTCTCAACGATCCCGTATGGTCAACCCCCGTTCCGGTTGGGTACCGGCGCAGTATGTAGTGAGTGTCTGGTAGGAACAGCATCAAGGGACGTGCTCTGGCTGGTGAAATGTCACCCTTTTCCCCACTCAGGCGAAAGGGTGTGCGCGCGTAGGGAGCGTCCGACAGGCAGCGGCTCTCACCGGCCGAATTGGGCATTGCTGAGGGAGCCATGACCACTCCAACCACACCCAAGACGCCGTCCGGAGGACCATAACGATGAAAGTGTTTAGAACAAGAAGAACCCCCGGCAGGGAGTAGCTCATGCGTGCGTGTTGTCCCAGAACCTCCTCCTCGCTGCGACGGCCAGCTTGTTGCCGACGAAGCGGTGCTGGTAGAAGTTGAAGACGGCGAACTCGCCAGTGGACATGACGTAGCTCTCGGGCTGCGCGGTGACGCGGTCCCACAGCTGGGTGAGCGCCGACTCGAGGATGCCGCTGACGACCGGGTCCCGCGCGCCGTCCGGGCTGTCGCGCGCGATCTCCAGGGCCTCGGCTACCGTGTTGGGATCCAGGTTGCCGAAGTCGGACGGCGGCTGCACGGCGGGTGATGTCCGGGGCGAGGCTGAGCGCTGCTGTTGGTTTTGCTGGTGCTGGGGTGATGTGTGGTGGGCAGGGGATGTGCGTGGGCTGAGGGGTTCTGCGGGGCCGTCCATCTCCATGTGGTCCTCGTGCTGTGGTGTTGGAGGTTGTACGGCGCCGCCCATGGTGAAGGGCACAAAGGTTGAGTGGTCGGCTGTGATCGCAGGGCCCGCGAAAGACCGGTAGGGCAGATAGCACGGGTTGGAGTTGAAGTCTTGAGGGTGGAGAGACAACATCTTGAAGACGGGACCAGGCAGGGACTGAAATGTCTGGCGCACGATGGGTTATATGCTCCCAGGACCTAGGCGAGGAGGCGAGGGAGGGAAGAAGGATGAACACGGTCAGTGGCAGAGGAAGCTGCTCAATGCTGTGCGACGTGCCTTCTGCAGCTGCTTCGCAGAAAGATGATATGTCATATAACTGGTCCCGGTTCCAGTGAAAAGGTTCTGGACGTCCCGGTCGTTGTTGACAGGTTGATCAACGGGGGATATTGCCGTCTTTGCTTTTGCTGACTGGGACAAGGTCTTGGGTCAAGGGGAACCGAGGGTGGCGTTGTCTTGTCTGTTCTCTGTTCTGGTCTGTCTTGTCTGTCTTTTGTATGTCCTGTCTCTTGGGATGCGTTGTACGTGGTACTGAACCTGACAAGAGTTATCCTGGCTGAGGGAGCAGGGCGACACGGGTGTGCGAGGCGAGGCTGATGATGGATAGGGCTGGTTGGCTTGCCGGGTCCAGATGGGGAGACGGAGATGGGCGGGCGAGTGATACTTATACATGCAGTTTAGATCGGGCCTGACGCAATAGGGGCAGCAAAGTCGTAGTCGGAACTTTGGGACTGGAGTTTGTTCTGACTAGGTTCGACGAATCCTCGTCGTCAAGAGCGGAATGATCGCGACAAGTCCCAAAGTTTAAGACCCAATGCCTGGCGGCAATAAGAAAGTGATACGCCCCATGCAGTCCCGTCCCGACAGCTCAGACGCAGAGTGGGAGTGGCGTACCGTAACCTGAGATTACCCTGACTCTGGTACCGTCTGGGCTCCGACAGGGTCGAGGCCGTTAGCCGTGGGCAGGCTGGCAGGGGAGCGCAGGGGGGCAGGGGGAACCAAGGGTTCCCACAAGGGTCATGGGCCACTGGTGGTGGGTGGCTTTCACCTGCTGCTGATCCTTTGCTGGGTCCCGGCCCAGGTCCAGCTTTCGGGGGGGGGGGGGGGGCTCTTGGCAGAGAGATCAACCAAGCCCCCGCCGACAGTGACAAGCAGAATCGTTTCTGAAGCAAACCCAGGCGGAGCTGTTGTCCTCTTCGGGATCACGGCTGCCAGGAAATCTCTAGACCTCTTCTCAGTGCTCTCATGCGGGCCGTACTAAAATGATGGCTCCTCAATGCCCGCTCGACCTGGGCAGGCTGATCACTGGTGCCACTACTGCCACTACGGCCACTGCTACCGGGAGGGAGGGTCGATGCGCAAACATCTTTGACAGCGCGAGCGCGATCGAGCACGGTTGTGTCAAAGGGACGGCGCGACCAGCCTAGTACTGCTTTGCTTGTGGGTGATGTGCACAAGTGCGCTTGGTATGTACTAATCTAGTGACCGCCTCTGGAGCTCCGCGATGTACTATACTTTGTCTCTGTCTATGCCCTTTTTTTTTCCTCTCCTCCCTTTGGTTGGAGCACCGTCGTTTGGAGTAGTTTGGAGAAGCTTTGGGAGGAAACAGGACTTTAGTTCTATCTGGTCTATTGTTGGAAATCCCATATGAAAGCTCCCCTGTACCTGGACTTGGTGAGGTACAAAGGAAGGGGGGTCTCGGTGGCTCCCACCGCTGGTCTGGAGTAATGAAGGGAATAGAACGGAGGCATCAGGTAGCATTTGCCAGGTAGGTAGCTGGTGAGCCTGCCAGGGGTGCGGTCGGCTGTGGGGGGCCAGAAAAGTACTTTGGCCGTCAAAGTTTACACTGCTGGGTTATATGGAGCGAAACCGTACCCATGACCGGCTAGAAACTCAAAGCGATGGTGATTGGACTCGACAAGTTTGACAATAAGTCATGTATTGGTCATGTAGCTGCTTCAGCTGGCATACTTTTGGGAAATGTACCCTCGGCAGTTGGCCAGATGATCGACCATGCTTTCTGGGCCAGCGCGCCTGTTCTGGATATACACACACAAATGCAAACACATACACGCAACCTCGGAACCGCATGGTGGGACCACGCTGGCTTGGGTGCAAAGCGCGGCTAACCCAGAGCCCCGGCCGCTGGAAATAGGCAGCCATGTCAATGTAGGACAGCAGCAGGGGGCAGCAGCAGCGTTGGCGGCACCGTTGACAGCTGGCGGCAGCAGCAACACCAGAAGCGCTTGGCCGTGCTGGTGGTATTTGCCTCCTCCGCCCGGCTGAGTTTTGGGGTCGGGCGGACGAGGCGATATGTTTGGAGCTACGGAGCACATACTGAGTTCGTCGTTACCGCATAGCGGTGGCACTCGGTGCGCGGTACGGGCGAAAATGGCCGGGAGCTTGGCGGTCCAGATCCCAGTCCATTGTGAAGTTGGGACGGCCTCGTCTCGCATGATCCCCTGCTCCAGCCGCCCAGCTCCCAGCTCCAAGGGTTAGTGTGATATATCAGGCGACGCCGTGAAGCCCATGATTATTACTATTATCAGGTCCGGCAGCCTGGGCTGGGGCGGGCCTGGGGCTGGACACCCGACGGACGGAGTGCTAGCCAGCTAGCCAGCTAGCCATGTAACGTTCGAGTCTGTACATCGGGTCAGGCATAGCATTGTGTGTACATGCTGTACACACGCTGGACTGCGGTGCAGTGCATGTACTGTAGACCATGTGTGCTGGGGCCAGCCCCCGGTTCCTGGGCCGGCGCATGTTTCCGACCTTCTCCCACCCCGCCGGGAAATGCCATTTACTGACAGTCCTGACCGTGTGGCCCATACGTTGTAAAGCCGTGGACGGTCCTGCCTCGGCCGTTTTTGTTTTCAGGGCGCTGGACGGGGGGCTGGGCTGGGCTGTTGGCGCGGGCAGCGTGTGCAGCCTGGCGTCGGGCGGGCGGCCTTGGGAAAAGTCAAATGAGGTTTTGAGGGGCGCATGAGTCAAACGGTGACGAATTTTGAGAGAGTTTGCTTTGACCCAGGGCCACCGTCTCGCAGGCTTGCCAGAGCCGGAAAACCCACCCGGCATCTCGCGCGGCGACTCAGTAATTCGACGAGTCGACGGAGGATTCCCGAGGCAATGACCAGATCGTGACTGAAACCGGGTCGTGGCAGATTGGCATACAGCAGAGACGGGCTCGGCCGCCCTTCGCCTCGTCGTCATCGTCATGGCCGTCACGAGGGGTTGGTGTTTGGGTTTCCTCACCGACTTGACAGCCTCTGAGCTTAAACAAGTTGAGTGTGCGCCCGGCCTGGCCTGGCGTGTATGAGAGAGTATGCTCGGAGGCAGTCTCGGGTCGGAGTCGGATTAGGAGGATAAGCATCGTGTTATCCGAATTCCTGCCGACTGGAGTGTTACTTCGTTGCCGAAGTGTGCATCGTTGGTGCGAGCTCTCCGGCTGGGGGCCTGGGCAGCATGGCATCATGCCATGACCATGACTGGCTTCACCACGTGCACGTCTGACAGTCATCGCTGCCCGTCCCACGCATGCACCATGCTCTCTCTCCTCACCGTCCTCATAATTGTTATTCCCAGCGACGGCCCCCAAACACCATGGAGGGTGTGCGTCTGTCGTTGGTGTTTGGGATCTCTGTTGAGTCTGGGCCGTTCTTCGCCGGGTCTCCACCACAAAGTCCAGACTCACCAAGTCCGATCGCTAATCTTGATTGCAGATGGTGCTGCCCGGGTCCTCCCAGCTCGCCCCCGAAGCTCGCGCAGGTTGTGCACGCGGTGCAGTAGGGGCTGCAGGCCTGCAGTAGTGCAGGAGCAGTGCAGACCCTGACCCAGATCCATCCAGATCAGACCAGACCAGACCAGATCACCCGAGCAGAGAGAGAGAGAGACAGGCTTGACAGGCACGGGCACAGGTACGGGCACAGGTACGGGCACAGGTACGGACACAGGCACAGACTCACAGACTCTCGTCCCTCTTCCCCCCATGTCGCTCGCTCTCTCATGCACACAACAACCACACGATCCCCCGAGCTTCTCGCGGCAGGCAAGGAGGATCGTTTGAGTTTGGGCGCCAAGCCCTTCAATTTTCAGCCGGTGTTCAGCCGACGAACGACACATGCAGCCAGCATGCAGGTGATGCAACCGTGTTGTCTGCTGCCCACCACCCGTGGGATTTTCCTCTGATCGTCAGACCACGACCCAGTAATGATGTAATTATTTATAAGGAGGGGACAGAGTTCTGACTTGTGGAAGTATGAGGACTGACTGGCAGTCGTGGCGGCTCGGAATTCCACTTACGGTGCCTAATGACTGACTGGGTTACAACCGACGGCGGTGGCAGACGAGCAGAGTTGTCTCGACTGACCCGGGTGGAAGGTTTATTGGCAGCCCAAGCCTGTAAGCCTGGAGCCTGGAGCCTGGAGCCTGGAGCCTGTAGCCGGTCCTTTTGTCGCTCGCATTGCAATGCATTGCACCTGGCAGTCGCGTTTGCATTTGGGGACCCCTAGCCCAGCGCCGTGCCGGACTAACCATCTTGGTGGGCAACCTCCGACCCTTGGGATTCAGATTCACAAACATCAGACGGATCGATTCGCCACGGGAATTCCGACCGCGGCCTGTCCCTCGGGCCTCTCTGCAAGTCACAAACTGCCCGCATGCCTGTCCCGGCCTCCCTGACTGGCTGCTGGGTGACTGGATGACCGGCAGACTTTTTCTTGCCTCTCCTCACAACAGCCCATCCCGCCGGGGCGGCGAGTCCCTTGACAGCTCACCGTGTGCCGGCACGATACCGCCCTGCCCTGCGGGTGCTTTGCATTTGCTGGCCCACCCCTGGCCCAGATCTGTGATCTGTTGGTCCCCACTCCTTCCAGAAGCGGAATGACATTCTTGCCCAAAGTCTAATCCAGATGATCTGCGCTTGCAAAGCCCGTGTGCGTATCCGTACCGCCTCCGTAGGAGGCCCACCCCTTGCCGTAAACCAGTTTCGGACAGCCTTGCGGGTACCCAGTTCAGACTGTGCATGTGTGCCCCAGCTATCACAACTGTCGTCGACGGCACATCATAGCCGGTTGTGGGTTTGGGTGCGGGCGACGATCATGCCCGCAGCATTGATATGGACAGTCCCTCGGGCCCGT